ACGAAAAGGATTTAAAACAAGAGTACGAGGAGCACGAAGTAGCTCCAGATGGTGTATTGAGACACGGACAAACTGTTGACTTGGAGACTTACAGTAATGATGACGAAGAATTTGGTGGATATGAGAACAGAAAAAAGATGGAACGCAAATTGCTTTGGAAAACTGATGCCAGATTCGCCATTATGATTATCAGTGAGTGAAAATTTTATGTATCCGTCCAGCTTAGCTAACCATGGCTTTTTCGTTAATTCCTTCATCTATCCCTTCTATTAAATTACAATTATCAGTCTATATCCTCAATTACATCGATAGAAACAATGTCCCGGCGGCTCGTCATCAAGGTTTAGAAGACGACCTAGAACTCGGATACGACAACAGATACGAAACTGTTCTGTCTATACTCTACGCGGGCTACATTGTATGTCAAGTGTACGTGCGCTTTCTAGGTAAATGATTGCGTTGACTGTGTTTTAGTCCTTCGAATGGCATTGTCTCTCTAATAAGCCGGCCATCGCTCTATATTGGTGGTGCAATGGCAATTTGGGGTGTTATATCTTGCTTGACTGGTATCACTCAAAACTACGTTGGTATTCTCTTGACTAGACTCTTCCTTGGTTTCGTCGAGGCAGCTTTCTTGCCAGGAGCTATTTTTTTGCTGTCTAAATGGTACAAGAAAGACGAACTAGGTCTTAGAATAACATTGCTATACTGTGGTAACCTCCTTTCTAATGCTTTTGGTAATCTCATAGCTGCTGGTATCATCAACGGTATGGAAGGCAAACTTGGTCATAGAGCTTGGAGATGGCTCTTCTATATTGAGTAGGTCTCTCCTATCAGGGAATAATGTTTAACAAGCTTTACAGAGGTGCTCTCACTATATTTGTAGCAGTTTGCGCAGTTTTCATACTTCCGGATTTCCCAGAAACAGAATATTTCTTGTCACCATTAGAGGTGCGTTAAACTTATAAGTTGAACTATAGTATGAGGGCTTGTTTGCTCTGACTATAGGGCTACTGTTGAAAAATTTCGTAGCAATGTCTGACATTCAAAACAGAGAAAATTGGCTGTTCGTCGTATGGCAGAAGATGCAGGAAAAGTAGACACAGTCATGGATAAACACGAAGTCCTTCGTGGTATGAAAATGGCACTGCTTGATTACAGAGTCTGGTGGTTAGCTTTGACATTGTTCGGTATTGTCACTGCATTAAGTTTCAACATTTATTTCCCAACTTTAACAGAGGAAATGGGTTTCGAGGGTATAACAGCCTTACTGATGTGTGCACCACCATGGATTTTCGCAACAATAGTCGCTTTCCCATGGGCTGTCAGTTCAGATAGATTCCAAGAACGTACTTTCCACATTTTGGTTTCAAATTTGGTAGCCATTGTCGGTTACATTATTGCGATTGCAACTCAAAACAAGGCAGCAAGATATTTCTCATTATTCTTGATGACATTGGGTTATTGTGGTCTCATTTGCGTCTATGCTTTCACTTCCAGTTCGTTCATTCGTCCAACATCAAGACGTTCAGTTGCCATTGCTTTCGTCAACGCTTTCTCAAACATTGGTAACATTGCCGGAAGTTATATCTGGGATGCAGACAAATTTGGACCTAGTGGATACAGACAATCATATGCAATTTGCATTGCTTGCACTGGATTCTCATGTTTCCTTATTTTAGGATTCAGATATATTTTAGTTAACCTCAACAAGAAGATTGAAAAATTGGAAGAAGAATATCCGGGAATGGATCCATGGGATATCCCAGAGAAGTGCGATCGCAAGTTAGACAATGCTCTGCTCGTCAAGCGTGGATTTAGATATATGCTTTAAAGGGATCTTTCTCAAAATCTCTTGCCTTGTTATGATAACTTAGTATGCTTAAGCATGTAATTGTATAATAAACAATATATGAAGGTTTCATTATAATATCACCTTTCTTCGCTACCAATTATAGTAGACCATAATGACAAGAAATGTTTCAGAATAGTATGCCATCGCGCATATCTTCAATACTTTTATTATACTTTCCAAAGTTGATGTTTATTGGTTTGTAAACACATGACGTGCTATATTATTGGTTGTGAAATATAAATACGTCATGTAATAATCTTTTAACATAAATATTATTATGTGCACAAATTGCTTCCTTATATAAGTTTCACTTTGCCTGTTCTTCATAATTCTCTTATCTTTTACTTCCTTCCTTCTAGTACTATTTATATCTTCGTACCTAGTAACTAATGACGCTGTATGTTCAACGCCGGTTTCCATATTCTGACAATGGTTAAATTAGAGTATGGAAAGTAGTGAGACATCTGGGTGCTATTTCTGTCGTAATTATTACGTTTATCTAGTTAGATTATATTATCGCTGCCCAAGAATGTCAATCGGGCTGTGAAGGTCTAAATCAGTATGACAATAATTAACGAAAGTAGATGTACTTACATGGTCGCTATTTGTTAGAGGATGTTATGATGAGTTGATATCTTCCTATAAAGGACGAGTAGCGAGTGATGTTTCTGATGAGGTCTAATGTTGTAGTCAATGCAGCGTTAATTTAAAGAAATGTTAGTTACGGAGATAGATCACAATCTGCTACATCAATTTAAACTACAACGTAAATTCAGATAGGCTTCTTTTGAAAGATATACCATTTAATCGAATTAATTTTACAACTCTTTTTTGTTTCTCTTTATACATTTCTTAATCGAACCAAAGTGGTTTGAAATTGCCGTTTTGCTGTGTTTCAAGTAAATCATCATCGTTGTCATCACTGTCATTATTTTGTTGGATATTATTAGCGTCGTAATTGTGTTGCATGATATCAACATCATCATTGATATCAGCTTCATCTTGAGTTGCAGAGTCCTCTGAATTCGGATCTAGATCCATATCATTGAGTACGTCGCGCATTTCATCCTCATTCATTCCATCTCTCGCCATAGATGGGTCGAAGTGACGAGCGCTAGAGCCAATAATCTGTGAAGGTGGTGGTGGTATACTGAAATCATTATTCTGACTTAAAAATAGTGGCTCCTCATTATTCTCATCATTGTTATCGTCTTCTGGTATATTCTTCTTTATTGGAGATGCTTGAGGGATCGATTCCATATTGATACGCCGCTTTTTGCGAGAGGAATTGGGAGGCAAGGCCGACTGTAAGAAATTACTAACGTTGCTGGTATGGCTATTATCTGCATTGAAGTTGGTAGCAGCACTTGTGTCAGCAATATGTGATCTATTCTCCGACCGTTGGCTGGTCTGATACGAGCGCTCGGCAACCTGTGAAGGTGTGCTCGACGGAACGGAAGTAGAAAGTATCATACTCGCACGCAAGTCATCTGCATCAACAACTACTTGTAGGGGATGCGGTGCATCAGAGAACATTAGCGTGATTGGTGCACCTAGACCCTCAGCAAGCTGAATGATAGCTTTGAATTCCTTCATTGAAAAATTCATAGCCGCATCCCGCCTCACACCGTACAATTCAAACTCCGTCGTGTCAACCTGTACGAGTGTCGCCGTTGATTGGTCTTTCAAACGAGTAGCATCCCTTATACTTTCCCCGGCACTTGCGAATCTAGCCGAAGTTTCGGTACATATCAACGTAATGTCATTATGTACACTAAACGGTGTGAAATGGTCAAGCCAATCACTCAATACGCGTGCATTCGCTACTACTTCATTCGCGCATTCGGCTGGATCGTAGGATGGTAATGCTAATTTAGCAGACGCGTAGGGTAATCTATGCGTACGTATTGCACCATTAGTGAAAGATGTCGTCTGTACTAAACGACTAATTTCAGTGTCAATCTTGAGTGAGCAACCGAGTAAGTTCTTCTCTTGAGCTTTCAATTTCATAACGCTAAGTAATGCTTTTGTAGCGATCTTTATAGCGATTTCCTCATTGTTGAGGATGTAATTCTCAAAGTAATCGCTCGCGAGAGTGAAGATGATGAAACCCGAGCGTGTGCTATTCAAAGCAGCTAGCTGAACCTTCAGGTATATTTAGAAGTGTAAAATACACCAAAGGCTCCCTTACATCAGATTCTGAGCAACGTAAAGTGAGATCTTCGCTGAAACGTGATAAACAGTGTATTAATTTAGTGAAATCTGAGTAACGCCTTGAGAAGGAAATAAATAAATTAAAAATACAGACCTCTTATTAAATCGGTTGAAATGCTACATTCCATCGAGTAACTTGTAGTTTAAGAACGATCACTATGCTTGGTGCACTTAGCAGAAATAAAAAATTCATTAAACCATTGTTTTACGTTTCACTTGGTGGTGTCGCATTTTACGCTCAAGATTCACGTGCATCGATACACAACTGGTTGACTACGCCATTACTACACCAACTAGACGCGGAGGACAGTCACAAGTTGGCTATAAAGCTCCTTTCACTTGGTATTCATCCAAAAGACTATGGAAATGACTGGGAAGGCTTGAAAACTACTGTCTGGGGAAAGCACTTCGACAATCCTGTTGGTTTGGCGGCTGGATTCGATAAGCATGCCGAAGCAATCGACGGTTTATTCGACCTTGGATTTGGTTTCGTCGAAGTTGGTTCTGTGACCCCAGAACCACAAGTGAGTGTGATGTCGTGTCTGTAATTGCTCACTCATATTATATATAGTCAGGAAACGACAAACCACGTATGTTTAGATTAGAGGATGATGAGGCAGTCATCAATCGTTACGGCTTCAACTCCGTCGGTCACTTAACAGTATTAGCACGTCTGAGACAAAGACTGAGAAAGTTCATCACCAGTAACGCGGATACAGAGACAACAAACACACTTTTACAATCAGGTTTGTTCAGCGCCAACGAGGCTACTACTCACTTTGGCTTGCCTAGCTCGCTACGTAATGGCAGGATCCTCAGTTTGAATCTCGGCAAGAACAAGACGACAGGTGCGGATGACGTGAGTGATTACGTTAAGGGTGTCAAGACGCTTGGTCCATTCGCCGATATGCTCGTTATCAACGTCAGCTCACCAAACACACCGGGTTTGCGCGGTATGCAGAGAAGAAGCGTACTTGAAAACCTTCTCTCAAGTGTGGTAGATGAACGTCAGAAATTATCAAACAAACTCCCTATCCTCGTTAAGGTCGCACCAGATCTAGGCAGTGATGAACTCGAAGACGTTGGATTGGCTGCTAAGAATGTAGGAATTGATGGTGTAGTCGTTAGCAACACCACTATCGACAGACCCTCAAGTTTGACCTCGGAAAACAAGACTCAAGTTGGCGGTTTGAGCGGCAAACCACTTCTCGAGAAGTCCGTAAAGGCACTTAAGGAGTTGTACATATCAACAGATGGTCAAGTACCACTCGTAGGATGTGGTGGTATCTCATCTGGTAAGGATGCTCTCAAGTTTGCAGGAGCTGGCGCATCGCTTGTCCAACTCTACACCGCGCTTGGATACCAAGGTGTGGGCTTACCAAGACGTATTAAAGATGAAATAGCAGACGAACTTAAAAATAACGGTATTGCATCTTGGCAAGCCTTCGTTGGTACAGATGCTTTAGCCGATTTGACACAAAGAAGATGGGAGAAGGGATACAGCGCGGCTATAGACACTCTCACTAAAGAAGTTGAAGGTTTGATCGAACGTGCAAAGAAACTCGCAGATGTAGACACAAACTCTGCACAAGGTATTATCCAAAAGGGCACCTCAACAGCTCAAGAAATCCAGAAACGACTTGTATAGAAAAATTTCAAAAAAGCAGAATGATTAAATGCATGGATGCTAATAAATTTAGTGTGGTATAATCTTAAATATGCTATGTCCTTTAATTCCTTATGACTTGTCGTTTTCTTACTACAAATAAAATAAAGTTACTTAATATGAACTATTACAAATATTATGGTTTACAGTTGTTTTCTAAGGAAAGCAACTTATGGAGCTATCTCGCCTTCTTCATTTTGATGTCTCTCAGTATGGCTAGTATGAGCGCGCGGGCGTGTGTATGTGTCATCATTACGGTGACTGGTATTGTTAGCGTCGTTATCAGTTTTACCGCGTTGTATATCATGCGTATAGTGATTTCTACTCTCATTGACTGCCTTTTCGTCGGGATTCCCAGAGTCCGTTGGCCTTGATGGCAAATCCATAGGTGTTCGATCATGATCTGGATATGGCTGGTAAGGTTGTGTCCTACTTATACCACCATGACGCGGTCCTGCACCCCTATAATGACTTCTTTCACGGTTGAATCCTCCTTGTCCTGACTGCTGCTTGTAAGCATACTCGCTATCAGGATGATGTCTATGTTCGGCGCGGCTATCATAGCGTGGCTTTTTGTTCATTGGTCTATAGCCTCTGTCATTGCGATGATAGCCGCTATCCGCGTAATTCCCACCTCTATCGTAGTCATAATCATAATCATAATCATAGTTGTTGCCATAATCTGTTGCTCTATCCCAATCACGCTCTCTGTCTCGCCTATCGTATGGGTTCCTTGCGTCATATCTTGAGTACTCATCACGGTCATCACGGCTATCCTTCGACCCCCTACGTTGATTCAGACTCTCAGAATTCTTCGTCATAGACGGACGTCTAGCTATGCCTTTTGTCTGGCTTGTACCAGCAGGATCTTCTGGTCTGTTAATGTTTTCTTTACGTGATGGTAGATCAATAGACATCCTCTCTTCGCCTGCACTGTCTGGAGGCACCAAAGACACTTTTGAATCTCGCACCGATCCAGACCTCGCAGGTGAATCCTTCGGCTCGACAGGTGGCGGAGGTATATTTTGCTTTGGAGGCAGCTGTTTTGGTGGTGGTGGTTGTCCATTTTCAGCTTTTGGAAGCACATCTGACCGTCTATCTTCCTTCTTTTCATCTGGGCGACGATTTACTGGTCTCTCTAGTGATCTTCTCGGACTTGGTTCCCTTCTTTCACGTTTTCTGCCATCTGATGGCCCATAATCAGGTGCACCATAATCCACGACAATATCATCATCGCGAGGTTTCGAAAAACGAGGTGGAGGTGGCTGCGCTGGTTGACTTCTCCTGTCATTACCGAACGGTCTCCCCTGCACAGGCGGTCTACCGTGAGACGAACGAGAATAGGCAGAGTAGGGATTGATAGGTGGATTTTGAGCGGTATTCATCTGGTTTGTGGATGGACGGCCATACGGATTATCGGATGGTGGGCGCGGTCCACGCTGGTGTGATCCCCTAAAACCAGATGGTGGAGCAGGTCGCGCACTGAATTGACCTCCCGGTGGTCTATAAGCAGGTAAAGGTCTTGAGCTAAATTGTGAGCCACTAGATGGCATTTTTTGCGACATATATGGTTGCTGCATCTGGGTATTCACTGGAGGTCTTGCCTTCTGAGTAGAAGTATACTGCTTTGCTTGCATCTGCTTTCGACTATCATACTCGTGCGATGAAGGTAGTGGTTTGACGTCTTCTTTCTTCATCGGCAACGGTTTTGTCCAGAAGTAATCCAATTTGAGGGCATCCTTGGCTGATATCCTCCTCTTTGGGTCCATCGTTAGGAGTTTCTCGAGTAATTCCAATGCTGAAAGATCAAAATTGTTGTATCTCATAAATTTCTCTTTGAGGTTACCATTTTTGTAACCGAATGTTTTTATATCTATGCTATATTGACCTTTAATAGTTTCCCAACCAGGCCAAGATTCACTAGTTGGATCACCGCAGAGTTCAAAGATGCGTTTTAGCTGATCAATGTCGGTGTGACCTTGTAGAATTGGCTTATGAGTGAACATTTCACCGAATATGCAACTAAATCGGTGTTAGATGGGATGTTTTTAATCTATTAGAGAGCCTCACCCAAGACCCCAAATATCAATTTCAGGTCCGTAATCACCCCAAGAGTTCTTCTCACCAAGTATAAGCTCAGGTGGTCTATAAAACCTGGTTACTACCATATTTGTGTAGTTTCTCGACTTGGACTTGGAGTTCTTTTGTTGTAATTTATGGCAAATACGTGCTAAACCGAAATCAGCAATTTTGAGACTACCATCGTTTGATATCAAAATATTTGATGCTTTCATATCACGATGCAAAACGCCGTTGGCGTGCATGAAAGCCGTACCTTCGCATAATTGCAGCATGTAGAGTTTTATTTGTGAAGTAGAAGGATTAAAATCTTGTCTCTCTAATAAACCGGTGAGATCGTGGTCGATATAAGGGAATACCATGTAGAACATCGGATTTGAGTTCTCTAGTGGCAGGTTAGGAGCTAGCCAGGAGAAGTAAGAATAAAATACCTTTAGAGAATGACATATCGACGAGTTGAACGATATTTCTATGATTGAGTAGTTTCAAGAACGAGATCTCGCGTATGGAGGTAGTAGGGAAACCATCTTTGGCTGTATGTATGAGGATCTTCTTTATAGCGACGACTTGCTTGGTTGACTTGGACGTCGCTTTGAATACGACACCGAATGTACCCTGGCCAATTTTGTCTGCGAGTGTGTATTCCTGGTCTAAGAGAGAGCAACCTTTGAATCTATGGTATGTTGATAGTAATTTTTTATTTTTATTATTCTCATCCCTTGAATCGTTCATGAAGGTAGTCTCTCAACGAGCACACGTCATGGTCGCTGAATTTGATTTTAGCAATTTTAACAGGTGGGCTATCAGTCTATAGCTATTATACTATTAACGTCTATTAGAAATAACGAATTGGCGTCTAAGAACCCTTCAAACTTACCAAAAGCAACGTCCACCGGTACCACAATCGTTGGCTGTATATACAACAATGGCTTGGTTTTGGGTGCAGACACGAGAGCTACAGAGGGTGAGATCATCGCTGACAAAAAGTTAGTATCCTCTACTATCTAGGCCACGACTAATCGACCACGATAGCTGCGAAAAGATACACTACCTCACAGACGATATCCGCTGCTGTGGTGCAGGTACTGCCGCTGATACAGAAGCCGTTACCGCTTTGATATCCTCCAACTTGGAGTTGCACTCATTATCAACAAATAGAAAACCTAGAGTCGTTACTGCAATGACAATGTTAAAGCAGATGTTATTCCAATACCAGGGTCATATCGGTGCTGCACTCGTACTCGGCGGTATAGATTCTACCGGTCCAAACTTGTTCACCGTCGCACCACACGGTTCTACCGACAAGTTGCCATATGTTACCATGGGTAGTGGTAGTTTAGCTGCCATGGCTGTATTCGAAGCTGAATGGAAACCTCAAATGACAGAATCTGAAGCTAAAGACTTGGTTATTAAAGCAATCTCAGCTGGTATTTTCAACGATTTAGGATCTGGTTCAAATTGCGACGTATGCGTTATCGACCAGGATAAACCAACTGAAATGATTAGAAATATCAAGCCAGAATTGAATGCTAGATCAATAAAAGAGAGAAATTACAAGTTTAGAAAGGGTACAACTGCTTTCACGAAGCAATCAATTAGGGATTTCGTTCAAGAAGAAGAAGTTATCGAATTTAACAAGCAGCCAGAAGAAATGGATTTGACGTCCTAAATTGTGTAATTTTTATTCATTTTTATTTTTATTCCCACGATTAGCTCCTTGAATATTAACGTCATTAATCTAGGAGATGAATAAACTAGATTTAGAAGGAATTCTACTGTTGGAAATACCTCTATTTAGATCACCGTTTCAGTCGCTACGGAAAGCGTTCAGGAATTACCAGAAGTTGCTAGAGAACGATCTATCGACGATAGGTAATCAGTTAAACGGCGAATTAGATGATAACAGAATTGATCAATTGATAAAGAAAGCTAAGCTCTTGAGAGTTAAAGTATGTCTTTTCCATACCATAGACACCCTCTAACACCCCCTAGCTCGTCAAGTTCGAAAACCTCCAGTCATCCGCTTACTCCCAATTAAAAGCTCGGGCGTTACACCTCCAGCAAACACTCCTAGCTGGCTATCAAACCGGAAACGATGAACTCATCCAGCAGTTCAAATCGATACGTATACAGAGATGGCTCATCGATTGGTCGTTACGTAACAACAACTTCTCTTTATCCGAATTAATAACACATAAACTCAACATTGACAGCCTTATTGATACTGATTTGTTCAAGGATATCTCATCCATTCAGTCAGATTTACTCAACCGCTCATCCACATCAGCATTAAATTGGTGTAATGATAACAAAACACACCTAAAGAAGCTTAACGTACAGTTAGATTTCTACTTACGTTTGCAAGATTACATAGAATTGGTTAGATCACGTAATATTCAACAAGCTATCATCTACATGCGCTCACACTTAACTTCCCATTTCAGTAATCACACCAAACAAATTCAACAGGCCGCCGCTTTATTGGCCTTCCCTGAAGATAGTCTTGTAGGCATCTACCGGAATCTTTACAATCAATCACGCTGGATTGACCTGAGTAACATGTTCAGAGATGTCGCTTTCCAATTATACGGCTTGAGTTCATACCCAATGTTACACCTTGCACTTAGTGTCGGATTGCCTTCACTCAAATTGCCAAATTGCACACAATCGCAATCTAAACAGGTCGTTAAAAATGAATTTGAGGATTTATACAATGGTACAACGTTTAAGTCAACAAATGATGAGAATCTGTTAGATAATCACTCAGTTAATTGCCCAACTTGCAATACAGATTTGCTGGGAGCTCTTGCTAAGCAAGTTCCACACTCACATCATACGAACTCTTCAATAGTTTGCAAAATTTTAGGTAAAGTTGTCAAAGATGGCGAACTCCTCGCATTCCCTAATGGAAGGGTCTACTCGAAAGCTGCACTTCACGATCTCGCTGAGAAGGATCCTCATAGTTTAGTGAAGTGTCCGCGTGATGGTACTACAATTCACTATAGTAAACTTCGTAAAGTGTTTGTTTCTTAATTTCTTTCTGGCTGTTGTAATGATATATGTATAATTAGTATAACAAGATGGGTGAAATTTTTACAAGATCGTTCGTTCTAATCTAATAATCCTAAAGTGTGCATCCTAAGAAAAATAAAAAACTAATCCAAAAAAACATATGAGCATGTTTTGTTGCTAATATGCCACGCTATTTTGTCGTTTACGTGGTCGTAACCCAAGACGGAGGCCGTCGTCTATATTTATCTCCGTAGCTAATCGCTTAACCGGTGATGACGACTGACGCCTCGTGTGCTTTACTTTGGGTGTGCTTGCACCGTCATTGGCCTCTTCATCTATGGTATCAGACAGCGATATGGCTGCATGTCTGGCTGAACGACGGATTGGTTGTTCAGATTTCATAGGAGCAGCTATGGTGATACTACCCAAAGCCTGCCTCAATCCTGATTTATCAGGTGAGTAGTAAGCACCTGCTGTTATATTCGCTAATATCTTCCTTGGTGTTTTCTCATCATCGAGAGTGTATACGAGCCTTTGAGATGAGATAAGCGGGTGTGGGGATGTCAAACCAGTATTCGGTGTTGATCTTGACTTGACGATGCCACCGTGTTCCATACGTGCATAAAGTGGGGGTGCATCCTCCCTCATGATCATATTTATCCGTTTACGAGTTGACCTGATAGGGTTTTAGATGTGTCATTAGCTGAATAAATCAACGTACCTCAGCGTATGTCTCCAACGGTCATTATCATCGCCATAACGACCCCTACGAGCAGTTTTGGCTAGATGATGTACGAGTTGATTTGGTGGTGCTGCACCAGCGTATGGAGTATGTGTTGATTCATTGGCATACTCATCGCATAAACGATGTAAATCATCATCCTCACCGGTCGTCCAATCCAATTCGGATGATTCAACACTAGCTTCAGAAACAGATGACCGGAGAGATGATGAAGACGCGCGTCTACGAAGTGGGTATCCTCTCAGACGTGTGGCTGATGGTGGCGGTGTGTGTGGTGATCTACTAGACATTGTAAAACCAGGTGAACGATCAGGTATTGAAATATTCTTCGAAGTTGTCGCCATAGTGGGTTTATATTTCACGCGTATTTACTCTTTATTTACTTATTTCGTTCCCCTGTGATTGTAATAGAGAGCGACGCGGGAGTCGCGTACTGACGGATTAAAAATCTGAAGTCATCTCGATAAGGAATGTAAAATATAAATTTTAAAGCAGAAAGACAGTCTTTTTATTGATAAGAACGTGCTTATTATTCATATCTTCTTATGCTCCTCTCTAAATTGAACTTACACTAGGAACTCCAACCTTGCTCCATATGAGCTCACGATCCAAAAGCGCAATAATAAGATTTTGTTCTTTCTCTGCACTGTGCAGAAATCATAAATGTTAAATAGACGTGTAAGCGGGGTCACTGTCGATAGTGACAGCGACGGGAGCACTTCAATTAGCGGTAGTAATAATATTGGTTTGCCTTCGCCCCCGCTTTCGTCGACAGAGTCTACCATGACTATAGAGTACTACAGCGCAAGTTTGTACGGCTATCACCTTGCAGCGGCCCGCAAAGCTGCCTATGTTGTAGCTCGAGCTCAGGACAAGCCTGTATCTCCTACAGAAGTTGATATAAGTGATAACAATGGCTTCAAAGGAGCTTTGCTATCTTCGCATAAAGCAAACCCACCGTCTCTTGATGCAGATGCCGCCTTAAGAAGGTTAAGAAAGAGGATCAAATTGGAGCACTAGAAACGACGAGCTATTCAACTTAACTTATACCAACCTACACAGCCTTTATAAACATCTTTCAGTACCTACTTTACGATAAATCAAACTGCAAAGCAAAACGGAAGATTTTCACCATTTCACAACAAGACGACTACTATGTTTCCTTTTACAATAACAATATATTTCAGAAACATCTCTTAAAGCATTTATACGACTGCAATGATGTAAAACAATTTTATGACGAACTTCTTCTATCTTTGATACATCGATGGGTGCAACACTCAGTGGGCTCGCGAATGTGTTCAGACCGCTTTTATTCTGGACAAAAGGGAAGGAATGCCGTATTTTAATGCTCGGTTTGGATGCAGCGGGTAAGACGACGATAGTATATAGATTACAAGTTAGTCTTCTTTGTGGTAGAATGACCGAGTTTTAACAGAGTTTATACAGCTCGGAGAAGTAATACAAACTATACCAACTATCGGTTTCAATGTTGAAACTATCAACTACAGCGGATTACAACTCAATGTTTGGGATTTGGGAGGTCAAACGTCTATCAGACCATATTGGAGGTGTTACTATGCTAACACACAGGCGGTAATCTATGTCGTTGATTCCACTGAGTTCGTATATTATCTTCTGTCTTTTCTTTCTAACGAACGCAGCACCGAGAGATTGCCAACAGCCCGGTCAGAATTGATAACAATGCTTTCCGAGGAGGAGCTCAAAGACGCAAAGCTGCTCGTTTTGGCTAACAAGCAGGACAGTCCAGCTGCGCTTCCTGTAGCTGAAGTGTCGCTACAGCTCGGGCTTGATAACCTCAAAGATCGCACCTGGAGTGTACGCGGATGCTCAGCTATCCGTGAAGATGGTCAGCTCAACGAGGCACTCAATTGGTTAGTCTATGCTGTCTTCATATGCGTTTTGCATTTTGCTAACAAAAACACCCAGGCTGGTCGACGAATTGAAGAGTAGTTAGCTATTTCATTTTATGTTGTATTTTATATTTCGTTATAGATTGAGTTGTCTTTTTGCTACTACGTCATTAGTCCATTCCAGTTTCTCAATATGGTAAGTGTCTGCTAGCGCAGTAAAATACGCTTATTATATTACAGTCGGATATGAAATTTGGTAAAGTTACAGCAGCTGCGTCACTCGCAACCTCTGGATCAGCCTACACCATCGTAGCTGGAAGCTATAACACCTCCCTAACTACCTATACATTCGATCCAGAGTCAAACGAGTTGGGATACGGCAAGCAACATTCACTTCCACAAGGTTTCGCACCTTCTTGGATCCAGGAATCACCTGTGAATGATGCAATTATCGCCGTCTGCTCAGAGGCATTCCCAGGTGAGGTAGCCTCGACTGTGTTAGAAAGTGCGGATACCCACAATGTAGTCAACTCTCTTCCATCTGGTGGTGACGGTCCAGCTAGCGGTGGATTCACAGCTGATGGCCAGTACTTCATAGCTGCCAATGTGGGTACAATTCACGCGTAAATAAGTCCATTTAACGTATTTAGTATGCAAGTGGAAGCGTACAAGCGTATTCTGTTGCTGAAGATGGAAAAATCACTGCTCTTGGTGAAAGTACCGCCTTAACTGGTTCTGGTCCAAATGCTGATAGACAGACATCACCACACCCTCACCATGTCATCGCATCACCAGTTGATGACCAAACTGTGTATATTCCAGATCTTGGTAGCGACGTCATTCTTCAATTTGCAGTGAAGAACGACAAGCTGGAGAAGGTGTCCGAGTATGAAGCACCAGCTGGTTCAGGACCTAGACATGGCGTATTCCATCCAGAATCCTCCCTCTTGTACGTCGTTACGGAACTCTCAAATGAGGTACTCGTGTATAAGCTTGGAGATGATGGAAAACTCAGCTTAACGTCGCAAACATCTATTGTTCCAAAAGAGAAAGCAGAAAAATCATCAATGCAAGCATCAGAAATTGTTATTAGCAGCGATGGAAAGTATATCTATGCAGCCAACCGTGATGTAAAACCATCTGGAGCCGATGACGAAGATCATATGGCAATTTTCAGCGTTTCTGACAATGGTGAGACATTGGAACTTACCAAACACGTTAAAGTGGGCGGTATACAACCACGTGCATTTGTTTTATTCGGCGCAGAAGATGAATACCTCATCATTGGTAATACATATGAGAATAATCCTAATGTCGTGGTATTCAAACGTGATAGCCAATCAGGAGATCTTGAACAAGTTGCAAAAGCATCTGGTCAATCACCAACATCTTTCATTTGGTTAGCTGATTTGTAAAAACTTAATTTTTAAATTGTTAAATTGTAATACTTGTTGTTTCAAGACAACGTGTATGGCTTATCGTATAGTCATATCAACGAACGAGAAAGAGAGTGAAGTATTTAAGGATTTTGGCGATTCCACTAGTAGCTATTGTAGAACAACTAGTGATATAAATAAAGATTTACGATTTGGTGGTATTTCCGTCACCTATATTGATCCACTATTGGAAGACCCATTTAGAGAACTGAAGAATAGCGTGAATAGCGCGATATTAAGACGCACATCAATTAGTAACACAGATATGGAAAGAGCTAGTAGCAGCACGCAGAGTACGACGACACCATCACCACCGATAGCGAAATACTACCCATCTGCAAGAGAAGGGGAGGTCGATATGACTGGAGTTGTCCATCTTTTTAAGGATTCGCGATCATTAGAAGAGAGTGATAGTGATGTTATGAATGAACTGAATTATATACAGACATCAACAAGCGCAGGTGGCGGATCAACAGAACGTAATGCGATCGTTGGTATATTGGCAGTACCATCTTCTATGTCTCCATCTGATTTACTTGAATTTATCAGACCTGCTTTGGACGCTATATCGCATATACGAATATTGCGTGACGCGGCCCCGAATCGTTATATCACGCTTATAAAGTTCAAGGATTATCGTGATGCATTAGAGTTTAAGGAGATGTACGATGGTATTCCTTTCTCGAGTTTGAATGAAGAGATATGTCGTGTTGTACGCATATCTTCAGTGAAGATCCAAGACACAAAGGAAAGCGCATCGTTTGACAATTTTGGTGATGGTTGGATATCTAAACATCCACAACAACAACAGTGCACAGAATTGCCAACATGTCCAGTATGTCTTGACAGGATGGATGGTAGCACGACCGGATTGATGACAATCCCTTGTAATCATAGCTTTCACTGCAGCTGTCTCTCTGCATGGCCAAACTCCCGATGTCCTGTTTGCCGCTACTCGTTGCCGAAATTTCAGCCAGCAAAGCGCGATGAAATGCGCACGCAGTGCGCAAGTTGTGGGAAGGTGGAGGATTTGTGGATTTGTCTCATATGTGGTCATGTCGGCTGTGGTCGCTACGGCCCTGGCCATGCTTATAGACATTACGAGCAGACTACACATCTCTTCTCACTCGATCTCGAAACACAACGTGTGTGGGATTATGCAGGTGATGGATACGTTCACAGGTTGATTCAGAAGTCTGATGGTAAGGTCGTTGAGCTTCCCTCAGCGACTTCTCATTCCCTTGGGTCGTCGAAAGGAAAAGAAAGCGCTGATGGTAATACAGACAAGGGTGGTGCGAATGATGAAATTGTTGCTATGGAGTTCTCCTCTCTCCTTGCATCACAACTCGACACTCAGAGGTCCTATTATGTGAGTATTGTTTGACATCAATCAACGAGTGTACATTGACAAAACTCTCAGGAGGAACAGCAGCTAGAACTACATGCACGTCTAGAAAGCCTTGAAAGTGTCGTAGAAGCTCAAAAACATTCTCGGGAAAGCGATGACGATCTTAGGAAAGAGAATGCAAGGCTAGAGAAGAAGGTAATAAAATCCAACGAGGTACTCCATCATGTTCGCAGACAAGCAGAAGAAGAAAAGTCATTCTCAGAGGGACTTCTCACGCGTATCGACAAATTGATCGAGCAGAATGAAAGTCAAAGTCAAATAATATCAACACTGACAGCAGAAAACGGGGATTTGAAAGAAAACGTACGAGACTTGATGTTTTTTGTTGAAGCACGTGATAAAGTACCAGCTTTGGCGGGAGGTGAGCTCTCCGGAGGGACAGTCGGGATTGCTGCACCTGCACCTGCGCCATCGACATCGAGCCAGAAGAAGAAGAAGAAGAAGGAGAAAGAGAAGGAGAAGAGGGGGGATAACACAACTAAATAGCCCTAGCATAAGTTATAATTGTATTGTTGTATGAATAGCTCTTTGATCAGCCACCATGACGACTTCTGGGAGGTACCTTCGTAGAGGCGCCGCAGATGACGAGGACGCATCAAAGCTGAAATTGGGTGCAGAGTTTAACGATATGGGATGTTTGACGATATCAGAAGTCAAGCACTTGCTGGATGGTAGAGCAGGTGAAGCTGATACGCCGTGGGTGTAAGCTTATATCGAAATACGGTATTCTAAACTTCTATAGGGTATTTAAGAAGACGTCAGAGTATGTGAACACCTTCACCGTATTTGGAAGTAAAGAATCAGCGATATCGGTCAGAGAGTCGGTCTAGCCCACGCATGAGAGACTCCACTAACAAACACTAGAGCACTCAAGAAAGATGAAAAGATGACGCAGTTCGAGCAAGCCCAGATTGGTAATTTAGTGCCCGGGGATGTCGAAGAAGCGAAATCGCTGATACCGAGGTGATTTTAGATGTTTAGGAGATATAAATGCTAACGCCCTGTATAGCCTCTACGAGCACGACGAAATGACAGTACAAACAATCCTCGATGAGCTTGACGCACTTCGTAAAATGCAGTAAATTGAGGGAGATGATAGTATAGCTAGTATACTTATATGTATATTTATTGAAATAAACGTTCAAACTGTAAAAATATTGATATAAATTTTAAATTTTCACTTTCCCCCAATTTGTTTATCGCTTGGGAATTGGTTTCTCAATTTAACGACGACAAACAAGGAAACTAAGGTCAAACTTATACCACCAACATCAAATAAATAAACAAGATGAATCACAGTCACTTTATTGGTGGTAACACCGTAGACAGCGCACCGTCTTCTCCACTCAAAGACTTCGTAAAGTCCCACAACGGACACACCGTTATATCCAAGGTTCTGATAGCAAACAATGGTTGGTAGTCGTCTATCTACATACAGCTTACTCATCTCTTCCTACAGGTATCGCCGCTGTGAAGGAAATCAGATCCGTTAGGAAGTGGTGTTATGAGCAATTCGGATACGAGAGAGCAGTAGAATTCGTCGCTATGGCTACACCAGAAGATCTCGCAGTCAATGCCGACTACATTCGTATGGCGGATGAGTACGTAGAAGTACCCGGTGGTTCAAACAACAACAACTACGCAAACGTCGACTTTATCGTTGATGTTGCAGAACGTGCTGGTGTCCACGCCGTCTGGGCTGGTTGGTATGTGGTTTTGTCTTTCCCATTTGAAACAGTCTGACAAATATTCCAGGGGTCACGCATCTGAGAACCCAAGGTTACCTGAAATGCTTTCCCAATCTAAAATCGTCTTCATTGGTCCACCAGGATCCGCTATGCGTAGTTTGGGTGATAAAATCTCTTCCACCATCGTTGCACAATCTGCCCAAGTCCCAACAATGGCTTGGTCAGGTACTGGTATCTCGGATACCAGTCTCTCCTCACAAGGCTTTGTCACTGTTCCTGACGACGCATACAAGAACGCTACCGTCACAACAGTTGAACAAGGTCTTGAGAAAGCCAAAGCTATTGGCTTCCCAGTCATGATTAAAGCATCAGAAGGTGGTGGTGGTAAGGGTATTCGTAAAGTCGAGGATGAAGCGGACTTCCCATTAAGCTTCACTGCTGTCCTTGGTGAAGTTCCAGGTTCACCTGTCTTTATCATGAAGTTAGCCGGTGCAGCTAGACATTTGGAAGTTCAATTATTAGCTGATCAATACGGTAACGCTATCTCTTTATTCGGCCGTGATTGTTCCGTCCAACGTCGTCACCAAAAGATTATTGAAGAAGCTCCAGTCACAATCGCCGGTGAAGAGCGTTTCGAAGAAATGGAGAAAGCTGCTGTACGTTTAGCCAAGCTTGTTGGTTACGTTTCCGCCGGTACTGTTGAATACCTCTACTCTCACTCAGACGACAAGTTCTACTTCTTGGAACTTAACCCACGTCTCCAAGTTGAGCACCCAACAACTGAAATGGTTTCAGGTGTTAATCTGCCAGCCGCTCAATTGCAAATTGCTATGGGTATTCCACTTCACAGAATCAGAGACATCCGTACACTCTATGGAAAGACCCCAACTGGTCAATCAACCATTGATTTCGATTTCTCTTCAAACGAAGCACTTGAAACACAACGTAAACCAAAACCAAAAGGACACGTTGTTGCTGTTCGTTTGACTGCTGAAGACCCAGACGCTGGTTTCAAACCTTCAGGTGGTACTGTTCACGAACTAAACTTCAGATCAAGTCCAAATGTATGGGGTTACTTCGCAATTGGTGCTCAAGGTGGTCTTCACTCTTTGGCTGACTCTCAATTCGGTCACTGTTTCTCTTACGGTGCTGACAGATCTGAAGCACGTAAGAACATGGTTGTCGCACTCAAGGAAATTTCTATCAGAGGTGATTTCAGAACTACAGTTGAATATCTCATCAAACTTCTTGAAACTCAAGCATTTGAAGAAAACACCATCACTACTGGCTGGTTAGACACTCTCATCTCAAACCGTTTGACTGCCGAACGCCCTGATCCATCATTGGCTGTCATCTGTGGTGCACTCGTCAAAGCTCACGTTGCATCTGAAGAAAGCTGGACTGAATACAGAACTATTCTCGAAAAAGGTCAAGTCCCACCAAAGGAGAAATTGCAAACTATCTTCTCCGTTGACTTCATTTACGAGGGTACCAAATACAACTTCACAGTTACTAGATCATCATTGTTAATGTGGACTCTCTATTTGAACGGTGGTGCTACTAAGGTTACTGCCCGTCCACTTGCTGATGGTGGTCTGTTGGTTCTTTTGGATGGTAAATCTCACAGCGTCTACTGGAGAGACGAGACCATTGCTTGGAGAGTTATGATTGATGGAAAGACTTGCTTAATCGAACAAGAGAATGATCCAACGCAGCTTCGTTCACCATCACCAGGTAAACTTGTCAGATACCTAGTTGAAAGTGGTGGACATGTTAAGGCTGGTCAGCCATACGCCGAGATTGAGGTGAGTTATATTTCTCCAAAGCTGCTTTGTTAACCCAGTCTTAGGTCATGAAAATGTACATGCCTCTCATTGCTGCAGAGGATGGTTCACCAATGTTCATCAAGCAAGTTGGTGTTGCTTTGCAACCCGGTGAGGTTCTCGGTATACTTGCACTTGACGACCCAAGCCGCGTTAGACATGCCAAACCATTTGAAGGTCAATTACCTTCATACGGTTTGCCATCTATTCTTGGTAACAAGCCACAACAACGTCAAGCTTACTTGGTTGATACTATCAACACTATCCTTGATGGTTACGACAATCTCTCGGTTATGCAAGTCACTCTTAAGGAGTTGATCAATGTTTTGCGTGACCCCCAACTTCCATACGCTATGATGACTCAATTGTTGTCTACTCTCTCCGGTCGTATTCCTGCCAAACTTGAAGATCAAATCCGTGAACAAGTTGAAACTTCACACTCAAAGCAAGCTGAATTCCCAGCCATTCAAGTCATCAGCCTTATCGAAGAGTTCACAACTAGCAACATTCGTGCTCAAGACCGTGCTACTTTCAGATTATCAGTCGGTCCAATCCTTGAGATTGCTGAACAATTCAAGGGTGGCCTTAAGGTTCACGAATGGGCAACACTTGCTGGTTTCATCAACAAGTACACTGAAAATGAGAAGCTCTTTGCACTTGGTGAAGACCGTGCTGTTTTGGCTTTGAGAGAACAACACCGTAACAACTTAGAACAAGCTGCTGCCGTCGTACTCTCACACGTCAAGGTCCAATCTAAGAATAGACTCATGCACGCTATTCTTGATCTTATCAAAGGTGGTGGAACCAACTTTACGAACTCAGACAACCCATTAAACAGGGCCCTCAAGGAACTCGCTGATCTTGACAGCAAGCTCAGCACCAAGGTCGCTTTGAAAGCTAGGGAAGTACTCATTTTGACTCAAATTCCTTCCTACGAAGAACGTGTTGGTCAAATGAGCGACATCTTGAAGTCATCAGTTACTACCAGCTTATACGGTGAACAAGGACAAGAATTCTCAATGCCAAATGTTGATGTTCTTAAGGAGCTTACTGACTCTCGTTACACTGTATTCGACGTTTTGACAACTTTCTTCTCTAACCAGAATGCTTGGATCGCTATGAGTGAGTTGTACTTATTACAGATAAATACAGGCTAACAAATTATCTCAAAGGCGCTCTTCAAGTTTACGTTTCACGTGCTTACCGTGCATACACCGTCCTTCAAGTTGACTACCATCCAAGTGAAGAAGTAAATGCTCCACATATCGTTACATGGCGCTTCCGTTTGGGTCAATCACCAGATGCCCCTCAAACTCCACGTGTTGACTCATTCAAGGATGTAACAAGAATTGGATCAATGTCAGACCTCACCTATGCTGTCAAACGTAACTCACTTGAACCACTTCGTATGGGTGCTATTGCTTCATTCAACAACTTGTCTGAACTCCAAACTCGTATCACAAAGGTTCTTGACATGTACCCACAATTTGATGCTAAGAAGCACTTCGAGCGTTACGGTGAAGCAGCACAACCACCAAACGTACTCAACTTGGCTGTCAACGCATTTAACAAGGATGATGACTTGAGCAACGAAAAATGGTTGGAAAGCTTCATTGACTTGACAAATCAAGTTGGTGAAAGAGTCAGATCAGCTGGTATCAGAAGAGTCACTTACATGATCAACCGTAAGGGTGAATACCCATGGTTCTACACCATGCGTGATGTCAATGGTAGATGGATCGAGCAAGAGGAAATCAGAAACATTGAACCAGCTCTCGCTTACCAACTCGAATTGAGCAGACTCTCAAACTTCAAGATCACTCCATCATTCGTTGAGAATCGCCAAATTCACATTTACCACGCTCAAGGTCGTGAAAACGCTACTGATAACAGATTCTTCATCAGAGCTTTGGTCAGACCAGGTAGACTTCGTGGATCAATTCGTACAACTGACTACTTGATCTCTGAATCCGACAGACTTGTTGGTGACATTCTCGATGCTCTCGAAGTTGCTGGTGCTGATCACCCAACTGCTGACTGCAACCACGTTTCTCTCAACTTCCTTTACAACCTTCGTGTTTCATTCGATGAAGTACAAGAGGCTCTCGCAGGTTTCATTGACCGTCACGGCAAGCGTTTGTGGAGATTGAGAGTCACTGGTGCTGAAATTCGTATCGTTCTTGAAGATGAAGAGGGTAACGTACAACCAATCAGAGCAATCATTGAGAACGTTAGTGGATTCGTTGTCAAGTATGAAGCTTACCAAGAAGTTGAAACCGACCATGGTTCAACAATCCTCAAGTCAATTGGACCACAAGGTGCACACCATTTGCAACCTGTCAACGCACCTTACCCAACCAAGGAGTGGCTTCAACCAAAGCGTTACAAGGCTCACGTCGTTGGTACTACCTACGTTTATGACTTCCCAGATCTCTTCCGTCAAGCTCTTCGTAACGTCTGGACTGCAGCCCTCCGTAATGCTCCTGGTTTGACCGTACCAGAAGACCCACTCGTCGCTTCCGAGTTAGTCCTCGATGAACACAACCAATTACAAGAAGTTAACCGTAAAGCTGGTTCTAACACCATTGGTATGGTCGGCTGGATTTTCACAATGAAGACTCCAGAATATCCACAAGGTAGACGTGTTGTCATTGTCGCGAACGACATCACATTCCAAATTGGTTCATTTGGTCCACTTGAAGATGAATATTTCTACAAGGTCACTGAGCTCGCTCGTGCTTACGGCTTGCCAAGAATCTACCTCTCTGCTAACTCAGGAGCTCGTATCGGTTTGGCTGAAGAAATCATCAACTTATATTCAGTTGCCTGGAATGACGCTAGCAACCCAGAGAAAGGCTTCAAATACCTCTATCTCACCCCAGAGAACTACGAATCACTTAAAGAGGCTGCTTCATCTATTAACGTCGAAGAAATTACAGATGATGGTGAAGTTAGATTCAAGATCACTGACATCATTGGTCTTCGTGATGGTCTTGGTGTTGAGTGTCTTAAGGGATCTGGTTTGATTGCTGGTGAAACTACTCGTGCTTATGACGATATCTTCACTATCACATTGGTCACTGCCAGATCAGTTGGTATTGGTGCTTACCTCGTCAGATTAGGTCAACGTGCCGTTCAAGTTGAAGGTCAACCAATCATCCTTACTGGTGCTCCAGCACTCAACAAGGTTCTTGGTCGTGAAGTTTACACTTCCAACTTGCAACTTGGTGGTACTCAAATCATGCACAAGAACGGTATCTCACACATCGTTTCTCCAAATGACTTGGAAGGTGCTATCTCAATTCTTCAATGGTTGTCATACGTCCCTGAACGTAAGGGCAAGCCAGTTCCAATTTCCCCAAGCAATGACAGCTGGGATAGAATTGTTGAATACGTTCCACCAAAGGGACCATACGATCCACGTTGGTTCTTGGCAGGTAAATCTGAGGATGCTGAAGCAGGTGAACCTAAGTTCATGAAAGGTTTCTTCGATAAGGACTCATTCCAAGAAACACTTGGTGGATGGGCACAAACTGTCGTCACTGGTAGAGCCAAATTGGGTGGTATTCCAATGGGTGCCATTGCTGTTGAAACTCGTACAATGGAGAGAATTGTACCAGCTGATCCAGCCAACCCACTTTCATTCGAGCAACGTATTATGGAAGCAGGTCAAGTTTGGTACCCTAACTCAGCATACAAGACCGCTCAAGCTATCCAAGACTTCAACCGTGAAGGTTTACCACTCATGATCTTCGCTAACTGGCGTGGTTTCTCTGGTGGTCAACAAGACATGCTTGACGCCATTCTCAAGGAAGGTTCTAAGGTGAGTTTATAAGTGTCTCAAATATATCTTATCTAACACAAATGCAGATTGTTGATGGTCTCTCATCTTACAAGCAACCAATCTTCGTTTACGTTCTTCCAAACGGTGAACTTAGAGGTGGTGCTTGGGTTGTTCTCGATCCATCTATCAACAAGTCAATGATGGAAATGTACGCTGATCCATGGGCTCGTGCTGGTGTTCTTGGTAAGTTTATGCTTTATTTCATTGAAGTTTGTCTAACAGTATTTTCAGAACCAGAAGGTATTGTTGAAATCAAGTACCGTCGTGACAAGGTTCTTTCAACTATGAACAGACTTGACTCCGAATACGCTCGTCTCAAGAAGGAATCCGAAGATAGCAGCAAGTCAGTAGATGAACGTAAGGTATCAACTGATGCACTTGTTAAGCGTGAAAAGGATCTCTACCCAACCTACCAACAAATTGCACTCTTATACTCAGACTTACACGACAGAGTTGGTAGAATGTCAGCAAAGGGTTGTGCATCACCATGTGAATGGATCGAATCAAGAAGATACTTCTATCAACGCTTGAGAAGAAGATTAGATGAGGAAGCTATCATTAACAGATTAGGCAAGGCTAATCCATTAATGGATAGACAATCAAGATTATCAATCTTATACAACATTTACTCACAAAAGAATGTTGAATTCAGTGATGACGCAAAGATTGCTTCATTCATTGAAAAAGAGAGAGAAGTTATTGATGAAATCGTTCAATTAGTTCAATCACGCTACATTGAGTCACAAATCTCACAATTCTCAACTGTCAATAAGCAAGGTACATTGGAAGGTATCGCCAAATTTATGGAAACACTCTCAGCAGAAGAGCGTTCTTCTTTCGCTAAGTTACTCAATTAAAAATTGATACTTAACAATCTCACCATTAGTTTTCTTTAATGTCGTCTCGGGTTTTTCTTCTTTTTTTATTTTTCCTTTTTGTGCATCATTAATATATTTTTTCTCGGTTTCATTAGTTAAAAAAAGAAAAGATGAGATTCGTATATGTTACAAATGGTTATGAAAAAAATAAAACCCAATAGAAGTAGATATCTGATTGCACAACGAAAGAGTCTATAAGTTGAAACATAAAAATTAGAAGAAAAATTGGGCTGATGTTAGTGAAAGAAGTATTGAATTTATCATAACCCGTGCTCATAATGTCTAATAAAAGAGCAAAATTATCCTATTGCTTTGATTGATCAATACTGAGATATCCGATTGAGCTCTCAATTTGTCTCTCTTGTGATTGTTCGGTTTGTTGTTGTACTGCACTAGTCCGCCTTTTCTTCGTATTAACGACAGCTGGCAAAGTCATGAAAGGCATCATAGCAGGACTGTTCTCAACGTTATTTTCTTGAGGTTGTTGATTTGGTTGACCTGGCGTTACTTGACTTGATGTCGTCTGACTATCTTTACCAGTCGCTTTCTTCCCTTGACCACCTTTGGCATTTACACCTGGCCCATTTCTATTCCTTTTCTTGATAACGTCAGATTTCAAACTAAGTGGTCGAACAACACCATGTAATTTCAAGAATAATCCACACGCATTACATAATGGATTTCCTTCTGGATCTCTCCTCCATAATGGTGTTTTGTTAGTTTTGCAATTATTGCAAGTCATAGCGTTACCAGGATCAACACTGAGTCCAGAGGCACTAGTGGATGTCGTCGCGTGAAGATTAGGCGTCTTACTAGGCGCTTGTCTTAACGGTACATAAGATGACCGTTGTGGCTGTTGTTGCTGCTGCATAATTGGTGACCTTTTCGCTGCTATTGGTATTGATGTCGTTGATGGTACACTAGATGACAAAGTTTCGCGCTTCTGCGTGCGTTGCTTGTTATTAATTGTTACAGATGGTTTGGATTTCGTAGGTAAATTTGGTGATTGTGACGCATATCTGCTAGAAGATTGACTAGAAGATGAACCTCTCAATGGCTTTACTTCCCTATTCATTTTATTAAATAAATTGTGGGGGTTGATATTAACTGCGAATGGGTTCATTACATCTCCAAATGATGGTGTCGTTGGTGCCGAGTCGGCATCATAGAGTAAGTTAAACAAACCACTCCAATCCTGATTGTTATTGGTATTTTGGTCATTGCTCACATATTCACCATAATTTGGTAATGATTGCGGCATAGTTGGTGGGAATGGACCGTTGAACCCACCTGGTGCACTCTGTGATAGCAATGCAGATAATCCACCATCATCAGGGAAGCCCTCTGGCAAGACTATATTCTCGTTGATGTCTATACCAGGCGGACCAAAAGACCCCTCTGCACCGTGTCTACTGTCTGCTTCTACATTGAATGACAAGAAAGGATTTGCAAGACTAAATGGAGGTGGCTCTGTTGATCCATTACCTGTATTGTTAAATAAAGTATTAAACTTCGGTGAATATTCAGCAGGACGTTTTCTAATCATCTATCCGAGTGTTAGGAGAGACCATTGAATAAAACGACACTCACATTATCTCTCTCTATTTGGTTTGGTATCTGTGGTCCATACGTGGATGATAATGATTTTGAGAGAAGACTGGCTGAAGCAGGAATATGTTGTGTCTGTTGAACTGACTTATTTCTAACCAAATCTTGCAAAGTTCTACCATCAATTAAATCGTAGAAGTTCTGTGGCGGACTATGAGCATAAGATATGTCACCATGATGAGCGTTTTGATGTTGAGAATATTGCAAGAACGTCTGAGGATCAGGTAAGGACATAGCAGAACCTGTGAAATTATAGACATTGTCAGCATTGTTCCCAGAATCTTCCTCTATCGTCGTTGTCAATTCGTGTTTACCACGTGAATGATTATGTTGCTCTGTTTGTTCAACATTATTATGATTAGATGTTTCAGGGGAAGGTGCCTGTGTAGGAAGTGAAGGCATGAAATGGTTCTTGAGCGGTCCCACACCATGATGTCCTGGTGGTGGTCTACTCCGAGACCGTGACTGACCTCTCCAATCCATAACTGAACGCGATCTTGACCTTGATTTACCTCTCCATTCCATGAGATCATCAACGATAGCTTCACCGTTATCGAGTCCTTCTGGGACTTTACCTGCGAAACCGACAACAACGTTAGTTTGCTTCTTTGATCCACGTTGTCTGCGTGGTTTACGTCCACGCTCTTCATCTTCATCGGGTACTTGCACTGGTTTTTCAACCATCTCGGGTGTGTTCTCTTCAGGTCTTTCATTACTCTCCGCAGGCTCTGGTGGTGGCTGAGCTTCAGGGGTAGGCGAAGAGTGACTACTCTTATCTGCATCTTCGTTGTCGTCATTTAAAGCATTTTCTTGGCTCTCTTGTTCTTGTTTCACCTTTATTGCGGCTGCTTCAGATTCCCTCTTGCGGCGCAAAGACATTGCCATCATTCTCCAAGTTAAATTCTCCATCCGCTGGCCATTTGGTAAAGACGCTTTCTGTCTAGTGTACATTTTCCAAACTTGTGAGGCAATTGGGTCATCCTTTGATTCAGGATTGATATCATCGTCAGCTTGAGGAGGTGATTGCGGAGAAGTTGGTAATAAAGATTGCTTTCGGGTGGCTAATTTCTGGTCTAACAAATCATCTGAAAGGATATCGGCCACGACTTTCGTGGAGCCACCACCTGTACTAGAGGATGGCTGGTGTGTAGAGTATGATGTTGACGTTGATTGATCGTTATACGGATGATTGAATGTGGTAGATGTTGAATCTGAGTTGCCAAAACCGTCGTAATTGAGAGGATAATCAGCGAACTGGTTTAAATCAAAAGTAAAGTTACTGTCAAGCGTCGTGGGTGACTTTGGTGTATATTCTTTACTCTCGGATGACTTTGGTGGTGCGGTGAGCGAAAGAGCGGAGGGTTGAGGTGTAGAAGAGGATGACGACTGGTTGAATGACGTTCTACTGCTGGTTTCTGGTAATCCAAATCTGTGATGTGCTCTCATCGCCTCCTCCTGGTTCTTGAACGCTTGTTGGAGTCTAGAGAGTGTTTTATTGCCGTCGAAAGACATTCTAATGAATGTTGAATAATAATAAATATATTTCAATTTAAAACTCACGTATTAGTTAAATATCAGAATATATTTCCTCAGTGACCTTGATCGTATTAAACGGACAATTAATCTAAGATACAGCGTTCAAATACAAAAATTAATTAAAAAGTGTTCAAAGTCTAAAAATATAATAAAACTATTCTCTCCCTGAAACGCTAATCTTCCTCCTCTTCCTCCTCATCGTCATCATCGTCTTCTTCGTCTTCCTCATCCGATTCTGGCTCTGCTAATGCCTTCTCTAGCTGTTTCTCATGTTGCTTTTGTTTGCCTATTATTTAGACGTAAGTATCGTTCAACGTTCCTGAATGACTCAGGCACTCACGCATTGATATCGCTTGATTGAGATTATCGATATACCTATCGTACTTTTTAATTTCAGTTATCAAGTACTTGTTCTTTTTATTCCAATTGTGCGTAGCTTTATCTCTATTCGAAGACTTCGTCGAATATTGCTGCAACATACGATCATATATTTGTCTATGAACTCGTAGATCTTTTTTCAAACTAGCACTGAACTTCTGCAGAGCTCTTTGTTGATCTTCCTCTGTTAAAGTTGATGAAACTACTGGCAAGTGTGGTGCGTTCCAATCTTCAATATACATTTTATCCGCGTTAGTACGAAATGGCTGTTTCCACCTGTTGATTGAATAGTTAGATCTCACACTCATAACATCCTCTTCTCTTTGCGGCTTGAGCATAGAAGAGCCTGACTCAACTTCACCAATAACACTATTCCAGCCATATTCCATGTTTGAAACACCACCAGATAGAGGCTCCTTTGATGCACGTGATGCCCAGTAGTTGCAAGTCGATACCCATTCATCTAATAACGACTCTGTACCAGCTTGTAAGTAGTACTTCCCACCATTTGGCAAACTAAGTTGGAAGCAATGAGGTCGCGATCTGTTGTAGCCATTTCTCATGTAATCAGAAACTGAATGCGCTAACGGGATTTCTCCAACCAAGTTTGCATTATTAGTCCAATTACCTCCACCGATACCACCACTGCTCTGTGCACCTTGTACGCCAGCACTTTCACCAAACGTAAACATCTTTAAATCGCCTCTACCAATAACAACGAAAACCTCGAGCCAGTTTCGATCTTTTGAACGTTTACCATCACTTTCGTAGTAGTGCTTGCGCTGTAAAAATCCTTCCTTAGCCCACGGAGGTCCCATCAAAGCGAGCTCCTCATCGGTGAGTATCAAGCCAGCATCCGAGTTATCGGACAATGCCGACTTGTTTGAGATCGCATCTTCTTGCTGTTCCTTAATAATAGTTTGTGAAAGATTCGAAGCAAATCCAATTGACGGAGTTGGGGCCTTTTGAGGTTAAATAAATGTATCTACCAGGAAATTCTACCTACCTCCATTACCGAACCGAGTGACGGTGTCGGCGATGTGCGTCCATCGGTGCCAAGCAAACTAGACAAACCACGTATACTACCACGCTTGAGTGAAGAAGTGCTAATAGACGGAGATGACATATTGCGCGGCAATCTTTGCCTACTCGTGTTAACTGACAGGTTGTTTGCCTTATTGCCATCCAAAGGTAATAATATCTTTTGTGAGCGTATACTATTGTAAATATCTCTCAAAAAAGGTTCCAATTCAGCATCCAGTTGTTGACTTTCATAACTAGTACTGATAGTCATAGATGAAGCACTCTTCTTAACTTTCTCTTCAGTTAAAGAGGAGCTTGAAGGAGAAGTTGAAGTACTATATGAAGGTGATAATCCAGATCTAATTGAAGACAAACTGCCATTTCTACCAAGCTTATTCTTTCTTGTGTAATATGACAAAGGTGGTCCTTGGGGTATGCTTTGTTGTGGTTGGTTTTTGTTTATCGTATTGGTAGTTTTTGAGGATGTGATTGAAGAAGTATCATCTACCAAATCAGGAGTTGAAAATCCTCTAGAATCGTATTGATTATGTACCACATTTAATGTATTCTTAATGAATTGATGCCTGGACATGTGTGTAACGATATCAGCGATGTGCAAGTCAGTATTGAGAAGGAGGATTGAGTAGGATATTGCATGTACGACATCTGGACTACGGTAAAGTGGTAGTGGGTTATCATTGAAGAATTTAATAGAGAAAGCTTCTAAAATTCTGTCAATTTGTTGAGTTTCAGCGCGTAAAAAGAGCTTGGACGTGAGTTTACGAAGTGCGTCGTCTAATCTCAGCGAGCAGAAGTCAAATTGTGACATATATGTATATAACGCTTGTTTGTTTGTTGCACCAAGTGAACCTAACCACTCAGCATGCTTTTGTTTTGGTAGGAAGCTTTCATCTTGATTCCAGCACTTTAAACCGAGATCAGAATGAGAGGGTGACGGTGGTAACGGGGGTAAACTTCTATTCTGGTCATTTTTCGTCTGACTATCGTTGTCATTAATCAGTCTAATCGAAGGTGATTGTTGTAACACAGGTGTTGTTGGATCATCATTGCTGAGGTTGAAATTTGAAAGTTTGCGAGTGACTGTCGAATGCGTAGACGTAGGGGTATTTGACCTCTCAAGCTTATCGAGTGATTTCTCCTTAGAAAATGCTAGAGAAGAAATGCGTGGGGATGGCATTGGGCTCGGGATCTTTGGTGAGGGTAAAGGGCTTTTTCTGGCAGGTTCCTGTACAGCTGGAGGGCTGTACCAGGCATGATTGAAAGCGGGCGAGGTAGGTATTCCAACACGCTCCAAACTTATCGACTGGAAGTCAGCGCCAGTCGATTGAGAGTCCAAATAAGCGGATCCTATGGAGGTTGATCTTCTCCTCTCCTGCTTTGGTATCTTTATAGGCGAAGGCGCCTTCCTCCGCTTTGAAACCTTCTTGTTGGTGTCAGTCGTCGTTATCGTAGGCAATGTCTGCCTGGACTCCTCTGTGATAAATTTCGTCTTATTAGAATTCAGCATTTCATCGAAATCTTTATCGTTCGCCATATTTTTATTTCGTTGATGGACGTGCGGACTGAATCACGTTTTGTGAGAACAACGAGGATATGATGAACCTGGAAGACATCAGATTAAAATCTACGACGCCGCCACCAAGGGATAAAGTCAGTCAATGGCACAAGCTCAGCTTTGGCTTTGATAGAAAAGTTGCTTTAATGCTTTTAGTAAGGATAGCATGCTAACAAGACTTTAGGACGCTCCATTACCTCCCGTACCACCATCCAACATACCTAATCCTGCTCCTGAGCTCGTACTTCAACCAGCTTCCGAATCCATCAATCAACAGGTATGTTGAATGAACATCTACTTCACGCGTTTTGACGAAATAAAAAGGCCAGGCCCGTTATAGTGCCTTCTGCACCACCAACCGAGTTTACTAAGCCTTCTAACCCATTTATTCAAGTATGTTTTGCTATTACGTCAACTTTTTTACTAATCCCGTTTAGCACCCACCAGCACCTGAAAACCCAGAATCACCTCTTAATGATGATGGGGATGCCTCTTCTATGGGTACAGAGAGACCTGCGTCTGCTATAGAAAGAGCAAAAGATTTAGACGACGTGCCACCAAGCTTTGACGATATACCTGTTATACCTTCCTCCCCTTCAAAATCCACTCAAATGTTGACTAGAAATTTTACAATTAATGATAAAGACCTCAGGCAATTACTTACTGCTGCAACGGATCAGCGTCAAGATAAGACAGTCAGGGACGCTCTGAAACGCGCGGCTAGAGAACGCATTGAAGTAATCAAGCAGCTTGAAGAGGATAGGCAGATGGAAGAAAGGAAGGCTACAGAACAGGAAATACCTCCATGGGCTCAATCAATGTACGAGTTACTCCACCAGACACATGAGAAACTTGAGACACTTAATATTAAATCACCAGAAGGATCCAGAGTGGGTTCACCCTCACCAATGCCTCAACAAGGTGGCATTCCATTAGAATCTATACATGCTAGGACGTTCTCCGCCGACAATTTCGCCGGTCCTACATCACAGCCTATGCAACACTCAAATCAACCTATGGTACTTCCAGTAGGCGAATACGAACCTTATTCAGCGCCTTACCAAGATCCCTACCCAGTAATACCACCTAGCCATTACACAGAGACGCAGAAAGCAGCATCAACAGTTGCTTTACCTGCAGCCGCACCTGTGGATAGCCCACCAACTGAACCGGCACTCCCGGCTTCTTCTCCACCTGGGGAGGAGCATCATGAGCATCATCACCACGTCCATGAAGTGGGTGACCACGCTGCAACTCCAAAGCCAGTTGAACACGTAGATCATGTCTATATTCATAAAGATGATCCAGGTCATACTACTCACGTAATTCACGAATATGTGCCTTCCCCTCCTATGCCGGTCGCACCACAGACGACGCCGGCTATGGACTACGGTGATGAAAACATCACTATCGAGGGTAGCGTCACACCACACAAAGTGCCACAACCGGAGTCTAGTATCGCACATGATTCAGTATATCACCATATCCACCACACACATGCTCATGACCACGGAATAAATGATTATATAGTACCCGAACAGGAGCATCACCACCACGAACACGACCACGAACACCACCACGACCACAGTCATCACCACCATGGCCATGACCACGTCCACCAACATCATCACCATGACACTGCGCCAAGTGTTGCACCATTTGCAAACCATCCATGGGAAAACATTCGCGATCGTCTAAACGCCTGGGCTGACCTTTGGAGTGCACACGCACCACCTACTCAATTAGAGGTTGCGAGGGAGTCAACTCACCTTACTAAATATGTCTCAATGATCGCCTGTGATATATTCTGCACACAAGTGTACAAACGTTGGGTGAGAACCATAGGCGCGCGTTATCCTCCTGTATCCATAGACAAACTATTCCTCCCTCCATCGTTCTCAGAGGTTCTCAACAACGCAGTTGCTAACGACCCATACGCAAACACTTGTCCAACCTTTAGGAGTTTCTGGAACGAACTCGGGTTCGAAGGAGCACCAAAGCAGCTTCTCACTATCGCTTTGTATAGGACGGACAAATATCATTTCCAAATACTCAAGTTTGATTTAGAAGCGGGTATTTTAACACATTATGACCCATTCGATGCCCCAGCATTGGTCGACCCACGGCCGAAATTCTGGTGGAGAGGTTTACGGGAGGCATTCCCAGAGGCTCGTATACCAGAAGATCACCAGTTACAAGAGAGAGTCGTAGCTATCAATAGAGCAAGACCACAAGAGAGGTCAGACGTCCCACTTGCAGCACTAGCCAGCTGGCGTCATATGCTCGTAAATAAGAAACCAAACAAGGAAACAGATTTGATGGCAGTTAGGACACTCATAGCAGCCGAAATAGAGGGTGTGCAGAAGTTGACTGACAGACGCAACAAGCAAAGAGCGAGAAAGGCGCTACATGTGCATAATTAAACTATAGAAGGGAATAGTTGTATCTAAAATATAATCTAATCTATACATTGTTTTTTTATTCTATCAATTGTTAATGCGAGGTTGCGCGCACTACCTGTGTCTCTATCAAATACAGGCAGAAGCTTTACGATTGTGTTTGCTTCATTCCGCGTACGTTCAGATACGTAAAGGAACCTATCAAGGTGGATGAGCGATTCGAACATATCTCCACAGCGCGCTTTGGCAGTCCAGAATACTTTCATACGCCAATCGATAAGACTCCAGAATTCATCATCGATGTCATCAGCTAATTCAGATGGTTCAAGGCCAAGTTTCTCTGCTGCGCCCTGTCGGTAGGTTTCCCAGGATTTGTAATGTCTGTCGCGGAGTTTGCCCAGTCTGTTTTCACTGAAATGAGGTCTACCCACTCGACGGAGACATTCAGCGAGACGAGACCTGCATAGGAGCTTCCACATGGGGGCTCTAGCCATGTCCCAATACTTTTTAGGTTCATAAGTCCAATGAGCGAGCGTGTGCACCGTCAAGCCAAAATAGTCATATTCCCATTCGAATCGACCCTCAGGGAGTCGCTCTATTTGGCTACGTACTTGCTGCGAGAGGGGGAAATTCTTGGCTGATAGTTGATTATAACAGCAGCTGACGAGTACCAATCCATCGTAGTCGTCAACACCATCGAGGAATGCTTCTATAACTTCGACGGAGAGATCTCCGCATGGGTGCAATCCAATGAGTGTGCTACGCTCATTACCGCGAGCTTCCCACTCACGGTTGACGCGCTCAAGGCTTGCCCTATCGAGGAATGCAACCGCGTGGTCCAATCTCCCAGTTGTGAGACCAATATCGCGCTTGTTGGATGTATACTCAGACCGCTGGACATTGTTTGCATCACTGTCTACTGCCAAAACCTGGAAATCAAATGGTGCCCGACTGAGTGTCCGTGAAAGATAACCCTGTCCGCTACCAACATCTATTAGATTCTTGTGATGTTCGAAATCATTTCCAATGAGTGTTGAGAGCCTCTCGCACTCGTGAATCTTCTTTGGTGTCATACCGAGATTATTTACGCTACCACATTTCAAGTTTATCCGCTTTGTCGTTGGCCTCTCGTAGTTTTTGTATTCCCTAGGTAAACCAAGTCTGTTACATTTCCGTATATGATTTTGTAGACTATTTGGCCATTCTTCGCGTATAATACCGATTGCAATCGAACGTATTTGCTCGTCTTTCCATTCATCACTCTCGTCGTTGTGTTTCTCCGCCCAATTCATCCACTCTGAAAAGGCTTCTTCATTTGACCACTCTCTCTGCATCAATCTAGGGCTATCTAAAGGGTGTCAGAGTTGCTTAAAGAACTTACGGTGGGCACTCACTAGTGTGTGTATTAACTAAAGATTTGACGTATTCATCGCTGACGAATTCTAACAAATCATCCAAGTATTTCTCTATATTACCCTCATATTCTGCTGGTATATCCATTTCCGCTTATCGTAGAGAGAAGACAACAAGAAGATAAATAAAAATATTACAATTATGCAGATTTTGCCGCTATATCAAGGGATAATTTAAATGATGCAATTAATGCAGATAGCTGTATAGTCTCAGACGAACCCTTCGATAATCTATGTTCAACTTCAGCGAGTAATTCTAAGATTGCAACTTTCGTAGCTGTAGGGAACTCTATTGTTTGGATATAATCGTATACACCTGTTAGGATATCCTGCAATGCTAATCCATTCTGACGTTTAACTTGATGGATTTTTGAATAACAAGTTGATATTTCGTCTTTGAGGAGTGTATTGACGATATACTCAATGGCTTCTGGTTGAGGAGCTGCAGTGACGTTGTATACATCCTTTATTGATATACGCTCTGGCATACACGCAGTATGACATGCTTGAAGGATGTTCAATGCGCGTCTCATATCACCCTTTGTTAAATTGAGTAACGCTTTCTTTGCGTCATCATCAATCTGTACGGCCTCATTTTCTATAACCTCGACTAGTCTCTTATCAAGGTGTGCATATGGCAATGGAGAGAACCTGAAACGGGTACAGCGTGACATGATAGCTGGGGTAATCTTATTGACGTAGTTACAGATTATACAGAAGCGTGTTGTTGGTGTATAATGTTCGATAATCCGACGTAGAGCACCTTGTGCTTGCTGGGTCATAAGATCAGCTTCATCGAGGATGATTAATTTGAAACCATCTGAGAACAATGTACGCGTTTGTGCAAAAGACTTTATTTGATCGCGCACGACGTCAATTCCTCTGTCGTCAGATGCGTTCAATTCCAAGACATTGCGTTTCCAGTTACCGCCGTAGATTTTCTTAGCGATAGCGAGGATAGTTGAGGTTTTACCGGTACCTGTGGTATTGTGAGAGTTGTTTTTACATGGAGATTCTAGATATACCAGGAGGACCATAGAAGAGAAGGTGTGGTAGACGTTGCTTTTGTATGAATTGATTTACTAGTTGAGGTATTAGGTTGCATTATTTGATCATAACAAAAACCCACTCGTTTGTATAATTTCAGTATGTGATACGACGTCGTCTAACTCGTTTGGTCTGTACTTTTCAACCCTTTGAGTCTTTAAGAATGGAGTACAATTTCTAAGACATTACAAACCAAGGTAAATCAGATTTATGACTGTCTATTTCCATTTTCTCAACCATTCTCTCTCCTTGGAAGTCAACGATTAAGACGCGTAATTTCAAAATGGAGGTTGACAAAGTTAAAATATCACAAAGAGTTATAAATTTATTAAAGAACTTATCCTCAAAAGCGTTATCAGAGACTGCGATTGATTTGATTGATGATAGCAAATCACCGAAACCACGGGGGAATATAACGGATTTATTAGAGAAATACAATATTCATAGAGCTAAACAAACACAAAAAACCCAATTAACGCGTGAATTAACTGCAGACTTCGTGAGTTTTTTTCTATTTTCATACACTCACCGTTAATAGAAATTAGCCATTAGGTTTTACTTATAGACAATTAGCGATCATTTATTTCAATATTTTTAAGGAGAAGCCATTATTACTTGAATGGAAATGCTACAAACTGACTAACTCGAAATCACCATCAATACATGAATTTACAGAGGTTTTCATCAATACACTTAGTGTAACGCAATCTTTTGGACTTTATCAGACATTTGTGCCTACATCAATCATACCGTCGCAATCAGAATATGGTATCGAAGGTACTACTATTTTCACTTTAATTTTTACGTCAATGCAACCTGAGACTTTACCACCTTCTAACCACAGAATTATGTTTATTCCACTTCTAAAGGCCGGCAAAATCCTTATGACCTCCCTTAATCAATCTTTCAAGCCATTTTTCGATAGAGCGCTATTGAATGCATTCGGTCACGCCGAAGGACTTCAATATACCAATTTACGCGACACAAACGTAGGCGCACTTAAAAGCCTTACCCTGGATCCTAAATCTCAAGGTATTTGGAAGAGGTTGACCAATCATTGCGTGAATATTCCAAATCCACTCGAAGAAGCACCTGATAGGATAGACGAAGACCCACTTATAGCAGACCACGAATTGAAACCACCCTCACTTGGTGAAAAATACGACGGTATTATCGTACAATCAGAAGAACGCAACCAAGAAATGCTTAGAAGACAAAGAGAAGCATTGGATCTTTGGGGTGATGGGGACGATTTACCACAGATCTCCAGCTTATCATTTAATGTCCAAATGCCATGGAAAATAAAAGACGAGAAAGGTACTCTCGATTGTAGTTTGAGTTTCCACGGCAAGAATGTTTATGCAGGTCTGAGACAATGGGAGCTCGAAGGAAAAACAACCGAAGCTGGTTTGCCTGGATGGCTAACACAGTCAATGGAATGTGGACAAACTGAGAATCTTCTGGTTAAAACATCACGAAAATCCAATAAATGGACTTACGTATTCGAAGATGAGGAGGACTACGACAACATCTATGGTCCTTTATTAGATAGTGACACCGAGGATGAAGGAACTAGTCAACATAAAAGACGGAGAGATAAGGATTTAGAAGAGAGCAGAAAGAAATCTAAGCAAATAGAAGATCTCCAACAGGAGAGGGAGCAAGAAAGAATAAAATCCAAATACGAGAACCCACAGCGACCAATACAGTCAGGACGTGATGATAACATTCAACGTGCATACCAGATATTTGCTAGAGAAACACCATTGAAATTAAAAAAAGCTAGAGAGGAAATGCAAAAGCAACCACGACCACCACGGCGACCATCATTTAGATCATCTTCTGAATAATTTACGCGTTAATAAACAATCTAATTGCACTATAGTATCAATCGGAGAACTTGTTGTAAAATTATGCATACATATCAGTTAAACATTAAAAATTCCTAAATGCAATTAATGTGAAAGTTTTATCCGGAAAGACGTTCATTCATTGCTTCAATATCACGTTGTTGTTGTGGCGTTGGCTCAACGTTGTTACCACCTTTGTTTACTTGAGCAGTGGCTTGTGCATCCGCATACTTGTCTTCGTGAGTTCTATCGTCAAGGGGACCAGGTTGATCAGTAGTGGATGAAGTAGTTCCAGCAATTCCTGCTGCACGTTGGCCCATCGCTCTGTCATTCAAGCCTTCAGTTGGAATTCCATGTCCTGCTGGGTCGACTGTTTGATAAGCTTTCTTGAATTCTTGTGGCATTTTTTTTTATAAAACGTTAAATGTAAAGTAAGAAGTTTATCTTTTCCCGAATTTATAGCAGCACTCCAATGGATATGTCGAGATGGGTTTTATGTCATTCTGAATCAGACATCGAAACAAATGATGATGACATCGAATGTGATGATTATATGCATGTCGATATAAATTAGATTACATATGGTTTTGAATTGACTACTGACATTGCTATAACTATAACCGCGAAAGGATTATGTAATGGAATGCATGATACTCCAATGATGAGTATAATGGGTATGTCTGAAAGGAATCTATTCAAAAATATACCTACTGTTGCCTCTCAATTAGATAGCTTTTGAGATCTTTCCATCCACCGCCAACTCTAACCATAACTTTCTGTCTGTTAGGTTCACCATTCAGTTGAGCTTTCCTAGTAGCTTTCAACTCAAGTAGTTTACATACAACAACTTTCCTATTATGCGTCGTTTCAAATGCATATTGTGCTTGTATATTTGAAGATGAATCTGGCGCAGGCTTCTTCGTAAGTGGAGGGTCAACCCTCTCAATACCGATACCTAATCCATTTTCATTGTATATTTTTGCGACTTGGATATCTAAAGGATCTTTACTGTTCGGATGGTATGTCGCTAAATCGTTTATAGTTGAAGTACTAATATTGGATGATCTACCGGATATAATCCTCCTTGTACGTGGAATTGGCTCGTTGGAGGCACCCCAGAAAGGTCTAGCTGTTGCTCTCAACTGAGGTTCTGGTGTCATTAGATTTCTACTACCTATATCTGCAAACAAGTGAGAAGAAGACCGCTTTGTCCGTGGTATGCGTGAAGGTGTAGATGCATTCGAAGGCGTTGGACTGTAAGAGCGCGAAGTGGGTGTAGAAGGACGTGGTAACTTTGAAGTGAATGATAAACTAGAAGAAGGTCTCGACGAAGGTGATTTTGATGGTGTAGAGTCAATATTTAATAATTGTAGATTATTTGATAGGCTATTGACATCTTGCATCCGTTGCAACTTAGAATCCAAGTCTAATAATTGATTATCCAACTCTTTCCACCTCTTCTGTAAATCGGCGTGATCCCTCAAACAATGACCATTTGAGTGTTGATTGATGTACTTTGTTAAAGTGTTTAAAACTCTCTGTATTGAAGGGGTATAGTAATTTAATTTAATTTTGAAAGAATTGTAGATGTTCTTGAAATCAGACTGATCGTTTAGGAGTTCCTTTGTGTAGTTGTATGACTTGTCTAGACTATTTAACATGAATTTACATTGATTTGAGGTAGATTGATAGATGATTAACCAATTTTTATCATTTATATCATATCTCAGCTGCTCTATTTCGTTTACCAACTCAATTGGCGTTTTATCGTCGACGATATCGTCGATATCATGTAGTTTATCCTCTATTAGAGTGTTCTCTGTATTCGAGTGTATCAACTCTAATGAAGTTGTTAGAAATGCAAACAAAAGTTAGTAAACTGACCTTGCAACTCGAATAGTCTGAATTCAATCTCCTCTACCGTCGTCATCATTATGGTTAAAATACAACAATTCATTATATTCAACAAAGATAAAGAATTAAAATTAAATTTTATTCTCCAGCCGAACTTCAACTTTGGTCTCTACCTCGGTTTGTTAGATTTTATAAGGAATTTCAATTCAACTGCCGTTGAAGAGTTAGTGACTGATAAGAGAATAAATTACTTTAGAACGCTAGAAGAGCGTGATTTATTTTTCAATATCGTTTGTTTCGCTTTCTGTTATCAGCCAACGCTCACCCGTTCTTCAGGTTATACCCTCAGATAGCTCAATATCACAACAATCGCAAGTAAAGCATCTCATAGACAGCCTCGATAGTCCATCGCTGAAAGATACCAATTGGAGTGATCTATATCAACAAATATCATTAATCTAATCGTTGTACATTAACCCATTCATTCAGTTTATTCAACTGTATCGTGAAGTCGCTCAAGATATTCTCACTTAGCTGCTTTATTGATAGTTTACTCTTGTTTTCAAGCCTTTGTATTATATCTTTTGCCCTTTCCGTTCTCTCTTCTTCACCTTTAATTGAAATCAACATTGTCTTCATAGAACGTGTCTTTCTCGACGATTCATTCAAGCTTGCTGTGGATATTTGTGAAATTTCGGTTATGCTAGTGAGTGATTCTTGTATGTAATCATCGACTAGTCCTTCTAGTGAGGGTATACTACTTTTTTCACTTTTCTCTGTCTTCTCTGCACTATCTTCTTCATCCTCTGGTATAATATCTAATTGATGATTTTCATCATCATCTAGAGCGTCTAGATTACTTAACGTCCAATCATCCTCTTTACTTAACTCCTTATCTAATTCCCATAGTTGTCTGGATTGGTCGTCGCGTATTTTTGCTGTTTCTACTAGCCTTTTGACTATAACCGTAGCTGTTGATTCTAATAACGGTAATCCACTATCGATGTCTTTTAACTTTTTGAGAAATCCTGCATTCATTTCTATACCATTGTTGAGTTCTTTATTGTATTCGTCTAACTTATCACTATCTATAACATCCCGACTCTCATCTGAGCTATCACTCAAATCGTTATCTTCAACAACATTCACAGTTGCAATATCTGAACTCTCTGCAGGCTTTTCTTCTTGCTCTGGTATATCTTGAGTACTGCTACCACCAAATGCAGCTGCTAATTCAAACGCTAGTGAGTTTCCTGATTGCATTTGATTCACCGATTCCATACGATGTGATTCCTCAAGCAAATTTCCTTGGCTGCCTTCACCAAGATCGACCATGAATGGGTCTGGTCCGTCTTCGTACTCCTCTGCCATTTTTATCCCCTCGTGGTGGTTCGAGCTTGAGTGTATGTGCACAGGAGAACTCAAAATGACGATATAGTCGTTTATTGTAATATAAATATACCTTTAATTCTTAGTTCTTTATTTTTATTTACTTTTTTCACTATCAAACCATCACAAAATATCAAATCATTATATAACAAAAAAAACCTTAAGAAATTGCTCTGCATTATACAAACACCCAATGTCCAGATTCTCTCAACTTGCTATTGAGTTCATTAGTTGGGAAATCCTTACTGAATACACTGGTGAATGGCCCAACACTTTCCTCTTCATTTGTCGACTGTGTGTTCTTCTCTAAATTGTATTCTTCAATCAAATAACCCAATCCAGATCCACCAACGGTTGTTAAGTATGTGTCGAACCCTGCTTGTTGAAGTTTTTGAAGTGCATCACCTAGCTCTTTTTCATCATAATCATCTGGGATAAGTGTGACGGTGCAACCACCACCACCAGCTCCAGTTAATTTCGTCTTCAAATTGTATGCTTGCAGTTTCGATATAATTATTTCAAGTGTTGGATGACTAACACCAAGTCTGTCGAGATGACCATGGTTGGTTCTCACAAGCTCACTCAATCCATTGAGTAATACGTTTCTATTGAGATCTTTATCATTGAAACAACGAACGGCTTCATCAACTATACCCTGTATTCCATCCATAACACCTTTCACTACTTCTGGTTCCTCCTGTTTAAGTTTAGCTACGCCTGCTATTAGTTTCTTGGCATCCCTATCAACGTTTGAATTTGTCAGGAGAAGTTTCATACTCTTGAATCCATTGAGGTTTATCATCGCCTGATCCCTGACGCGAGAGTATGAGATTGCACCACCAAATACAGAAACGCTATTGTCAATACCAGATGGCGTACCATGAAGAATCTTTTCTGAAACGAATGACCACTTGTTGACGTACTTTGCTATATCATCATTGATGAACCTTCTACCATCATGGGAAATATGAGTAGCGTTATGTGTGTGCTCAATTGCGACTTTCTTTGCTAAAATCAAGAGAGCAGTTGATACACAAGTTGAGTAAGCTGCTGATGATCCCAAACCCGCACCAATTGGAATGTCAGAGCGTGCACTAAATGACACAGCTCGACGATCATTGTAGCAAATTGACATATAGTGATGGAAGAAAGATATGATAGCTCCCCGAGCTTTGCTGTTGAATTTCTCCGCTGGGAAGTGGTTCTCGAGAGCTGCAACGAGCTCGTGGTCAATATCAAGGATATCATCATGAGCATTCTTTACAGCTTTCCAAGGTAATGCTTCAATTTCCAAGGTAACGTCTGTGTCGAGATCTGGGAACGAAATACTCAATGAATTGTCTGAGCGTGGAGATAAGCATCCATAACAGCGGAGATCTAGTGATGATGCTATTGCAGTCTACATCAATGTTAGCGGAGTTGACTTGTAAATGGTAAAATACTTACAACACCATAGACGACAGCATGTTCACCAAAAAGAATAACCTTTCCGGGTGCTGAAACGACAATGTTTCCACCTTCTTTCTTGGTCTCTGCGGTTGATGCTGCTTTGACAGTTGGTTGTTCCTCAAACATTGAGCATTTCTCCCAAGCCATTGCACGCTCTTCACCGATGCGTTCGAGAGATCCAATTTCAGAACTCCAGTTTTCTTCAGCTGGAGTGAATCTTGTTCTGATTGCACCTGATTGCACGAGACTGTTTTCAAGATCATCTATCAAATCTTCGTAATCTTCAATACCAACACAGAGTCTAATCAAATCTTCAGGAAGACCCCTTTCAGCTCTAAGATGAGCAGGAATTGAAGCATGAGACATCAAGCAAGGCATTGAAATTAATGAATTGACAGCACCGAATGATACTGAAATACCCCATAATTTAGCACTTCCTACTATCCTTTCACTTGTCTTTATATCTTTGGTTTCAAATGATAAGACTGCACCTGCACCTCTGGCTAATTTGAAATGTGTGTCATGACCAGGGTGATTTGAAAGCCCTGGATAATGGACAACAAAGCCGAGTTTATTGAGGAATGAAGCAACTATACGCGCAGTGGCTTGCTGTCTGTCCATTCTAATAGCAAGAGTTTTCAATCCTCTCAGCAATAAGAAAGAATCGAATGGACTTAATCCATTTCCAACAGAGTTTATAGTGAATCCCATATGCTAAGTTGATGTTAGAAAAGAACTAATCAATTATTATACTCACTTTTGCTAAATCATCCCTGTTACAGACGACTACACCAGCCATGAGATCATGATGACCGGATAAATACTTTGTCGCACTATCGTATACGATATCGGCACCAAAGTCAAGTGGGCGCTGAAGATAGGGACTCATCATGGTGTTATCAACGACAATTATTGCATCAGGACAGCTAGCTTTGACTCTATCGGCAACATCCTTGACATCACATATCTTGATAAGAGGGTTTGTTGGGGTTTCGAGAAGAACCAATCTTGTTGTGTCCTTATTTAGATATTGCTCTACTGTGCTTGGTGTGCATGTATCGATGTGGTGGACGATCACACCTGCATTTGACTTGAGGTATCCTAACAACCTGTTAGTACCACCATAAAGATCATCACCAGCTATAACTTCATCGCCAGGTTTAAGAATACGTGCGATAATGTCTAATGCTGCCATACCACTCGATACGGCGAATGCATGTTTTGCTGAGCTGATCTTTGCTAAATGGTGCTCTAAGTGAGTTCGTGTTGGATTTCCAGAACGTGAGTAATCGTATTCACCGTTCATACCCTTAAAAGTAGCCGATTGATAAATTGGTACGGAAGAACTATTGTATTGGTCCTTCCCTGCATTCGGATTGTCGATAGTAACGCATTCTGTAGAGAATCTGTACTTCTTAGTCGAAGACATTGATGGACTGACGGAACGTGATGGCTGTACAGATGTAGGGAGCGTTGCTACTGAGCTGCTCAAATCACCTTCCATGATGGTCTGAGTTGAAGGTGTGATCATTAACGAGTTGAAACATTTTCAAGCGATTTTGAGTAGAGAGTAGTAGTTTATCTAACATATCCTTTAATTACTCTAAGAACTCACTCTGCCCCCTATGACTCAACTGATAACAAACGCAAAGTATCGGTATTATTAATAAAAAGTATGCATTTATCATTATATTATTTTACTCCTTTTGAGCTAATTGATTCATTATACGTTCGTTAACAGACTTTAAATCTGTGTTCAATGTTTCGGACTCTTTGAGTTTTCCCTCGAGTTCTTTGATGCCTGGGGTTCTTCTTTAGTCTTTATAAGCTTACTATAGAAATTACTTACGAGGATCTTCGGCAGGTGTAGCGTTCTTGATTTCCTCATTCTCTCTAGAGAGGTTGTCGAGCTGTTCTTTTACTAGGAGATGTCAATTGGGGTATGATATAACTGGTACACTAACATTGAGTCAATTGCACATCCTTCTGCTTACTGCTTTCTTCTATTTCTGCTCTATCGTCGGTAAGCTTGCGCAACTCTTCAATTTTGCTCTTCAACTCGGCGTTTTCAACTTGTGCCGAGTCGTTGACTGTACGAGCATGTGCTTCGAGTTCGTCTACACGCTTGTTAGCCTCCTCGAGCTGAGTGGTAGCTTCGGTTAAGCTCTTCTGAGCACTTTCGTGGCTTTCACGCAAACTGGCGAGCTCCTCTTCTTGTTTGGCAGCTTGGGCAGCCTTCTCAGATTGTGAACTAGCTTCAGCTTCTTGCTTGTTCAATTGCTCAGTTTTTATGGATGCCAATTCATTCTGCAGGCGCTATTTTGTGTTAGATTAATCAGACTCTTGTGATTTACCCACTTGAATTTCTTGATTAGACTGCTCAGCATGTTCCGCCTTCTTGTTGGATTCCTCAAGGGATGATTTAGCAGATTCGAGCTCTTCATTGAGACGCTGTGATGATTTAATAATACGGCAATATAACAAAGAAGACAAACCTTCAACTCCTCGGCATTAGCAGAGGCCAACTTCTCTTGATCGCCCGCTTGGGTCTTAAGAAGCTCGATCTCTTTGTTGAGACCTTCAACAAGAGCCTTGTTCTCGTCAAGTTGTTTGACAACTACGTCATGATTGTCTTGAACTTCCTTCTGATCTCCTTTATGTCCTGCAAGCTGTTGCTCTAGCTCAGTAATGTGTGCTTTGAGTTTTGCAACTTCAGCATCATCCTTTGGAGGTGCGCCAGGTGCCGCAGGTCTTCTAACGACGCGTGGAACTGGCGGTTTGTTCTCTTTGACATTAACGGATGGGCGTGTAGTACCGATAGTTGTCCTGCGGGTTGCAGCACCAGTGGTTGGAGTTGGACGACTGGTCGTACCGGCGGTTGGGGCTCCTGCTGGACGAGTAGTCGCTGGTCTGGAGACAGATGTACGTGAAGCATGACCTGGACGTGCAGCACCATTAGCTGGTGCCGTACGAGTAGTTGCTGCTGGTCTGGTAGTAGATGTCGTTGTTCTTGTAGCTGTTGTCGCGCCTGCTGGTCTGCGTGCAGGTGGGGCTTTTCCGTCTCCAGCTGGTGCAGAAGCGCGTACAACGCGCTTGACAACCCTTTTCACAGTTTGCGGCTTCTCTTGTGCTGATTCTTCGGTATTTTGCTCAGCTGGTGTTGTCTTTTTATCATCTGAGTTTGCGTTTACGGTATTTTCTGCAGTCTCTGCAGTTTGTGTTTCTGTTGGTTCTGAAATAACCTTCTCGGATGAATCTACCGCGTCTGTCTCTGCATTCTCTGCAGGTTGTGAACTCTCTACGGGAGGATCTACTGGAGCCTCGACTGTAATTTCTTCTTCTTTGTTGATTGTCTCAACTTCTGTCTTTATTTCTGGTTGCTGTACGTCGACGTCTGCCATTTTTTCTCGTTTTGATTTTCGTCGTAGAAGTCAAAGCGAGCGGAAGTCAAAACGGTGATGGAATGACTGTGAGTGAATGTATAGACACTAGTAAGCAATCTAAAAGCTCCACAGTTGCTCACAGCGCATGCTTCAGAAATACGCTCTCTCCACGCTGTTCTCAAATCGATTGGCTTTTCAAAGGTACGCGCTTGAGAATGTGTACACAATAGCTCACAGTGTGTCCAGACAGCTATTCTGCATATTAGAGAAGCGGGGCTGCAACTCTCCGTAGAGGTTGGACTCGAAATGGTTGCTAATGCCTACATACCGTCATCATACTTTGATGAATACACGTACAACAGCGACGAAGAATCAATTAGTATGGAAATTTCTATCAGTTCGTTGATAGAGACTATGAATATCTATGGTACAGCTACTTTCACGTCCGATTTACATTCTTCTGAACAGGGTGGTTTAATTGGTACGACTCAGCTAAAGTTGAGCTACGAAGGGTATGGTTACCCATTGGTATTAGATATGTGAGTATGTTGTATACTTCTGTATACATGATCTTAGACCACGCAGAATCACACCACCATTGGATCAACAGGATGGTAGCATATGGGCACCGATGACAACGGTAGAGCTCAAAACATACGATAGAGATGACAGGGATATTCTTCCCTTTGATCATGAGAACCTGTGAGTCGTTTTCTGGTTAAACTGACGTCATATAATTGACCAGCCACTCAGACAAATGAAAGTTATCATGCACTCAGGCTGGCTCTTAGATGCGCTGTCGGCTCTCGACCCCCATGTTCAGGTTTTAACCTTGACGTCTCCAGCTGATGCTAGTAGGAATGCAGCTGCACTCAGATTGTCGGCAATATCAGAAACAGCTTCGCTAGAATTCGACTTCCCGGAGACTGAAATGGCTGCCACACGTGAGGATGGACCTATTGACAGTATATCCAGATGGATAGACGGTATCGTCAGCGAGAAATACAAAGCAAGTCACCTCATGCACGCCTTGAAGGCTATACAGGCGTCTCACAAAACATCCCTTCGTATAAATGACGATGGTGTGCTTAGTTTACAAGCCATGGTTCTTGACGCCCACAAAAAGCAGGCGTTTGTCGATTTCGTCGTGAGTGTGTCTTCTCTTTAGTAACAAACTAACCCTAGACAGTGCAGACCAGTGGAAGCTGATGAGGATGACTTTTAATAACGCGTTATTGTAGCACTAATTGTATTATACTTCTTATTCCATTACCACCATGTCAGAGAATAGATGCTGGATATGTTTAGTGGACAAAACAGCGGAAGATGACCCCACTGAGTGGTCTACACCGTGTAGCTGCTCTTTGATTGCACACAAGGATGTTAGTCCATTGCATTTATAACGGTCTCGTGCTAACAACATAAAGTGTCTTTTAGTTTGGGTGCAGTCGAAGCTAACGGACGATCCAGAGTCACCCGTATCCTGTCCACAATGCGGTGAACACTATACTATCGCTACAAAATCACCTGCTCTTCTGCGTCCGATGCGAATAGCAGATAAGCTCATCAGGAGAGTATCTCCACTAGCGACTTTCGCAGGTGGGTATTTCACCCAATCAAAATCATTGACTAATAAATTACAAAGGGTTAGGCGTTGGATTATCGGGTGTCGGTGCTTTGTACGGTGCAGCCGTAACTCGTGCAGTTCTGGGGCCACTGGCGGCAGGACAGCTACTAAACAAGCCCACATGGTCATGGACTACGTGGTCTAGTCTCTCAATTGTCCCTTGGGCTATCATGTTCTACAATTCCGAATTCCCGGACAAATTCCCAGCAACGTACTTCTTTGTGATACCTTATTCCTACTTTTTCCCACTCAATCCAGTCAACGTTAGCTGGCCACCGTCCCCATTGTTGACACTAGCATGTGTGCCACCAGTTAGAGCATTATATGGGGCTTTGAGGACACGATTGAATGATTATTTCTTAACATCAAGGGATTCATCCGCTAGAGGTCCCCGTAGGGAGACATTTAGCATAGCTGGCGCTGAATTTCAGCTACAGTACGGAGTCGCAGACGAGGATGGCAATGTCGCGAACAACAACAATGAAGAAGAAGACGTACAGTTTAGATATAAGCTCACTTTATCAACCATTTGTAGATACTTGACAACAACACTAGCTTGGCCATTTGCTAGTAGGTTACTTTCAGATTTGCTACTCAATTTCCGCTTTTTACATCCTTTATTCGGTTACAGTCAGAAATTAGTATCACGTTCAACTATAATTCCATTATGTTTACGTCAATCACAAAATTGGGAATTCGCAAATGATCCAGTATGGTTGAGAACAGCTATCGCAGCTGCATTTATTACATTTGCTGCCGATGCTACAAAGATCTTGTTCACAAAGTTAGAACTGTTCGAAAAACAGAGTAGATCAGTCGAGAATAAGAAAATCACAAAACCATAAGATGGTAAACAAAGGATATTTATTAAGGTTTTCATTTTTCATCATGCATGCAACATCATCGAATTTATGAACTATCTAAGCAATTCAATTTCTGTTTCTGATATCGTAAATGATTCTTCCTGGAATTCTCCCACCTGATGTCTTCTTGCTTGGTGTTTTGGTAAGTAGTAGACATCTGATTTACAATTGTCTCTTGCTGCTGGTTCTCTAGGTATGAGTTTACCTGAGCTGTGCGGAGTTTTAAAAATGAATCAACGTAAAAGTCGACAATACCCACAGGAGTGGTCCGACGAGGTTGTACGAGTACCAGACTTCGTGAATCTTATCACCACCACCATCACAATGGATTGTAGGTTCATGTCCCTATTTGATGTTAAGTCAGACTATAAGGGAGTTATAACACCTACAAATTCCTCCTTTAATGCCCTTTTTATATCTGCGAATTTGTATTTCCTAGTAGACGAAGGAACAATACCTTTCTTCTCCAGAAATCTGTATGTAGGCAATCCCTTATACGTTTCTACAATCTTCTTGAAGTAGTCTACCAATACATTAACAGAGGTACCGTTGTCCGTACGACAGGAAGGCTTAAGAGTTGAATAACAAGTACCATGTTTGTTGTACTCGTGTTGCCAGAAATAATCATTGTGACCTCTATTATCAAGCCAGAATTCATTCATTTCATTATAGAGTTCAGTTTCACCAGCCGCTAAGATAGATGTTGATATGTTATGTAACATCATACTCTTATCGCAGAACTGAGAGTATGAGCCATCGCAGTGATCTGACCATAACCCATGCAATGTCCAAGTGTCTTCTCTACCTTCGTATGGCGAATAATGCTGAATGTCGTTTGTCAGCTGACGATGTCATCGATATTGATAAAGGCGCTCACCCAATCCCAGAACTGACTGAATAGATAGTTAGGTGATAGTCATATTTATGTATTTATTTACTTACGTTAACAGTATAATACCGTTCGTTTCCGTACAGCATCCGTTATCAACGTGGCTGGATGAGCAACTAACGGGCAAATCCTTTGGACATTGGTTAATGTCCTTGTTCTCTGGTACCCTCAATACCCTAGCTGAAGCTATTCCGAACAATAATGCGTATATTTCTAATTTCATTTGACTGTTTTGATTAATTCAGTTTAGATAAGGGGTGCCGATAACTGACAGCTCAAAATAAAAATGCATATCGTACAAGTGCTTTATTTATTATTCCACCAGGCTAGCATACCTCTGTAGACGTTATGCATGTACATACTCCATGGTCTCCAGTTGTACTTTGTAAGAATCGCAGCTATACCGACGAGTCCACCACCGACTGTTAAGGTCAAGGAGAGCAGATGAAGCATACTCCTGCTGCTTGATCTTCCACTTAGAGGGAGCGCTTGACGAGGGTTACTGGCTACACTGCACAATGTCTGGAATATACCAGCCGTTTGGTTCGTCTTGATGCTGACAGCTATGGGTACTGGGAGGTTAAGGCGTCTGCAGTAAACGTCTGGCTGCACCTCATGTCGCTGTTTTTGTCAACTCAGTTATTCTACGAAGACTTTTGACGTACCTGTTGCGCAAGATCAAGGTCGGATTTCGTAGCTACATATACAGATGGTATACCATCTAAATTGTAGTTTTGATGTAGGTTGCTCAGATAGCTGAAAGAGTTAGCATCTGAGCAATCGTAAACCAAAACAATGACGTCAGCCAATTGCAATTTCTTGCTGTTCTTTAGGGTGGTCGCTTCAAATTCTTGACATACGAGGTACTTCTCAGCTCCGCCCTCCACTTCAACAGAGTTAACGACACTCAGGACACCATTCGTTGATGTGTGCGTTCCATTAAATTGCTTGTTAAGCAACGACCTGAGCAAGCTTGTTTTTCCTGATCCAGGAGCACCTAAGACGTATGCCAAGAATACATTGCGCTGTACCTTGCCTACTTCTCCTTTCCTCCTTCTGCGTGGTGGTGTTGTCTTCAACGCACTCGTTGAATCCTGTACCGGCGCATTGGATGATGGTTCATAACCCAGGTAGGCCAAATATGCCAGTGTTGTTTTGTGATCAAGAAGAGTTGTCATGCTTAGTAGATTATGTAAGAGAGGGAACCGGGCGTAGTATAGACGTACCTCCATTGCGCAAGCCAACCTTGTAATGTTACTGCACCTTTCTCGTCTGTAAGAGTCGTATCTGGGAAACCCTTATTCATCCATGGATTTCCTGGCGAAGTCAAAAAGAGATCGCTCAATTCATTTTCCGATAACGCGCCATCTTTATCCTAATAAGTTGTAAGTTGGTGTGGACTGAGCTAAATGATACGCACTATGTCAAATTTCTCGAATATTTCTGTGAAGAATGAGTATCCATCTGGAGACAATTCAACGGATGAATCTGCATTGACGTCGAACCTTGAATGTATATTAGAAAGAACATCTGTATCAGAACCACTCACTTTGGATAAAGGAATTCTTCCTTCAATCTCAGATCTTGAGCGTAACCGAATTTTCTCAAGACAGTCCAAGTGGTTTCAAGTCTGCCCCTTTGGATGAAAATAGTATGCAAAAGGATGAAGCCAAGTTCTGTAAGTGCAAGTGTGCCATTGGATACTTTTGACACTGTTTGGTTTGAGTGCTGGCTGACTAATTCCATGATGGCATCCAATTCGGACTGTTTAAGGGGCGTACCGAAACATTTCAATTGAAAGCGATTAAGCTCAGTAGAGTCCAGTAGGTTATCTTTGTTAGTATCACATAGTCTGAATATCCTAGATAGTGCTGATGCGGACGCTGGTTTGAGCGTGTGCTGTCTCGAATCATAGAGTGGTGCAGTAGGGTGAAGTACAGCTCTCTGAGCAAAATAGAAGATTTCGTTGATATTTGTTTTTGTCTTAGCTGATGCTTCTACGCAAGTTTCGATTTCCTGAAGGAATTAGTCGAGTGAATGAAGAAGGAAGACATCAACGAACCTTGAATTCCTTCATTATGGGTATAATATCGGTATCAAACGAATAGTCAGGGTTTGGAGAGTCTAACTTATTACCTATAAGGATGATAGGATTGTTTATACCGTTTGACTTGAAGTAACTGAGCCACTCCCGTATATTCGAGTGCGTCTGGCTATCGCTTATCGAGTAAACCAAACAAATAACATTAGATTTCTTTATCTCCCGCAGTAGATTGTCCTCATTTGTGTCTATTATGTGCAAGTTGTAGTCCAACTCTATGACGACTTCAGGTAAACACGGCTGGATTGATTCGATGAACTGATTTTTAATTAAATTCGTTATTATCGTCGATTTACCAACGCCTTGGTCTCCGCAAAGGACGCATCTTATCTCTTTCATCTCGACCTTGATGAGTGAGTGGAATAGAAGAGTGACTGCAGTAATTTACTTTTAAATACAACAGGTTATATACAGAAACTGCTTATTAGGGGTGTTAGATCATTTGATGATAAATCAAACGAAGTTATCCAGTTCGATAAACCTATCACTATCATTTGTGGTCATAATGGCAGTGGAAAGACTACAATCATAGAATGCCTGAAATATTCCACCACTGGTTACCTCCCTCCGAACTCAAAAGGTGGTGCTTTCATCCACGATCCAAAGTTAGCAGGTGAAATGGAAGTTAAAGCACAGGTCAAGCTCCGTTTTACGTCAACAAGTAAACAAACACTAACTGTTACGCGTAACCTTCAAGCAACCCAGAAGAAGACGTCCGGTTTGACTTCAAAAACATTAGAAGCAACACTTCAGGCGATCGATCCAGTTACGAATAAAAAGAACGCTATATCATCTAAATGCGCAGCTATTGATAATGACTTACCACTCTTTATTGGTGCTAGTAAAGCAGTTCTTGATAACGTTATCTTTTGTCATCAAGAAGACTCAAATTGGCCGCTGTCTGAACCATCAGTTTTGAAGAAGAAGTTTGATGATATTTTTGAAGCTACCCGATTCACGAAAGCTTTAGATAATATCAGGTCGATCAGAAAAGAAAGAACTATCGACTTGAAAGTTCAATCGGAAAAGTTAAAAGCACTGACATCTGACAAGGAAAGAGCCAATAGACTGAAAGAACAAATGAACAAACTTTCTAATGACATTGATCAGAAACAGCTCCAATATGAGGAGCTTGGGATTGAAATTGATACCCTCTCACATGCAAATCGCGAATTATATGAGTCAGCTTCAAAGTTGACTGAGATTTTCTCAAAAGTTGAGACACTTGAACAACGTGAGAATATCATTCAAGATAACATAGCTTCTTTGAAAGTTTCAATGACTTTGCTTCATGATTCTGATCAAGATCTACAAATACGTCAGTCAAATTTCAAAGCACATTTGGATGAGCAAGTACGTCTAAAAGATAGTGAAACGAACTTATATCACTCTCAAGTTGAACAAACTTCGCTGATCAATCGCCGCCTACAGTCACTTCTTACGACTAGAGGTCAGTTAGAAGCTGAAGCCAACACATATGACAAAGATCTGCGCAATAGGTTCAGTATGATTCAGCGTATCGCCCGTCATATGAATATTCGCTTAGAGATGGACACATACGATAATGAGGAAAGTGCTGCATCTTTCCTTGAAAAGCTTCGTATGAGAGTCAAGAAGAGTCTCCATGATGTCAGTAATATTAGATCTGAAGGCACAGCAAAGCAACGTGATTATGAGCAAGAGATACAAAAGCTTGCTGGAGAACTTGCTGCAAAACAGCAAGCAAAGGTCAGTTTACGTCAGCAAATTGATGAACAGAATATAAAAAAGAGACGCTTACAATCTCAAATCGAAGATTTGAATTCAACCTATTCAAATATCGAAGGTATGAAAACTGATGTTCAAGAAGCACAAAATAGAGTGAACAAACTTAATCATGAAATTGCCTCACAACGTTACGAAGATAAGATATCTGATTTCAAATCATCGATACGCTCACTTGAAGATCGCAAAGATTCAAGAAATTCTGAGATGGCCTCACTTAACCTACAATCTGATGCGAGGGCTCGTTTGGGTATTAAGAAAACGGACCGTGATCGTAAATCAGACAGTATCAAAGGAGCTATTGATTCAAAGAAAGACTTGCTTGATAAATATTTCCATGGAGACTATGATGCCGAGACTCTCGAGTTATCCGTTGGTAGACTTTTCAGAGAGAAAGAGACTGAACTTGATAAGGAAAATACCAATTATAAAAACATCTCAAAGAATCTCAATCAGCTTGAAACAATGTTGAACTCTGAAAAACAGCGCCAAAAGAGCAAGAAAGTTGAGATACAACGTGAGTGTAAACATGTATGACAAATACGTACTAAATTCATACTAAAGACATTGAAAAGCGAATCGATGAAGCTTTAAAATCATCACAGACCGATGCAACGACCCTTGAAGAAGCCATAAAGGTAGCAGAAGCTGAAACAAAAGATTGTCTTACAGAAATTAATGAAGCATCCGGCACAGAAGGATTCTTGAAGAAAGCGCTTGAGATCGCAAAATCCAAACATCGTTGTAGATGCTGCAATAGAGGTATATCAGATGGAAATGAAATGCAACAATTCGAAAACTTCGTAAAATCACGTCTTGATAAACTCAACCCAAGTCAATTGTCTGAAGTAGAGAGTGATATGAACGAATGGCAGAAAATTCTTGAGGGTTTGAAGCTTCTCCTACCAGTTGCGACTAACCTTGAAAGACTCAAGACGGTTGAGGTACCATCACTTGCTGCAGCTGTTGAAGAGTTAGATGTTAAGCAAAAAGATACACAAAATCAAGCTAACGATGTTGAAGCTCGCATAGAAGGTTGTAAGAAAGCCACAATAGAACTCGAATCATTGAAAGTATTAGGTGGCGAAGTTTCTCGTATCTTACGCGAAGCAAAAGATCTTGAAAGGGAAATAAATTCTTTAGAGAGAGATCTAAAGGTATCATCAAATTCTACTCTTACTATTGACGAAATACAAGCAGAATTACAAGATATCACCTCGAAAATGAGATCAATGACTAATGAACTGAATGCATTGCAATCAGATAAAGAGAAGAAAACCAAAACATTATCAAATGAGCAAGAATGTTATCATGAGAAGCAACTAGCTTTAGAGCAATCACGTAATGCTGCAAGAGAGCTTGAATCATCTAAGGAGGCATTGAATGAGCTCGAAAATGAAATCTACAGACTAGGAGAACGTTCACGCCACTTGGATCCTGAAATAGAAGCGCTTAGCGGACCTAAGGATGCATTGGAAGAAGAGAAATCCAAACATCTTTCCGAGGTAGAAAAACAAGAACAAGAGGCTCGCAACAACTTGACTGAACATGAATCATACATTCAACAACTTGTCGCAGCTAACAAAAGCATCAAAGCGTACGTTAAGGGAGACGGTATCAATAAATTGGCAGAAATTGTTGAGCAAATTGCTAATCTGGAAAATGAAGAGCAAGATTCCCGTCAACGTGGAGAACAATTGAATGATAACATTAAGAATTATGAGAAGACAGTAGCATCAGCTAAAGAGTCGGAAAGAAACTTGTCCGATAATATTAGGTATAGAAAGTTAATCGCAGAGTTGGAAGAAATTAGGGATCAAATCAACAGCTACGATCTTGAAGAGACCACTAAAGCTAAGAGACAATTCGATGAGATGTATGACGAGTCGAGATCCAGAGAATCTGAAAAACAAGCTCAACATTACGCACTTGGTGGTGAACTTCTCAGTGAAAGAAAACGCGTGGAAGGTTTACAAGACGATTTAAAAACTGAGTATAAAGATATCGACTACATACATCATCGTCAACATGTTGCTGTCACTGCTTCGACGCTTGCTAATGATGATTTAGAAAAGTATGCTAAAGCTTTAGAAAGGTTTGTTTCACATAACTGAAGAGAGTGTTCTCACTAATTTAAATACAAAGTGCTATTTTGCAATTTCATGGGCTTAAAATGGACGAGATAAATGATCAAATTCATCATCTCTGGCAACGTACTTACCAAGGTACAGATATAGATACAATAGCAATCAGATCCGATGCAGAAGGTGCTCGCGGTGGTAAATCCTACAATTATCGCGTGGTAATGGTGAAAGATAGAACCGAAATGGACATGAGAGGTAGATGCTCAGCAGGACAAAAGGTACTGGCATCAATCATTATAAGGTTAGCATTGGCAGACAGTTTCGGTGATAAATGCGGTATTTTGGCACTCGATGAGCCAACTACAAATCTGGATCAGGAGAATATACAATCGCTTGCATCCGGTTTGGCTGAACTCATTAATGAAAGAAAACAACTTGATGTGAACTTCCAGCTTATATTAATTACCCATGACGAGGAGTTCCTCAAATATCTCAGTCAGTACAATGTCACAAACTTCTATTGGAGAGTTGGTAGAGACGAAAATCAATGTTCTATCATTCAAAGACAAACTATTCCAGGAGCTTAATGTATAGTTATATACCAATATCATATTTATATAAATTGCATTCATGTATTTTTATATCCATAATCTATTGTATTTCAATAGCCAATACCCAGTCATTGTCAATAGTGCCAGATGTAGGGGGATAGAATGCCATAACTTTGTTATTGTCATCCAATTCGTAACTGTTTTCATCTTGAGATTGTCCGGTGCGAGTGTCGTACCACTTAGTTGAAACAATTCCTGTTTCATTTGACAAGTCAACCTTGAAAGCATCACCGAAACCAGTGTAGACCCAGTAAAGTTTGTCACTTTTCAAAGCTCCAACACGTCGGTTTTCAGCATATGCAAGAACATCTTCACCTCCATCGATTGATTGAATAAACGAACGATCTGGCTCCATGGAGAAGAAAACCTCAGGCTTTAAATCCTTGAAGAGGTTTTGCAGGTAAACAACCTGACCAGCTGCTTCGAAGTGAAGGCCGTTTCTCCATGAATCATTAGGATCTAAGTTGTTTTGAGGTTCGATGTACAACCTTGCTTGATCAAGGTTATAAATTGGATCATAGAATTGCCAGATGGAATGTGCACCATAGGTAATTCCAGCAGATCCAGCGAAGAAACCATTATAGAGACCATGTCTGACTTCACTTGCTGTCCAGTACCTTTGATCAGCTTCGAAGGCAAGACGAGCACCCTCGTAGTGATTTTCGAGATCAATGACACTTCCATCGAATGCTCGTCTCATATCTTCAATGAACTCGTAGTTACGGACTGAGTTCCATCCAACAATTGCTTCGTTTGGTGGGTTGATACCTGGAACAGAATGACCAGATTGGACTGCATTCATTGAAACTTCATGAGTTCCATTTAGATAATTACTACCATAAGCGAGTGGTAAACCGGTTACATTGAGGTAAGTGTTGGTTGGATGGTATATAACAAACAAATCTTCTTCACCTTCCTTCATACCGTCAACCATCGAAGACCATACATCGCGAGTGTCTTCAATTTCAGGCAACATAGAGTAAGGATCTTGATCTGGATTTGACTCATAGTTATCTTCGTATTCCTCTTGGATATCTGGTAAATCACACGCCCAGTCACCATTGCTGTCACCTCCTATGATCTTTGGTAGACCTGGATAGCGGTTGCTTATGAATCTGCCAAATTCTTTTGCATTTTCGACGTTGAAAAGTTTTGGTTCACCTCTCCAACCACAGTTGACGTATCTACCCCAGGTGGGTACTAATGCGACAAGGATACCTAATAACATTTAAACATTGACATCGTGTCAATCTATAAACCTACCATAATCAGTAGCCCTATCGATTACATAATCGACATATTCGAAATATTCTTCGATAGGTTGTGTAGGGTCTTGATTAACTAAAGGAAGCTGGTTATAGTAATTGCTATGAGTAGTCCCATTCAGTTCTGCTACCGCGACAGCTTGTATAATGTTAAAACCCTTTTCTGCTCTGTCACTCAAATATAAGTCAACATCTGTCTTATTAAGGCGATGAAAAATTTCCCAGGCAGTGTCAGCTTGCCAGAAGAAAGGTGAACCATCGACTCTTTTAGATAAGTAACGACCTTTTGTGGTAATTGATAAACTATCCCAACTATGTCCACTTTCTACTGGTTTTGCTAACGTCAAGGCAAGACAGCCTAGCGAAAGTAATAATTTAGGTAACATTTTAGTTGTGTTAAGTTAAGGCATTTTGATTGAACCATTGCCAGATTAATGCTTGATAATAGTTGATCCATGATCATGAGAATACGCAAGGCAATCTTGTTCCTAATATTCGATCATTTTATTCTGGTCCCATGATGACTGACTCTTCCAATCACCGAAAAACCGCATTCTACATTTTTGTTTTACTTAATTCTAATCAACTATTCTTTCACAAGTCTATCGGCAATGTCACCAATTGAAAAAGTAAGGGAAACAAAAACAACCAAAGAAAATCCGTAATCCAAAGTTGAATGATAGTATAAAAGTGTTTGCATTCGGGATATCAAAATAATGACCATGAAAAAATAATGATTTGAAAAACAAAAGTTATAGCCCCACGCGGGGCTCGAACCCGCAGCCTTGAGATTAAGAGTCTCACGCTCTACCGATTGAGCTAGCGAGGCTTGTGTTCGACTTGAACTTAATATAATCCAGTTGCATAATCTATGCAGGAACGGTTACGTCATAATTTCATCAATTTGCAACTTCTCAAGACATTTTACGACACTAGTCAAGAAACGCTTCCTACCAATTCAACATGCCATTCAAATCCTCATGCTTTAAGAAGTATTGATGGACGCAGTTTAACTTTGTATCGTCTTAACAATATATTTAGATTTCATCATCATCATCATCATCATCATCATCATCATTTGCAACTTCTGAAGCAAATTCTAGACGTATATGAAACAAGTATCTTAAAAAACTTTGATAATCTAAGACAAACCATATTTAACACTCTATATATCTGAAAAGGCGGTTTAACAAAAACTACTCCACGAAAAGTCACAAGAACCCCACCAAAAAAGTTTAAAACCGTAAATATGAACATGAAATATCGTAAAATAATTATGAGACAGAAACAGAGAGATTTTAGATTTGGAAGGGTATCTCCTTAAAAACCAGTAAATAAATTATGCAGGTGAGACTGAATCAAGTGATTGTCTTTCAGAAGCAGTGATGAAACTAGCGGCAGTCGTCGCGACAGTTGTTGAACTCTTCTTATAAGTATTATTACTACCAGGATAAATTAAATCAGGACTACGAATTGGGTTGAGCGGACTAGTGCCGATATTATAACTACGTAAGGATTGTGTTGTAGTTGAATCATAACTAGCTCTACGGGAATTAGGTGCTAGTGCTCTAGTTGAGAATTCATCATCGTCTAGCTTCGACGAAGAGTGAATTGAAGATTTCCTAATTGAGTTGTCAGCCTGTTGTAACCTTCCTGCATTTGAAGACGCGAGTGTCATAATAGAAGCATCATCGTTAGGTGGTGATAACGGCCTAGGATTATTGTGAATCTGTGGGCGTGTGTACATAGGTGGATGATTATAATGGTTATAGCTCGTAGATGGCATATTTTGTTGGCTGAGAGACGGCGAGGGAGCCTGAGCGATATGAGCTACTCCGTCATGTGCGTCAAGTGACAAAACAGTGGTTGGCTTTGTGCTGGCTTTGCTAATGAAGGTTTTAGATTCAATATCATCACTATTATTGGTGTCTACAGATTGTGAGCTAGAGTTCGTAGTGAAAGTTAATGATTTCGTGCTATTGAGCGGTTTCAAAGAAGCGTCTTCATCTGCTCCAGAGAGGCTATCTGGGCGCTTCAAAGTAGAGAACGAGTTGTGCGATACGATTCCATTCAAAGTTGATCTACGTTTAGTGGATGGCTTGTAGGTATCGTCTAGCTCGTAATTTATCGAAGGAGAAGGTGGTACGTTGGTAGAAGAACGTCTGCCTAACCTTTTCGATAGCCAATTCATTATTGGCTTGCGCTCTTTCCTTTTAGAGTTTGGTGTGTGCTGATCTGAACTCATATGATGATTGTAAAAGTCAGAGTGACATGAGTGATGGAAGTATAAATAAAAATAAGGTAAATATACATTAAATGTGATAATATACATATAAGCTAAGTTGTTTGTAGATCGCCTGACTATTTAGTAATACGTTTGAGTTCAACGAAGAATTCGTTACAAATCTGAGAGATGACAAGTGGATAAGCATTGTATATGCACTTAGACAGATAACAACTCACCTTACATCTGCCACCGGTGGCTTGTTTCATTCCATCTCGTTTGCAGAGATATGAATGGTTACAAGGGATAGTAGTATATTCTATAGCGTATTTATTACATATTAAACATTTATCATCATTTATCTCGTCAATTGTCATCGCCGTATATCTTGAACAACAGCCACGATGAGTAGAATAGATAAATCGATAATAAATAATATAAAATCAACGAAACTGAAATCTTTTCTATTATCAGAGATGAGATACACTCCTAATAAAGATCTCTTACCTGCATCAACCACTATAGAGCAAATTCAATCAAATCCAGACGCACTGAGACCATCTCCATTTCAATTTAGACAGTCAAAGTCAACAGGCAAATGGCATCCACCACGTTACTCACGTCGTCAACAAGCTGATCTCGTTAAAGAAGCTAGAATAGAAGGTTTATTGCATTTACTACCAACTTCAATAAAGAGTAGTGTAGATGATATAAATCTAAACAACAGCGAGAAACCTTTCAATTGGCAGGAGAAAGCTGCGTTTGATGTACAAGCGAAGTCACCTCGTGCAGTAGCAGAGAAGAAGTTCAGAGGTAGCCTCTGGGAGAGGAATCAACCAAAGAGACAAGCTGCTATAGAAGAGAATATGGAGAGTATGCAGCAAAAGATAGAATTCTGGAAATTGGTACGTCTTTCTTCTCTGCTTCTCTTTTTGCGTAGTTTACTAACAAACAAACAGGATAAAGAACAACGTAAGAAAAAGCATACACCACCATTACCATTCTAAAAGTTTTATTTATACATTCCTATTATTTACTTTCTTCTTACTTTACTGTCATTATGTCGAGGAATTTCAAAGTAAAAGTACCAGCTACTTCCGCTAATTTAGCCTGTGGTTTCGATTGTTTGGGTGCAAGCTGGGATGATATCAATTTAGAGTTGACAGTATCACACGTGCCATATCCAGCCAGAAAACACACAAGCCCGATCATAAGTTACACTGGTGAAGGCGCTGGTGAAGTGCCTCTAGATCCATACAAGAATTTAACAACAAGGGTTTGTATATATGTACTCAGATGTCACGATATTTTAGAATTTCCGGATGACTTGAATCTCAAAGTACATAATGAGATCCCATTCGGCAGAGGATTAGGTAGTTCAGGTGCAGCCGTCGTAGCCGGTGTGTTATTGGCTGACGCCTTGGCTGATCTCAAACTCAGTCCTTCTAGACAGTTGGATTTTGCACTCATGGTTGAAAGACACCCGGATAATGTTGCAGCAGCACTCATTGGTGGATTCGTCGGTAGTTACCTTAAGACACTCCCAGAGGGTGTACTTGACCCATCCTCCGTTCCTATGTCTGAAGTTCTTCCGGAATACCCACCGGACGCAAGCAAAGACTGGGGAAAAAAGCCACCAGTACCACCTAAAGACATTGGACATTGGTTGAGATATGGATGGGCGTCTCAGATAAAAGCTTTGGTTGTAATTCCGCAGTTTGAATTGTCAACTGCAAAAGCGAGAGGATGTTTACCTGAGCAATATTCAAGACCAGATGTCGTGCGTACAAACAAAATACAAAGATATTACATATTAACGTAGTTTAGGTGTTTAATTTACAGCGTTTAGCTGTCTTAACAACTGCACTCTCTATTACACCACCAGATCCAGACTTGATATGGGAAGCGATGCAGGACAAACTCCACCAACCATACCGTTCAGAGTTGATTCCAGGATTACCAGAAATTACTAAGACATTGACGCCAAAATCACACCCAGGTTTACTCGGTATTTGTCTCTCTGGTGCAGGTCCGACTATTTTAGCATTGCATACACACAATCATGAGGCGATAGCGGATGGAATATTCAAAATATTCGCCAAGAATAACGTTAAATGTAGAATGGAAGTCAAATCTATATCAGAATCAGGTTCAACTGTGTCTTTCGAATAAATAATTCCTTTGTTAATTACTATCATGAGTTTGAGTTATGCAGAATACCACGATGAGAGGCAATTGTCAGATATAATGGATTTGATAGATAGCGAATTGAGTGAACCATACATAAATATGACTTATAGATACTTTCTACACACTTGGTGAGTATATGAGTCTATTCTGTCATATCTGACGACATCGGCAGGCCTCAGCTTACTTTTCTAGTGAGTTTGATAAGATAATATAAGCCACATTAATAGCTTGGTAGGCGTATGATCATACAAAAGCTGTTGGAGTTGTAGTATGCAAGCAAGAACGACACAAATCAGGTCTAATGAGAGGATATATAGCCATGTTAAGCGTTAGAAGTGAATATAGAAAGAAAGGGATAGCTACAAAGCTAGTCAGGATGGCAATAGATGAAATGATATCGACAGGTGCAGAAGAGGTTAGTTTGGGATATAATATCGCTACAATTACCTAATAGACAACAGATAATACTAGAAACAGAGGTAGATAATAATACATCAATAGCGTTTTACAAGAGATTAGGGTTTATGAGAGAGAAGCGTCTATATCGCTTCTACATGAATGGAAAGGATGCTTATAGGCTATGTCTACCTGTATCACCTAACGAAGATGCTTACACATGATTATTTTAGTCCAACAAATCGAATTCAACGTCGCCATCGTTTAGACCAGCTTGCATGTCTTCTTGTTGATTACGCAAGGAATTGTAATGGTGCTCCTGATCAATCTCCGCGTCAAGTTGCTTAGATTCACCCATTTCTAACTTAAGAGTGTCATCTTGACCCTCTTCGACACTCTGAGCGAAAAGAATACCCCTCCGCATGTTTGATTCGGTAGGGAAAGGAACGTTAAAGACCTGCTGAGAGGGGTGTTGTATTGTGTCAGCACTATTTATAGTTGGTGGTGCGTGTGTAAATGCAGAGAGCTTTTGAGCGTATTCTAATAATACATTGTCTGGTATCTGGTCTATTATGGAATGTTAGAAGGCATTAGAAAAAGAGAAAGAAGACTGACTATTCTCAGTTGCGCGTATACGCTCAATATCTTTATCGCCGTCTTTGAGTATTTTGTCTAAGTCTTTCTGAGAGGATTGAAGTATATGAAGGGAGGATTGTATGTTTGATTCTAAATCTACGATATCATTCTCTAACTCTGTGATAAGTTGCTGTCTATACTCGTGTTCTCTTAGTTCTTCCAACTGAACTGCTAATAACTCGTCTAATCTACTCAAGCTTGAAATTTGGCTGGCGTTCAATTTGAGCGGTTTAACGGCTTGGCTGGATATCGAAGAGAATATTGACTGACTAATAGCGTCAATTTCCTTTATTGTATTCAAAACACTATCTCTCGTCCGCTCTTCCACCATCTGATGTTGGAATTACTGAACCAACAGCAGAAGCTGAAAAATCAATTCATAAAAACTGATGGCGTTAGAGCCTGGTATGATATGTCAGGCAGCCCCGTAGAGCCTTTCATTATTGGTATAGGCGGTGGTACTGCATCGGGTAAAACATTCGTAGCACAGTGAGTTTGTTTATATCTATATGATATATAGTTTATAACACATAACAGTGAGATAGTTAAACGCTTAAAGAATGTACAATCTATCGCTATCATCTCTCAAGATAGCTTCTACGGAGAGAGAACACCAGAAGAAATTGAACTGGGTGAGTGTATTGTATATTCTACGCACCACCTCATTCTCTATTAAGCTCATAAGAATATGTACGACTTCGATTCCCCTCAAGCTATCGATATGAGTTTGTTCACTTCCGTTCTGCATGATATCAAAAAGTGCAGAGCAGTGCAGTTGCCAGTGAGTGACGATAGGCCCTTACGTCATTTCTCAACAAATAAAGAACTACTCTTTCGTTACTCACTCACGTCTCCCTCAATCTACATATCTCTACGGTGCGAGAGTCGTCATAGGTGAGATAAGCTCAGATCGTTGTTTTGTTGACTGACGAATAAATTTAGTGGAAGGAATTCTCGTCCTTGTGGGTAATTAGCATACCATTAATCTTCTGTTAAATCGCACCAGACTGATCCAGCACTGAGGGATTTATTCGACATGAAAGTATTCGTACAATGCGATTCAGATGTCATGTTAGCAAGACGTATTAAAAGAGACGTTGTTGAAAGGTCAGATTAGCATACCATCGTTTACTTCTTCGCTGAAATAGCATACAGAGGTAGGGATGTCGACGGCGTTCTCAATCAATTCCTTAAATGGGTAAAACCATCTTTTGTAGGTGTTATTATTGCACTTCAGCATAACACTCAACTATGACCTGCAGGAAAACTTCGTCCTGCCATCATCAAGGCATGCCGACATAATTGTTCCTGGTGCAGCCAACTCTGTGGCTGTAGACCTAATCGTCACACATCTCAAGCAGCAGCTCACACAACGCTCTCGTTTCCTTCGTAAGGCTCTGTCTACTGCCTCACCAAGCTGTTCGGATTTACCTCCAAATGTGAAGATCATTGAACAGACTGCGACACGTAACGTAAGAATAACTGCGCTTGGGTATTCCCAACTAACAAAAGATAGGCACTACTTACCATACTACGCGATTTGGGCACTTCACGAACGAGGTTCGTCGAGACCGTTGACAGGCTTGCCGCACATATCGCCCAAGAAGTCTTTACCTTCCTTCCTCATAGATCACGCACTGTTACAACTCCAGTGTCCGCAGAATATGAAGGCAAAAAGCTTGACACAGATGTAAGTTCTGTCGTCATTTTTCATAACTTATTAACATTGTTTTTAGAATCTCTGTGCAGTTTCCATTCAGAGATCAGGAAGCTTGTTTAATCACGGTTTACGTAGAATATTTCCGGCTGTTGCACTCGGTTCAGTGCTTATCCAACACGACGATGCTAGCGGTGAACCAGCACTTTACCACCATTCACTCCCACAATCAGTGAAAGACCCTAAGACATCATCACAAACATGGGTTTTGATTACTGACGCTCAGATTGGTACAGGCGCAGCTGCTTTCATGGCAATTAGAGTCTTGCTCGATCATGGCGTTCAAGAGAAACATATCATTTTCCTCTCATTTTTGGTAGCTAGACGCGGTGGTGTTCACGCTATAAATTCTGCTTTCCCAGATATCAAAATCTTGACAGCAGCTGCAGATCCTCTCCTCCGTGAGGTTGAGGTTCCGATAAGCCATGGAGATTCCGCACAAGTACCTCATCACCAAGGTGAGAAGGTCGATGGTAGAAGAACAAGTGTTATTAGCTTAGAACAGCCTGCACGTAAGAAATACTGGCAGATCGTACCTGGAATGGGCAACGTAGGTGACAGATATTATGGTACCAATTAATTTCTATTCATTATGGACTTACAATAATTTCTCTTTACCAATGCATTGATATTTTCATTACAGATACAGATTCACTTAACGGGATATACATTCAGATCGTTAGTGTTGAAACCCTGATGGATGTTATCGAAACAAATGTCGCACCAATATGTTGAATTCTCGGCACCCAGTCTGTCTTTATATGTGACTAGAGCTGCTTGCTTCTTATCGCAAATTCCACAGATTGGTTTCTGAGTCCTATCAAGCTTACTAAACTTGTAACGGGGTAATGTCTCTCGGGTACCCTTCAACCTGTGTCTTCTTAATAAAGGATTGTGGGAAATGTAATACGTACCGTACGCCAGTTATTTGGAGGGCATGCTCACAGCCACCAGAGTGAACCATCCAACCAAATCGACCGGTACGTATGGGAAGCTCTCCCAGTGGAACGTTTTCGATGGATTTGGTTGAAATATCTCTAAGCGATAATTGTTTAACAGATTCTTCATAAGTCTCCCAACCCTCTTTGCGTTTATCAAGATAGGCGACCGCCTCAAAGACAAAACAACTGCTTTTATTTGAAGATGCATAGGGTGCTCCATCCGCCTCGCATTTTAGCTTATCACGAAGATGTCCTAATGTATGTTTCGAACTAAGGAGAACAACATCTGTGCGTTCAAGTATACCATTCAAAGTTGGCACTTTAGATTCTACTTCAATTACAACAGTTGAATAGTCCCAATTTTTACCTCGTGCATCTATACTTTGAGTTTCTGCAGCGTTTACATCCCCTTCATCTGTATTCCTCATGTAATATTCCGTCATACTGTCATGTCTAGATTGTGTTAGCAAACACGCAGAAAGAAAAAACACGGAAAAAATAGCATACTCACTGAAAGCATCTCTGGGGTGGTTCAAAAATGTCTTTTATTTCATTTGCTTTGTCAATTGTCTTTGGTTTCCGCCTATTCTTGTATCTATCGCTATGATCCTTAATTGATTGTAATAAAGGGGGTGACGAGAGCATCTCATCATCTTCTTTGCGTATATTCTCGATATGTTGATTGATTATATCCTCATTTATGTCATTATCAATAGTTGGTTTATTCAAACTACGAGCGTGGTTGATAAAACTGTCTATATCAATAGCCTGACTGGATGGACCATAGCTATTCTTCTCATTGAATGTGGGTAGGTGTCTGTAGAATCTGTTTATCATTTCATTTGTTGCTTTCTAACGATGACGACGTGAGCGTTTGGAATAGAAAGTAAGCAATAGCTAACAAAGCTAATAGATCAGATTTTAGATACGATTTCTATCAGACGCCTTCTATTATTGAAATCAGTCTCTTTGTGAAGAACGTCAGAGAAGAGGACGTTGATATCAGCTTTGGAGAAAAAGAGGTGGGTAATCTGGTTGTTGAAAATCTTATAGTCATAACACCATCTAGTTAAATGTACAGTTCAAAGATGGTAGACAATTCAGTCTCAATCCGCTCAGTTTCGATATCAAACCAACTGAATGCAAATACACGTTAAAGTCAATGAAAGTGGAATTAATACTGGTAAAATCACAGGAGGGTATAAACTGGAATTCACTCGTTGGTGATTCGAGCTGTGAGTCGATGTTCTCCATGAACAAAGAAAATGCTGAGACATGTAGACAAAGAAGCACCAGCGTCAACATCTACAGCATCAACAAGTAAGCCATATCCATCAAACAGGGGAAAAGATTGGAATAAAGTCGCACTCGATGATGAAGAAGAAACTAACGATGGAAATCCAGACGATTTCTTCAAGAAACTGTTCGCTAATGCAGATGATGACGTGCGTAAAGCTATGATGAAGTCCTACTCAGAGTCAGGCGGTACTTCACTCTCAACAAACTGGGAAGAAGTCAAGAAGGCTAAAGTTGAAACTAAACCGCCAAGTGGAACAGAAGCTAAGAAATTATAAATTATTGTATTAATAAATATTATATCACCGCTGTTCATCTTCCTTATTAATTGAATCTTTGCCATATTCCTGTATCCATTCTTCTGTAGACCAAATCGCTCTATTACCTTGACCGACCATTTGGGCAGCTTTCAATGGCTTAGCATAGTTGCATTTAATGACTTTACCAGCTAGAATGTTCATATCCATATTGTCAATTGCGTTTGACGCATCCTGTGCGTTATCGTACTCTATGAAACCGAATCCTCTATGCGGGTTCTTACTAAACTTTTCCTGTGGCTCTGGTAATTGTATATCTAAAATGTTACCTTTATTACGTCAATTAGGTCATATTTCTGTCAGAATACCCACCAAATGTAGAGAATGAACCAAATAAACCATCTTTATTGACGCTGAAGTCAACGTTACTAACCCAAACCGTTCTTTTTGCTTTGTTCTTCAAAGAGTCTCCACTCATTTTCGTTATATCTTGACAATTCGGAAAGAACAGGAGATTATAACTTTAGCGCTAACGATGATGACGCATTTGAGAAGTCTGAGAAATATAAAGTGGGTTTTTATTTTATTATGGTATTAATCTAATATCTTACTAGTACTAAACGATTCTCTACAACACAAATTCGTTCATTTGCCAATGAACCACCAAAAGTTGAATACGACGATAAGCAAGTGAAAGTAAATTGGGAGAGTGGCAGAACATCTAGTTTTCATAATATTTGGTTAAGGGACCATTGCAGATCACCTCACTCGTTTCATAGCATAACGAAACAAAGGCTGGTGAATACATCACTCATACCATCGAATATTAAACCAATCAATATAGAATCGACTCCTTCTGGTTTGTCCATCAAATGGAATGACGGTACAGAGCAACCAAGCTCTTATCCTTGGAAATGGCTCTATCAGTCAAGTTACAATCCTAAACTAGTCGATGATACTCAATTAAGGAAGAATGAAAAAGTATTATGGGACTCTAGAATCGCTAACAACCCACCAACTATACCATATGAGTTTGTCATGAATGATGATAAAGGTGTCTTGAATTGGTTGTCTAAAATTGTTAGTACATTCTGGTATCTCATAAACTTACTTACTAATACCCCGACTAAGGAAAAATACGGTATTGGTTTTGTTGATGGTGTAACACCTACCGCAGAAGCAACAGAAGAGTTAACATCTCGTATTGCCTTCATTAGAGAAACCCATTATGGTAAATTTTGGGATTTTACGGCAGATTTAAAACATGGTGATACCGCTTATACAGATATCGCATTAGGTGCACACACTGATACAACCTACTTCACTGATCCGATCGGTTTACAACTCTTCCATCTCCTCCAACCAGCAACTAGTGGTGGTGGTGAAAGTCTATTCGTTGATGGCTTTTACTGCGCTCAACAATTAAAAGAAAAGGATATTAACGCTTTTAATACACTAGTTAATACACCTATCCCTGCTCATTCTGTTGGTAGTCCAGAAGCTATCATGCTTCCATCGCAAAGATCTGGATACCCAATTATTAATCTTGATAACTTAACACAAGATTTGTTGCAAATTAGGTACAATAATGATGATCGATCGGTTATGACAAACCTTCAACCAGAAATGATCGAAGAATTTTATAGAAGTTTAAAACTTTGGAGTGAAATTATAACTGATAGTGCAAATGAATATTGGACACCACTATCCGCCGGTAGAGTAGTTTTGTTTGATAACTGGAGGGTCTTACATGGAAGGGCAAGCTTTAAAGGGAAAAGAAGACTTTGTGGTGCTTACATAAATCATGATGATTATGCAAGTAGATTATTGACCCTTAAGGAAAAATTTTTGGACGAGAATTTGAGGAACACTCATGGAACATTGTTTTAAGTGATTAAGTTCTGAAATTAACTATGACATTCTATCAAAAGTTAATGCTTGTTGTATATAAATTTTTATCAAAAAAATACAAACTAATCACTGCGGTTGTAGTGCCTATTGCGGTACGGTACCAAAATTTAGCAGGTTTTTGACGTCAATCTGAGTTAAAGACGGAGATAACGCTAAAAAATCTTGTGATAAAATTACGTAGTTTTTTTATTACCCTTTTTCATTGTATTCTTTTCATTCGTTTATTAAATTAGGTCTAAAACTTGGATAAATGACGTAAAATATGTGATATTATAAAGAAATTTACTAAACTTTATTCTTATGGTGCTAATTTAAAATAAAATGCGGAGTACACATAAAAAAGATCGACATTAATTTTGAGAAGATTATTCTTTTATCACGAAAAAGGTAAGACAAGAACAATGTCTTATAATTGCCATATGCCATAATTCAGGTTCATGCCGTTTAAAAATGGAAAATTAAAAATCAGATTTAGAGTTTCCAAACTGATCGAATTCAAATCACTTCTCTTGAGCTAAACTCTAAAACGAAAACCAGGATAGAGTTTAAAAAAATGACTAAGCATAATTCAATAAAGGTAAATGATTTATTGGATTCATCAAAAGAACCACGTGAATATAAGTTAATCTTATTACAAGAACCAAAAGTTGCAAGAATGTCTTCCTTTAATGAGAAAAGACCTGTCGATCCACCTGCGATAATTGAATTAGAAATATATGATAGATTTGGAAATATAGATGATGAGTATGTCTCTTATCATTCTCATTAATTCAGTCTCTAATACTCTTTAGCGCCCTTCGATCGCCTTTCTGGGTTTTGCATGTAGTTTTAGATGATAGTAATAGAAGTTTACCTAAACCTCAATCACAAATATTACAAGGAAGTTTGACTTCTAGCGCACATTATTGCAAGAAGGACGCTAACCGGTATGGTTGCTTCTTTTATTTCAGGTACGTCACATCTTAACGCACACTATTATACATCAATACTTACAAATCAAGCGATCTCACACTCACAACTGAAGGTGTTTACCGGTTGAAGTTCTTATTGACGACGGTATGCCTATTACCTAATATGACTCATAAAGATCCTCTACCCGTTTTAGTTGAAGCTATTACAAACCCATTCACGGTATTTACAGCTAAAAAATTCCCCGGTATGGCTCGTAAGTTCAATGAAACGTTCTTTTATGAGTTCTTTTGCTAAATAACAATCAGCCTCATCGGAGTTAGCAAAAAGTCTAGCTTTACAGGGTGTAAAAATACCAATTAGGAATGAAGAGCGAAAACGAAGTCACAAAATCGAAGACCAGCAAAACTAATATTTATACCATAAATAAACAAGGAAATCACTAAAACGTTTGCTTTTCAATTAAAAATTTTCTTTTAGATTGATATCATCTAAGTTTTACCAAAGAAACTTGAAATTGATCTAAGAGTTGATGGTTTATCAAATCCACCATCTGTATTTTGGTCATGTGTGGAACTAGCGTTCGAACTACTTGGCTGATGGCCAGATGATTGTCTACCGAAAAACCAAGAACCAGAAGATTTATGAGCTGTTGTTGGTGTAGGTACGTCCTCATCTGTTGGTAGTGGGGGTAACTTCAATCCTTTTGGTTTATCCTCTCCTGAGCTATCCATAAATTCCCTCAATGCTCTCAGAGCATTATCTGAGGATAGCTTAGCTTCCCTTAAGGTATCTATTTCTTTTTTCATTCTTTGTAACTCATTTGATAAGTTAGCGTTCTCCATTTGTAGATTGGTCATATCAATAATTTGTGAACTTCTATTACTTGAAGGTGCTTGTTGTGGTTGTAAGTGGAAATCTTTCAAGTTCGTCTTTGCATTGTCTGCTGACATTGATGATAGCCTTTTGTGTGATTTTATTGATGCGCGTTTCTATTAATTGATTAATGAATAGTGCAAAGGAAGACAAAATAAAGCTCACAGATAAGTTTGCTGGTTCGTTTAATATGAATGATGAACGCTTTTGTTCAGTTTCTTGTCTTTTACGTGATTTATCTTGCTCTTGTTGTTGTTGCTGTAGTTTCATGACGCCATTTCTGGATTCTTCAACTCTTGTCCTGAGTTGTACGATAATTTCCTCTGCATCGACTCTCGCTTTCTTTTCATCATCTAGCTCTTGTTGAGTTATTGACCTTGATTCACTTAGTTTTTCATTCTCTGTCATTAAAGCAACATTTTCAGATCTCAAATTCGCTAATTCTTCTAATATCTTCTGTCTATCTCTAGCTGAATTATCTAAGTCGTCTATATCTGATGCAATACTAGAATCTGGTGGTGTACGTAAACCAATTTGTGACATTCTTTTATCAAACTCCTCTACTGATTCAACTGGTGTAACGTCCTCAACTTTCGAATCGACAGTTTTATCATTCATTTTAATGAAGTCTTCCTCTGCATCGTCGAAATTGTCTAAAGACTTTCTAGTTGAGATTGGTGAATTAGAGAGCTCTTGTTGTTCGTCCAACTGCGGTGTAGATAAACTCTCTGTGTTAGCTTTACCAACGTTATCTATTTCATTGTCTATTTCGTTATCTATTTTCTTATTTTCTATTTCTTCATTAAATTCTGTCATAGTATTTCTTAAAGGAGTGCCTAATCAAATGTCACTCCTTTCAGAAAACTTTCGTGTTCGAAATAAATCAATTTTAATTTCATTAATCCCTTGAGGACGCTAAACTTGCTATACCTTTATGTTACAAAGCAAGACTTTACAGAAAGCGACTCAACCTAGGTCTACTAACTCTAGCCCAATAGCTGCTATGAGTAAGGCGACAGCTGCATGCGCACCAGTAGTAGGTTATAAACTCTCCTTTCATTTACATCTCATTTACCATCTAAAAGGCGAAAGCTTACGGTACGTGTGTAGCGTCATCCTATGAGGACATTACAAGGGGTGCCTGTCAATCAGAGTTCGAGGCTTTCAAGAATTGCGTCACTAAAACTGTAAGTTTCAGCTTTCTTTTATCTTTCCTAACTAAGTAACGACCCGTAGATGGGAAGAAAATGGTAAATCTTAATAATATTCAATGCATTTTTGTATTTTTACTTAATTTGTATATACACACATATATATGTCAATAAAAACGTCTTTTGGGTATTGGTATCCTAATCAAACAGTCTCTTACGACTGCTTTTCGGCGGCGATGGAAATCTATCACGACTAATCATTATGTTCTTCATCATTGGCGTTAATCCTGACTTGTCAGTAGTAGACCCTATCTTCGTCGTTGGTCTCTTTGGTCTGTATTCGCTCTGTGTTCTCATTGCCTCTGAAGGTGGTCTACGAAGCTTCCCGGACGGAGTATAAACAGCTGGTTGAATCCGAGTAGGTGATGGCGCGCTTTTTCGCTTAGGTGAAGTCGTAGGCGAACTATATTGTGACTGAGACAACGAAAACTGTGTTGTTTTCTTCGCTGAGTTTAGTATCTCCTTCTGTTGATACTCCATTATCCTTTTGTTTTGCTCCTTCAAACGGAATCTCACAGCAGCTTTCTTTGTCGCTTCATTCTCTTTCTCACTTTCACTCTCACTGTCGCTTTTGAGGTAGCTTCTGCGACCCCTGGTGTAACTGTCAAGGCTGCTGTCACTGCTCTCACCCAATTCAACTACATCTTTACTGATGTCTGAAACGAATGACTTATTGATGCTTCTATCAATAGTAGGGCTACCATTGGAGCTTGAGCTTGAGCTCGAACTCGAACTTGTTGGTGTATATCTACGCTTATCACGTGCGTATCTGTCCCTTTTGTAGTCCTTTGTCTCATACTCACTATATTTCTTCTCTTTCTCTGTCCAAAATTTATCAAAGCTATTCTCATTCTCGCTTTCATCTTCATAACGCTTCGCAAGTACTCTACTGAGTTCTTCAGAGTCACTGCTATCATTATAAGAGTTTGAGAGGACTTCTGCATCATCTGAAGATATATTTGCGACATTCGGAACGCCAAGTGATGATCTCCTCCTAGCTTTGCTGTACTCAACACTAGATCTTGGTCTGGATTTTGAAAGTGCTGTAAGAGATAAGCATCTTGATAGTTATAGATGACAACACGTACATTTGAAATTACTCGATTTGGGAGCATATGAAGTACGCTTTTCGAGTATCTCAACCGAATCATCACTTTGATCATCACTACGACTAGCCGAATCATCCTGCCAATCGTTATCGTCTGATAGTTCAACTCTATTCGACATTTCATAGTAGTGTTTTCGGGTATCTTTGTATAAATCCTCATGATCAGCATGTAAATCTTTATCAGCGATAAGGAATGCTTCTAAATCTTCTTTATCTTTAATCATACGTTGTTTCTGCATTAATTGTTGGTGTTGTTCAAGTAATTCTCTCTCATGTTCACTATTGTCGTCTGAGTTGTCTTGATCATCATCACCATCAGTTTTAGATCTACCACCGAAAGTAATCCTTTCTAAATTCCTCAAGTGACCTCTATCTGAAATAATCTCACCAGTTAAGATATCAACTTCGTCGTCCACCTCTGCGTCAATATTGCCATATTTTGCAGCTATTAAATCCCAAGTATTTCCTAACTTTAAATTTGATATATATCTTTTAAAGTTTACGTCATCTTCTGTATAATTCTTCTCTTCTTTAGATTTTGCTAGTTCAGTGAATTGATCTGGTGGTTTATAATCTTTACTATTAAATGGTTTAGGAAAGTAACTCATATTAATAAATAAATATAAACTTTTTTTATCTTTTTTCTATCAATTCTTGACGGTCGTAGTAGAAATAAACTTTTAACTTAAACGCTCGTAGAAATGCCTGGTCCATCAAGGAGGAGTAGAACAGGTGCATCAAAGAGAGATATACATAGAGCATCACGTACTAGAGCTCGTACAAAGGATCTTGATCAGGTTCAATTGGAAGATCTATTACCTGAGAACAAGGCAAAACTTGAGAATCAACCTTTAGATGAAACTCTGCCTGGATTAGGTCAACACTACTGTATTGAAGTGAGTTTCTAGTTTCTTATTTGTTTAAAAATTTATCGTCCAACAGTGTGCAAGGTATTTTGAATCAGACGTTGCACTCAAGGGACATACAAAGACTAAAGTACACAGGAGACGTCTAAAAGATCTCAAAGAACCTGCTTACACTCAAGCAGAGGCTGACGCTGCTGTCGGTTTAGGCGTTGATAAGACACAACGGAGTTTGAACAACGACGGACAAGCTATAAAAATAGACTCTTAATGTACTTATGAAATTGTATGTATCTATAGATTATTTATGCAAACAATAGTGGAAAAATAATAAAACCCCGTAAGAAATACCATATAGCGTTCTCAATTTATTTAAAGGCATGAGTTATCGTAGAAGTTTGTACCATGGGTCGTAGCTTTGATAACACCTTGTCTAATAACAAAGTCACCGAATGATTCATTTTCTAATCTCTCCAATGCGTAGTTCTTGATCAATGGGTTGAGTATATCCAAAATCTCCGGCTCTGTGACTGACTCCTTGAATGGTTTTGCTAATCTAGTACCATCTGATGCACCACCCAATAACATCAAGTATGTACCTGGTGCCCTACCAACGAATGCAATTTCACCCATCCATGGTCTAGAGCATCCATTTGGACATCCAGACATTCTCATAACGATCATGTCATTTCTTAATCCGTTCTTTTCCATGATCTTTTCAACCTTTCCAACTAACATTGGTAAGTAACGTTCTGATTCCGCCATTGCTAATCCACAAGTTGGTAATGCAACACAAGCTGATGATGATAATCTCAATCCTGTGTAAGTGAGTACATCTAACTTGTACTTGTGAAGAAGATTCTTGATGGTTTCCAATTGTGATTCCTCAACATCAGAGATGATCAAGTGTTGGTTTGCCGTCAAACGGAATTTACCCTTGTGGATCTTTGCCACCTCACGTAAACCAGTCTTGTATTGAATACCATCGATTTCATCTTGGATACGACCATTTTCCTTTATAATATTGTGAGCCAGTTACTTTCACTGTTAAACTACACTTACAACAAACATAGTGAAGTGCCACTTGCCATCTTCACCTTGAGCCCATCCATATTTGTCAATGTTAGAGTCAAACTTGTATGGGCGTGTCTCTTCGAGTTTGTATCCGAGGTATTCGTGGAGCTTGTCAACGAATCCAGTCAATGACAATCTATCAATTGTGTACTTCAGACGAGCGTTCTTACGGTTTTCGCGGTTACCATAATCACGTTGGACCAACATAATCTTTTCAGCAACATCATTAACCTTGTTTGGTGGAACGAAACCGATAACATCACCAAGACGTGGGTAAGTCTTCTTATTTGAGTGTGTAACACCCATACCACCACTAAAGAGAGTAAGCAAAATGTAATTAAAAATAATGTAATACCCACCCAATGGAAACGTTGAAACCATCAAGTTGACGTGTCTTCTCGTTAACGATAGCAATAAAACCAACATCATTGGCGAAAACATCAACATCATTGTGTGGTGGTATAGCAACAGCAATCTTGAACTTTCTTGGCAAGTAGTATGGACCATAGAGTGGTTCATGATCAACAACAGATTCACCTGCTACCTTCTTACCATCTAACCAGATTTCACGGTATGCTGATGTTTGTGGTAAAAGATGGTCACTTAATCCCTTGGCTACTTCATGAACAGTTGCGTGCAAGTGTGAAAATGTTGGGTTCGTTGATGCGAGAACATTTCTGTTAACATCACCACATGCGGCAATTGTATCCAATGTTGTCTTGTTAATTGCTTGCATAGTTGCTTTCAAGTTACGCTTGATGACACCATGGAATTGGAATGTTTGTCTTGTTGTGATTTTCATTGACTTGTTGGCATACTCATCACCAATTCTGTCAAATGCTAACCATTGTGGACCATCACAAACACCTGCTGGCATACGAACTCTAATCATGAAACTGTATGCTGGTTCCAAACCTTCATTCTTTCTGTCCTCTCTAATATCACGATCATCTTGCATGTATGTACCGTGGAATTTGGTTAATTGAGTATCAGCTTCAGCGATAGCACCAGTAGACTCATCAGCAAGACCTTGCTCAATCGTACCACGTAAGTAGTTTGATGCGATCTTTATGTGTTCATTGGTGACAGGTTCAGGTTCCTTCTCAGTAACCTCAACATCATCAACGCCTAAGGCTTTCCAAAGCTTTGGTTCCCAGATCTTGTAGCCAGTTTGTGGTCCATCTGGGTCTTGATCGTCACCTAAACCAAGGTCAGCGAAGCGGATACCACCAAGCTTCTCAAAGCGTTCATCCAAATCTTTACCTGGACGGTTGTAGAAGTGTGCGTCTTCAGCTCTTGGCCAGTAGTGAGAGTCACCCATACCGAATACACTAAACTTGACATCACTGAAAGTCTTTGATGCATCAGCTTGACCAAGTAAAGTGGCAGTCGTCTTGAAAAAGTTTCTACCATTTTGTGGTGGTTCACCTTGACCAGCGGTTGAGGTGACAAAGACAACGTTCTTCTCAAGCTTGATGTCTTCTAATGGGAAATCATCCATAGCCAGAGCTCTAGCTGCGACACCACGAAGCTTGGCACGGACACCAATACGTTTAGCTAATTTCTCAGCATTACCACCGTCAGAAGCGAACAAGATGAGGAGAGGTGGTCCATCCATATTTCCAAGAAGTGAGTCCAAAGCTTGCTGAGCCTTTCTCTTTTGAGCATCCTTCAAACCTTGACCTTCTGAGCCAACGAGTTGTGGTGCAAGTTGTGGCTTGGCTTGGACATAGTTTGCTAAATGGTTTTGACGATCAAGGAAGTCTTTCAAATCTGACTTAATACGCTCTGAGTCAAGGGAGAAGATTTCATTGGTTTCCTTGGCTGGGTTCCAACGGTACAATGGCCAGTATCCGACATCAACAGCGGCCTTAGTGTCCTTCAACATCTCAAGTGGTGTTGATTGTTCTGATGTGTATGGCAAGTAAGCAAGAACGATAGATGGACCATCATATTTGTCAGCTTCAATGAGGGCTTGAAGAACTTGGGTGTATGATGAGTAAACGGCAACAGAAGCAACGTAAACATCGCCGTAGTTCATTGCGTAAAGACCAACATCCTTCTTACGCTTAGATGGATCTTGTGCGTTCCTTTGGTGGTATGGCAATGAGTCAATAAGGAGGACATTGATATTCTTGCCAGAAGAGATAACTAAAGATTATAAGTTTAATGATATCGAAAGAAATTAAAAACTCACCGTGGTGAAGACCTGAAAATCCTGCATCATGTGACCAAGCATCGGAACCAATAATCCAGCGGGATTGTGAAGTAAGCAAAGCAGTGTTTTGCAAGATATATGGAACCTTTGGATGTGATGGTTTCTCATTTTTGAGAATCTCAATTGCCTTGTTGGCGAGAGCTTGGCTGGTCTTCGTGTCATCTTTCTTAAGAAGCCATTTTGAGAAGGCTGCGTGAAGCTCGTCTGATACGCTGTTCTTGGAAGCAATCAACTCTGAAATTGCATTGATAACTGTCTCCCTCTTGCTGAGGTTAGCGACTGTAGAACCAAAGGCAAATTCAGGTGAGGTGATATCAATACCTTCTGATGGAACTTGATCTGGAGAGTTGACGACAGCCAAGTTTTCACCGAAAATTTGTTCCAATAATTGAGTGTACGACTTTTCGTGTTTTGGTACGTAAACATCGTAGTTAGCTTGAGCGGTTTCTGAGAGCTTGCCGTAGAGTTTTCCATGTTCAGGTTGATCTTTGCTGAGGTTCGTGAGAACAGACTCGGCTATCAAACCAATCTTGTCCTGGCTGACTGATCCAATGACGCCAGAGAGAAGCTTTGGTAATTCTCTGTCTGAAGTGCTGAACGCGCTGATAACATCGACGAAGAGCGGTGCAAATTGATCAACTTTCTTAGTGACTTGTTCAAGAACAGCGACACGCTCAACTGAAGCTGGGATAAGATCAAGAAGGCGTTGGTAATCCAAAGGACGGTAAGTGCTGAGAGCAAGAACACCGAACTCAGAATCCTTGTTAACAAAGTTAAGGAAGGCAGCTGAGGCGGAACCGAAGATAATGAGGATAGTCTTTGGATCTGAAGGACCGGTATAGAAGGATGTGCGCTGTGGTCTACGAGTAGCAATGAGTGCCTGAAGGGCGATAGCATCAAATTTATCGAGTTGCTTAGCAGACTTGTTTGAAGGCAGATGAGCGACACCGTTAGCATGTACGCCGTTCTGTGCTGCCTTCTCATTTTGAAGGAAATTCTTGAGATCTTCTTGTGAAATTTCGCTGAATCCGTCGATCGGAGAATCTTCAAAGACGTGGATAACAGATGAATTGAGCTGAACAGCCAATTTAGCAGCAATGAGGGCGTGGTCATGTGCTTCAGTGACTGTAGAGGAGTAAATAATAGGAAGACCAGATGAACGAAGAGTGAGGATGTCTGACAAGTCGCCGGCTTGTTCGATAGACAAATTGAAAATGATAGGTTCGTTATTCAAGTCCTGGGTCAAGGTGATGATCTCGTTGATAAGTGTAGGGTCAGCCTTTGCAGTTACTGTGACCGGATTTGCACCGTTGAGGGACTGTCTGAAGGCGGTATCCACCGGCTGAGCTCTAGTGTGCAAAGTAGCAATGTTTGGGTGGTTGAAGAGGCCAGTGTCACTTTGTAAAACATCGTATGTCTGACTAAAGGAAGATGGCTCGTGAGAAGGTGGCAAGACAGATACCAGAGTCTTAGAACTGAGGTAAGCGATCCTGCCAACCACCTGTGATGTTAAGGTGGACATTCTTTATGCTGTGTAAGTAAGTGCTCCGTTATTTAATGTTTATCTCACATTTTGATTTTCACCGTTGAAGTCAGAGAATATAGATTGCGAGCTCATTCAATGAGCGAGTCAAATCGTGCTGATTATTATTATAAAATAAAAATCTAAAATTTAAATATTCGTTTATTTATGCATTATATTTTATATTATAATCTATACATTATTCCAAAAAAGTCGACAAGAAAGTTCGATATATTCGGATTCTTTGTTATTGCTTATATTAAGTTAGCTTGAACATTTGGGTTATTTGTATCACCCTCTGCTTCCTATACTGCCTTTAAAAGCCTGTTTTCCAGTTAGACATGAAGATTTTCATTATCAGCACTCACAGCAATCGCAATCGAATGGACATAAAGGTGTGTCACCTCCAATATCATCATTCATCTTAAGCTCGTCAAACGTGTATACTGAATATCCATCCTCAGTCTTCTTTCCTGTGGATTGTCAACGAAGTAAGCAGTTATTAACTCTATACATACGCCCGCTTGTACCCCTAGAATCTGCAAAGTCATCCTCCTCATTTGCTTTCTGCTTCTTCTCTTTCTTCTTCTCAACCTTTTCTGGCTTTTCAGGTTTAGATGAGGTGGTATCTACGACTGTAATAGGAGCAGCTGATGGTTCGCTTTTATCATTCTTCTCCTCCTTGTCGTTACTTTCTGCATTCTTCTTCACCTTCTTTGCTTTCTTCTTAGATGAAGTTGTCTTCTCAGTTGATGTTTTATCTTTACTAGATGTACTTGTACTAGCACCAGAGAAAATATCATCAATTTCGTTTGATTTACGCTTCTTATCGTTATTAGACGGTTTGGCTGCTGATTTTGACATGTTGCTAGTAATAAAGAAAGGAAGAATGCTGAATTCATAATATATTTTATCATACACTCATTTTGTTCATTTAATTCCTTCGTCCACCCCTCACTATCTTATCCTCAGACGTTGATGAGGAGAGTTATGGACAAAACAAATCGATTACAGAAGATAAGTTCATCTAGATTTGGACAGAGAGCTACAAACTTGGTTAGCTCAGCTGGTACTTATATAGCATCCAAGGATTATCCACAATTAGCAAAGTCAATTTATACCTCTGCATCACAGAATGCCAGCGGTTTGTTGGGATATAACAACGATCCAAATGCTATAGTTGAAGGTACAGATACTATCACCGTATTTCCAGGCTGGGCTGTCGAGAAACAAGATCAATCTGTCTACAAATTACAACTTAGTGGATATTCCTCTTGTTTGAGAAGTATAGACAAAGCTACAAGATCTCAGAGAGCATTCATGAAACTCGCTCGCTCATTTGCTGCTTTGCCACCCCTACCAGACACGTCTGCGTCATCTCAAGAGACGTTCACCAGTGTCGAAGAAGAAATAGAAGAATTAGAGGCTATGGATATACCTAAATCTGAACAAATGCAAATAGAGCATGAGCTTAAAGCGGCCAATGTTAATCAAAATGCTCCAGGCCAATGGAACGAACAACCTAAAGCGACTAGTATGATGAAACCACAGCAACTAAAAAAGCAACAGGCTAACATACCCCTCGAAAAGCTGCACACTATGCATGCAAACATGAGTAAGTTCATCGGAATGCTGAAGATGCCTGCTTACGTCAATATTTAGATAAGCGTTTACAACCATTTTGGTCATCTATATTACCAAATAGGATCGTAAAAATGAGAGTTTACGCTATTTGGGGTGTTCCATTCGATAACAGTCAGCGCGATATCCCAGATAGTGCACCTGTCGCGTCAACCCAACTTAGAACTAATCAACAAGGTCATTTTGATTATGTATTTAATATCGTGAGTGATCATTATCTTTCTGAAATGATGATGCTAACAGTGAATAGAAAATTGATAGTATTCAAAGACCATCTTGGGTGAAAGATCCTCATCAAAAGCCCTTGGAGTTGAAAGTAGAGGTCGATTTACTTCCGCAAATGCTTGATTATAGTGTCAGATCAGGGATGACATCCACACCGGATATCGCAGATGGAATTGCAGCCAGTCAAACACTTCACGTAAAACTCACATCGGAAAGAGGTATACGCGTAATATCAGACCTTGATGATACAGTCAGGACGACTGAAATATTGAATGGCGTCCGAGCCATGTTTAGAAATGTCTTTGTCAATGATGAGAAAGAAATGGTTATACCTGATATCGTGAACTGGTATAACGATATGCATAAACAGGGTATATCTGGATTTCATTATGTTTCCAATTCACCATACGAAGCTTTTTCAGCTATCAGTGATTTCTTCAAAATATCCAATCTCCCACACGGACACTTTAAATTAAAGTATTACGGAGGGAAGTCCTTACTAGGTGGATTATGGGAGCCAGCTGCAGAAAGGAAGCGAGCAGGCGTCATTGAGATATTGAATGAGTTCAAACACTGCCAGTTCATACTAGTGGGTGATAGTGGTGAACAAGATCTCGAATTGTATTCGTCCTTAGCCAGAGAGCGTCCTCACCAAATATTGGCAGTATTCATCAGAGATGTAACCACTCCATCTGATGAAGCAAACAAGGAGGAGGATCTAATGAAGTTTAATGTGGAGAAACCGATACCACCACCTCGCAACACGGCGAAAAAACCAGCGCCACCACCCATACCACCAAAGGATGTAAATTTGCAAACCAAAAAGCCACCACCAGTACCACCGAAGAAGCCATTAGCATCACCATTATTATCCCAAAATAATGAACATAGATTACCACCACCTCCACCGCGAAGGAGTCAGACCGCTCCTGCACCACCATTACGACCAAAGCCGTCAGCAATTACATTGATCGGGAGCGATAGTGAACCAATAGAATTTGAACCATATGACGCAGCTGAAGCCAAATTAATGAAACGTATTGACAATTTTATGATGAGATTAGAGAAAGCAAAATTAGAGATACCTCCGGACGTAATCTTTTGCGTATTTAAGGATGCAAAAGAAGTTGAATCAATTACTAGAACTTTGCTAGCAGCACAGAGGTAGAAAGATTTTCACAATATACAATTTCAAGAATTTACGCACGTTTGTATTTTGTAACAATAAATTATTTGCTTAATGAGTCTTAAGTAGTAAGCTCGAGAAAGTTGAGAAAATACAGCGGGAATGTCAACCAGCCTCATTAGGCATCATCAATACCACCTATACCAAGAGCATAAGTAGCTTCGCTTTCCTAGGAGAAAACGTCTGGAATTTGTCAAACGAGGTTGGAATAACCCACTGGTAAATCAGGAGAATCTGATAATTTAGCTATACGCTCGTTACCTCTTCCTTTACGAAGGTATATTCTAGTGGTCGAAGCGTGACCAAGTACGTGTCCACCGACAGGTTTCTTATCAACTGCAGCAAAGGTCGTCATTGCACCTGGGTCTGCTTGCACGTGGTTTGATATTAAGACTGCAACATTGAATTCCTCAGCGAGACGTATAAGACGCGAAAGATGCTATGTTGAGTTAGATAGAATCACTTCCGTTATATAAACCAAGCCACCTGGTTTAGTTTTTGTTGCCGCTCAGATAATTCTCCGCGTCCACTAAAGTCGGTTCTGAACAAGGCAAGTATAGAGTCGACGATGACCAACTATGTTGTTGTCAGTTGGTCTATCAACATTCAGCCATTGCACCTTGTAAATACCGCCTTCATCTGCCATTTTCGCCGCTAAAGTGTTTATTAAGTCCATTTGCCTATATTGCAATTAGAGTTGAAGAACACCTATGATCATGCTGACTGCTCAGAATTGAATGCGCGTGCGATGGTGATATTATCCAAAGCTGCTTCCTCATCCATGTTGAATCTTGACGCAATAGACCTTATCCTATCTGGACGGAATGTACCTTCAGTGTCAATGTAGGCAGCCTTACCACTTGCACCGCCCATTTCCACTGGTAATTGAACAGTAACGCAGGCCGTATGACAAAGTTGAGTTTTTCCAGTTCTATATTCACCGTAAACCTCTGTGATTGCTTGTGATTGTATACCAGCTAGGAAATTTCAGCAAGAAAGCTACTACAGCTAACATAGCTGACCTCCTAAGACTGCATCAAATTGCTTAGAGCCTGTGGAAATGTTGCAAATCTTTTTGCGCTTCAAGGCCACCTCTGTACCAGACAAGAAACCAGTTTTTGAACACTTTTGAGCTGCTTCTTTGATTTTCTCAACTTTAACTTCAGATAAGCCCTAAACTAGTATGAGTACAGACTGCAACAGTATATTGACTAGAAATGCCTTTATTTTGAGCAATTGACGACGTGTAACTTGCAATACAGCCATAACAGTACTGATACCACCATTACGTAACTTAGTGATATCCGTAGCGTTTATATTAAACTGTTGCAGCATATCAATATGATCAAAACTCAACTCCTGAACTTGCTGTACAATATAGTTAGAGATGGGGAGAAAAGAATAGAGATCTTGAGAGATGCTCAACCTTATAATTATACTGTTCATTTATCTCCAATACTGAAGGTGATTTTGACATCTTTTATTGATTTTTCCTTATTTTGATTATCGACGTCTCTTTATAAGAAACGACAAAGATGGAAGCGACGGGACAACCTTCTCAAATTCCTAAAGGAAATATTAGCGCAAGGGATAACAGAGTTGCTACACACTCACATATTCGTGGTCTCGGTTTAAGAGAAGATGGCTCTGCGGTTATTGGTACGGGATCTGCAGGTTGGGTAGGACAGAATAGCGCAAGAGAGGTGAATAATATAGTATATCTTTTTATTATTCACTCATATCTCTAACAGGCATGTGGTATCGTCTCTGACTTAATCAAACTTCGCAAGTTCTCCGGTAGAGCACTTCTATTAGCTGGTGCACCAGGTACAGGTAAAACAGCATTAGCGTTGTCTATTTCACATGAATTGGGTACTAAAGTACCATTCTGTCCTATGGTCGGATCAGAAGTTTACTCTTCAGAAGTAAAGAAAACTGAAGTTTTAATGGAAAACTTCCGTAGAGCGATAGGTTGGTATTTGTATACCATTGCATCTATGGCTCACATCTCTCAGGTCTCCGCGTTAAAGAAGTCAAAGAAGTTTACGAAGGTGAAATATCTGAATTAACACCAGCAGAAGCTGAAAACCCATTATCTGGATACGGCAAGACTATCAGCCACGTCGTCATATCACTTAAGACTATGAAGGGTACAAAGCAGCTAAGATTAGATCCTTCAATCTATGAATCTCTTCAGAAAGAGCGCGTCACCGTCGGTGATATTGTTTACATTGAAGCCAATACAGGTGCAGTTAAGGTAATTTACAAACTACTACAATACGAAACCACTAACAACTCTCTAGCGTGTCGGTAGATCTGATGCATACGCTACATCATTCGATTTGGAAGCAGAAGAATACGTACCATTACCAAAAGGTGAAGTACACAAAAAGAAGGAAGTTATCCAAGATATAACTTTGCATGACCTCGACATGGCAAACGCTAGACCTCAGGGTGGTCAAGACATTATGAGTGTGATGGGTCAATTAGTCAAGGGAAGAAGAACTGAAATTACTGACAAATTACGTGGAGAGATCAACAAAGTTGTTAACAGCTACATAGAGCAAGGTATTGCTGAATTGGTACCAGGTGTTTTGTTCATCGATGAAGTACACATGCTGGATATTGAATGTTTCACTTACCTTAATAGAGCCCTTGAAAGTACGATATCTCCACACGTCATCTTAGCTACAAACAGAGGTTTGTGTACTGTCAAAGGTACAGAAGATAGCGGTGGTGAAGGTATTGTTTCACCACATGGTATCCCTACAGATTTATTAGATAGATGTATGATTATCAAGACTACACCATACAACAAAGATGAAATCAAAACTGTTCTGAGCCTCAGATCCAAGGTTGAGGGTTTGAAATTAGGTGAAGCAGCATTAGATCAATTAGCAGAAAAAGGTGCACAGACATCTTTGAGGTAAGTTAATATAACATTAACAATCATATTCTTACAAAATCTTCAGATATGTATTACAAACTTTGACCCCTGCCTCAATTCTTTCTAAGAACAGTAATAGAGCAGAAATATCACCGGAAGATGTATCTGAATTGGATGACCTCTTCATTGATGCAAAGACGTCAGCAGATTTCACAGCAGTATGTCTATATTCTCATCTACATTCCACTCACACAAATAAATCCAGTTTGCTCGTCAATAGGTTAGATTTTATGATTAAATAATAAATTATAAGTGTATATAGTACAATATATAATGCAAAGACAGCGTTCTATGATACTTTGATGCTAAGACGATTCACTCCTCTGTCTATATTCTTTTATAATCTGGTGAACGGCAATTGAATTGCGAATATTCTCATCAGCTAGCTTCTCAAAAGCTTCAGTGAGATATTTATAAGATGAATCCATATCTGCAGCTTTAGTTGTATTATTGTTAAGTAAGAACTGTGATTGAGAGCTGTCCTCAGACTCTCTTAGACTTTGTCTTGCTGGCGGCCGCGGTGGAATCGCTCTATTGGTGTAAGATGAACTGGCTGGCGATCCATTGTAAGCATCCAAAACGGTATCACTTAATCTATCGCCATCATTTGTCGGTTCCAAATCATTCTCTTGATTTTGGTCAAATTGACGTCGTCGACTCTCAGAATCAACGAGAACCTGGCCATTATCTTGTACTTCATCGCTAAAGTCGTTTAGCTCTTGACGCACTCGTTTAAACCAAAGTGGATCAACGTGTTGATTCTGTAGAGAGACGAGATTCCTTAGTATTTCAATATCATTATCAGTATTTTCTGGATAAAGCTGCTGGCTTGGTATTCTCGGAGTCTGACTCGTGTTGCTATTAGATTCCAGCTGATAGTTAAGTTGATCTCGCTGATGTTGTAGAAGGAGAATACGCCTCCTCATAAGTCTCTCTCTACCATCAAACTCTTGTAAAGTATCCCTAACTAAAACTGCCAAGTTTTTAAGTTCCATAGCATTTGGGTAATCTGTGCATGCAAGTTAGATAGGCGATAGCATAAGAGCGATCTTACTTGAATAATTAGCTTTTAAAATCTCAATTTCTTCTCGTAATTTTTTATTTTCTTCTATAACTCTTTTTATCTCCATTTCTAAATTGTGATGATAGAGAGATGGTGGTAGATGTTTGAGGGGTATATCAATCCATTATCGATATTTCAGCGTAAATAACGAAGAATCCAACTACTGCAGTTATTACTAAGGGTAGCATATTCATATACAAGAACTGCATACGCGGTATTCTTATTCCCTTTGATTTCAAAATATTGTCCCATAACAAACCAGCTAAACTAGCAGCAAAACTGAATGAACACGCGCCAATATTACTTCCAAATGCAATACTTAGCATACCAGCTTTGATAATCTTCTCATCCTCGCTACATTTCACCAACACTTGTGACATTAAAACAGTCGCACCAATATTGGTACTTCCATTACACAAAACAATCTCTATTAAACCTAATATCCAAACAGCTCTTAACGGCTGATCCTTTATCGCTATCTTAGCCCAATTTGCGAATATGTCTATCCAACCAACTGCTTGTAAAGAGTTGACAAGGATAAATTGAGTGATTGCGAATGGTACCAAAGCATACGGTAACCGACTACCAACTGTGATAACAGTAGGGAATGCACTTTTGAGTAATTTGAATCTATTGATGCTCTTATCCTCGCTCTGTTTTGAGTAAGTTGAATGATATCGTACGTCATGAATGAAATCGCGGACGAATACTACAAACGCAGCAGGTATAGTGATCCAGCATACGTGCATACCTTCTACTAGAACGCTACATACAACCAATAACACCAAAGTTATTGCTAGAACTATACTACCGAAGACCGCACCTGTTCTGTCAATCAAAACACTCCGTGGATTAACTTCGGGGGCGTTAAGCCTCGCTGGTATGTAAATTTCATTATTATCGCGTTTTAAGAGTGAATTGTATGGTGAAAATTGTAAAAATAAAACACCAAGTAGACTTATTGAAGAGAAGAAGACAGGTAATATCAGGTATAGTGCATACGTCAAGAAGCTAGTTGACGTTGTTGATGTCAAAACCAAATTAGTAGGGTTTGATGGTGGTAGAATCGCCGATGCTAAATTCGCAGCGGTGAATTGCGAGAATAAGAATGCAGTGGGTGGATGCAACCCAGTAACTCTTGTAAAATATGCAAGGAAAGCTGTACCACTCAATATCACCGGATCCTAATGCCCTCTATCAGTCACTATCGCCAAGAATACCACAAGACTTACGTTACCGACGAACGTGGCAAGAATGATAAAGAAACAATAGAAATAGGTGTATAGAGCATATCCAGAGTTTTTGCCTTTGTTAGATACCCAAAAAGCGAGAAATTGTAATAATCCGGTCGCATCTAATGATAAGGCAATATACGCCTATGAAATCATCAGCTTTGATAGCAAATATTATGATTTAAGTTACCAATGAGAGAAAGAGCAATAAAATGTCATAGGGTCTTAAATGAGTTTCATCGCCTACAAATCCATACTTCAGTTGCTCTCCATCGATACATTGTGCAGCTAACAACACTATTATCGAGAATACTGGTACAGTATGAAGGTTTAAATGAATATTGAACCTTTTGCAGGGTATCTTAAATGGCCTAACAGTAAAAAAATTACTAATCAGAAAAAATATTATTGTCACTATCGCTCTATAGTTCATTGTTCAGTTCCAAGAGAAACAACCTCAAACAAACGAGTTTACAATGCTGAAATATAAAATTCATGCTGACTAAAATACTATTGAGATATGCTAAGAGAGAAGAAATAGAGGTGGTCGAAAATTAGTAAAGCTTCTATGAAAGCAAGAAACCTTTGCCCTCGGACATTGCAATCGTGAGCTTTTGTTTCAAAATATCCTTATTACTGTAATCTGGTAGCTTGAGATAGTTGGCGCATGTCATTACACTTGGTAATGAATCGTCTGCTTTGTAGCCTGCTTCAGGTGATTTGCGTACTACTGTGAGTTGTGGATGAAGACCCCTAAATCCTGTATCATTAATTAGTAAAGTAAAAAGTAAAGCATATGTTTTACGTACCACCAATTGGTAACTTCGGTGAACCAGTAAGGAATTGTAGGAAGTCACGACGTGATACATTGTCAAATTCAGACATAACCTCAACCAATCTACGTAAAGCTGGACTGTCATTGTTGAATCCATGATCAGCTTTAATAATCTCACTGAGCGTCTCATTGGTCCAATCTTCGTCAGCGTTACCAAACAAGCTTGTTAATTCCTCGGCTGTGAAGATCTTCATGTCTTCAATTCGTAATATCTTTGAGAATCCTTCAACAAATGCCTCAACTTGCTTTGAAACGCCACTGCCAAGTGTTGCCTCAATGATCTTGTCGAGGTATTCACCAACGTTGTCAATGGTAACATCGACGTTTGTGCCATTTTCAACTAGTTCATACTCTGGCTTTCCTGGCAAGGTAAAATCTAGTGCAAGAGCGCTAACCTTCTCGGTTATTTCAGATGTTGAGAGCTTGGAATCGACAATCTTTTGAACTTCCATCATACTTTTTCCAACAAATGGGTCCACCAGTTTTACTCCTGCTACTGACTTAGGAATGCTCAAACCTAATACCAATTTCATGAAAAGAGGGTTGAAAGAGATATCAATAATTCTTGAGTCAAGTAAACCCTTGGCCAGGAATTGACCCAATATTCTAAACAATTTGATGCGTTCTTTACCCTTATCAGATTCACTCTCCTTATCTGACATTGGTTCTGGGAACAGACCAGTTGGTGAGAACACATACGGCGACTCAGATGAATCTTGGCTACCCCTCCACATTCGTAGACTCTTACGAGCAAACTCTTTACTAACCAAAGAATAGAACTCAAGCGTTGGTCCTAAACCTGTACCGACTTCCTCGAAATACTCGATTTCTAGAATGCTAGAAGATCCACCATATAATTCGAATACTTTGATGGCAGACTCGAGTACATACTCTCTCGATATCCTAACTTTTTGTCTTTGCATTCTACCAAGATGTGTAGTTGTTGGGTCTGGTCTACGATTGTCTGATCCTATACGAGAAGCTTCATTTTGCCATTTGTTGATCAATCTTGTTGTACCCCAAGTTTGAGCTTGTAAGAAAGCGTATCGAGTTTGGAAAGTAAACAAGAATGGAAATGCTGTAGGCAAGTCAATAGCCCATTCTGGAAGACAAGAACTATGGTATTGTTAGAAGATCATTTATTAGAATTGTCCCAACGTACCTAGCTATCAACATTGGTTCTTCAAGCTGACGATTAAGCTTAGCGGTAAGCTTATTGTTGACAAATGTCATCTCCCCGACACCTGTATCTTGAGCTAAAGCAGCATTTGGATGACTGATTGCATTCAACTCCTGTCTATCAGCGCAGAGAGCATGTAAGACTCTTAAAAGCTGAAGGATAGGTGCATGTTGAGAGTCCTTTGCGATCGATTCAGGAAGTTCTGACCAAGCGTCTTTGACATTTTCAGTAGTAACAGCGCTAATGTTAGGCTTCGCGACGATCTTCTCCTTTTTCTCTGCCGGGCCATCTATATGCTTGAACTTGAGTGTGTAAACATTCACGAATGGATTTCTCAAGGAGTTAGATTCTTTACGATGTAATGCACTGTAAATTGTCGATTCGAGATCAACCTTTTGACCGTCAAGTTCAAATTCAATATGGAAGTCGGTTGGCTTGGTCTTCAAAGCTGAAGCGTATGATCCTTTAGGCTTCAACTCCTTTCCTTTATTGTCTAATGATTCTGGTTTCTTACTGCCAGACTTTGAAGACTTTCTGGCAGTAGGTGAAGCATCATTCGTATTTGAAGGCGTCTGGATGCGAGTGCCATCAGGCGTCTTGGCTTCAATTTCTTTACCGTCATCCTTGACATCCAAATTGATCGTTTTCTCATGACCGAGTCGACCTTCACCCATCATCTCAGCTTCCATCTCATCATCAAAGAACTATCAATAACGTCAGATAAAGATAGAGTATATGTCATTTACTAACCTCGTCGTCAAAGTCGTCTAAGAATTCACCACCAAATGGATCATGCTCATCATCCTCGTTGTCATCGTGCTCATCATGTTCTTCATCCTCTTCCATGGCACGAAGTTCGTCTTCATCTATGTCATTCTGACTATGGTCGTCGGTGTCATCTTCGTCGCCTTGAACAGACTCCTTGCCTTTCCCTTTTGATTTGTTTTCATCATTCGCCGCAGGTGTGTTAGTAAGGCTCTCTTTAGAGTTTCTACGACTACCGCCTTTGCTATCTTTTCCTTTATCCTTCTTCGTACTTGAAGCAGCTGTAGATCCTTCTTCAGGTGCGGGTATGCCAGCAGCAGCAGCGAATGCAGCGAGAACGCCCGACAATCTAGATGAGCCATGTCCACCTTTACCAGAAAGTGCGCTCATTATTCTCGGACGAAGGTAGTCGTTCAAAACTTGAAATGTTGCAATAGCATGAACAGAAACAACCATAGTTGGTTGCACTTTACTGAGTTCTTGATCATCAGTAACCAAACGTAATCTGACTTGACGACCCAATGCTGACATTGGATTACGACGGCTATCATCCCCAAGAGCTGATCCTACTGTGCCAACATTGAATGGTTCTAAACGACTAAGTGATTCTTGTAGACGTTTTACGAGTGAAAGCAAAGCGGATGGAGAACCAGGGATGTGTGACCTAGTATTGGTAAAGGTTTCGAGCACAACTTTGTGTCTCATACTTGAAGGGAGTGATTCAGTATCACCCGTGATAAATTCAAGCAAACCTTCAATCAAACCACTACGAAGTAATTCAAAGCTTGACATACTATCTTCACGTACGAACCAGTTACCAAGCTTCTGCAAAGTCTCCTTGATTTGAACTGTAGATGTTTCAGATGACTTGAGCTTATCCACCATATCGCGGATCTCTGCGAGTGCAACCTTCGCATCGTCATAGGTGTCTGCACCATTTTGCTCTTCCAACTTTGAAAAAATGACCTTTAATGTTCTAGCTCTAGCGATTGCTGCATCTGAAGGGTCTACATTTGAGGCTCTATCGAGACTAGCAGGTGATGCAGTTCCTGCAGCTGCTGAGGCAGCAGCACTACCTGCAGCAAGATATGTAGCAAGACGACTAGCTGGACCAGTGGAGCCAAGATTCAAAAATCCGGAAGGCGCTTCTGATGGAGGAAGATCCACTCTCAATGCTCTAGCAAGGTTAGATACTGGATCACCAAGAGGCCCTTCATCCTTGTCTAATGGTGATGTTGGCTCATTTGGTTTCTCTTTTTCATCCTTTTCTGAGTTAAGCTTATCAGTAGCAATAACTTCTATTTCATACATGACACCTTGACGTCTAAGAGCTGAGTGATAAACTCCAGGAAGCTTGTTAAGTAAAAGTTCGACAAGTTGTAAAGCACCAGTTACTAGATTTGGATTCTCACGTGAAGAAAGGATACCACCGATGAAGCTGGCCATTGGTATATATCTGAGCAGATCATGTAGTTGTTTCTCTTCCGCGAAACTGATGACCTTAAGCAATCCTGCGAGAGCCTTACTGCGAACAGGTGTTGATACGGATGCTGCGTAAACCTCAACAAATACCGGTACCATAAGTGACATGAAGCGGTTGATCGAGTCTGGATTCTGACGAAGACATTCAATACGAATACGCATTGATTCTTGACGAGCGGCTTCTCTCTGCTTAGAACGGCTCGTGATGATTGATTCTGGTTTTTCCTTGTTCTCAGCGTTTTGTGAGCTTTCATCCTCAGTTTGACCTTCTGTCTTGTTGATGTAGGACTTGTTATCGAAAACACCAACTAAAGTATATCAGAAATTATTCAATTTATTGAAAAAACTAACCTGGTACTATAGGTGGTAGTAATTCTAAGGATAAACTGAGTGCTTCATCGACTTGATCTTTTGGTCTATGAGCGAGATTTTCAAGAACAACCATATCAGCTAGGCCACCTTCTCCTGGTGCAGAACCATCCTCCATTGCTTGAGTAGTAGGGTCAGTCTTCTCAGGAACGAGAACACCAGTAAGTATATTGTAAAGTGTATCAACAATGTTACGATTCAGCAAAGCGATTGATGCCTTAGCACTAGCCTTGCTTGCTGAAGACATCGCGCGTAAAAGTGCAGTAAAGGTATTGATAGTAATTAATGGTGTTCCACCTGAGCCAGATGGTGATAGGAGATTGACGACGCCGGTTATGAGTGTTCCATCTTCAAGTAACTTTTCAATAAGGTCAGGCTTGTTTTTGTAGCTGTCGATTATGCGTACAACGCAGAGACAAGCTTGTTCAACTAATCTCTGGTCTGAATAACCAAGAACATCACGAATCTTCGAGATAGCATCATAAACCATGTCGAAGCTTTCTGGAGTCAATGCACGACAGCAGTTGGCGGCTGCAGTGAGCGCTGTGCGTTGAACATGTGAGTTGAAGAAATCAAGATATTGGAGGATAGCAGTGAGACCACCTTCCGATACGATTTTGTTTGGAACTTCTTGAGCCACTTTGCCAAGTGTAGAAACAGCCTCTTCAGCAAGGTCGACGTATTGAACATCACGTAGCTTTGAGCATAATATCGGAATAGCACCATTCTGGGCAACTCTAATTGAAGAACCAGGTAATGCTTCCATCAGGTTGGCCAAACAACGGCAAGCTAAGAGTTGAGCTTCACCGACGTTGTCACCGAATCCATCACCGCCGGATGCTGCAAGAGCAGCCATAATCTCAGCTTCTTCTTGAGCTTCAGCAGAGAGAGGTTCCTTCTTCTTAGATGGATCAGCAGTCGTTGGCGGATCACCATTCATGATAGCAATAAGCTCTTTAGAGAATGCTTCAACTTGGAAGGACCCTGCAAGCGTTTCTTCAGTGGAGACAGCTAAAACTTCTGCTAACTCTTGGAGGGCGATCATGAGCTGAGTACCATCACCAGCACCTATTGGGTGAGGACGCTCACGGAGATGCTGGAGAATGTTCTTGTAGCGTGAGGATTGACCAAAGATGAGCCCGCTTAGCATCCTATAATCAGTAAGGAGTGCATGGTCATCTTCAGGGAAGTCCTCCTCATTATCGTCAAGCTCTTCATCTAGATCATGGTCTTCTCCTAAGTCTAAGGCTTCGTCTTGATGGTGTTCTATTTCATCTTCGTCTTCGTGTAAAGATCTGTCTTCATCACGGGCTTCGTTGCGGGCTTCGGCAGCAGCATCAGCTTCTGCCATTAGTATGTCATCGTCTAGGAGGGTGTTATCTAAGGATGTAATCAGCTATGATGTGGACTGTCCGCAAACAACCTACTTCTATGTTGTTGATTACGTCTGTTTGAGTGAGGGCGGGTCTTCTTAGATCTGCCACTTGTTAGAAGATTGTCGATAGCAATAGAAGACGTCACTCACTTGTCATTTGGTACGTTTAGTTGCTTTTTGTCCATTTCTCTCGATGATGATGATCTTAAGTTGTACTTGGGCTTCTTTGAGTTAGATTCAGGCGTGTGTTGTGACTTTCTTTTGCTTGAGCTTGGTTGAGCTGGTTGTGTGTGCTGTTGTGTGGCTTGTGTGTGCGATTGAGATTGCGTAGGATAACTTGGATTTTTTGACTTGCTTGATTTGTTATTTCTCTTTGGTGGCATCTGATATTTAATCTAGATGTCCATTAACTGTATCCCTCAAGCTGTTTTCTGTAGGAGATCGTGATGGTAAGGAAACAACCCTAATCAGCAGTCATAGAGAGATATGAGAAGGTATGTGAAATTAATTTAAAAAAATACAGGAGATATTTCAAATATACGGTAGATCTCTAATAGCACTCTGAGTATATCCACAGGAGTCTTATATTGATGATATCTACCAATCTATATAGCCCTCCTCCGTTAAGAGCAAAAGCGTGTGCGCTAGAGCTCCTGTAGATGCTTATCATCTACAAAAGGGCGTTCGTCGTCACAGGGATGTCGTTAGTCATGCTAGGGTTACGCACTCACACTCTCCAATAAACTATTATGCATAAAACAAAATATTTATAGAGATAATAGTCTATTTCTTGTATACTTTTTCTGTCTTATCTTGAACGTTTCTCCTGAGAAGAAATCTCGCCTCTCAGCTCATTCCCAATAAAAAATATCGTATCTTGCTATAATCACGTTATGGCGCAGAATGTAGACGAGGAAGCACCCCTATTATCGTCATCGTTTCATAATGAGATGAATATACACGAGAAGATGTCCTCATCTCCCGTCTATCCGCTTATTTGGACTATTAGACGAGATATAACGAAGATTATAGAAACACCATTCTCATGGGAGCAGCTACAATCTCCTCATTTAACATACAACGTTGTTCAAATACTAGCCTTAAAATATGGATCTCTTTATCATGAGAACTTGGCAGTTGGTGCGTTATATGAACCAATCAGGGTAAAACTGACATGATTTTATAGTATACTGCCTACTTGTTAACAGGGTTTACTTTATCAGCGAATCCAGTTCTCCGGTATGTTCTTATCTATCATTGATTCGTAAATTTTGACGAGATAGACACACATGGGTGTCAATGCGACAAGAGCTAATCTCTGTGAACTACTCGCATTAAAAGTATTACGGATTTATGCTGTAAGTCCGCACTACATATCTCTGTCTTGCGTTTTCATTCATACGTCATAGGATAAAGCATCATCAAAGATAGATTTGGCGTATGTATTGGCAGGTCCATTCAGGTTGTTCCAAGGTGCATCAGATGAAATAATACAGAAAGTACTCGATGAGGAAGGCGAAAGTGCGCTTTTTAAAGCAAGCAACGCTCTCGAAATAGCCATAGTAGGAAACGCTAAAAGGTTTATAAAAAGCGCCTATTGCCAGAAAGTAATAAATTCAATATGGAATGGCTCCGTTGTTTACACACCCGTTAACAAACACGCATTCATCAGTGATTACTACAAAGTCAAACCAATTACGTTCTTCAATCCCCGCCAATCACCTCTACTAGATCATTATCGCTTGAAAGTACCTCGTATTCGCTCCATTATTGAATATGTTAAGTGAGTTCATAAGTATCCTTTTTTCGAAACTTACGAGTTTAGCTTCTGCATTTTATTCGCTTTGTTTGTCTTTGCTATTGAATGTAAGTAATAGCTTGATATTCTTCTACATTAACACTAATATCTAATAGCCAATGAGCAACACTCACTCAATGTGATTGAAATTGGCTTCATATTCTACGCCTTGGGTTTCACATTAGATAAATTAGCAAGTACTCAGGAACACGGTTGGAAGGTATACTCAGCAAATCTATGGAATGGCTTCGATTTGCTTTTTATCGTAGATTTCCTCCTATACCTCTCATTCAGGTTATATGGAATCTGGTTTGATCATCCTAAATACTCACTACTGGGCTTGGACGTCTTGTCTTGCGCTGCTGCATTGTTATTCCCACGATTAGCGTTCGTCACGTTGTCGAACAACTTAATGATATTATCTATACGGGCCCTTTTCTTAGATTTCCTATTCCTCATGGCACTCGCATTTTTCTGCTTTACAGGGTTCCTCTATGCACTATGGACACTCGGTAGAGGTGCTTACACCTGGCAAGAATTAGCAAAGTACATGATGTTCATCGTGAGTTTATAAGAGCTTTCGGAAGTTATCTAACATAGTACAGTGGTTCGGTTTAGATGGAACAGGATTCACCATATCGCCAAACCTTCATCCAATCTTTGGACCAGCGTTGATTGTCTTATATGCATGTATAAGCAACACATTGCTATTGACGGTCTTAGTATCAATTCTATCAACTACATTTGCAAAAATAGATGCGGATGCAGAAGCTGAATACATGTTTCGGCAAGCCGTCCAAACAATCGAGGGTGTCAAAAGTGATGCTCTATTTGGATACCAGCCGCCACTAAATATATTCGCATGGCTGATTATGACACCAGCTAAATGGATATTGACACCTCGTTGGTTCCACAAAATCAATGTATTCATGGTTAGGGCCACAGCAGCTCCAATATTACTTTTTATATCACTGTATGAGAGGTATGAACCTGAAACACTTCGTTCAGTACTACCATTTTATAAGAGAATTCAAGCGATTGCAGACAAGATTGGTGACAGCTTACCACGTAAATTGAAGAACCTCACACTTCTCGAAGGGCTTGTTGGGTCAAGCAAAGATGTCACAATAGCATTTGAGTATCATCCAGATGAAGGATGGGATGAAGATGAAGATGATGATGATGATCTGGATACATTCACCAAACCCAACGTCAGTCAGGATGAAGTACACAGAGCGACGACAGTCGCAAGGGAACAACATTATGGTACAGAGGAAAATGAATTACATCGACACATGTGCGAAGAAATCGAACAAAGACGACTTAGTCAGATGCCATCAAGAAATGAAGGTAAAGCAATGCTGTCGCCTCAAACAATTCAGAATGAAAGGAGGCACGATGAGCGAGAGGAGCGAGAGGGGCTAATCAATGTCGGGTTGAGTAAAAGTGTAGACAGGGATCCACCAGCCATCCCTCCTCGAACGACGTTCAATGACCTTGAAAATAGCGACGGATTATCACACGATGTCGTCAGTCCTCTCTTAAGTCAGGAAGATATGCCAGTTGGCTTACGTTCGCGAAGAAAAACAGATGGTACGGCACTCCTGCGTTCAAAAACGCTTGAGTTCTATGGCGAAAATATGAAATCACAACGTGCACAGAAGTCATTTACTGATAGACCGCGTAGAATGTCAAATGTGGAACATACACTGAGTCGTAACATAGGTAGTCTCAATAGCCCACTAGCCAAGGCGTTCTCAACAAGGCCATATGCCTGGAATTATCGAAGACCAATGTCACATGAATCTAATATATCTACAAATCACAATGGTGGTTTGATCCCACCACGTAGATCTCAAAGCGCTAGCACATCACCAAATCCGACTCAAAGTGTTTTGCATAGCAATGAACACAATAGAGCCTCTTATCATGTTAATGACAAGCTTGCCGCCATAGATGCTAGACAAGTTCGCATGGAAGCCTTACTTGAACGACTAGCAAAAAGTGTAGAATGGACTCCCGGTCCATCAACCTAAGCACGCGAGCAACGACATATTTAATGTAACAATGTAATGGTATTTATTCATGAAATGTCTCGTTACTGAATTATCTACATTTACAATCTGTCAATACTTCATTGTTCGTTCACAATGATACTGGCTTTGCCCATTCCAGAGCCCTGTGTTATGCGTCAGGCAGTTCTACCTAATACTAAGTTTACTCACAATACACATAGAAGTGCAAAGGATTCTTGCGCCAGTTTTCTTAGCTTCTGATAAGATAGTTGCGATCTGACGAGCACCCGTGCATCCAAGAGGATGGCCGAGAGCACTTAATTGATTTAGTATGATACGTAGTATTATGCTTATACCACTCACATTGCGCCACCGTTTGGATTTACTTTAGCTGGTGAAAGACCCAGCTTTTGAACGCAATATAATGCTTGCGATGCAAATGCTTCATTAATCTATTTATGTTAGACAAAGAAACAAATTTATAATGTACTCACTTCGTAAATATCCACATCAGAGGTAGTCAAGCCAGTCTTCTCAAGCACCTTTGGGATTGCAACGGCTGGTCCGATACCCATGATGCGTGGCGGACAACCAACGTCAGCGGAGGCGACGAATTTACCGAGGATAGGTAATCTCAACCTTTCAGCATGACTACGCCTGGTAAGAAGAACAGCAGCAGCACCATCTGAGACTTGCGACGCATTACCTGCATGTGTGACACCGTTCGCATCGAACGCAGGCTTCAACTTTGCGAGTGACTCTTTGGTGACGCCATCTCTGATACCGTCGTCCTTATCAACGAGTCTTTCGGTACCGTCTGAGTTCTTGACCATAATTGGAGCGATTTCATCTCTGAATTTGCCCGCTTTTTGAGCAGCTGCAGCTCTTTGTTGTGAGAGGGCGGCAAATTCGTCCTGTGCAGCACGTGTGATACCGAAGTCTTTGGCGACGTTTTCTGATGTTATACCCATACTACAACGTATTAGATAAGTCATGCTATTTATGTAATACTAACGGAATGAGACAATCAGCTGCTTCTTGATTTGAGAGTACATCCTCGTCCATATTCTGAGGGAGTGCACCAGCGCCATAGTGAGCGGTCATAGATTCCACACCTGCACCGATACCGAAATCAATTTGACCTGATGCGATTTCAAGTGCGATTTGTGAGATAGCTTGCAAACCAGATGAACATTGACGGTTTACGGTGTTGATAGCTGTGGTGTGTGGGATACCAGCGTAAAGCTGTGCCATTCTAGCAAGGCTTGCACCTCCTCCCGGTGGTAAAACGTTTCCTACAGCGATGTCCTTAATTAGCGAGTTAGCCGGTTGTGCTTATCAACGGGAATAGTACAAACCTCAATCAGAGTAGGATCTACATTAGCACGCTTTACGGCTTCCTTGAAAGCGTGGGCTAGTAACTTCTCCGGTAGAGTACCGGCTAATCCACCTTTCCTAGCCTGAGTTTGTGAGAAATGCGTGTAAAGATAGATAGAATCTACTAACTCTAGTAATAGGAGTTCTTACCGCTGATACGATAACGACATCGTTTGGATTTTTATTGAGTACTTCTTTAATCGTCATAGTTTGAGTTCAAGTGGGGAGTTCACACTTTGGTCACGTATTATCAGCAGCTGACAAATGAGGATTTCAACGACGCTTATGAATTTAAAGCCAGCAGAAAATATCAGACCAGCGATTTGGAAATCAATAGCACCTTACAACGCAAATCACGACTTCAAATTACCTAAGTTACCGGTACCGTCACTCGATCAAACAGCCCAATTGTTATCGAAATCTATCAAAGCATTATCAAATGACACAAACAAGATAACAGCATTAGAGCATAAACTAGCGTCATTCGTAGCAAACGAGGGTCCAAACTTACAATCTAGATTACACGCTCGTAGAATGGACCCAGAGCACGTGAACTGGCTTGAGCAATATTGGGACGATGCAGCATATATGGCATACCGCGATTCAGTCGTCATTAACGTTTCATTCTTCTATGGGTTCGTACCCACGTCACAGCCACTTTCTGAAACACAGTATGCAGCAAGAATTGCACACTATGCTCTTCAATTCCGCAAGACACTATTCGATGGTCAACTTGATCCTGACTTTATCGGCAAAGATAGATCACCATTATGTATGAACTCCTACAGATTCATGTTCGATGCTTGTCGCATACCATGCAAACCAGCTGATTACGTCAATGTTAATAGACAAAAGATTGGGCATATAGCTGTAGTCCACAAAGGCAATTGGTGGAGTATTCCTGCAACGACAGCCGATGGAACGCCGTTATCAGTTTCGGAGTTAGAGCAAAAGATTGATTACATCATTAATCAGCCAGTGAAAGAGGGCTTTGTGGGTGTCTTAACAACTCGTAACAGAGATAAATGGGCCGATGTAAGTGGATCATGTAATTTGGCTGGGAGTAATTCACACAGACGATAGGACCGTATGAAGCTCATACAGATCGATCCTACAAATGCAGATTCACTTGCTGAAATTGAGTCGGCTGCCTTTGTTATCGCTTTGGATGGCACGCAGACGTTGGATACACCAGTCACCAAATCTAGACATCTCTGGCATGCAGGTGATGGTGGTAAATTTTCCAACAACCGCTTTGTTGACAAACCAGCTCAATTCATTTGCTGGACAGACCAAAGCTCAAACACAGCTAGAGGGGGTCTAATGGGCGAACATAGCGCCATGGATGGCACCCCACTAGTACGCTTATGCGAGTTCGTCGTAGAAAACATTGAGAAGGCCTCGCCTGCATCTAATGAACTACTCGACCAAGATACCATAAACGCAGAAAGGAGAGATACCCTGGCACCCAAACACCTTGAATTCAATGAGAACGGCTTAGAAACATCAACCGCAGAAGCTTGGAATGAAATTAAGAATCTCACAAATAGTCAAGTCCTTGGATATACTTTAACAGGTTATGGCAAAGGCGCAATAAAAAAAGCAGGCTTCTCGCCAGATGCATGGACACAGATGATCATACAGCTGGCTTATTCTCGCCTGGTAGCCAGTGAAGGTGGTGAAAATATCCCAGCTGCAACATATGAAGCTGCAATGACACGATTATTTGCAAATGGACGCACAGAATGCGTTAGATCAGCCACATCTGAGAGTGCTTTGTTCACAAATGCGATGAATGATAGCGCAAAGACAAATGAAGAACGTAAATCAGCTTTAAAGGCTGCCATAAAGATCCACATCGAGAACATGAAACAAGCAGGCCTAGCTCAAGGTTGCGATAGACATCTTTTTGGTGAGTGATGTCTTACTTTGGTATTATTTTTCATCTTGTCATTCAAGGTCTTAAGAAGTCTTTACTTCCAAATGAACAAGTGCCTGATATATTCAATGATGAGTTATTCAATGTATCAGCTACTTGGACGTTGTAAGTGTCTGTATTCAGGCTAACCTCCCAATTGCTAATAATTTCCAGGTCAACCTCACAGATATCTTCAATGAGTTTCGACACATATGGCTGGGGTGAGGTCGCTCCAAATGGGTAAGTTATCTTGAAGCATTGCTTTCTTACTCAATTAACCAACAAAAAGCTTTGGCATAGCCTATGCTATCTTTGAAGATTACCTTCAATTCACTATTACCAATACTATTTTATACGGTACAGCAGAAGAAAAGAATGGAAAGGGTAAAGAACGTAACGACAAATTTGTGACTTTTTTAAATGAAGCTGCTAACGATATGATAATGCTTTTTAGGCCGTCACAACATCAATCTAAGCTTTAATCTTCTTATGACAATACCACGAAAACGAAACTACAAATTGTAATTTTTATGAACACCTTGGTTTCATTTTTGGACAAACTCGATCCTGTTCTTGGTGGCAATCACCACGCGTCTGGCGCTTGCTGTATCATGGCGCATCAGAGTGGAATTTAAACAACTGAAATAGTATACAATGATTAAAGTCTAGAATATATTGTGTTGTTTTGCTATACTGAGATTCTTGTTATAATAGAGTTGATGACTTTGTGATCATATCCAAGGTGATAGTATTATATCTTCATATACTACGATTGATACCTAATCATTGTATAGTTTGGTAGACGAGAAATGCATATAAATCTACTAGCGGGGTTTCATTGAAACTTACCCTTAAAGTTTTGTTCGTTAAGAGATAGGAATTTTTACAGAATTAGAATAAAAGTTATGTATGTAAACCCGTTTATCGTCTCATCTTTTATGTCACAACCAGACGAGGAAGCATCTAGAATTGAGACGGAAAAAAGAGCGTACATTAGTCTTTACTTTTCAATTTCGGAAGTTTTCTTACAAATATAATGTTTTTGTTGTGATATTAAAAACGATTAATGTATCCTAGCCAAGAATTGCAATTTAGAATACAAATACCTACATGCTGAAATAAAAATTTACTACAATGAATGTAGGTTTAATACTTCTTCAGAACGTGCTGTAGTTTCTTCGTGAAAGTATAGCAACTTGTTTAGCTTTTAGCTTTTAAAGTCTAAATATATGTGACATAAAGTATAACAAGTGGTTTTAACGACGGCACAGTTATAAAACTGTCCGGATGTTTTCGCGAAAACATTCTCAAGGTTTTAGATTTATTTGTTCGATCAAACTTTAGTTTTAACATCACACATTTGTGAATAAGCTAAGAAGGTTTTGTGTTCATGAACCAGTAGTATGAAATCGAAACCGACGGATCATATTAGGCCTAAAACCTGGAAGTCAATAGTACCCCACATATCAAATCACAAACTTAAGTTACCCGAATTATCTGTACCACCGCTCGAACAGACAGCTCAGCGTCTGTTAGAGTCTGCTAAAGTACTAACCACTGATGAAAATCAAATTAAGACATTAGAGCTCAGAATTGCCTCATTTCTTGCAAATGAAGGTCCAAAATTACAAAATCGGCTAGAAGAATATAAGAAGGATCCAAGGAACCTGCTTTCATTTGAGCAAATTTGGGATGACGCTAATTATATGGAATACCGCGATCCTACTGTCGTCAACGTTTCGTTCTTCCATGGTTTCGTACCTATGTCACGACCACTTTCTGAAACACAGTATCAGCAAGAATTGCACACTATGCGAGAACTGATATTTCAATGCCATTACACCTTCCATTCGATGAAAGTGGTTTAGAAGCGTCAATTAACGAAGCTAGAGATGAAGTTGCCAAGCTTTCTGATAACCAAGCTCTCGGATATACTGTGATAAACGGTGGTAAATCCATTATAAAGGCGAATGGTTTATCAACAGATGCTTGGACACAAATGATCATACAGTTGGCTTATTCCCGTTTAGTAGCCATCGAAGGAAGTGAAATGTTCCAGCTGCGACATACGAAGCAGCGACAATGCGTTCTTTTATCAATGGCCGCTATGAATGCATCAGATCCACTACATCTGATAGCGCTACATTTGTTGATGCTATGAATAATACCGAGAAGACAAACGCAGATTGAAAGGACGCTTTGAAAACTGCTGTCAACACTCATGTACGCAATACGAAACAAGTTAGTTCTGGACATAGTGTTGATAGACACCTTTCGGGTAGGGATGTTGAACTATGTGTTTTATTTTTAATTCTCTTATTTAAGATCTGCAAAAATCACTTTATCCAAGCGAACAAGTACCCGAATTGTTGATCGATGAATTGTTTAACAAGTCATCTACTTGGACAATGTGAGTGTTATAATGTTACATATTACTAAATCAGAAAGCTTACTTTTCACCAGATCAACCTCACAAATATCTACAAAAGGCTTCGAGACATATGGTTGGGGAGAGGTCGTTCCGCACGGGTAAGTCCTTTTTGTTGATACATCCAACATAGGATAATGAACATCATAAAGTTTTGGAGTAGCCTATTCTATTTTTGAAAATTGCCTCCAGTTCACAGTCACGAACACGGTTATGTATGGTACAACAAAAGACAAAAATGGAAAGGGTAAGAAGCGTAACGACACCTTCGTGGCACTATTGGATGAAGCTGCTAAAGATATGTTGATACTCTTCAAACCAGCACAATGTCAAGCTAAACTTTGAATTATGTGATAAAATTTTTTTTCATAGAGAATCCTGAAGTCATAGATCCGCCCATTCTAAAGGGAAATAAATGATACATGTTTTTAAAAACTACTGTTACTCTGGAGTATGAAATTTTCCTTTATCCATTCTCATCTTCTATTATAAATTTGTTTCTTTTTCTTCCTTTAACAGCTTCATTGTCCTTACATTCTTTTTGAGCCACTATATTTCTGGTCTATACCTCCGCACCTGCCATTGTTAGAGCTGTACGTTCAGCACCTTGTGTTCGAAATCGAAATATGTTACTAAGATGATACCAGTTTCAGCTACGTCAATGATCAATTGCGGCTTGGAGATACCGTCAAGAGATAGTAGAGCTTGAAGCGTTCCTAAGCGCTGGACTGAAAGATGATGATGAAACCTAAATATATTGTTAAAACGATACAAAGTTAAACTGCATCCATCAATATTTCTTAAAGCATGAGGATTTGAAGTGGTTGCAGAATTTGCTAGAAGCCTTTCTTGACTAGTATCGTAATACGTATTTATGATTTGCTTTTTCGCGAAAAACTGTAAAATTTTTTAGGCCCCAGTTTTTTCTTCAAAATGTACAGAAACAATATATTATTTTATACGTCAATGCAGTCATTAAGCCTCGCTAGCTCAATCGGTAGAGCGTGAGACTCTTAATCTCAAGGCTGCGGGTTCGAGCCCCGCGTGGGGCTATTACTTTTGCTTTTTGAGATTATCGTTTTGCAACTTTCCAAACAATCATTAATCTCTGAATTTTAATATTATTTTACACAAGTACTAATCGTAAATCATATTACTAAGATGGTTTTGACAACACCCCAAATGGCGATGTGATGGCAGCGGCTGATCCAGACGAAGAAAGCGTTTGATTTTGCTTTTTACGTTCACTTCTGGGTAAAAGTGGAGGAAGTAGCGTGTCAGATGTTGTTGTAGGTCTTTGTAATCGTGAGGATGGTAAGCCAGTATTATTTGCAGATGGCAAGCGAGTTACTTGGGGTTGTGCGTAATCTTCAAATTCTGCTAAAGGATCTCTTTCAAATGGAAACAAAGAGCTGAACAATAGATGTTGAACAACCACTCTCTTCTTGAGAACTTCGGCGTCAAACATCTTCAGCATTCCTTTATTAACCTTTGCCCAGTTTGGTACAGTATGAGCGATCGTATATATTTGCGGTGAATGTTCATGCCACGGCCCAGATTTGAATTTCGCAATATTTGTGACAGCTAAAGCGTAAAGATTGTCATTGGGTGTGGGAAAAGTATCTTTCTGGAAGAGTTGAGAAGGATGTCTATCACTACCTTTTAATTGCGATGAACCGAATATGTAAGGCATAAAACAATAGTCATCTAATCCCCAAACACCATGACTACCAGCAGGTTCGAGCTTGTAAGCTAGTTGCAAACGCGTGACAAGTTTCAAGTAAGTCACGAAAGCAGATGATACCAACTTGTAATAATGTTCAGATTGTACTAAACCCATTTGTTTCAACATTAACAAAATGACGATAAAAGATAATTCATGACCTGTACCATAATCTATTCTTCCAAATGACCCAAAGGCGTTCAATAAAGTTGGTTTCAACTGATTGATCGTATCTGCATCCACTTTAAATCGTTTAATGAGTCTGTCTGCATTCTTGGGATTTTTAGTAACGAGAAGCTTTTAGATAATAACTAACCTGTTCTAGTCTACTTCCCCAGTCTCTGAAAGCTATGTTACCGTATCGCTGAGGAGTATCAATTGGCTTGATATCATCGATCCAGCTATCTAATTCCTTGAGGAGTGTAATAAGATTATCGATAGTCTTACCTCTGTCAGTATATAGCTCCTACAGATAATTGGACACACCTCCAAGCCTGTCAACTCATCAGAGTTGTCAATATCAATTGCTCTATCAACAACAGCAGAATTCAACTCTTGTATGAAAGCAATGAGTCTAGTATAGGCTTTAGAATGCGTCCATTGGTATACGTCGCTCTCTGTGAATATTCTCCTCTGTGGACTATCCATGTCTTCCTCATAAACTGTCGTCTATCCAAGGATGATAAAGATATCGACCAAACCTGAGGACAAAGTGAAAAATGATTTCAAGCTACTTGAACTGAATGATGAGCTAGTAAAAGCTTTAGACGATCAGAAGTTGTGAGTGTACTCTTTGAATTGGCACTCAGGCGTTCTAAATGACGAAGGCTGCTATTCAAAGGTGACGGCGATGAAGACGTCGTCTTATGCACGCAGGATAATACCTACTCACTCAAGAATAGAATGCATTCTAACAGTTTGACGATGTTAGACGAATCTACAAATAAAGATGAATACTCAATAGCACATACGTTCCATGAAATATTAGAGGTACAGAAATGTAGTCCAAATATCGACAAAATAGATATGTTACTCTCACATCGCGTTTTACTTGATCCAACTGAAGTTGACGTGAGTTTGAACATAAAAGCGCGTAACTTTGCTGATAATACCTAGAATAATGTTGAAGAGAGGTTAAAATATGATTATGATCGTATAAGTAGTGAAATACAAGCTAGTGATAAGGAAATTCGTCAGGCTTTCACAGATAGACGTATTGTCTGCTTCAATGGTGTGTTTCTAAAGTAGTGTTCCGTAAATTCACTAAACTGCATGCAGGAGAATACCGCCCAGTTGATCCAGAGTGTCTTTTGCGCGCCCTCGACGTGATACTTAACACTTTAGAGCTTGTTGATATGTCGTTCAATAAGGTTGACAAAGACGAACTAGCAGACAGTATAAACAAAGACCATAATATTAATAGAGATTACATAAGCACTGTTATTGGATGGTATATGAACAGCGATACGACACTAGATAGTCAGGCATTCGTAAAGGAAATTGGATTATCTCTCCTCAAAGTACAAAGCCGAGCAACGGCATTTGAGAAGTTTCTTGATGATTGGAAATCAAGGTCTGGCTATGAACTACAAGATCAGTGTAACTTGAACTTATTGAAGGGTTACTACTTGATAGAAGCTGGACAGATAACATATTTTACTACGTCATCTTTATCTAAGAACCCATCTAAGCGATTCCAAGAATTATTCAAGACACGCCAAAAATGGTTCTCTGTAGACTTTATCCCATTCATTAGGGACCTTGGAGATAGCAAAGAATTGGAGAGAATGGTGATGAAATTTTGTCGAACGCAAACAGACAAAGATACAGGAATGGAGACATATACTTCTAGACAACGCATTTAAATTATTTAATCCGAGAATTCAATGGTTTCTCCGCCTTGTTGTAATACCCCTTTACGCACTTTTTCACCTTTGGCTTTCATGAGGTCTTCAACCGTACGGAGTGTACCTTCACCAGTAGCTGGCTGGTTAAACCAACCGAGATTGTCTGCTATTAGATGTCGATTTTTGCATCCTGGACATTGTACGATGACAATTCCCTGTTATTGTTTATGTAAGCAAGGAAGAAGATTAGTGATGACATAAGAATACCTTTGTGTATGAATTTTTTGAGAATTCATGAGTGGATCTCTCTCCACAGTCTGTAACTGTACAAGTGAAGCTTATCCTGAGTCTAGGATCAACTTTTCCAATTGGTGTCGATGTACCATCAGTTGGGATATTGTGATTGCTTGAATGTAACCTCGTAAAACTTGGTAGCTGTATTCTAGTAGGAGTTGGTCTATAGCTGCACCCAACAGCTGCAAATCTTCTGATTAAATTACGAGTCATCATCTTGGACGTATACAATCAAGAAGTCTGATGTCAGAAAAAGCTGAACTATTAGGATTTAATGCCAAAGATGCATTTGATGCCTCACAATTGTTAGAAACTACAGAGCGTTCAAAGGCGTTGTTAGCTATCAAGGATGAGCTTATCAAACGTAAAGATGAAGTTTTCGCAGCTAATGAGCTTGATTTAAAGGTGAATAAGTTCTTACTGAGGAAAATAAACGTCTAACAATCTTTTTCATAGGAGGCTGCTCTATTGGTAGAGCAAGGAAAGTTGTCTGCACCTTCTTTACGCAGATTAGGACTCAACAACGATGTTAAGTTTAACGGAATTATAAAATCATTAGAGGAAATTGCAGAATTGGATGATCCAAATAACAAAATAAGCTACGCTGTTGAACTAGACAAAGAATTAGAACTCTATAGGGTTGCATGTCCAATCGGTGTTCTCTTAGTCATTTTCGAGTCACGCCCTGAGGTTGTCATAAACGTGGCAGCACTCTCTATCAAATCTGGCAACGCAGCTATATTAAAAGGCGGTAAAGAGTCCAAGAATACGTCATTTATACTCAACAATGTCATACAAACCGCTTTAGCTGAACGCACCCAGTTGAAACCACACCTTATACAAACTATTAACACAAGAGAAGAAGTCAGCAGTCTCTTACACCTCGATAAGTACATAGATCTCGTCGTTCCTCGCGGTGGTAAAGCTCTCGTTACTTCGATAAAAGAAAACAGCAAAATACCAGTAATGGGACACGCAGATGGTATTTGTTCGGTATTTGTCGACGAATCTGCAGATCTTGAAAAGGCAGTAAGGGTTGTAGTCGACTCGAAGACTGACTACCCAAGTGTCTGTAACGCGACTGAAACCCTCCTCGTACACCAATCGCAGTTAGGCAATTTCAACACTATTGCTGAAGCACTCCTCACGAACAAGAACCCAGTTACTATGCACCTCGATGAAAAATCTTTCGCTGCTTTGTCAGATAGCATAAAGCAACAATATTCGCAACAACTCGTTAAGTCCACAGATGAAGATTATGAAACTGAATGGCTCGATTATGAAATATCAGTTAAAGTAGTTGACAGTATAAATGAAGCAATATTACACGTTAACACTCATGGTTCACACCACACAGATTGCATAGTCACCGAGAATGACACAAACAAGAATACTTGGATGAAGGGTGTCGATAGTGCAGGTTGTTATGTCAACGTTTCAACAAGATTTGCGGATGGCTTTAGATATGGTTTCGGTGCTGAATTCGGTGTAGCTACTGGTAAAACACACGCCAGAGGTCCAGTAGGATTGGAAGGTTTAGTAATTTACAAGTATATCCTCAGGAGTATCGCTGATAAGGGTCATATCGTTGGTGAATTCGGATCAGGAGGTAAATCTTTCAGCCATACACCAATTAAAGATGATCGTCAACCATGGTATTAGAATTTGGTATTATTTTCTTTAATCACAAATAAATAGCATTTTGCAAATAAACTAGTTAGCCTTGTTTTCCGACTCTTTTGGTTCTTCTGTTACCATTTTTGCTTTCTTGTCAGCATCGCCGTCGGTGTCATCCTCTGCTTTTCTCTTCTCTTGCTTCTTCTTTGGTTGGAGAACGTTAACTGGTGCGTCACTAGAAATTGTCTGTCTTGCTTTATCCATTTCAGCGACGATAGCGTCTACGGTAGATTTTGAAGGGTCTTCAGATGAAGGTGGAGGTGGTTGTTCTAGTTCATCGATCTGTGAGTAATTGTGAGATTTGATAAATGTAGGAGAAAAGATGCATACCTTCAATGTTAGGTCTTGAATAAGTTCAGAAATGTCCTGAATGTGTTTGTTTGCGTCATCGACTGCCAATCTCTCGACACGCTCTCTTATTGCTGGTGTGTCACCTTCTTTTGCTTCTTCAACTGGTGCACCACTTTCAACGCGCTTTTTGAGATCGTCAAGGCGACCTTGAAGGACGTCTTTGGCTTGCTTGACGTGAACTAATGCATCTTCACGTTTTTTGTGTCCTGGTACGAGCTCATAGCTGATAGCGAGCTTGAAATGAGCCTCAGCGAGTACTCTCGAATGCTCATTAAGGATTGATTGTTTGATATCGAGTGAATTCTTGTATTCTGCAGCAGCTTCATCAAATGTCTCTAATTCGAGTGCAATATCACCCAACAACATGTGCGAATCAGCCAAAGAAAGCTTGTTATCATCACCTTCTAACTTTTGGTATATAACTTTAGCCAAATCTGCGACTTCCCAAGCCGCACCGAAGTCATCATCGTCGTCCTGACCTTCTTGTTCATCGTTTGGAGCTTCCTCATCATTATCGTCTTCGTCGTCAGATAACTGGATCAAACCAGATTGTTGGGTGTTTGACCCACTAGGTTCTGCACTCGCTGGTGCTTCTTCTTGTGCATCGTCACCTGATTTACCAATTACATGTGATTGTGATACTGCGTGAAGGTATAGACTTTCACCATATTTGAGAAGCAAACCGGCTGATTCTACGGACATCTCACCATATTTCTCGCGTCTGGAGAATCTTTAGTTTGTTAACTATATTAAGAAGCAAGCTTACACAATTTCTAACGCGTCTGAGTACTTGTTGGAAGCTTCGTAGTAGTTTCCAATAGCTAGAAGTCTACGAGCTTCGTTAGATATATCCAACAAGTCAGACCTTATGAGGTATTAGCTGATATTTTTATTTTGCTATTGTATTTACATTTTCAATCGTGATTGTAGGGAGTGTAGACAATAAATATCAAACGGGGGAAGGCATTAAGAGGATGCTTGAAAATTGAATAAAAAAAGCGATATTAATTGAATAAACGATAAAAAATTAATTTTATATTTTCAGCTTTTATATGCCGATATTAAGTAGGCGGAATTGAGGTTGAAAGTAAGCGAGCAATGAAACGTGATGACGATTTTAGGAATCTACTGATGGAATTCAGTGGGACGTTAAGAATTCTATCAGAAATTATCGATATTCTACAATTCAAGAATAAAATAAACAGTCTTATCGCTTTAATTAGCTTGAATTTAGTCATTCAATTTATTAACTGGGTGGAAATATTATCTGCTATCGTTATTTCACTCTTGTTGTTACATTATAGCAAATCAACAGATAAGTCACCACACAAATCTATCAAAACTGATAAAGATATCAACCAAGCGGTTATTCACCTTGAAAGGATAAACATCAGCGTCAAACAGTTTAATATTACTAAATATCCAAACAAATTACTACTATCTACTTTGGTCGTCGTTATAGCACTTCGTTTGTTGCTCGATAGGAGAACATTCTATTCAAGTCTCCTGACCTTCCTTATCTTGATGAATTCCCCAGAGGTTTACGTTATAATAGACAGCTTGAAAGCTAGCTCTGATCTTAAAGATAACAAACCAGCAATTTTGACGACAATAAAGCAAAAAATTTCAACTTTGAAACACAATAGCAAGAACAAAGAATCATATTATCGCTTTGAAATATACGAGAATCAAAGATGGTGGATGGGTCTCGATTGGACGCATGCGTTGCTGCCTGGCGAGAGGCCAACTTGGTATGTATATTGCTTTCTGGCGTGGGAACACTTTAACAACTACACAGGTCAGATTCGGGTTTGAACGCAACACTACCACCAACTACATTCGAACTCCCAGAGCGCACATCTACAGATGACAAAGTTGTATACACCTGGACATGGTTAGACGAGACTTGGGTCGTGGCTACACCAGGTCAGTCTAAACCATACAAGCAAATAGCACTACCAGATATATCTGATAAGCAAGATGATAAAGAAACAGCACATAATTTCTCTGTCGACAGATCAGGTGCTGAGAAAGCACTCAAGCAGGGTTTGGCAAAGTTCAATAGACATTCAGTTCAAATTGGTGACCAATCCAAGTCAAATAAAGATGCAAAAGAAGGTGAAAAAGAAGTACACCGGAGAACATCAGTTGATGGTGTATCTACACAAGAAAATAACCTTGTAGATGGTGTCGATGATCAAGGATGGTCATATGGTGATAATCAATGGGAGAGATGGACGAGTAAGAATGGTATGGGATGCTACACTCGCCGTAGGAAATGGATGAGAACTGCAATACTAAAGCAAACGATCATAGAATAGCTGTAATAATAAATTATATGTATATTTATTCACTCCATTAATTGCTGTAATTCACCCTGCTCAATCATTTCACGAAGAATATCCAAACCACCGATGAGTTCACCTTTGACGATAATTTGTGGGAATGTTGGCCAATCGTTCAACTTCTTAAGGTGCTGTCTAACACTCTCATCTTGTAAAATATCAAAATGACTGAATTCAATTGATTGTTCGCGCAATAAAGCGACTGTTTGCTTACTGAAACCACATCTTGGTGCATCAGGGTCACCTTTCATGAATAGAACAACGTCTGATTGCTTCATAATATTCAGACACCTACTATTGAGCTCTTCTTCAGTTTCAACTGCGGCTGGTGCTTGAGGAGGTAATATCGTCGATGATTGAGCGGATTTCTGAGCGGAATTGAGAGCGTGTTTGCTGACGGATTGAGCAAGTAATGCTGCATTAGCGCCTGATATTCTTTCTAATAAAGTGTGTCCCTTTTCGCTTAAATTAGAAGTTTATCAGATAAAAATCTAACGACTCACTCTAAGGAGAATAAACGAAGGTACGGCCTCGATATCGAAAGTTTCACTAATATCAGGCAAAGACTCGGCTTCGATTTGTAAGAAGACAACGTTTGTGTACTTCTCAGCCAATTCCTTCGTAACTTGGTTCATCTGTTGACAAGGTTCTGCCCATGGAGCCCAGAAGTTTAGAACCGAAAGGCTGTTCAAGTTGTTTGATAGAATATCCTGAAATTCTTCCGGGGATTGCACTTCTTTCAACATTTTTGATCGTCGTCGTTTCTTAACTAGAAACTGTGAGGAGATGATTGGTCGGGTGTTACCAAATTTCAGAATTACACGCAGAGCGTTCTCAACGACGGTATTCAGACCGTCTCAAACTTTAGTAGAGAAGATCGTATCAAACTATACAGTCGGTACTTCTCCGGGCTACAAAGTTCGCTCTGGCGATTACGTGATGATTAAGCCAGAACACATTATGACACACGATAACACAGGTCCTGTCATCTCAAAGTTTAAAACTATTGGTGCAAAATCGCCTGCAAACCCCCGCCAACCGGTTTTCACTATCGATCACGATGTACAGAACAAGTCGGAGAAAAACTTGGAGAAATACTCTAAAATGGAAGCTTTCGCTAAGCAGCACAACATTGATTTCTACCCAGCCGGTAGAGGTATTGGCCACCAAATTCTTATCGAGGAGGGTTACGCTTGGCCACAGAGTTTGGTAGTTGCTAGCGATAGTCATTCTAATATGTACGGTGGTGTTGGTTGCCTTGGTACTCCAATTGGTGCGTTTTTCGTATTTTTCCGAAAAGAGAAGACCTTCTGACAAACCAACAGTTAGAACAGATGCAGCCGCTATTTGGGCTACCGAGCGCACTTGGTGGCAAGTACCACCTGTTGTCAAGGTAGAGCTTAAAGGAAAGCTTTCTCCGGGTGTTACAGGAAAAGACGTCATCGTCGCACTTTGTGGTAACTTCAACAAGGATGAAGTACTCAACAGTGTTATTGAATTCGTCGGTGATGGTGTAAACTTACTCTCCATCGACGAGCGTTTAGCTATCGCTAACATGACCACTGAGTGGGGTGCTCTTGCTGGTGTGTTCCCAGTAGACGACAAGACTATCACGTGGTATGAATCTCAAGCAAAGAAGCTTGAACTTGGCGCTTTCTCAAATTTTGCACCATCAGCTGGTCATACTCCAGGTCAAGAGCATCCACGTATCAACGCTAAGCGTATTGAGCATCTTAAAGAGAACAACTTGAAGGCAGACTCAGATGCTAGTTACGCCGCTCATTTGATTCTCAACCTCGAAACACTTGTTCCACATGTATCTGGTCCTAACTCTGTCAAGGTTTCTACTCCACTTCCACAATTAACAGAGAGGAAGGTCAAGATTGACAAGGCTTATTTGGTTAGCTGCACAAACAGTCGTGCATCTGACATTAAAGCCGCTGCAGATATAGTAAGAAACAAGAAAATAGCAGATGGTGTTGAATTCTACATTGCTGCTGCTTCTGCAGTTGTTCAATCTGATAGTGAACAATCAGGTGATTGGCAAACTTTAGTTAATGCTGGTGCCAAAACTTTACCAGCTGGATGTGGACCATGTATTGGTTTAGGAACTGGTTTACTTGAAGATGGTCAAGTTGGTATTAGTGCTACAAACCGTAACTACAAAGGTAGAATGGGATCTCCTAACGCTTTGGCTTATTTAGCATCACCTGCTGTTGTTGCTGCTTCAGCAGTTAAAGGATACATTTCAGGTCCAAATGAGATTGAGAATTTGCATTTATCTACCTCAAACAAACCTGAATATAGTATAGAAAAGAAGGAAGCTGAATCAACTAGTGAAAAGCCAATAATAAAGGAGGATCTCTTACCAGGATTCCCAGCATCATTCGAAGGTCCACTTATTTTCGCACCACAAGATAATCTTACAACTGATGGTATGTATCCAGGTAAATACACCTACCAAGATGATATTACACCAGAGAAACAAGCTGATGTAGTCATGGAGAATTATGATCCATCATTTGCAAAGATTATCAAAAAGTTACATGAGAAGAATGATAAAGTTGACACGGAAGATAACAAGAATGGTGTTATCTTGGCATCTGGATTTAACTTTGGTACTGGTAGTTCAAGAGAGCAAGCAGCAACTGCTATTAAGAACGCAGGTATTCCATTAGTATTAGGTGGTAGTTTCGGTGATGTTTACAGACGTAATGCTATTAACAACGGTTTGATCGTAATCGAATGTCCTGAGTTGATTAAAGATTTAACGAAGGAATATACACCAACAAATGAGAGAGGTAAGGGTGGTTTGAATGGAGAACAAACAATCCACTCTGGTAAAAACGTTAGAATTTCAACTTCTGATGGTAAAATTGATATAATTAATAGCGAAGGTAACATCATAAAAACATACATTGCCGCAAGAGTTGGTACGGCTGTTCAAGATATTTGGATTGCAGGTGGACTTGAAGGATGGGTTAAGAATAGACTATAAAAGCAGTTTCTTGAATAGATTATTGATACAATTTGCATTTATTGAATTCTTGAGTGATTGTTCGTAAAACGATATCAACTGGAGTAGATCTTGTGAACGCTGTGTGAAATTGAGAGCATGCGTGAGTTGTAACTATTATTATGTTGTTAGCAAAGGTTATTTTCAAGAGTATTACCCACTTGTATTCTATTAGCGAGTGGTTGTAAATGATTCGATAGCTGTTCATTCACATCATCCGTATCGAGTAAATCACATAGAAAATCCTTTTCATCTGCTGCATGTTGATGTAACCAAGCGAGCAATTCTGTTGAGTACTTTATCGGGTCTGTTATGATATCCTGGTTATTCTCAAATTCAGTAAGAGCATCCAAAAAGCACCTCTCTAAGAGGTTCTTTCGCTGTAAAGTTAAAAATTGTAAGGCTTCTAAGTATAGGTCATCTCTAATTGCTAATTTCTTCAATGATTGTATATGCAAAGGCTTAATTTCTATAGAAAATCTATTGAATTTACTTGTGAACTCGAATTTTAACCATTTTAACAGCTTATTAAGGGCTACTTCAAAGTGATGAGATGACATTGATAATATTTCTAAACCGATATCATTATCTTTATCGTTTAATAGTAATTGAGCGTCATCTCTTATGATTGATAGTCTAGTAAGTGAAGATATGAAGGTATCATCAATTGGATGGTTATTGTCGAGTAAAGAGGTCGACTCCTTATCGGATAATGTGAATTTATCAATAAAAGACTGCAATTCCGATTGTTGGCGTTCTAAGTCTGATTGTTTGGTGTATAGGCTTGTAAGATTGTCAATGAAGAGCTTATTAGAATACTTTAATTGAGATAATTTATCGTTTATTTTAATTAAATCATTATTTATATCGTTAAACTTAGAATCAATAGCAACCAAATTATCCTTAAAACTACCCAAATTTACTAGATATTCCTCTAAATTAAATAATAAATTATTCTGTAGATTGAATTTAAAATTATTTTTTATTTTTAATTCTTCGATTTTATACAAGTAATCATCCATCTTGACCTTTGCTGTCATACAACAAGAAGAGCCCAAATGTCGCGATCTTACGATAGAGCATTGACTGTTTTCTCACCAGATGGTCACTTATTCCAAGTGAGTGCCTTCTTTCATTCTTTCTTATCAGGCTTACGTATACCTTTACCAGGTTGAATACGCTTTAGAAGCTGTTAGAAAGGGTACATGTGCTGTAAGTTCTACTACCAAGCTAGCTCACTTCTAACAGCACCTCTAAGGTTGGTCTCGCTGGTAAAGATATCGTTATCCTCGGTGTAGAAAAGAAATCAACTTTACAACTTCAAGACCCTAGATCAATAAAGAAAGTCGTTAACTTGGATGATCACGTCTCTCTTGCTTTCTCCGGTTTAACAGCTGATGGTAGAATTCTCGTCGATAAAGCTAGAGTTGAATGTCAATCACATAGACTCACCGTAGAAGATCCCGTCACCGTAGAGTACATTACAAGACACATCGCGCAAATTCAACAAAGATACACTCAATCAGGTGGTGTTAGACCATTCGGTTTGAGTTGTTTACTCATTGGATACGATCCATACGATAATATACCAAAATTGTACATGACAGAACCATCTGGTATTTACACAGCTTGGAAATCTATCGCTATTGGTAAATCATCAAAGACTGTTAGAGAATTCCTCGAGAAAAACTACCAAGATGATTTAAATGATGATGACGCAATAAAGTTAACGATCAAGAGTTTACTTGAAGTCGTACAGACTGGTGCCAAGAATATCGAAATTTCTATTATGAAGAAGGGCGAAAAGGTAAAACAGCTTGACAATCAAACTATTGAAGATATAGTGAATACTATAGAACAAGAGAATAAAGCATTAGATGAGCAACGTAAATCGAGGTTACAACAACAATTAGATGCTCAATCTGCAATGACATAAGCTCAATTTTTTTTTATTGTATATTAATTTTATCTGTCAAAATGTCATCATCATTCAAACTTGACAGTCATGTCTTACTACGGGTTGCTAGCAAAGCAGAACCCGTTAAACGATGAAACCAATCCGGTTAAGAACATAACTGTTTTCTTATTACAGTTGATTATCATTATCATTTTGTGTAGAATTTTGTCATTTGGTTTAAAGTATATCAAGCAACCACCGGTTGTCGGAGAAATTATAGCTGGTATTTTACTAGGGCCGACGGTAAGATATATAGTCTTCCTATAGTCTACATAATTTACTGACATTTATGACAGGCATTCGGTGCCATTCCAAATTTTACTGAAACTGTATTTGGCGGGGAGAATAAAGCATTATTAAGTGAGTAATTAATTTTTAGCCTAAATAAAACTCTAATACTCCGATTAGCGTTAACTTCAAACGTTGGCTTATCATTGTTCCTGTTCCTCGTCGGATTAGAAACTGATATCGATCTTATGAAACGTTTATGGAAGGAAACCCTAGTTACGACGATTCCAGGTAAGAATATAAGTTATCAAGTGGTGCATAACTCATATTACATAGGTTTACTCATTCCTTTTGGTGTCGCCGTTGGCGTCTCTGTTATAATGTACAGAGAATTCGCTGATCCATCCATAAACTTTATCGGTTTCTTCCTTTTCATTGCTACTTCAATGGCAGTCACAGCTTTGTCTATTTTATCAAGAATCCTCGTCGAGTTGAACATTATCGCAACGAAATTAGGTGCCATTGCTATAGCGGCTGGTGTATGTAATGACGCATTGGGTTACATCTTACTAGCTATATCAACAGCAGTATCATCCGGTGGTGATCAATTAAATGCGCTTTGGGAATTGCTATGTTTGATTGGTTTGGTCATCTTCTGTTGGTTCGTTATTAGACATGTAATCAGCTACTTCTATAGAAGAAATGAGTACCAGCTCACAACTGGTATAGCAACGATGACTATCGTTGGTGCTCTCATCTCAAGTTGGTTCACTGATATTCTAGGTCTTCATCCAATGGTTGGTGCATTCGCGTTCGGTGCTTGTTGCCCACATGAACACGATTTCCCTGAAAAGATGACAGAGAAGATTGAAACTCCAGTTATGATCTTCTTATTACCATTATACTTTGTTGCTAGTGGTTTGAACACTAACTTTATCCTTCTTGATTCGGGTAAAGCATGGGGTTTAATCTTTTTATTATTAGTTGCAACATTTATTAGTAAAGGTGGTTGCACAGCTGTCAGTTGTCGCTTAGTTGGTTTACCATGGAGACAAGCTATGTGTGTTGCATTCTTGATGCAATCTAAAGGTGTTATAGAATTGGTTATTCTCTCAGTTGGTTTAGAACTCGGCGTCATTTCTGAATTGGTTTATGCTCAACTAGTTATGGTTTTCATTTTGACTACATTGACAGTCAGACCATTAGCTGATTGGGTATATCTTAATAGAATAGATTTGAATGCTCATCCAGGTAATGAGAAGGAAGATACAGAGAGTGGTATAGTTGATCATCCATCTCAAGATACCCAATCTATTGTCATGGTGTTTAACACTATGGCACCACCATTATCCCCTGCATTAAAGTTCATTTCGCTTTTATCACATTCAAAATCATACAACGTTACTAATTTGCATTTACACGCTATTGAAGTAACGTCTAGAGCTTACATTGTTAGAGCGACAGCAGCAGAATACCTCGGACACTCACATATGAACATAAATTCAGAAGGTACTCACTTAGTTGAAGGACTAACAAGCTTCCAAAGATTAAGTGGTGTTAAATGTCTCGGCAAATCTACCTCATTGTTAGCGGAAAGAGATGACCATGTCAGAGTTGCTTTAGAATATGTCAATAATATCGATAGGAATGGTATGTTGATCACTCCTTGGATACCCTCTGGATCAACTTTCGGTACAAAAGCAATGTTAACAGCTGAAGCTGGCACACCACGTTCTTTTGCTGGTGCACTTTTAAAGGAATCAAAGAATGCGATTGGTGTTGTCATACAACCTTTGGATATTTTAGTTAAACATACCACGAAAGTAGCCAAAAGTGATCGTAAACCTAAGATAATTTTACCATATTTCGGTGGTAAAGATGATGAAACTGCTTTAGAGATAGTTAAAAAGATGGCAGCTAATGATGGAATTGACGCTCACATTATTAAATTTAAGATTAAATCTGAATCTGAAGAAACAAAGCGTAAACAAGAAGCTGAACTGAACGAAATGATACCAAACAATCAACCAAAGAAGAGTACTGATGATACATTACATGGTCAAGTAACTATGGTCGCACCCGGAATACAACAAAGTAGAGGATTGAGTTATGTTTTCAATAGAAGAGAATCACATGATGTTGTACCATCAACTGAGATTGAAAATGAGATAATTATAGAAGTCGAAGCTGAGAATATTATTTCAAGCATGATTGATCATCTTCAGCAGGTTCTGGTCGATGGTCATAGCGAAGATATGCTCATAGTTGGTAGAGGAAAATTAGATCAACAGCGCACATCTTTGTTTAGAAGCCAAGCGGACGACATGTTAAATAATAACAAATATCAGATCACGAATGACGAACTTAATGAAATAAAAGACCTTGGTAGAGTTTTAGGTGGGTACTTACACACATTTTCGACTAAGCTAACCAATTTGAAGGATCTGTTGCGCAAACACTCACATTAGAATTGGGTTGTATGTATAACAGAAATGAAGCAGGATGTCCACAGATGCTCGTAGTACAATCATCAACTGACAAAGAACAAATTGAATCTCCTCCAAAATATAAGGAAGATGATCAAGATAATAAATATAATTAGAATAGCATGTGGTCTACGGATGGACATTTGAGCACATTTGTATCGTTTAATCTTCACTTTTTTCGTTATTGTAAAATATCAAATTTTCACCTTAGTAATAGATACAAGTTTATGACAAGATTGCAAGAGCTGATAATCCTGCAATGGAGAATGTGAGAATTACACCCGCGACTGCGCTCTTTGGTGCGCTTGAGTCATCGTTTGATGATGAATTGTTTGATGTTGGTTTAGGACTTGAGCTTTCGCTTTCGCTTTCGACATACATATTAAGACTTGATTGAGTTACACAGTTAGATGAGCTTGGTGTCATTGGTACAGTTGATGGTGTTTCTGTGTCACCAACAGTAATGACAGTTTCGACGCCATCAGTTTGAGTTATCGTGCCTGTCCATCTTTGAGCGAAAGAAGAGTAGGAACCGTCTTCAACTGGGTAAATTCCCGGAGGATAAGCTGCATCAGCATCACACGTTTGGAAGTTCTTTTCACTATAATCACCTGGCATAACGAAACCACAACCCATAATATCGAGCTTGTGTTCACACATGACACTGGATATCGAGTTAGATCGTTCAAGCTATGGCTATTAAGGAACCTACGCAGCTGGGAACTCATCATCACCCGCGGTACAAACTCTGAGACAGAATTGTTCAAAGCTGATAAACTCCATCCATTCTTCGTAAAATGTATCTTCGCCGCTAATATTTGATGTAACATTACCACCAATAGGGTTACCAAGGTCCTTTGCACCATGAGGATCAAGTTCTCCACCGTAATCACCATCCTTGACACCAATTTTCGTGAGATCACCCCAACCCTGGAGCTGAATATAGTAAGGTGTCTTTGTGAAGTGAACACCGCTGAATGTACCCTCTGGAATTAAGCGAGCGTTGTTACGTGGTTGAGTACACCAAGCTACTTGTTCTGCTTCTGTGTCACCAATAGGTTGGTCAGCATCCTTTGGACCAAAGATACAGAAGTCCTTTAAAGGGTTCCATCAACAATTAGTTTGATTGTAAATATCTCAAACTCACGTCTATGTTGTTGATTGTGAGTAAACGCGCTTCAGAATCTTCAGGTGTGTCTGTATCGAGCTCTGGTGTATCCGGGTTTGTTGGACCGTTCTCATTTTGTGATACAACACCAGGGTAATCCTTACTCTGTCCTAAGACTGCTGAAGCCAGACCTAATGCAAAAAGGGAAATTTTTCCAACCATTTGGTGTATTAAGTGAAAGCAGAAACCACTGACGGATTTATCTATGAACTAATATTCATATCACAACGTTTTAGTACATTTCCATATGCGTTCCTTCACACATTCCTAATAACTCTTTAAATATTCAAATGGAATGTAACTAACTAGGTCGTTTTTTACGACTTTCTGGTGATCGGCTTCTATTATGTTCTCGTCTGGATCGTATGAGATTTTCTTCTTTGTCTTTGTCTTGCTTGTATGACAACTTTTTTGAACAATGCCTACATAAAACGACCTTAACTTCTGCGTTCTTTGCTATATCATTTTCTTTGTAGTTAAATGGTAATTCGAAAGGTATCAATTTTGATTCTCGTGTCATGCAACGTATATTAGCGCAGCTTGTCTCTCCGACACCATCCACAACCTCCTGTTTCGTCCGCCAGCGAAGGCTTATTTGTGTTTTGTAATGCTTGAGATCAGCTATGGCGAATTCTTTATACAATGAGTCGTAGTATTTATCAGATAGCTTCTGCGCATACGGGTCTGTGACTTCTTCTGTAGTCTCCTTAACTTCCTCATCACTATCGTATAGGTCTTCATCTTTAAGGAATCTAAATAAGTCTATAAAGTGTTCTTTTCATAATATCCTCACTCACTTGTGATTCTGCTTTATAAGATCAAATTCTGTGACTCCCTTATCTCTTTCAGCTTCCAGGTTAAAATCCCTCCTGTATATCTTCTCTTGTTCATATTTCCATTGTTTGTGTCTATCGTATGCGTTTTTTGACATCTGATAACAAGAATGATGGAATCTAAAGGATATGTACGATAAAAAATAAGGGCAGTACAAATTTCACTTTTTCAAACCTTTTAAAAGCCATTTCGGTATCTTCTTCTCCTTTTTGTCTTCTGTTTCTACTTTCTTCTTTTCTTTCTGCTCAACCATTGGCGTATCAAATGACGGTGGTGTAGGCAGCGAGTCTGCAGACTCGACTAGGCTACCCTTTAGGGGTGCTTTAGAATTTGTCGCGTTTAAGCTCTCATTAGCGAACTTTATCATTAAAATAGACGATGGTGCGAGTCCTAAATCGATTAATGACTTTTGTTCTGTAACTTTGAACTCAATCCTAGGTGGACTTTGATCTGTTGAGTGATTAGAATCTGTGACTCTGTAGAAAGCCAACCTACATAGCAAGAAATCCTCATTTATGTACTTATCGTCTAAAGCCAATTTAACGAAATCATACACGCGTCCAATTTGATCAACGCTGTTGAATTCTGACTGTATTATACTCCTATCTGAGAATTTTATGCGTATTTTGGTCTAGATTGATTATAAGCAGTTTGATTACGACATCATAGAGACCCACAGTTGGCCATTTAGCTTTGCGTTGTCTCTCCTCTTTCTCCCTAATAGCTTTCGTCTTAAGTGGTCCTTCATACTGGCTTTCTAGACGCTTGCTCGTCGCTGTATGCGCTCTCGCCAACTCGCTCGACGTTGGCTCATAGTAAGATTCCGGGTATTCTAATCTATCTAAAGGTCTATTGTAAATATATGTGTTATATAACAAACTAGATGCTCACTTCCGTCCTTTTCGTAGGGTTTATACACTGATATTTGGCGTCCATCCATCTTGATCGTTAGATAGCAAGAAATGATGAAATTAAGAAACAACAAATTTAAAATGCATCATACAATTCATCGACTCAGGTGGCTCTTGGCGAGCTTATCTAGAACAGCTGAGAGATTCTGTGACGATATGAGCTGGTGATACTCTGAATTATATTTGACTCACTTTTGGCGTAACATTCGCATACTTCGACCTTCTAAATCTACACATTTCGTTAGCAACTGATAATAGAATCAAAAAAATAACCCACGTAGAACTCTCAAAGTATGCCTGGACGTGGTTCAACTTTATAAGTCTCAATATCTGGTCGAGTTCTACCAATGTAGGCGGGTCACGACCATCAATAGATTGTGCCATCAAGTAGTTAACATCTACTCTAACATTATCCAGCCCGTGCTCATTTATGACATCAACTTCGCTGCCTACGATTAGATCTAGTATACCTTCAGCAATATGCTGCACAGAATTAGTGTAAGCCTGTTCACGTAATGAGCTTGGCAAATTAGTCAAGGTTGATGAACTAATGAATGATAAATAATCCGTCATTTCACGTAAATATTCACTTGGTTCGACGTCAGTCTTCAAACTGCTTGAGAAATCAGGCGTTAATTCCATCTCAGCCATTTCAAATAGTGAGTCTAGCTTGTTAGCAATCAGGGTGTTTATTCTTGTTAATGTCTGCTGTGAGAGCTTGCGAACGTCTTTTTTGCATTCCAATTCACTGGTTGGCCGTGACTTATCATATAGTGCGCCATGTAGAGCTGTCAATAGGTTTGTTAATTCTCCGGCAGCCAATTCTAAATGACTAGTGTCGACGGCAAGTTGAACCGCTTGAGAAAGGTTATAGATACCCTCTGATATCACGCTAAGCGTCTTCACTACACCCTCCTTAATTAGTCTGTCCAAGGCACTGGCTATCAAACTATCCGTATCTATTTGCGAAAATCCCTCGGTGTATTTGTAAAAGTCATCAATGAAACGTCTCAACAACTTGCATGCTTCTGGGTATATACTTGAAAATGGTAAGTGAATAGGCGGTTTTTGTGAGTATGCAGCTGTAAATGAAGAACTGTCAACCCAGCATACTTCCAATACGCTTTCTAAATCCTTCGTTGAATCTACAACCAAAGCTTGTTGATCACTATTTTTGAAGACTGTCTCCAATTCACGCTTGTAGTTGACGTGTAAGAGGGTAGTATACTCTTCAAACAGAGCGTGAAGGAGTGTGTTCAATTGTTGTACGTCAAATTCATATCTCTCTAAAGTCCATATGAAAGTCATGACGTTCTCCTTAACTTTGAGATAAGACTGTGAAGTGCGTAACCCTTCCCTGACTACATTTGAAATACCCGAACAGATAAGATCCCAAAGGTCATCTACATTAATCTCACTTCTAAATCCATTCGTCAAACCCAATACGTGTTTCTCTATTATGAAAAATCCAACGACGTCTTGTAGCAACTGTTGTAAAGATTCAGAGAAATCTTCATTAGATCTCGCTGAAAGGATCAGATCTGCTTGAGATTTTCTATCCTCTTGGTAGGCTTTCCTAAGATCAGCACGAGCAGCTAAAGCGTCGTAAATGTGTATACAGTGCAAAAGTGGTTTAAAGTCAATGGAGACTTGATCATTATCAAGTGGATCAAAGTCATCCTGGTTCATAACCAATTCTAACGGTGAATTTATACCACTACGTGCGTATACTGGATCAGAGAGCTTCTTCGTGCGCCATTTCTGTTGTCTTTCATTAGTGTATGAGAGAGCGAGACCACCAACGACTCTTTGCACATTTCTAATACCAAGCAACCAATCTTTCAGTTCAAATGATGCACTATCACAGACAGTCTGACGCATCGCTGGAATACTTTCCAAAAGGTGTGCACCGAGTGTGTAATTAGCTAACGGTGGTAATTGATATATAGCCAGGTCATCCAAAGAGCGCAAAGCTGCGTAGTATTTGCCATTTGCTATCAGTTCATCGACTCTCTTCATCAATTCGAGTACACGCTGGAAAGCCTGCATAGTTTCTGTAGCGTCATTGATATTATTGTGTACTCTGTTTATTTCTAGTAGTTCTTTCTTCTGTGGGAGTATATTAGAGCGGCCTTTCGTCTAAGTTGATAAGTATACCTTCATAACTAATGATCTTCCAGCAGACTGCATGTCATCATTCACTTGTACGATCTTCTGCTTTAATTGCATCGTACTTTTACGTACGCCCAACAGAGTCTTGACAGAGCTGACGAAATCCTAAATACGCCATCTTAGATTAGCTTCTCTGTTGGAGTATATACCCACCTGATAGTTGTACTTGCACTGTTCTTCAAGCTCGCTATCTTTCTCAGTAATGAATGCATCCAAGGCCTTTATATAATCCCTCTCCTGTTGTGATTCGTTGATATTCTTCAAAATCGGTCCAAGTAGCTCTAAGGACTCGTCCTGTGCATTCGAGCTATCAAACTCTATGAGATGTACTTGCGACAGTTGCGCTTTTATATCCTCCTCGTTATAATGCGGCCGCTTTCTCGCTTGATGATGCAGCATATAATGATTGTGATAGTGATAGTGTAGGAGATTGTACGTATGTATGAAAATAGGTATTTACAAAATTCTTCCTTTATTAACATTCAAACCTTTGGGAATCTAGCACTAAAGCTCGTTGTCGCTGTTGGCATCGATGGTGTCGACATACTTATTGCATTTGCTGGGTTAAATGGTGTGCTTTTAGCGTTCAAATGACTCTTTTTAATGCTTTGTGACTTCTTCGGCTTTAACTTTTGCTCTTCTGGGCTCTTTTGTACACCAATGTCTGTCATTTCAACTTGTTTTGATTTAGGTATTTTCAACTCAGGTGAGTTGTATGGTAATGTCAAAGCTGATTTTAGTTAGCAATTGTAAACGATGCAGATATATATAAAACCCACTTGGATCTCTTTGGAGAATTCTTACCCATCTTCGCCTTCTTACCCAGTAGTTCTTGTCAACATTCTCTGAAGCGCTTGTTTTGCTACCACTCTTGCCAGTTCTACCACCAAACATCTGAGTAGCTTTGATAGATCCTACGCCACTGCCCTTCTCGAGCGTCTCAATTTCCTTCGTCTTGTTGATCTTCCATTCGGAGTTAGGTGCGCTAAAGTCATGCGCATACATCCAACCTTCACCATCTTCCTTACCAATCGACTTCCATACAAGCCAATCATCAGTAGTCCAGAAGTAAGCGCCTCGGTTGCTCGAAGGTTTGCCCGAGATGCTCGTCAAGTTGACAGTGAAGGGCTTAGCGATTGAAGGTATCTGTACATCATTGAATGGATCGCTAAGATCGACTGGACGCGAGTCTGGCAACTCCCATTTTGGTCTTCTGCCTCCCTGACCTAATCCAGAGTTTGACCAGCGAGGGACACCACCTGTTTTTGCGAGTGTTGACAAACGGCAATCCAAGCGCTGGTTCTCTAATAAGTAAATTGGTACTGATTGGTGATATTCAAGAGGATTATATAATAGAGGGTCCTTGACGAGGGCTTTTTCAGCGTTTAATATGAACTAATGAGTTGTTAATGAGACATTTGACGAAACAGACAACACTAACCTCGCAAATATCGAAATGCAAACTCTCAGCAGCTAAAGAGTAGGCAGTCGCACCTGATTTGTTGCGAATAAATGGGTCCGCTGGTGCACTTGCTTCTGTGAGCAAGAATTTTACAACATCAAGGTGGCCTCTACTGGCGGCATTCATGAGGGCAGTATACCCTGGTCCAGCCTGTAAACCACCAAGGCTGTCAATAATAGATTTATTTGCGTTGTTAAGAATAATTCTAACGGCATCCTCTGAACCGTTAGCTGAAGCATTATGGAGAGCATTCCAGCCATCATTATCAGCGTGTGCGACATTTGCACCGATGCTGAGTAAATAAGTGACTATTGGTATATTTGATGGTTTATGTGATGCCCTAAGTAGAGCGGTTTCACCTTCTCTGTCTTCGAGTTCGACAATCGCGCCAGCTTCTTCTATAAGGTATTTTACGGCATCTAAGTGGCCATTTGTGGATGCAGCGTGTAAAGGTGTAATACCAGATCTCTTGTTAGTTTCATTAGATTGTGTGAATGACGGTTGTATGAGAGTAAGTGTATCGATATCACCGATAGATGCAGCTTTAAATAAAGAATCGATAACCTCATCGTCAGATTTATCACCCGAGGTATTTAACTGCAAGCTATTCTCAAATTGCTGACTGACTTCTCGCTCTGGCTCTTCCAAGTTGTCCTGTGGTTGATAGATGAATTCTTCTTCTTCCTCCTCGTCGTTGCTTTCGTCATATTTAAAATCTTGTTCGTAGTTGAACTCTGTTGTTAAGGGATCGTTCATCGTGATGGTAATCAACTGAGAAGGAGATGGAGATGGGTAGAAGGTATAGCTCTACCTGTCATACTATGGGGGTTGTATGTAACTGGAAGTAGATGATCTCTCATAATATACTATATGTACATTTATAGAAAATTTTCATCTCACACGACTAGATAGAGAGATGATTAACGTAGTAACATTAACGAGCATATATAAACCACCAAAGAGGTTCTGAGAACTGCAGATCTCTGATGCGTCATTAGATGAACGACGACAGCATCAAAGGAAGAGATAATTGAATAGTGCAATAATACTACACGAGTATCTGTAATACTGCTAATAAAATTAATTATTTAAAATAATAAAATTTAAAATCTAATTTCGAATTCCCTCTGGACGGCTTCCTCAAATCTTCTTAGTTCAACTCATTATCAAAGGTAAATAAATAAATAGCAGATAATTCAGGATAATAACAAAATGATAGGGAATGTCGCACAGAAAGTACGAAGCTCCAAGACACGGTTCTCTTGGTTTCTTGCCTCGTAAGCGTTGCACAAACGTAGGCGCAAGAGGAAAGTGCAAGTCATTCCCTAAGGATGACGCTAAGAAGCCAGTCCACCTTACCGGTTTGATCGGTTACAAGGCTGGTATGACCCACGTCGTCAGAGATCTCGACAGACCTGGTCAGTTTTTTTTTGCTTGAAATTTGAACAAAAATCTAACAAACTACTACAGGCTCAAAGATGCACAAGCGTGAAGTTGTTGAACCAGTCACCATTGTTGAAACCCCACCAATGGCTGTTGTCGGTGTCGTCGGTTACGTCGAAACCCCAAGAGGTTTGCGTTCATTGACCACCGTCTGGGCTGAGCACCTCAGTGACGAACTCAAGCGTCGCTTCTACAAGAACTGGTACCGCTCAAAGAAGAAGGCTTTCACCAAGTACGCCAAGAAGCACTCAGAAAACTCAGGTGCTTCAATCACCCGTGAAATCGAGCGTATCAAGAAGTACTGTCAAGTCGTCCGTGTTTTGGCTCACACCCAAGTCAGCAAGACCTCCCTTAAGCAAAAGAAGGCTCACCTCATGGAAATCCAAGTAAACGGTGGTTCAGTTTCTGACAAGGTTGACTTCGCAAAGTCTCACTTCGAAAAGACCGTCAGCGCTTCATCAGTTTTCGAACAAGATGAGGTTATCGACGCTATCGGTATCACCAAGGGTAGAGGTTACGAAGGTGTCACCAAGAGATGGAACGTCACCCGTCTTCCAAGAAAGACTCACAAGGGTCTCAGAAAGGTCGCTTGTATTGGTGCTTGGCACCCATCCAACGTCATGTTCTCTGTCGCTCGTTCCGGTCAAGACGGTTTCCACCACCGTACTGAACTCAACAAGAAGGTCTACAGAATCGGAAGTGCTGAAGACAAGAACAACGCATCAACTGAGTTCGACCCAACTGAGAAGCAAATCACCCCAATGGGTGGCTTCCCACACTACGGTGTCATTCAAAACGACTTCATCATGCTCAAGGGTTGTATCGTTGGTCCAAAGAAGAGAGCTATCACTTTGAGAAAGTCTCACCAAGTCCACACCTCAAGAGCTCACCTCGAAAAGGTCAACCTCAAGTTCATCGATACATCATCCAAGATCGGTCACGGTAAGTTCCAAACCTCAGCTGAAAAGGCTGCATTCTACGGTTCTACCTCTGGCCGTATCGCTTAAATTTAAGCGATTGGTTTTGTACTCATTTATGCTTTTATATTTCTATAATTTAGAATGTAATTATGTGTCATGTTTGGGAATATTTTTATACAATCAATTATTTTGTCACAAGATGAAATTTTAATAACGAATTTAGCATTCACAATGTTGAACAATGTCAATAAAGAAAGTGAAGCTGAATAAAAATACATCATCATCTGTTATTATAGTTAGATATGCTATTCAATTCAAGTATAAAATTAACCCACTTGTAATATAATTTGGCATCGTGTTTCGTGTTCAAATAATACTTATTATAAGAGCGGCGTGTCTTGAGAATCTTTATTAAATTGGTGTTTACTTTAAAATTGGCAACGAAAATGTTCTATAAGTTTGGAACAACCCTAAAAAAGGGAAATAAAAACGAGTGAATTGTTCCATAAAAAGTTTGGTGATATAAGTCAAACGTTAACTAATACGCTTGTCCAATTACATTGTCAATGCAGAATCCTTGAAGGCTATCCTCAATTGTCATGAGGTCACCATCAGTTGATTCTTCCATTTGGATATAAGGAGAGTGACTATTATGTTTATAAGAAGGTATGTTTGTTGATTGTAATGTATTTGGTGAATATCCTGTATCCTCGTGTAGCTTTTCAGCTTCTTCCGCTCTTAGTATATCACCGTATAATAATGTCATTCTCTTATTGACATCTAAATTCTCACCATATTGCCGTTGTGTATGTGTAGCGTAAGGCATTTGAGGAGAATACCAAGGGTGAACTAGTGAGTATAATTGCTCTTCATCATTTGGTACTTGGGCTACACTTAATTCGATATCTTTGGTATCCATTTGATGAGAGAATGTTGATTGTGGTAGATCTGTTCCAGTTGGAGTCATCATTTCTGGTGTATCAGACTCTTGTTCATCTTTACCACTGTCGATGTCTAACTCATAAGACAATCTGTTGAATCTTTCGAAATCTGCTCTATCACTTGGTGAAATTAGGCTGAAATGTTGGTCTTCTGATCTTTGAACGAAGTCTTCAAGAGATCCCTCTGCTTCGTCAATGTCTTCAATATCTACTTCTTGTGGTTGATGAGATTGCTCTGGTTCTACCACGTGCGCATCGATAGATTGTTCGTCAACATCCTCTTCCTGAGATTGCTGACGTCCTTGAGGCGCATTCATTTCTATTAGTTGTGCGTTGATAAAACGCTCCTCAACCGGCTTTTGAGATTTATCGTAGTCTACATGATCGTCAAGTAACGTCTCCTCAACTTCCTCTTCCTGTTCTTGAGATTGTTGAGCTTCATTGCTCGTCACCAAAGATTCGTTGATTTCTTTGATACCAACATTTTCAGAAGCATGATCTTCCATTATTACATGCTTATCTACAGAAGGTTCATGAATCTCTTCCCGAGATTCTTTGATTAATTTGTCATCAAATATCTGGTCTTTTTCATCTTCAGGTTTTTCGTTATCGATAATATGCTCATCAATTGAACGTTTCTCAATTTCCTTGGCTTCCTCTTCCTGAGGTTGCTCAGCTGAAGTAATATTGACAACCTGTGCATTGACAAGGTTCTCTTCAATCTCATCCCGAGATTGATGTTCTTGATTATCTTTCATTTTATGATGATCAATCGAAAGCTCCTCAATCTCCTCTTCCTGAGGTTTAACATTCCTTACTATATGTGCATCAATCAAGGATCCCTCAATTAACTCAATATCGTCCTCATGAGATGTTTGATGTTTATTGCTCTCATCATTTGGCTCCTTTTGGTACATCTTCTGGTATTCTTCAAATGTAGCGAAATGAGCTGACTCTTGATCGAAACTAAGTTGAGCATCCTCAGTTTTCTTTTTTTCGATATTACGTTGAGAGTCTTGCTTTTTCATGAACTCGATTTCATTATCTGGATTGTAGTCAATTAGAGAAGCATTTCGGTTTTCTGGAGTATGGTTCGCTTGTGTTTGAGTGTCCATCGATCCGCGCTTTTCATTTTTGCGAATTATGCTATTGAATCCATGTAAACTATAATCCGTAGCATCGTCCGTCAAGAAACCGTGATTCTGAGTCGACAATGATTGTCTGTCGAACGTTTTAGTTGTTCTAGCTTCATCTTCTTCATTCACTGGTTCAACTGTGGTGTAATGATTAGGAAAGTTCTTAATACTTAGAGAAAAACGTACCATTACTCAACCATGCTTGAATAGGTACCCAGTCATCTCTGATATCTTTGATAGGATCCTCGTCTATTGTGGGTATTTGATCTTTCTCAATCAGAGAACTATATCTCTGAGGCTTATTGAATGGATTTCCGCGTGAAGAGGTTGGAGAAATTGGTGTATTTGACATAGCAGATTTGTGCAAGTTACTAGAAGAGATGGCTCTCCTTGGGAAGCTAAACAAACTGAGAGTGTTCTTTTTACGTGACTCAAGACGATGTGATTGCGATTGAGTGGAAGTTCTCCTAAGCGTTTGCCAAATTGAAGTTCTCTTTTCGGCTGATTTGTTCGATGAAGAACGCTGGCTGCCATTTCTCGCTAGCCTGTCCTGTTCTTGCTGCTGTTGAACCGTCAAACTCGACATCCGAGAGGGCACAGGTGGTTTAGCTTCTGGTCGAACAAGAGAGGATTGTCTATCTGGTATATAAGAAGCAGGTAATGGTACGTTGAATAAGTTTTTGTTGGCTTTGGTCGATGAAGTGTATTTTAGATTTTCCTCGTCCTCACTAGGATAACCATCTGAACCAGATGGGGGTGTTAAGTTCGAGGGAGTAGGAGAAGGAGACCTCGATATTCTAGAGGGTCTACGGGTTGATCTTGGTGGTCTCTCTGGCCTCTTGTGAGGCACATCGAGTTTGATCATGATGGTGGTAGATGAAGAATGCTTGTAAGCGCACGGGAAATAATTCTAAGCAGATTGTTGTTATATTTATATAGATATTTTTACATAAACTTTTATTTATCTTTATTAAAAATACTTCCGATCTTAAATTACTGCAACCATTATGGTAGATGTCGATTCGTTCCTCGGCAATAAAAAAACCCTGGCCAAGGATAAAAACGTTTGTTCAAATTGGAATGACTCAGACGCTGATTTAAAGTTTGTGAATTTACAAGACATTAGCGATTACGTAAGACCTTCAGAAACTATACCATCCTTGATTGCAGGCTGCGGTCCACTGGGACGTAATTATACGAGTAGCTCCGTCTACGAATCAAAGGAACCTGTTGAAGCTGTAAAGGTCGCTTTAGATAATGGTACTCTTCATATTAATCTCATGTCTTTTTGCTAACGAGATACATGCAGGTGTGAGAGCCTTCGATAATGCACCACATTATGCACCAGCTGAGAATGTTCTTGGTAGAGCTCTCAAGATCTTGGAACCATATTACAAGAGATCAGACTACAAGCTTATCACAAAAGTTGGTCACTATGGCGATGAAGTTAACTACACTGAGGAGCGCATACACGAATCTCTAGAACGTTCTTTCAAATATCTACAAACCGATTACTTTGATATCGTATACCTCCACGATGTGGAGTTCATAGCAGATTCGATCGCCGATATAAACGAAGAGGGACAGCCTACACGAGTGTTAGAGGACCTTGAAAAATACAATTTAACTGGGAAATCTGAGATTCTTGGCGATGGTGACAAAGAAGTTCTCAATGCACTCAGAATCCTAAATGAATATAAAAGTGCTGGTAAAATACGCGCGATTGGCATTTCTGCACTTCCTTTACCAACTTTGTTGCGAGTTTCCAGACTTGCGCTTTCTCATTTAGGTCCTGACTCATTGCAATATGTTATGTCCTACGCAAATCATGGTCCGCAGGCGTTGGCACCACCTAGTTATACTCAAACCAACTTTGAGGCATTCGAGAACTTATTCGATAAAAATATTAAACTCGTCACCGCAAGTCCATTCTCTATGGGTTTACTCACACCTCAGGGTCCACCAGATTGGCATCCTGCACCAGATGGCCTGAAATCAGCCGCTAGAGATATAATGAGCAAATTCGGTAAAGAGGCAAGCAAAGCTTCAGCAAGTTTCTGTATGCGCAACTACACAACAGCTATCGGTTGGCAAACTGCTGATCAAGTCAAGGAAGGTCTGGAAGCTTATCATAATTCCAAAAAAGAAGAGAGCGATTTAGAAAGAAAGCTGGTTGATGCATTTATCACTTCGGGTTGGTCAGGTCATATATGGAGAAGTGGAAGGGCGTAAATATTTCCTATATATTATAGATTTAGATGTATTTTACACTTTTTCAGCTTCAGATTAGTGAAGAACGTTGTTCTACCATTGCGTTAACGTGATAAGTGAATTATAATTGAATAGTGCTCTTCTCGGTGTATTGAAAAATATAACGTTTAATTCAATATCTTCCGCTACCGAAGTAGAGTATTTGATAATTTTCACTACTAGATGAAGGCGAAGATGATGAAGATGAGTTTGATGTGCTTGAAACGACATCCTCTTTGTCATCACCGCTGTTATTATGTCTAATCGTAGTGCTATCACTGTCGCTTTCTTGATCACTTTGCTTTTGCATCATACGTCGCTTTATCACAAAAGCCACCACTAGTATTAAGATGCAAAAAATAATAGCGCTCACTGGATTTTTCAGCTATACTTTAAAGCCAAAAGGTGAAGCTCACGAAGTCCAATTAAAACCCATATACCAGTGTAAACGGTATCAGCTCGCTTTGCTAAACGGTTCGTCAACATCACCTTCAAGAGATACTAATAACTGAGACGGATTAAATATCAGATTTGTTGCACAAAGCCACTATCACATGCTACCTTTTCGTGCTCATCTAGGCTGAGACTTATTAGCCACAAGCAATGCTCTTCAGCCTTCTCCAGATAGGGTAGAACATAAAAATTGATTCACAAGCATGATTAAGACGGAGAGAATCTCAATGAAAGAAGAAGTTCAAAGCAAGAACTTCAGAAAACAAAAAGGCGGCATCCGAGACTCGAACCCGGGTCGCAGTCAATCAGACCATTTTTCCAGCAATAAATACTAAAAACACTAGCCCTAAGACTGAATGATACCCCTACACCAACGCCGCTCGCGAGTACCGTTAGGCCATCGAGTTTTGTCAAATTTTCGCGCATTTTCAAACTATTATCGAAGAGTTGAAGGGAAGGATTTTTCAAGGCAGAAGTTGGATTTTAGAGGACCTCAATTGACTAGTTCCCCAAGTTTTTCTGGTGGTTCGACGTAGCCAGGAGCATTCGAGAAAACACAAATCATCAAGACATTTTACGACACCAATCATGACACGCTTCCAGACAACATCTCACTATAAGAGGTATTATGGCCGATTTTGCCACTTTTGTCTTCTTGTTGTTTAGCCATTTGGACTGCTTACTTGTCTGGGCTGAATTGACGTACTTTTGGTGATGGTCGGAAGGGTCTTTCGTTTAAAGCTGTCTTTAAATTCGAGATATCCGTTTTGGGACTCTTCCTGTCTATCAAACCAGCTATATCTTACCTTGACAAGTGTTCGCAGTACTGATCTTCCGGTTGTGATGCTGATGTAATGCTATGGTCGGTAATGTGGTGATGTACTATCGTGACTTTTATAGTTATGGATAGAGTTCGTCTCGCTTTTCATTTAAATCGATATCTCTAAATCTATTGGGATGAAAGTTTCCATTGGTTATGGCATAATTTGTCTATGAGGGCTGAGCATTTTGGTGATCCGTATTTTCTTTTTGTCTACGACTGTCATTGCTCAAGCATTGATTCATTTGATGGTAATTTTTCTGTCTCCTGAGTGTTATTGTCTGCGTTATGGTCTGTTTTTCGGTTCCTTTTGGCGGACGTGTCCCTAATCTTCGTATAGTCGTCCGCATCATGGTTCCAGTTGGGGAGGCCTTGTTACGTGTTTGTAGGACGATCTGATTATGTGAGCTGGATGAATTTACAATGAGTGGCACTTCCTCGTGTTCTTTGACTTCACTGTATGGGCGGGAGGTGTTCCATTGGTAACTTCTTCTCGCTCTCTTCTGTTTCATTATTCGGCCGGATGAAATATCATCGGCTACCTTTCTCACTCTCGTCTTCGGTAATGTCGACCAAATTTCTTCTAGGTTCATAACAGTCATGCAAGAATATCCTAAAGTAAACCCCGCGTATTTAATCGAGTGCGAACACACACCGTATGTCTTACTCAAGCATCCTAAGAATAAAATAGTTATCGCTTTCACACTGGAGGGTGTCATTATCCTTTTCATGGGTATTTTCACACTTATGGATCAAATCGGCTTTACATTAGACTATCCCCTGCAAAAACTACTAAATTTCTTAACCATAGTCGCAACCATCTACCTCTACTACGCAAGATCAAGTCATCTGGCCAGTGTACCAAAGTCCACCGCCTATTTACACTCACTTGACATATATTTACGATCTGAAAAGATAGATATGACTAAATTGGATTACTATGCGGATATTCTCAATTATGTGGCCTCTATGGACTTCTGTCACGCTTTCCCTCGCCACATATACTGCGCCTCACGTTATAGTTTATACTTTTTTGTTGCAATATCAATTCTTTATCACTCTATAATTGCCAAGTTCCGCGACCCGATGTGGGTATTTAGGTTATTACTCCAGGGTGTTATGATTATACCAATGTACCAGCTTAACAATAACAACTACTACAACTACCACGATCCAGTTATATCAGGGACCCGCGGTATACCATCACATGAATTCTTTAAAGCTCGGAACCCTAACTATGCTTGTGGCTTATCTGGAATCGATAATAAAGGTATCAGTCATTACCCGCTAACACCTTCTCTTCTAAGCAAGATACCACAAGTTTCAGCGGAAGCAGCGCCGACTCAGCAATACATGCATGTCTGTGAAAATATGTATCATGGAACTGTGGATGGACTGATCCACCTTAACGAATTAAAAAAGGATACTCTTCTAGCGGGGCTGTTGAGCGGCTTTACCATGGGTGTTGTACGCGGAGATGTTCAAGATGACCTCTCCAAACCGGCACAACATTCGAACCCTCACACCATTACAGTAAAATAAGGCGAGGAAGTGATTGCCGATCTCTCCTGAGATGAGCACTTTGCTTCGAGAAATGTTGGGAATTTGGATACAGGTGCTGAACATACAGCGCCATTTAGCCATATAATCTTCTCCAAGATAATATTTCTGTACAAAATTTATTCCCTTGTTCTCGTACCTTTACTGTCTTCTTATTTCTCATATACATGTCTTAATATCTAATATCATATTTTAATTCAAAACCAATGGTATAACTAACGTGTCTTATATTAACCATCATATTCCCATTTAATCACTCAAAATACATAAAGATGATAGTACATAGTTATTTGACTTGACCAGCAGTTTGCCAACCGATAGCTGTTGTGTAGTTGCGCATACAGAGACTTGTCGAAGCTTTGCTTGCCTCTTTACCGAAGTTGCTCATTATATCCCTAGCGGCTGACTTCAGGCCATCTGGTTCATGATGCCGATCTGGTGGACCCTGAGATGTGAGTAAACCCATAGAGATTTCCTAGTTAAACTATGCTTTTCAAGGTCCTCTAATACTCCGGTAGGCTGTACTTCTTTCGTTTATATCGGCGATCGAATCTGCTATGAACTCCACATCGTGGAGTATACGATATCGAACTAACCAGTTTGCCTTGTCTTTAAAGCTGTGTTTGAATTCGAGATATCCGTTTTGGGACGACTCCTGTCTGTCAAACCAGCTATATATTCCCTTGAAAGGTGTTGGCATTGTTAATTTTTCGGTTGTGATGCTGATGTAATGTTATGGTCGTTAATGTGGTGAGGTACTGCCATGGGTTTATAACTGGGTATCGCTCTCTCGCTTTTCGTTTCTGTTGTTATTTCCTAAATCCATTGGGATAACAGTCTCCATTGAAATATTGAATGATCTGACTGTGAGGGGCTGAGCACTTTCGCTATTCGTTTTCTTTGTCTATCTTTGTCTTTCATTGGTTCAAGCATTGGTTCATTTAATGATAATATTTCTGCTTCCTCGGTCTTGCTCTTTGCGCTATGGTCTATGGTTCGGTACCTTTCTGCGGACGCATCCCTATCGTCCGCCTCATGGCTTCAGTGGGAGAGAGATGTTGTTATGTGCTAGTAGGACGATCTGATTATTTGAGCTGGAAGGATTTAGAACGAGTGGCACTGCCTTGTTTTCTTTGATTTCTTTATATGGGGCGGGAGAAGTTACCCAGTGGAACGTCTTCTCGCTCTCTTCTGTATCATTATGTCAGCCGGATGAAGTTCAATCGGGTACCTTTCCTCGCTCTCGACTTCGGTAATGTCGACCAAATTTCTTGTAGGTTCATAACAGTCATGCAAGAATCCTCTGAAGTGAAACCCGCCTATATAATTGAGTATGAACACACACCTAATGTTTTATTCAAATATGAAAACGCTAAATTGATGACCGCTTTAACACTAGCCATTCTCATTATCACTATAATGCTTGGAGTCACACTTGGTTATCGGATCGGTCTTACAACAGACTATCCTTTACAAAAACTTCTAAATTTCTCAACTCTATGCGCGACCATCTACCTTTACCACGCAAGATCAACTCATCTCGACAGTGTACCAAAGTCCACCTCTTATTTACACTCACTTGACATATATTTACGATCTGAAAAAATCGAAAGCACTAAATTGAATTACTATATGGACATGCTGAATTATGTGGCCTCTACAGACTTCAGACATGCTTTCCCTCGCCACATATACTACGCCTCACGTTATAGTTTATACTTTTTTGTTGCAATATCAATTCTTTATCACTCTGTAATTGCCAAGTTCCGCGACCCGATGTGGGTATTAAGGTTATTACTCCAGGGTGTAATGATTATACCAATGTACGAACTCAATAACAACAATTACTACAATTACCACGATCCAATTGTATCGGGGACTCGAGGTATACCGTCACATGAATTCTTAAAAGCTCGGAACCGTGACTATGCTTGTGGCTTATCTGGAATCGATAATAAAGGTATCAGTCATTACCCGCTAACACCTTCTCTTCTAAGCAAGATACCACAAGTTTCAGCGGAAGCAGCGCCGACTCAACGATACATACAGATCTGCGAAAATTTATATCATGGAACTGTGGATGGGCCGACCCACCTCAACGAATTACCAAAAGACACTCTTCTAGCGGGGCCGTTGAGCGGCTTCACTATGAATGCTGTACGCGGACATGCTCATGAATTCTCGAAACCGGTACAATATGCGAACTCTCACACCACTACAGCAGAATAAGCTGAGAAGTGACTGTCAGTCTCTCCTGATACGAGCACTCTACTTCGAGAAACGTTGGAACTTGGATACCGCTGCTGAACATACAACGCCATATAATCATATTGATCTTCATTAAGATAATATTTTTGTACAAAATTTATTCCCCTTAAATAATTTTCCCTGACTGTTTGCTCTCCGTTGTTCTCGTACCTTTACTGTCTGCTGATTTCTGATCTATATATCTTCATACCTAATAACATTTTAATAATCTATAAACAAAAATGTGGCATGTTTTATATTTACAACCAACATATTCCCATTCAATTACTCAAGGCTCATGAAGTTGATAATACAAAGTTATTTGTCGGTAAGCATACTGTTGTCACTTTGAAATACTAATACAAACATCTACTCTATACTGAAAGCATTAAGGAAAACATGTCTCAAAGTTCATTACTTAGTATTTTGATTTGTTTTTGTTGATCATTGATCTCTTGCGTCATTGTCTCTATTGTGTAGTTTTCACTGTCCTCATTGTCCTCTTGTTCCTTTAACCACAGTGATAGTGATTTCTAAGTCTATACCTAACAAATAAGCGACTCAGAGTGTTCAGCATGGGTATTTCTAGTTCACTATATACTTTAAATTGGTATACACTCCGACCAGAGCCGTGGAAATGAATATGTAATCCAAAAACCTGTATAGACCATTATTCACCTAATTGTAATTCTGTAAAAGTCTACAACTAGTACATTGAAGTATGTACGCCAAGGAAGAGAAGAACAGCTTATAAGAAAGATGATGTAATAAGAAGAAGTGGAAGAAGAAACATCCGACTGATTGTAGACATGTGGTACAATCGCAGATTGATCATATGGGTTGGGCTCCACTACGGGTGTTGGCCACCGCCGCAGTGATCCACATTGCCAAAAGAAATTTCTGTGACGTCATACTGAAGAAATCCATACACTTGGAATTCAACTGAATATCAAATATGCAGCATTTTTTTAGCTATCAAATACGATAAACCTATAAGCGGAACCAAGCAGCTTAAAAAATCAACTTTAATTTTAGTCTAAAACACTTTTTTGCTTCCTTTCATCATCATCAATACGCCACTAAGAGAGTATGACAAGAACTATAACAACAATATACGACCAATTATCTCAAAGAGATCCATACCCACCTCTTAACTTGGATCAAGAAGTTTATTACCCACCTTTGACAGATGAGATTAATAGGTTGGATGCCAGCCAGCATGTAAAAGCTGGTAGGTAGCATTAGAAGCGTGTTTAACTTCCTCACACTCGGCCTAGCTTTGCATATGCTCAATGACGATATTCAGAGAGCACACTACTTCGCTGAAATGAACCAAGGCGATCCTCTGCTAGACTACTTACATGCTTTGGTACACAGACGAGAAGGTGATTTCTGGAATTCTAAATGGTAAGTTGAGCACTTCTCATTAGATGCACGTTCTTAAAGACATAAGGTGGTTTGCAAGAGTGCAACATCCACTTATCAAGAAGATATACACAGGTAAACTCTATCCGGAGAAAGTGGTAGACAAAATCGAAGAACTCGAAGTGACGAATGATCCAGAAGCAAGAAAAATATTGGAAAATTTGCAATATAACGAACTATGCTCAATCGCGATGACTGCAATTGAGAATAAACTTTATGACTAAATTATGATAATTATTATATTATCCATACTTATGATTAACGGACTTAGATATCTAAGTTAAAATATCCCTTCATACATGTTGTTGTACATAATAAATTAGCTTTGTGATAATCTGTCTTTTGTGAATCTCCAACTCAAAATACCTGCAATTAGTGCAGCGCAAGCACCTATACGCATTACGATTCCGATTCCTCTAGCATTTGTGTTGTCAAAATCAGCCGATGCAGATTTCTTTTCAAAGTCATTCTTCTTTGGTTCCATAATGGAGAATATAACAGATGCTACACCTGTAATCAAGAATTGTGGAATAACCATAGAAACATTAAGTATACCCAGCATAATGCCAGCCTGGCTAGATGATGTTGGATCTACTGCATTTGGTGGTGCTTGCTGTGGTAGTGGGGGATGAAGATGTTCTGTGCTGCTGTTGATATTTTCATCAAAGAGTACCTCCCTTTCAACATCCTGTCTACTGATAGCGGTGTAGTCACCCTCTCCATTTTTTGCGTCCAAAAGTATACTCTCTCCTACGAGTGTAAACGGCGCCCACATTGCAAGTGCCCAAGTGAATCCAACAATAGCGATCAGAACAGATGAAGCGATGTAAGATGATGTGAATATAGTGCTAAAGATCGTGATAGCGAAAAGAATATGTGAAAAAGTCCAAACGGAAGATAAATCCAATAATGATGATGGTATAATTCTTTTAACATATCTAGAAACCGGGTTTTGGGATTCTTTTTCAATTGGTGATTGTTTAACAAGTGGTTGAATGATCGTAGGTAAAATAATTGCTGTCGTTAATGAGACTATAGCCTGGAATAACATAGCTCGTGTACCAATTCTAGTAGCTTCATCTGCAGTCCTGCTATCTGCATCTCCCAAATTCGTATCATCTAGATATAATTCTCCAATGTAAGAAGTTGACCAGAACATTATGGGGAACCAACCCATTGAAGCGAAGAATTGAATTATACAGAGTTTCCTAACTCTTGGTGGGGGTTTTGCTGTAAATAGAGTTTTGAAAACTTTTGTTATGCTAGCCCTACCATGGTCACTTATAAGAACTCTCTCTGAAACGGCGTAGCATGTCAACAGATGAGTGAATATCATGAATGCGGATGTAAGTGATGATAAAATCTCAAGCTGGGTGTCTCCAAGAATGGAAAAATACCTCGTTAGATCAATGTTACCGACAAAAAAACCCATGCAGCTACCTATACCGATCATTCGACCAGCCCACGCGTTAGCTCCTTCTTGCTCGAATGACGGAAGAATGTCTACTATGAGTGCCCTATCTGCAGCTTGAACTGACACGCTTGTGAGTGATTACACAGTAAATAATCAAGACATACCTGCGTTTATTGAGAAATCGATAAAGTATACGGCCACAACTGCTAATATGATAGTTAAGTCATCATTCTTGGTTGTTGTGAGTAGAGAGTCAAATGAAAATGTCGAACTCACAGCTTTGGTGTTGAGAGAAGTGAATACAGAAGCAACGTGACGGGTATAACCAAGTAGAAGGATCGATAAAGCGCTAATAAACGTGGCTGAAATAATATAAGGTCTTCGTCTGCCATACTTGCTAGTTGAATGATCAGCGAATGCGCCAATAATTGGCTGCATGATAAGGCCAGATAATGGACCAGCGACAAAAACCAAAGCTGTGGCTGCTTTCGATAAGCCCAGTGATTGTAAGTAAGGTGATGCAAATCCCAGTTCGATACTCCAGACAGTTTGTAAGCCTATAGATTAATTAGTGCGGACGTAGAGTAAAGCTATGAGCTCACCTAACAAACTCAACGTTAACAAAGGCTTATGTAGCCACTTCGGACCCTTCACTTTCGGTTGTCCCTCCCAGGATTGTTCAATATGCTGTGTGCTGTAATCGTTATTCATGAAAGTTGCATCTCAAGGGATATTCTTATGAATTAATAGTTATTTCTAATCATTTATTATAATAAATAACTCACATTCCAATCAAAACGCGCTAAACAGTCAAACGTAGCACGATTTCCTATCTTTTACTTCAACGGTGAAGATCAAAAATGTCGTCTGTAATGTCGATGCCACCTTTGAGGGAGTTTGACGCTTTTCCAAAGACTCAAGCGAGTTACAAAGTCGGTATATGGTGTAATATGGCTGTGTATATCTAACAACATCTCAGATAAGGTCAAAACAGGGTGGAATCGCAACCGTTATAGTCATATTTGCTTTAGTTTTATTAGTATTTCATGAAATTGGTGACTGGTTATACGGCCACAATGAATATCAATTCAGTGTTGACACGACGACGGAGACAGAAATGCAGTTAAACGTTGATTTGACGGTAGCAATGCCATGTCATTACCTCAATGTTGATATCAGAGACGCTGTCGGCGATAGACTCAAATTGAGTGACAGCATACAAAAAGATGGCACAACGTTTGAACCAGAGAAGTATCGCCAAATTGGCTCAGCCAAACAGAGTACTTTGAGCAGGATTGTTAAGGATAGCAAGAAGGGTAGAAAATGGTTTAGACCGACGAGTACCCGTAACCGCTTCCCAAAGACGAAGAAGTTGATAAAGGATGGTCCAGCTTGTAGAATATACGGCAGTGTAGAGACTAAGAAAGTCAATGGAAATATGCACATCACGACCCTTGGACATGGATATAGTAGCTTGGAACATACAGACCACAAGCGTACGTCAACGTTAAGATTTTCATGACATACTAACACTTACCCTAGTTATGAACCTTTCGCACACGATTGACGAATTCTCATTTGGTCAGCACTTCCCATACATTTCTCAACCACTCGATAAGAGCGTTGAGATAACAGACAATCATTTCCCAGTATACCAATACTTTATGCACGTAGTACCAACAACATATGTTGATGCATCTGGACACTCGCTCTCTACGAATCAGTACTCCGCTAGAGAGGATATTAAGTTTATTCACAATCATCAGAGAGGTATACCAGGTTTATTCTTTAGATATGAACTTGAACCAATCCATTTGAGTTTAAGCGCAACTACGATGTCATTCACGAAGCTACTCATAAGACTGACAGCGTTAATTGGTGGAGTTTGGTGTTGTTCTGGATTCGCTGTTCGTACATTAGACAAGATTCTTCCAAAACGCTTAAAACCACATCCAAACAAACACGGGGATATGCACATTCCAATAACTTCACCAAATGTTAACATGCCTTCACCAAAGTTATCACCTAACTTGTTTGGTGCGGCAAGCCTTCTTTCCACATCACCACCACCACCTTACACAGTCAACAATGGTATGCTTTCACCGGGTGTAGCTAATAGCAATCAAGGACCATTTAGGTTCTAATTTTTCTGCATTATAATTTAGGTCATATTTGTAAAAGTAAAAGTACATAGTATTATTGCCATTAGGCTTTTTTGGGTGATGCAACGTTAGTTCAAATACTCTCACTGAGGGCGCTCTCTGTGAGACGGATGAGCTCATCCACGCTAGGCCTTTCGGCTGGATTTAACCTTAAACAGGCGTCTATGACATTCTTAAAGCCATCAGAATGGGTATCGTTTGAAGGATAGTTGTATCTGCCACTTTGGACGGCCATAGCAATTGAACCACCCTGCGCAGCTTGTTTTGGGTCTTCGAATGGCGAGTGTGAATATGTCAATGCGTAGAGGGTACACCCCAAAGACTTACACGTTGTTAATAAATGGTAGTTAATCAATTGTCAAAAGTACCCACCCAAATATCGACTTTTTCGTCTAAAGTGGTATCAGATTTGACGTCAAACAATTCAGGTGCTCTGTAAGGCATGGAGGAGTGCTCAGCTGCCATATCCTGCTGTATGAGAGCTTCTGAGCGGTTGTTCACGCGTACTCTAGCTTTAATGCAACTGCCAAAATCCATAAGAACTGGTAAGGCGTTATCTGTGAGCATTACATTGCTGGAGTGGTAATCAGTTGAGAGTGTATCTGTCTATGAAACCACTAACCCTGGTTTAATATCCCTGTGAGCGTATGGAACGGCATCGGTACCCTCGTCATCATCATCAATACTCGAGGGTGGATAGCTATTCGAGTCAAGGGTGTTGTAATTATGTAAAACAGCTACAGCTTGACAAACACCGCTAAATAATTTTAAAGCTGTCTTCTCATCGAATGCGTTATTGACGTTTATGTAGTCTTGTAAATTGCCATTCTTGAAATAAGGGAAAATGAGGTTTATAGCACCATCTTGAATGGAGTAATTGAGTAAATTGATGATAAATTTACTCTTAAAACGTTGATAACAGCTAACTTCAGCTTCGAAACCGTCATTTGTGATCTTTTTCAATGCGTATAAACCATGTGAGTTTTGTACGAGGTACACGTAGCTGAATGCACCCTCAGACAAGTACTTCAAGATGGTGTATTCTGTATTGTTGATCGTTATTGTCTTCGTACGGCTGGACATGCATTGGGTCAGCAGGCTACTGATAGACCACACTGGGGTAAATTTAGATAGGCGATAAATAGGATAATAAGACTCACAGCTATCTTTTATGGCTTCTATAAACAAATTCGGGCTACCGACCTTAAAATTATCTTCCATCCTGAATGTTGCGTCCCAAGTTTGATTACACCGGTTATTCTAGGGTGCACCGCTATTGTAATAACCACCATGACGGGAGATTTTAATAATAAAACATACAGCTACAAAGACGAAGAATACTGCGTACTATCCATGCCATCAGACGATGTCTATAAGATCACAATGACTAGACAACCAGACAATCGTATAGAAAGGGACTTTTTGGATCTGGGTCTTTCAAAGGCATTGGATGACGTAGAAGCACATTGGAGAGCCAGGCGTAATGAACTTTACCCGGCTGCATCACTCATTTTGACTGGAAACGGTTTGAAATTTTTCAGCAACGGCTTAGTACTCGATAAGGCATTAGATGATAAAATGTTCTTCGCCGGTGTCTTAGACCCTTTCATTCTCCGTCTATCGAGCTTCCCTTGTAAGTAATATAATTACGTCCCAACAAATTTCTCACCCCCACATGAAGTACCTACGATCGCAGCAGTCAATGGACATGCATTCGCTATGGGATTCGTTTTAGCGCTCTGTTGTGACTACCTTGTAGGGAAAAAGAACGGTAGAGGTTGGTTCTGTATGAATGAGAATGAGTATGTTAGAATTTTCTCGACATAGGCGGTTCTCACCGAATTATAGGTTCGCTTCTACGATTCCACCTGGAATGCTCAATGTACTTTCACGTCGTTTGAACAACTGGAAACTCATCAGAGAGACAATCTTGGATTGCAAACGCTGGACTCCGCCGCAACTGCACGAGATTGGATTGGTTGATGTACTCTGCTCTGAGAATGAGTTGGAGAGCGAATCAATAAAGCTCGGAAAGAGTGTAGGCAAGTACGCTCAGAAAGGTAGTTACGGTCTACTTAAGCATAACTACTGCACGCTTTAGAAGGTGAAAGGATGATTTATTTTGTATATTCAAGTCAACTTGTAAACGTAAATTGTACTTTATCTAAACTCATTATATTTCACTCTTATCATTTCTACCGTCATATTGCACAGTCATGATGAGTAGAATAAAATGAAAATAAAACACAAATTAACAAATAAACACAGCTCACCACGACGTAGAATAGAAACTGACGTATTTAAATTGTAAATAAATGCTATTCCTGATGCGGTAATTCACTAAAACTACTGAATAGACTAATGTCGGACTACGAAGTCAACCTGAATAACGACAATATGCAGGAGTTCTTCGTTAGGTTCCATGGTCCGAAAGAGAGTTAGTATTCTTCTCTACTTATAGGGGTTTTCTTATCGTTTAATATAGCACATTACGAAGGCGGCGTATGGAAGGTTAGAGTAGAATTGCCAGATCAATACCCATATAAGTCACCTTCTATTGGATTCTTGAACAAGATATTCCATCCAAATATTGACGAACAGTCCGGGAGCGTTTGTCTTGATGTCATCAACCAGACATGGTCACCTATGTTCGATTTAATAAACATCTTCGAAGTGTTCCTCCCGCAATTGCTAAGGTATCCAAATCCAACTGATCCACTTAACGGCGAAGCTGCTTCACTCTCTATGCGCGATCAGAAGACATACGAGACTAAAATTAAAGGTATTTTATGATTTACTAGAATAGTACGCTTGCTTACACGCTTTAGAATACATCCAATTGTATGCTCTTCCAGAAAATGTCAAATTAGATCAGAATAATGACGATGATTCGGATATCGAAATTTCAGACCAAGGTAGTTTGCCATCTGACAATGAGAACGAAGATGAAGACGAAGTCCCTGGTGCAGTAGATATCTAATGTTATACAAATCAACACACAGCATTTCCTTTTTACACCTTTTCACTATGCATAACTATTTTACATTTTACATTCCACCAAGTTCTTTGACCTGTATAGAACGCAATATCGCCATCGCTTCTTCACGTTCGGGCGCATTCGTTTCGACAACTTTCATCAGATACGACTGAGCCAATGCGGTATTGCCCTGATTGAGTTCCCATATCGCGAGTTCACGATACACGTTTATGAAATCTGTCACTCTGAGTTCTCCACCACTTGATTCAACCATGTCATAGACTTTTCTTAACTCGAGTGAACTTTCTTGTTCTTTGTGCGCTTCTTTGTAGAGTTTAGAAAGCTTTATGTGCATCTTTGGATCAACACCTTCGGTTGTGAGTTCCATATATCTTTGTTGACATTTAATAGCATCATCAAATCTCTTCAAGTATTCGTAATTACTACTGAGGGCGTGCCACATACGCTGATCATATGGTCTGAGTGCTGTAGCCCTTTGGTAGAAGTATAATGAATAGTTATACATCCCGAGAAGCTCATAAGCTTGCGCGAGACCATACCAAGCTCTGTAGTCCTTTGCATTCGCATCAATAGCCCGCCTGTAGGCTTCGACAGCTGCATGTGAGTTCTTCAACTCGATATATTCATGTCCCATAAGCGTCCATGCGCTGAGATATGCTCTATCTAATCGAAGCGCTCTTCTGAAGTACATAATCGCTTTTTCGTGTTCTCCTCTAATACTGAAGTAGTTTCCAATTAAACAACAGACTTGTGGATCACTTCTGTTGTGTTTAACAACGGCATGTGCTAGTGCCGCTAACTTTGTTTGATTGCCCATGACATAAATTATGTTACTGTATAAATCTAAATCTTGAGTGCGGTGTGGATCGCGCTCATAGAGTTTATCGAAGACTGTTTCGGCTTCTTCCATTTGGTGCATATTGTAGTAAACAAATGCACGTTGACTCTGACAGTGGGTAGAATTTGGGAAGATCTCATCCAACTCGTCCAGTGCATTGTGTAATTTTTCAGTAACGGCATGTAATTCTATGAGCATATGTACGCTAAATAGTCTCAACATCACGCCTTGAGGGAGATAACCTTCTACTGTGTTCAACTGTGGCGTTGTTAGCATATCAAGCTAATAAATAGAATACCGACATCATCAATATCTTGTATGCAAACTCCTAACATCAACCAGGCGCTCCAATTCCAGGGATAGGCGTTGAGAGACTTGATGAGCACATCCATAGCTTCTATCCGCTTGGATGAGCGGTGGAGCAGTATTCCTTTCCTGATAGTTGTTAGTGCGTATATTAAGAAAATCCCGAGCGTACAAATACAGTAAGAATGCATCTTTAGGTTCCTTAAGGTGTGACAACAATTGTGGTATCTCTGCATTTGTGTTTTCTCGCCGGGTATCAGTTGGACCTAGGTATTATTAGAGGGATATGACAACATGATGAAATCTCACCCATCACAGGTTCTGTAGCTTCCTGTATGCGTCGCTCGCTATCCTAAATTGCATTTGTTATTAACGTCTAGAATGTAGGAGATACATACCAAATAACGCGCGTATAGATTCAAGAATACACTTTTATCACTCTTGCATGATGAAAGTACACTTGCGCATCTCTCAAATTCTCGTGAATTGTAGTAAGATTTCGCCAATTCGTATGCATCGTCCTCATCATTGAGGTCTTCGTCAGGATCAAATGATAGGTTACGAGGATTGAATGATGTATCGCCAACGTTAGATCTCGCTGGAGTTGAAGTAAGGAAACCACTAGCTGATTTACTCTCTATTGGTGTTTTTATACAAGAAGCCATCTCTGCTGACCAAATCGAGGCGAATATCAAACCACGTTCTGTGCAATCACGCGTTGATTGTCTCAAACGTTGTTTAATTTCTGCAGTTGTTTCCATAACGATTTATAGTTAATCGCGTATTTACTCTATTTTTCGGTGATGGACGTGAATGTTAAAGTCAAGAAGCTAGTTGCTCTATAGAAAGTTGTAATACAAAGACATAGCAATCACACCACATATTGTATAGAAATTTAAAAATTTTGTTTCTCTATTTCACTCAATTGTAAGTTCATCATCAACGACCAAGAAATGTCATACAAATCATCAGGTGGGATTATATTATATTTATATTTATCATTATCTAATGAACTCACTATCAGCTAACGACGTACCACTTGGTAGCAGACGCAAGTATGGGAATAACCCGCCGTTTGAAGAAGAGCGTGGGAGGTCAGAGAAGAGGATGAGGGAAATGCCACCACCTGCTCAGCCAGATCAGCCACGCAAAAGGAAGTCCAGATGGGGTGATTCCAAAGATTCGGGCGCTGTTCTCCCTACAGCAATTTACAACGCAAACGCATCACAAAAATCGTTAGAATGTTATGCAGCTCAAATGAGAATAGAAGAAATCAATCACAAACTCAGAACTGGCAATATTGTACCACCAGAAGCTGAGCGTAGCCCTTCACCACCACCAAGTTACGATAGCTGGGGAAAGCGCGTGAACACTCGCGATCAAAGATACAAGTTAAAGCTTGAAAGAGAGCGCATAAAACTTATCGATAAGGTTATGAAAATGGACCCATCTTACAGGCCACCATCAGATTACAACCAAGCGAGGCGATCTACACGTCCAACCGAGAAAGTCTACATTCCTACACATGATTTCCCAGAGGTTAACTTCTTCGGTTTGCTCGTCGGTCCACGTGGTAACTCATTGAAATCAATGGAGAGACAATCCGGTGCGAAAATTTCTATCAGAGGTAAAGGTTCAGTTAAGGAGGGTAAAGGTAGACCAGACAGTATGGATGCATCCAGTGATGAAGATTTACATTGTGTCGTCAGCGCAGATTCAGAAGAGAAGGTCAGAAAGTGTGTAAGGTTAATCAACAAGGTTATTGAAACTGCCGCATCAACTCCTGAAGGTGAAAATGACCATAAGCGTAATCAACTTAGAGAATTAGCCTCTTTGAATGGTACACTTAGAGACGATGAGGGTCAAATTTGTCAAAGCTGCGGTGCTGCAGGCCACAGAAGATGGGAATGTCCAGAAGGCGAGAACATCACAACGCAAATTAAGTGTTCCCTCTGTGGTCAATCTGGCCACTTGTCAAGCGATTGTACCGTTAATCCAGGCCAAGCTGCACAAATTAAAGGTGCGACAAATGCACCAGGGTTTGACAGCGAGTATGCATCGCTTATGGCTGAACTTGGTGAAGGGGGTGGTGCCAGCAAGGGTATGATCGAGGCTAGCAGTGCTCAGACAGTTCCAGGCTCTCAGATGTCTTACGTAGAGAAATGGCAATCAGAAGGAAAGAATCTACCACCGTGGCGTAATCCAGAGGTGAGTTTGTCGTACTTTTTTTTTTGTTTTTACTTACGTTTTGTTAGATTTGGGCAAGCGCAAATGCTCAAACTGGTGGTGGCTATGGTGGTGCTGTCTCCTACGATCAGAATGCATTCAACCAAGGCTACTCATACGACCAATCCTACGGTCAATACTATGGAGCCGCTGGCCAAGACGGATACCAACAGCAGTATGGCTACACATGAAAATCTTAGTTTAAATGAACTGTAACTAAAATAATAAGCTATTTAATGTAATTTTTACTTCTTTTAAAGTAGATTTACTATGATGCCCGTCTGACCTTCCTTTTTTGTAAACAAGCTTAAATTCTAAGTTATATTCGTGCCTCAAACAATCATCATCATCCACTCGCAATAGAAATGCTTATTCCATGCGTGACTTCTAACGTAATAGACGATAGCACAACGCCTAGAAGGCCAATAGATAAACTCATAATTGGTGGACCCTTGAAGGTGAGTTTCTGAGAATTGAGAGTTGTCAAACGAGACTGACATACGATGATTTAGAATTCTTTTGTACATCTTTCACACAATGACAATACAGAAAAGGAGAATAACGATTCACCTGTTGTACAGAATAGCATATCAATTAGGGAAGCACAACTAAGGGCATTAAACAACCATCAACAGGAGCAATCAGAGGAGCAGCAGGAGCAGCAGAAAAATCAGCAATCTGACGATGGTATACTACCAAGATCCGCATCCAGCGTCGGCAGATTGGCCAGCGTTAGACGCAAACCAGTCCCGTCAATCAATCCAGTCAGTGGTGATATCGTACCAAGTTCATCTGCTATGCAAGTCAACAGTACCGCATCAACTAATGCTACTTATGCTAGTGCTGATTTTGCACCATCAATTCCTGTCGCTGCCGCTGCTCAATGAGCTTATCTATTATTTTAGTTGAGGCTGGACCTCAATTTTAAAGAACAATATCGAAAACTATTTATATATTCGCTAGTTAGTCACGTAAATATATCAATCCCTCTTTATAATCAAGAAAATTTGCTTAGAGAAACAAAGACGTTCGCTTTATTCATCTCCTTTCGTTAATCTTTTGTAGAATAAAGGTAATATATCAAAACAATTAATAATATGAAATATATAATCAGAAATCACGAATGACGTGGTATGTAACAAGTTGAAATAGCTTGATAAATGAGTGTGTTTTTATGGAGTGAAGAATAAATAAATTGAGAGTAAACATATACAATACAAATTAATGTAAACTGATACATTGAAAAGGACAAAAAACCTCAATAGCACAAATGTCAATCATAAGTAATTGATCAATGAAAACTGACGATATGTCTCCAGATCTCTTTACATTTCTCCCAATTCTTTCTACTAAATCTCATGAATGTTTCGCGCGTAAATCCTCCAAAAACACCTTCTAAGTTGTCTGTGAAAATGAATTGTGGTTCTAGAAAGAGATCCGCTTCTGTGAGCTGATCATCCACAGCAGCAGCAACAGCCTTATTGAAATGTCTTCTCCAGGCGATAACATTATTAGCCCAATCATCGTCATCTTTGAATTCACTCCTAAACCTCAACTGGTCTACATCCATGAAAACAAATTCGAGGTCAAATTCAAGAAACACGAAAAGTTCATTGAGGTCGTAATCCTGCAGTAAAATACCAGAACGAGCGAGATTGTTGAATACTTTAACTGCAGTTTTACGTACGTGACTAGCGGATGTGAGGGTGAGTGATCTCGGTAATGACTTAGCCTCAATTACATGCTGTAGGAGAATCCCCTTAACATTGAAATACTCTTGATAATGTCCACCTGGTGCATTTGACATTATCAAAGTGATTGAGGTTTCGTATTCTTGAAAATAATATAAATGCTCCTGTTTGACAAACTCATATATATTCTTCTGTCTCTCGTATTGCTTGAGACATTCCCTGTGCGCTCTTAATTCAACTTCCTGTCCAGATAAATCACCATCGACGAGCGCACTCCGGAATTCTTTCTCTACGATACTATCCCATGGGGTTTCCCGTGCTGCTAGGTAGCGACGGTCAAACATACGCGCTATAGATGTACCTCCAACACCCCTAATTACAACATATAGGTCAATTGATTTGGTCTCTTCTCTCCAGATGGCATTCATGATACGGTGTTCATATATTTTCCCATTCGTGTCGTGTATTATGCGCTTAATTGTTTGCGGTTTATAGTCAAAACTGGTACGTATATTTCAATTGTGATGCAAATTGTCAAGTTAGCTAACTTACGATTTCATTATAACAATGTGGTGGTTAATAAAGCAGTTATTGGCTCACGTTTGCTCAATTAATAGACCAACTTTTCTGGATATGGGAATAATCTAGGTATTTTACTTATCTTCAAAACCGGCGATCGATACGTGACGAAATCTGCTATGAATATTCACGCTGGGGGTGAGGTATTAGGTGATGTAAAATCACTCATATGCTACTTAGATAGTCTGTGTGTACCATCAATCATTACTAATTACCAACATCTGATCGCCATAAAGAGAATTATAGCTGCCACTTAGCAGATTCGATATATTGACGACAACCAGAGTTACTTAATGTTAAGCTATCATCAGTATCGACCTGCATCATGGTGATATTATGACGAGAAGTCATATGAATGTTATCCAATGAGAAGATCTAAAACTGGCAATATAGCTTCCGAGTGTAACACCATCCATTATATACTATAGTAATTTGTAATATGCTTAGTTATGGTCTAGCTAGTATACTGATGCCTCTTAACCAGCATATTGACTAGCGTAGTCAAACAACAAACAAAGTCCTAGTAGTAGTATTTAAGTGTTGAGGTTATTATACTACAGTAAAAGACTATATCGTATTGGATCAATCCAGTTCAATAGCGTCATGATAGTGCGGCAGTGTATTAATAATGTCGTTGACTTTAAAGTTATTGTCTTAATAAATTCAAACTAATTATTAACCTAAATATTATATATTTAGTGAGTGTCATCCCTTATCCTTCATGATTGTACTTGGTTGAAAGGTAAAAAGGATTTAGTTCGTTGACCGTAAAAGGTATAGTGACGATCGGTCTTACTAACTTGAAATAAAATATTCAAGACCATAAAACAAGTATTTTGCAATGGAATCTCCTCAGATCACCTCACGGTACTGACAAAAAGATTAAATGTGCAAAAGAAAGGGCTCGACAGGGATTTGAACCCTGGACCTCTCGCAAGCTGGTAACCCAAAGCGAGAATCATACCCCTAGACCATCGAGCCGATGTACTTTTATTAGAGTATCAATTCTATCATCGTTGTGTTTTGCACGCAAATTTTCACATTTTTCCCCAATTTTATGAGTTTTGCCGCTGCCCCTGGGGTGGCGGTGAAGGCTTAGATCCTCCCCTCACAAGAGGGTAGTAGGTTCGAATCCAATACGGTGCAAAAGCATCTCAATTTACGACTCCGGTCAAGAAACGCTTCCAATTGACTCCTACAAAAACTCAAGAATGAAATGACCCTGACTCTATAAGAAGTATTGATGGACGAAGTTATAATTTGTACGTCTTAACAATATATTCAGATTTCATCATCATCATCATCATTTTATGAGTTTTCAGCGGGTATGTCAGAATACAGATACAGGGCTGAACATACAGCATCATTTAGTGACTAAGGATAGAAGGAACAAGGAGTTACACCAAGAACCAAGAGGAACACCGAGGCGCAGTAGAGGACAAGAGGACGACAAGGAACATGAGGACAGTAGAGACTATATAAAGAAACATATCTTGTAAAAAGAAACAATCATCTTAAATGATCATTCTATAACGTACTTATACTTTCACAACCTATAATAAAGCGTGTCTGATATTTACGTACCAACAGGGTACACAAAGAAATGGTCATTGTTTAAATCCGGTACTGGACCGAATATACAAAGTCAACTAAGGATGTGACACAGACTGGTCTCGAACCTAGGAGACAAAAGTAGAGATGAGGGCTGTGATCAGCGGTAAGACGAGTCACATAGGCCATGATCATCTATATTTAGACAAGAGCGCGGCCAGTTGAGATCACGAAAAGAGTAAAAGGACCAGGATAATGGGACACTGGAAAATATAAATAAGGAAGAGAATATTGTACACTAAAAAGGAAGAACTAAATAGATCTTGTTTATCTTATAGAACCAACAAGAAAGTTAATACTAGCATATTGGTAGCCATCCAGTTTATAGAGCTCTAGTCCCATACCTGCAGCTACAGAACAATAATCCATAACATCCATTGCTACTTTACAGTCCCTTCACACATGGATTAAGAAGGCCGTCTTCTCTGTGGGGTTAGGATACGTCCTCGAAACAAGCCCACAAATCATCGAACGCTTCATTATCATACATAAACTGCTCTTAATTTTTAAAGGATGATGGATACTCTCTATTGGCTGGGGTCCAGTGGTATTCCCTATCACAAGAATAGCATATCCCTTTCGGCCAGATGATAGTTGGATCGGGAAAGCTCCTACTACCCCCATAATTGCTAGCTCCCATAAAAAGATAGTAACTAAATATAGGTAATGTGATAGCAAAAGCGGGTATTTGGTACCATAGATATTCCCTGTAAAACACTCCAAATATACGAGTGTTAGTGACTCCTCTTTCCCCTGTATACAAGATCCCATTTTCAAATTTAACGGGACAGTCATCTTCATGTTCATCACTGGCATCGAGGTATCTTTTAACCATGTTTGCTCTAATAACACAACAATACCTTCAGCGTCTATTGTATAAGAAATTTGTCGAAGTTTTTCTATTTTTTTAAAAAAATTTCATTTATATATTATTAAAAACTTTGCATAATTCTATTGTAATTTCAACTCTTTTACTTTGATTTACCTTGTGGTAACTGTTTATCTATTTCATCATCATCATCATTTATGGTTTGACATAGTTTCCCAAGCTCTAAATACTTCCCATGAGTTTTCGAATTGCATCTGACCTGCCACACATGAGTTTTCTATGTTTCGGCTCAACTGCGCGTAGACGATAACACGCGAATCATCAAGACATGTTACTATTGTTCAAGCTGAAATATACACCGAAAACCCACGATAGCTTCTTCTGTAATAGCTAACAAATTGGTATCCTTATTTTATCTCATACAAGCTCTAAAAGTAGGCGTTGCAGTCGATTCGGCAGTATTTTTAGCATGTAATTAACTACTTTGTCATTAGCATGACACACCCTAGAAACAACACACTTCACTAAATATTATTTATCCTGTTCAGTTAGCAAGAAAAATTATTTTATTCTGTCGACTAAGCCATCTCATCTATAGATAAAGGTTCCGCATACTTATCGAAGATAGTAGTTAACACATTTCCTTCACTGTCAACCTCGTCAGAATAGTAACCTAAACCACTCTCATGTTCCCTTTGATTAACAAAAGCATATTCTTCAGTCGGAAAAGCATGAACACCGGATAAACTTTCACCATAAAATAAACCGTTATTTTCACTAGGAATATATATTTTTTGGACACCAGATAACGCTAAAGATAAGCTTGTAGCTGCAAGTAGAAGCAGTATGTTAAGTTGAAATAGCATCTGACCTGTAGCGAAATAAGGTGCAATTTAATAAAGTTGTTTTTTTTTTTTACATTGTTTGAAAATATTTTTTTTTGTAAGTGGAATTCTATACCATGGAGTTATTATTAATCTCTTAGAACTTATACGTTACTTCTTGTGTATTTCTCAATAAATGTCGTCATGATTAGGATGAACTTTAAGAAAGGAAGACATCAACCTCAGTACCATCCCAGCTTATGGCACTATTATGATATCTTAAATTGTATTTGACTCTCCTGCGAGTTTTATTTCTACCCATCCACCTTTTGGAAAGAATCAGGTCTTGAGAGATTTCTCATCTTGTTTAGTGGTTTTCGTCCATAGGCACAAGCAGAGAATATTTTTGGCGAAGAAAGACACGCCGTAGGGCTGAAGTCTAATCTGATAGGTCGACTGGAGACTATCGATGAATGGTGTCTTAATATTGAATTGCTAGTTTCTGACAGTCTTATAAGCGTCGCTGTCAAATACTATTGAAAAAGTTTGATACTTTGTGTATTCTTTCCTTAGATTTGTTTGGGTACTTACATGATTGCTCTCTTTTGAATAAATCTGTTTCAGAAGTCACACAATGTGTATCGCTTGACTTAGAATGCAATTTAAAATGTATGCCCGCAATCTGTGACTAAGTTATTATTCCTTTTGTAAAGTATGCTTGTAACGTTAGTAGTGACATTGATTGCATCTGTTTGTGATCTAGCAGTTTCACTTTGATTTATTTCCATTTAATTTTGTTCTCTTCTGCATAACAATAATTTTCATGTGTGAAATGTAAGCCAGGACAGAAAACTCGTGATGACATAGGCGAGTACTGTCGTGCAGTTAGTGAGGGATACTCGGAAATGCTTCTGATGTAAGAACTGATATGACCATAATATCTGACTTGTAAACATTAGCTGTACTCTCAATTTCTTGTTAACATGATTTAGTAATAGAAAGAATGACTGCCATGATATGTCCGATTGAGATGATTGAAGTGGAGGAACAGCTTTTTGTAGGAATTGTAAAGCTATTTTACAACTTAACAGGCAATTCAGTCTAATTGGTCTGATTACTTGATTGGTATGAGCGGACCGCTCATAAGTTGACAAAGTACAACTTGGTACGGAAACATCATAAGTGAATTCCAAGAAGGTTCTTCAGTCTATATCCCAAGAAAGAATTAGCTTTGTATACTGGCAGTACCAGTGAGTGCATGGTCGTGGTTCAATTCGAGAGTTTAACATTGAATGGATTGAATTGAATCTTTATTGACCCCCAAATGACTAAACTGAATAGACACCAGAGTATTTGTTAGCAAAAAGGTCGATAATATAACACTGAAGACATAAGTAATAGAAAATGTCGCTTTCTACCTTAGTTTGTTGTGAGTCTCTTTACAGTCTTCATTTATTAGATTTAGTGCTCCACTAAAGAGAGGGATAATCTATGCAGTTAGTGCTACTATAACAGTAGCTTCTAATAAAGTGCGTATGTCTCTGGTTACTATGTGTTGTCTTGTACTATCTCGATAATATCATATGATATAAGCAAACATAATAAATAAGGAGGATTAATTCAGCACATGAATGTCCTATAATAGTAATTGTAAGCTTTTACGTTGATTTATACCTAATGTCGTATTGTTGACCAACGATATCACGAAGGAAATACACCACGGTATTTATTAGATTAGACATTAGAATAGGAAATATAGCATCACTATCAATTAATACACTGTAAAGTAAATCTTCTATTATTCCTTAAACCGAAACAGTCAAATGAGAAGAACACTCTTACCTGCGTTTAAAGACGCACGGCGGCGTTTAATACTCGCATTGGAGAGCTCGGCGGATGACACTTGCGCTGCTGTAGTAAGTAGCCACAGAGAGATTCTCTCAAACGTAGTGCTTAAGCAGAACAACATTCATGAGCAATATGGAGGCATACATCCACTTTACGCAGTACAGGGACATATGATGAATATACCGCAAGCTATAAATGATGCATTGCGGCTATCGAACTTATCACTCAATGATATGGATGCAATAGCAACCACTCAAGGTCCAGGCATGCCTGGATGTCTCCAGATTGCGATTGTTGCTGCAAAAGCCTTAGCTGGAGCGAGTAATAAGCCACTTATTGGTGTACATCATATGGTATGTCGTACATAACCAAAGGATAATTACTTAACCAACGCAATAGCAAGCTCACGCACTCACCTGTACTCTAACGGAGAAGACACCTCCTGAATTCCCATTTTATACTCTTCTATGCTCTGGTGGACATACGATGATAGTCGACTCGGAGAGTGTGCATAAGATGTCGATTTTGGCTACTAGCCACGACGATTCTATTGGGTGAGAATCCATAAGTGTATTGTATGCCCAGTTAACAGTTATTACAGAAATGCTTTCGATCAAGCTGCAAAATTGTTGAATATTCCTTGGTCACTTCATCCATCAAATGCGCCTGGAGCGGCACTGGAGGTTTTCGCAGACCAGGAAAACATCAAAGCAAATGAAGTAGCTCTTATTAAGGAATATAGAAAGAAGTTACGTGTACCAGCACCTGGCCAACTTCTGTTTAGCTATTCTGGTTTGAGGAGTGCCTTTGGAAGATTAGTGGAGGAGAGCGACAAGACTGAAATGACCCGCAAAGCTTTAGCTAGAGCTTTTCAAGCTGCTGCTGTTGCCCAACTAAAAGATAAGGTGCGAATAACATTTACCGTAAAAATACTCTAAGCCGTAATAGATCGAACTTGCTCTTGACAATGCGCCTTCCAAGCCATCCAGTTTGGTTGTAAGTGGTGGTGTCGCTAGCAACGGATATCTACGAAAAAGGTGCGTTGTTCGGTCGATGATAGGTGTTTACTGAGTAAATTTGAAGTCTGACAGAACTCACTGAGCGTCAAAATATGAGCATATACTTCCCAGCTCCATCTTTGTGCACTGGTGAGTATAATTTGAGCTGTGATATTCCACTAACGTAATAAAGATAATGCAGCAATGATAGCATGGGCAGCACATTACAAACTAGCAAACGAGGATTTTAGCAATCCTTGTACATTAATGTCTCGACCTAAATGGTCACTAGAGGAATTATAGATGAGATAAGTCAGTTGACGTCATGTCAGTCTGAGCACTTTACGAAGGCGTGTGTATTGCTTTGTATAAAAGAAAGGACGAAATTTTAATCCGGATTGATTCAAACCCATCTTGGTGGTTCTCGCATACTGCTAAAAGTACTTTGATTCGAAGCTTGTCGCGTGCATTTACCCTCTTTGATTATGTTAAGTGCGACAATATAAACATCGTAGAGCTTGCCGTGTCATATAGTTACTTAACTTTCTCGCCTAAAATGACGACGTCACATCTTCCAACTGAGATATCTAATATTTGTAACTCAATCGTAATGATAAAGACTAGTTACTTACCGTATAAGTACACGTTAATTGCTGCAAAAGACCGGTCGTAAAGGCACAAGTCCACATCCATACTGTTAGATGAACGTCCATGACATTTCGTAAGCTTTTACAAAGTGTTAAACTACCAATTATACAAGCGCCTATGGCTGGTGTGAATACACCGCAGATGGCTATAAGTGCCTGCAATAGTGGCATTGTTGGCAGTATTGGTTGTGGGATGATGGAGCCGGCTTCTATCAAGGGTTCCATAGAAAAGATCAGAAATGGCACAGAAAAGCCCTTCAATATAAACCTATTCATAGTAGATAATTTGGATGGCTACCAACCAGACAGAGTAGCAATAAAATGGCTTGATGACGTATATGCTGAGCGAGGACTCGAGCTACCAAATCCTAGTAAATTCGCCCCAAAGTTTGAAGATCAGTTCGCTGTGCTTCTTGAGCAAGCTCCACCAATAGCCTCATTCGCTTTTGGTATTCTCGACGGGCCGCAAGTGAGAAATTTACACGATCGCAAAATAGCTGTCGTTGGGGCTGCTACTAGTTTAGAAGAGGCTCTTCAGTGGGAGTCTGTGGGTGCTGATGCCTGCGTTATCCAAGGGATCGAGGCTGGTGGCCATAGGTGTTCCTTTATCAATACAGATGATCCAGGTCAACCATTATTAGAGCTTCTTGAAAGCGTAAGGAATCATCTAAATATACCCCTCATTGCTGCCGGTGGGCTCATGAATGGTGGAGATGTTCAAGCTGCACTATCCGCTGGTGCTGATTATGCGCAACTTGGCACTGTCTTCTTAACGACAGACGAATCACCAATACCTCAGGCATATCGCGATGCATTATATTCTTCCAAAGGCGAGGATACAACGCTCACAAAGGGATTTTCGGGTCGTCTGGCACGTGGAATACGTAATAAGTTTATCAATCAATCCTCACATCAATACAGCTTCCCTTATCCAGTGCAGAACGCCTTCACACAACCACTACGCAAAGACGCAGCACAGAGAAACAGTTCGGATGATTTGTCTATGTGGTCAGGTAAAGGTGTTGAAGCTGTGAAAGACTCACCCTCAATCGAATCACTCGTGACGAGACTTGAGGAGGAATATTATGTAAAATAACATGAACGAACGAGAACTTTACACCCATTATGATTGCTTATTCCGCTTGATTTCAATTCGCTAGCATTTGACTTGTTTCTCAGTTGAACATTGTAGAAGGTCAGGTAAAAAGATTGTTCCCGTAATATTATTTAGATTATAAACCTCTATAGAATGAATGAAAGCTCAGGGGTATATAGAGCTTTTCTATCACATCTTTGCCCAGTATGCTATGTAATGAAAGTAATGTGGGCGATGATAGTGCAAAAACTTATTACAAGTAACAAGCGGGAATTTTCTAAATCTTGTACATTGATTTAGCTTCTTGAGTGGTCTTCAAGAGGCATTATAAACGAGATAACTCAATTGACGTCATTCTTTGTTTGAGTGCTTTATGAAGGCGTATGTAATGATACTTGCATAAAGAAATAAAGTAGTTTTTGTTTGGGTTGATTCAAATTTCCTGTGGTGTCTTGAATCTGATGGTGCATTTGCTCCACATTTTTCGGCTACTTATTTAGCAACCGTCACCACATAAAAAACACTATGGATAAAATTCAAGATAAAATTCAAGGTGCATGGAAGGGATTCCACGGTTAGTCTATTAATATTAGCAATGTACAAATGCTCATAAAACATAGGCACTGGTGAAACCATCAGAGGAACATTTAATGAAACCGTAGACAGAGCAGGCGATCAAATTGCAGGAAGACCAGCTGGTAGTGTAGAGAGCAAGTCAAACAACCCAGGAACAGCCAAGAAAGGTATTAACGAGTTCAAAGATGGCTTCGATAAGCTCACAAGTTCATCAAACACTGGGGGATCACAGGAAGCCAGTGTGGAAGTACCTGAAGCACAGCAGCCACAGGGGCACAGCGTACCACCAAAGCTTCCAGAACGTACTTAGTATATTTGTGCGATAATCTATTAAATAAGCTATTGATACACTCCATATTCTATAATTAATCACTCTTGCTGTCCTAGAAGTGACTGTGTAACAAGCTCCCTCAGTCTCTCCTCTGGATCGACACCATCTTGTTCGGCTTGACGCATTATTTCTGCGACCTGTCTACCAGTTTCCGTATTCTCAAAGTCATCACCTGAGATGTTTGCAGTATTGTTTGATGGTTCAGGACTGACTTTTTTAAGGTATTCTTGTACTTCTTCATGCTCATCCTCATCTATGAGCTTCTCTAGGGGTGTTCTACCATCATTATTGCGTAAATGAGTATCTGCGTGGTATTTTTCAACCATGTGCTTCGCCATATCGACGTCCTCTACCACGAATAATGGTGATTCGCCATCATCGTCTAATAAATTGACGTCTCCCCCTTTACTAAGTAGGTAGTCGAGTAGTTCAAAGTGCGAATAAGATACAGCAGCGTGGATAGGACTATAGCTGTTCTCATCCAAGCTATTGACGTCTACGCCACATTTTTCGACCAAATGCTGGACTCTTTCAATATTTCCTTCACTAGCGGCTTAAATTTGTTAATATAGCTTATAACTTTCTACAAAGACCCACCAAGCCAGATATTTTTGTCATTTGATGGATCGCTTACCATGACGAGCCTTGTACAAGGAATGTCATGAACGTTTACGAGGAGTTACGCAACAGAATCACTAACAAAAGCCCATGGGATACAGAAGTTACATTTCTTAGACAATCACTTCGAAAGAGATTACAAAGTGATCTATTGATGGGTTCAGATAACGATGTATCAGCCAACTTGCATAATATTTGGCACGAAACGACGCACAACCTCATCATTGAATATAGAAGGCGTCTGAAGAACATTGACAGCTCGTCAAAACCGAACAAAGTTTGGTTGGAACGTAGACGAGTTTTACAGAATTTCATCGACTTCATGAAGAAGGATGAGGTATTTTATAGGAGTATTATAGCCCGTACTATCACTTTATTTGGTTTGGATGAATATACCCACCTTTTAGCCCAAATCGAACCAAATAAAAATGTTGTCAATAGTGACGACACAAGTAGCGATGATGGACGGGCTGATGTTTCCCTGGATTATTCCAATCAAGTAGCAGAAGAGGGCACTTTTGATAAGAATACCCGCGTTTACATTATTTATCGTTGTTTGATATTCCTCGGTGACATAGCGCGTTACAAAGAACTTTACAACCAAGAAGGTGGTAGGCCTAAGGCGGGCGTGCAGTACGAACAGAATTCAAGACATAGGCAATACGCTAACGCTTTACTTTGTTACGAATTAGCACAATCAGTTATGCCAAGTGAAGGTATGCACTTCAACTCCTTAGCTACACTAGCAAGCTATCGCGATGATTTCATAGCGGTTGTTTATAATTACTACAGAGGTCTCACGCTGAGTAGCCCCCAACATAGCAAATGGCAACAACTTGCCCGTAACAATCTCAAACAAGTACTTACTAAAGTACTAGACGAGGAAAACAACGTCAATGATGATTTGAGGATATTCACAGTGCAGCTACTTAAAATACACGGAATGCTTTTCCTTAATCGAACTGAGTGAGTAATATCCTATGCTCTACATTTAGCAGCTAAACCTAGTAAAGTTATCAAACAGTCAGCAAGTTAATAAACTCTTCTTTGAGGCAGTTTCAGAAGTTGCTAGATAGCGGGACGCTCAGAAATGATGTGATATTGAAGATCGTCACTATAAACATCTCCCTTCACTACCATTTACGCGTTTATCGAGACATCGAAAGCATACCAAATAAAATGTCCCTAGAGAATCGCAGGAATACTGCACACAAGTATCTAATTCGTGTAGTGACGATACTTATGAAGCACGTCAGAGCGAGTCTAGCTGAAGTTGAACTAGAAGAGAGTGCGCAAGATGACATAAAGCTGGCGTCCCTTTTGACAACATCCATGAGAAGATGTTTACCTACATTGAGGTTATTCATGCATTGGCTTACATCAAACATTGATCACCATAATAAAATCAAAGCAAGCTCAAAGAGCAATAGTATACCACAGTTTTGGGAAGAATTTGAACAATTTAAACAGGCGCTATCTTCTTCATTTGAGAATCTCAAAATTGATAGGTGTGAATATTCATTAGAGGAAGATGAAGAGTTTCAGCAATTTAATCCAATTAAGAGATGTCCTATGCGTGGAATGTCGAAAATGGAAAGCAATGAATTGCGCAGGCAGAGACACCCCAACGATGAACAATTGGAACGCGGAATTATTATTATTAGATTAGGTACTAAATTGTAATCAACTTCCGTTTTTGGGTGAAATTTCCTGGATTCGCCGAATGTCTTGACACTAACATAAATGAGTTTCTGTAAAATTAAATAGCTTGGCTATTGCAGTCATGTACAACAAATTCTATCATGAATTTTCAGTTACAGCTAATAATGTTATATCAGAATTGTTTCATACCCAGAAGACAGAAAGTATAGAAATTTTTATTAGAAAAGTACTCGAAAGGACCCAAATAGAACCACATTTAGTATTATCTACATTAGTTTTACTATATAGGCTCAAGATGAGACTGGTGGGTTTGGTATTTATATCTGTCATATCATATCGGCTAACAAGAATGACGATAGCCCGGTGTACAAGGTAGTTGCTCAGAGAGACTTTTCTTAGCTGCTATGATACTATCATGTAAATCGCATTCAGATCGCACGTACTCTAATCAAAGTTGGTGTATCGTTAGCAGGTTTCAACTCAAAGAAGTAAACAAGATGGAAAGAGAACTATTTAAGTATCTACTATACGATACGAACGTTGAACTTAAGGAATTAATGGTTACACTAAATTATTTCAATTGTACCCACCTCTTCTTTCATTGACATTCATGATTAGACTTACAACGCACGTGTTATTGAGTGTCCTAATAGGCAGCTCTATAACTTTTATACTACTTTCCAAATATTCGTTATCGTCGACTCAGTTCACACCAAGGGACAAGCAATTGCTACCTCTGGAATGGCAAAAGTACGACTACGTCAAGTTAGTCGACCACTTCAGGAATAGTAGCAGTAGTGATGAGGATAATGATGGGGAGTTTGACAATGTACCAATGATTGAAGCACCTCTTGACATCTGGAATCCAATCCTACCACACACAACGCCAATAAACGATATAACAGTCAGATCATGCTCTATACCCCCATCAATGGAATATTACTTTGGCGATTGCTATCCACCTTCAACTATAGAGGAGGATGCAAAGTATGGTCCATGGGTTAGAGTAGGCTTAAACCTAAACATACAAGATGGTAGCTACTGGCAATACGTATATTACAGGAGATCGCGTAGATTAGATATAAGCTACATTGATGACGTTAAAATTTTGACCGAATCAGAATCAACGAAGGATCTCGACGCTAGTTGGTTTAGAGTTAACCAGAATATAAGATCAGGCTTGAAGCCATCAGCTGAGGCTGCTTATATTTGGTACCATATACACAAACCATCGAACGATCCACGTCCACCTTCTGCAATAACTGAAATTGATGTTTTATTCGGTCATGGACCAGCCTGGCCTGACTTCCATAGATTTGAAGGAGCTAATGTACAGGATGAGAGTGACGGCAAGCAAAGAATGACACTTACTGCTCGTAAAGGTTATAAACACCCTAAGCAACCAGAATCATTGAGATTCAAGGAAGATGGTTCATTTAGAATCTTACAAATAGCAGATTTACATTTCAGGTACGTGATTGTGTAGCATACTATATAATGCTCAAAATTATCATAGTGTAGGAAAAGGAACGTGTAGAGACACTGACAAATCTCCTTGTGAGGGTGATGAAGAGACCATCAAACTCATGGCAGAGACTTTAGACGATGTCAAACCTGATTTTGTCGTTTTCAGTGGGTTATATAGAAGATGCTCATTTTCCGTTCACTAACATCACACCCAGCTGGCGATCAACTTAATGGACAGGTATGATCTCTAAAAATTAGTGTGATGTCACCTAATTATATCGCAGGGTACTTCCTTTGATGCTGTCAGCGTATTGGCCAAAGTACACCATGAAGTAGTCAAACGCAAGATACCTTTCACAGCCATTTTTGGTAACCACGATTCAGAGTTGACAGAGTTGGTAATTTTAAGAGTGCTTTGATTTATCTAACGTTAAATAGCCTTCCAAGGAGCGAACAAATGAGATTAGTGCAAGCGCTCCCATTCTCATTTGCAGACCCAGGTCCTAGTGATATACATGGAGTTGGAAACCATGTCCTCAAAGCTTATTCTCCGGATAGCTCGAAAACCCACTTGCTTACGATGTACTTCCTCGACACACACGCTCTTCTACAACCACCGAGGTACAATCCATTCAAGAACATGGCCGGACAATATGACTATATTAGACAGGTGAGCTGATTTATTTATTGTAGTATTAAACTAAAATACCTCTAGAATCAAATTAACTGGTTCGTCAAGGAGTCAGATAAGATAAAACTCATAAATCGACCATTTATACCACAGAAGGGTGAAGTATACGACGACACCCATGAAAAGCAAAAGAGGATTCCACAGACTGCGCAAAAAGCCAATGCTATTGTCTTTGGGCATATCCCATTACGCGAATACTACGATAATGCTGCAGATTTAGACGAGAACATGCATCCTATCCAAGGATGGGGACGTCGCGGTGAAGAAGATGGCGATGGCGCAAGTAGTATTAACGGTGGTTTCTTCAATGCCGCTAATGGTCTACTTCGCGATAATGAAACTGGCGCTAATCAAATAAGAGTAATCGCGCATGGACATTGCCATTTAACGGATGAATGTAAGCTCATTCAAGGTACTTGGATCTGCTTTGGTGGTGGATCGTCATTTTCTGGCTACGGTAGAGTCGGCCACGATCGCCGGTTCAGAGTCTACGATGTTAGCGAATGGGGAGAAATAATTGAGACGTTCAAGCGCACCGAGAAAGGTGAATATATCGACAATGTTATACTCGTCAACAACTTGTAATCGTATTTTTTATTGCATGTATTCTTATCAATATTCCACCATTATGACGGCTACTGAAGGGATGTCCAAGAGAGAGAAGATAGCAAAAATGTCACTATCAGTTGAGCCTGCATTGAGGACACTTGCCTGGTTGCTCCCTGGTAGATTTGACGATTCAGAGCTCGTAGCGGAGTGCAGTAAGTGATTTAGTTTCGCTGTCGTGTCAACTGAACGAATGAATAGTTTTCAGCTCGCTCAATGTTATCACACAGGAGCAGGATATTCAGAACGCTACCCATTCTAAGAATCCACATAGCCGATACACCACCAAAGCTGACTGGGGAGCATTACACAAGATATCTTCAAGACTGTTGACTTTGATAGGTTCATTGCAGCTCTTGGGTGAAATAGTTATGCATAGAAGGGAAAGAACATCAGAAAGTGCCGGTAAACAGCGTTGGAATTACATTTCTGCAGTAGAAGCACTCAAGTGGGTAAACAATACATCCTATTATTATACTAACATGCTATAGATTTACCTTACGTTTAATCATCCTTCTTAAAACCCGCTTTCGTCCACTCATTCACCCGTCGACACCGTCACGAGATCAAGACAGCACACTCGATCCAGAGTACAAGCCAGCAAGCAAGGTGCGCAATGTTGACGAATTCAAAAGAGAATACGGGACTGTCGATAATTATCTCAGAAGCGTTGCATTGGGTAGTGATGCATTTACCCCTCCATCAGCATTAGTTAGACCACTGAATAGTATTCCTCAGGTTGTTTCCGAGCTATTACTTGCTGCAGAGCCACTAGTTTATGCACTGGCCCTCAGGAGACAATACATCCGCACACAAACCAGGTACAAACCTTGGAGAACTAGATCAGAGTGGACGCCTCTCCTTATTTCACTCTCTATGTCTATTCTCAGCAGACAGCTACGGAAATATGATCAAAGGAACGCTGTTTCACCGTACGCATTTGATGTCAACAAGAGCTCGATTGAAATGAACGAGCACATGAGGCGCGAGCAATCGTTTATTAGGTGCGTCAGGTTGTAATCATTTTAATCACTAACTAAGTTACGCAGGTACCTTCTCCGTGGTCCTATCTGGTCAGATTTTACCAAACCCCGCGTTGAATCACTCGTCCACAGGTTTGAAAATTGGCCTTTAATTGGATTAGCTGCAGGTATCGTAGGAGATTATATACCACTTGTTGACAATTATCACTTCTACACATCTGCTTAATTGTATTTTTATAAATGCCATCAATTACAACAAGTCTACGTCCTTAATATTAGATAATGTTATTCGTCTTCATCTTCCCAATCACTAGCCTCATCTTCCTCGCTTGTGTCCTTCTTCCTCTTTGAAGCAACCCTTGCAGGTTTCTGCGTCCGCTTCCGTGGTTTGGCAGGCTGTTTCTTTTTCTTTTTGGTTGAGTCAGCCTCTTCGGAATCAGAACCAGAGCTTGCTGGTGTTTCTGAATTGTTCCTTCCTCTGAACGCTTTGACGACTTCTTTGAGTCTATTACTTGAATACGCAGCCATAGGACGCGGTCCCAATACACCTGCGCCAACAGTATCATCGAAGTACCGATCAAGTGATGTTTGAGGTGCTGCTTTCTGTTTATCATGTTAAAATTATGATTCTTATGAGTAATACAACGTACCTTATTGCGCATGTGTTTCATAACAGGTATGATAGTATCATCTACTTTATGAGCAGGCCATCCAAGGTAATTGTAGAGGTATTCCCTCAATTCATCCAGATTTGGTATACCCCAAACAAACTCCTCATTCGAGCTGTCAGTTTTAGCCCCATAGTATGCACCTTTAACTTGCGGATCTGGGAACTCTTTATCAAGGAAAAGATTCTTTGATTTCTTCTTGAAATTCTTTCTAAATCTCGTACTGGTATCATTTGACGTATCTTTGCCATTTTGTACTTTGATCCACCAATCTCTGAAACCAACGAGGGTATTCTCATGAGCAAAATCGGCCAATAACTCCATAGCCATTACTGGACCAACCCCAGGAAAGCCGTTAGTGTAATCAGATCCTAGAATATGAGCAAGTTCTATCAATCTATCCCTAGATAATGACAGATCTCGCTCTATATCCGACGAAACATAACATTCGACAAATTGCCTATCGTTAAACATGTTTTTGTATACTATAGGTGCACCAAACAGGAAGACATCACTATCGTCAGTTATAACCGCATCAACTAGATTCATTTGAGCTAACTTAGCGCATTGTGCTTCAGCTTCCATAGGCGCTGTTATGTATGGTATACCAAACGCTCGTAGTAACTTTTGGATCTCTCCTGTCATTTGCATAGTAGGATCATCACTACCACCTGACATTTTCTTTGCCGATTGCTGCAATCTACGTATATCTAAATCTGCTTCAGCTAACATTTCATCGTAGTTTTTATTATTGACTGTTGAACTAAACGCAATATAATCCTTCTCCTCATTTTCAATAGCCTCTATTGCTTCAATCTCGTTATCAGATGCATCTATATCTATAGGTGGTGACATCTCTTTGTTTTCTGAAGATCGATCTTTTAGATGTAGCTCATCGAGTTGTTTCTCGTTTTGAGTTGACGTTGATTGCGATACAGATGCAGACGTAGTAGTTTGCGGAGGTTGTTGCGGCGGCGGTGATTCTTCCCAACCACTATACGCACTTTCAACATCTGAGTCTAAAAGTTCTTTTTGTGGTGCTTTATGTGGTTCTTTAAAAATGGCTCCCTGCCCCTGTGGTAAATTCAAATCTGTGTCATGCTTCTCTATTTTGACTATGTCGATTTGCTTTTCAGACGTCGCTTTATCGATAGGCTCAGATACATAATTCTTCTTCTGGTAATCTACAGAGGGAATCTGCGCGACCTCTTCCATGTCAGCTACATCATTTTCTTCGTCTTCATCTAAAAACAGGGGTGTTTGATCTTCAGGTGTAACAGACTTCCTCTCAGGCAATCTTTTAGACTGTCTACTTTGGAAATCTTGTAGTTTTAGTTTTTCTCTCTTCTCCTCCTGGGGTCTGGCGGGGGTATGCTTGAGTGTTGCTTTACGCTGTGAAGATGGTTGTTCAGGTGGCTTCGTTATAGTGCGAGTGACATTAGGCTGCATTTGTCCGAGCTTTTGTGTTGCTTGCGCATTACTAACACCCCTCACATCTTTCAAAGAATCGGGCTGGTTCTCTATACTGTCAGTAGCTTTCTCTTTCTCTCGATGTCTCCGCGCCATCTCAGTAAACATTCTCAAACTGTCCTCCTTGGCTTTCGTAATCATACTCTCATCTAAAGCTGCATCCAGGCCTGTTAATTGTGCTTCATTTTCCTCAAATGTATCGTATACATGTGGGATTTGTGACCCATCTTCGTTAAAAGCGGGAACATCTGAAACTTCTGCTGGTGGAATGCTCACTTCCTCCATATCCATATCATCTTCATCCGTATCTTCAGATATATGTTGTTCTTCACCATCTTCATGATCGCTGGATATTTCAATGGGCTTCTGACCTGGTTGTCCCCTTGAGTCTTGTATACCCAAAACCCATCCACCACCTTCATTATCTGATTTTCGCATGAGGAAATATTCTTTGTTTCTAGATGTAGATACTCGTAGAGCAACCGGTGACTCTTCGTCTTTACCCATTCCCTCTGAGTGATTGATAAGTTTCTGAGTTAAGTCATTCCTTTGCATAAGATTTTGTATTTGAGCTTTAGAGAAGTCTTTCGCAGTTGATGATTTGCGAAGCATAGTTTCTAATCTTGAAAAAGATGTGCTTCTGGACTTTAATCGCATATCACCGATCAATTCATATTGTACTTCTGGTGGCAGCTGCTTGAATGCTTCTGAAGACGTATCGAAATCAGACGGTTTCATAGTTGATATAAAGTCACGAAGTTCATCCTCAGTAGCTAGTCTCGGATCTGGTATGTTTGATTTAGGATGTGACGGAACTGCAGGTAACTCATATGGATCTAATCTCCGCTTCTTCTGTGGTGTTTGCTTTTTGGGGGCAACATTATTGAGATCATCAAGATAAGCTACATTATCATCATTATCCGAATCGTCACTGCGTTTTGCTGTTCCTTTCGATTGTACACTTAAGCTTTGTCAATATGATGTCATTTAAAGAAACGCGACTTACGCTCTCTGTTGTTGCTGAATTGCTGCCTTTCTAAGCTGTGCAGATAATAACCTTGAAGCTATCAATGCATGGCTTTGTCTAGCTCCCTGTCGTCTATTTTTACGTTCAGACTGTGTGGAGTGAGTATGGCATTTGGGAACAATGAATACTCACGATGGTGGTTTTCTTAAGCCTAGGTGCACCTCCATCAAACACAAAGACCGGTTTCAAACCGTAGAATAGCAGTTTGAGTATACGTCTAAGAAAACCAAGGATATGGGCGTTGGTGAGCGTATGGCCCTGTTTGTCTTTGATAGCTCTAAGGAAGTGATAAAGCCAGATAGATGAGTCTATAGCTACGCGTTTACCTCCCAGCATTTCTAATCTTATGATGTATTTAGGAGTGGCGATTGATAACGAATTGATTACTCACTTTACAGGCCTTGCAACCGGCTGTAACAGCTGCCAAAGTCCTTTGACACCCATCTTTACAAATTGATCTTCGTGGTTAGATCTAGAGATGTGATATGAGAGAGATGAGAAGAACGAGGGGAGATATTGAGAGATGAGATTGAAGGATAGTTAGCTGATACCCCATAGATTAGTATATCTCCATATCAAAACTATATCCCGAAAAAATGATGTCTTCTTCCTTCGTTTTATACAATGACTTCGGTAAACGAGCAAGTGCTCAGAAAATTAGTTGAAAAGGACAAAGTAATACTTCCAAAGGATAACGAAGATAATATCCTTATCTCATCTGCTCTGCCTTGTAAGTTGAGTCATATAAACAGTCGATACACTCACTAATTTGACAGATTGTAATAACGTACCACATTTGGGTAACGTAATTGGTAGTACACTCTCAGCAGATGTTTTCGCTAGATACAACAGAATTAGAAATCGCAATACACTCTACATTTGCGGTACAGATGAATACGGTACAGCAACTGAGACGAAAGCTATCGAGGATGGCATAACACCTAAGGAGCTTTGCGATAAATATACAGCCATTCACAAAGAAGTTTACGATTGGTTCGAGATTGAATTCGATAAATTTGGACGCACTTCTACTGATAAGCAAACAGAAATTGTACAAGATTTCTACAAAAATATCAGAAAGAATAACCTTTTGGTAAAGTCAACGAAGGAGCAAATTTACTCTGTTGAAGAAGACAAGTTCTTAGCAGACAGATTCGTTGAAGGTACTTGTCCATATTGTCAAGCTGACGATGCCCGTGGTGATCAATGTGACAAATGTTCACGCACTTTTGATAGTCCACTCGAGTTGCTCAACCCAAGATCAAAAATGAATCCAAAATCACAACTTGTCACTCGTCCAACTGCACATATGTACCTTGACTTGGGTAAATTACAGCCAGCTCTCGAAAGTTGGTTGAAAGACACTGCTTCTCAGCACAACTGGCCTGGAAACATTGTTATCAACTCGGATAGGGAGATTGTTGAGGCAAGAATGAAAGCAGGTCTTCAACCATCAGCGATCACCCGTGACTTAAAGTGGGGTGTCCCAGTCCCAGCTATAGGTGACCCAGAGGAAGACGCTGAGATGGCCGGAAAGGTTATGTATGTCTGGATGGACGCTCCAATTGGATACATCTCCATCACAGCCAATTATACCGATGAATGGCAAAAATGGTGGTTGAATCCAAAGAATGTCAATTATTACCAATTCATGGGTAAAGATAATGTTTACTTCCACTTGTGTTTCTTCCCTTCACTCTTAGTAGCTGATGGACGTGACTGGACTAGACTCAAGTACATTTCTTCAACGGATTACCTCCAATATGAAGGCGGAAAGTTTAGTAAATCTAAGGGAGTAGGTGTATTCGGTAACAGTGCAAAGGAAACTGGAATTTCACCTTCTGTTTGGAGATTCTTCTTGCTCAGTCGTCGTCCGGAATCTGGTGACACTGAATTCACATGGAACGAATTCATTGGAGCAAACAACAATCATTTGCTCAAGAATTTTGGTAACTATGTGAACAGAGTGAGTTACATGTTTTACTGATGGGGATTTATGCTAACGCCAGCCGAAGGTTCTCAAATTTACTGCTGCCAAATTCGACAGTACTATACCAGGAGAAGCTGAAGATGTCAATCTCCAATACTCCGATGACACTGACTTTGAAGAGCGCAAAAATAGCTTCGTTAAGGACATTAATGAGGTTCTTACTAGATATATCGATTCTATGGAACGCGCTAACTTGCGGTCTGGCTTGGATGATGTTTTGGCTCTCTCTAGAAGAGGTAACGAGTGGATCCAGGAGAACAAACTCGATAATGCACTTTTAGGTAGGTTTAGCTTATCACCACAATGACGTATTGCTAATGTGCCCAAAGCTGAAAATCCTCGCAGAGCTCAAAGAACTGTATTGGTTGCTGCTAACCTCATCTATATTATCAGTGCAGCTATCCATCCATTCATGCCTTCAACCTCAGAATCAATCATCAACCAATTGGACGCACCTGCACGTACACTCCCTGAATCATTTGCTATCGATCTCTACCCAGGTCATAAGATCGGAACACCAAGTATCTTGTTCACACGTATAGACGAGAAGATGGAAGATGTATGGAGACAAAAGTTCGGCGGAAGTCAAGATGGACAACCAAAGGCACCAGAGCTGTCGAAGAAGCAACTTGCTAAGCAAGCAAAGGCAGCAAAAGCAGCAAAAGAAACAGCCAAGGTACCTGATACACCTGAAGCAAAGGCTTTGAATGACAGTATCACTGCTCAAGGTAATCGCATCCGTGATATCAAATCTGGAGCAATCAAGGATGCCGATCTTGGCAAAGAGGTCGCGCAATTGAAGCAGTTAAAGAATGATATGGACGTCATGATCAAAAAGTTAGAATCATTGTAATTTTGAAAATTCTTTCCAATTAAAAGCACAAATCTAATTACCCAATCCGGACGTATGCGTTAATAAAGTGTGAGATATGAAGTATTTTATGCAGTAGATAAATAAGTTTTAGTAACATCCCTTGGAGCACACACGTTGCATATCACTCCAGCGATCTTCGAAGATCTTCCTATCGTCGTCATAGGGCTGTTTATCTCAGAAATGAGAATTGAACGATAAAGGAAGAAATACTTATTAAACTTTAATGAAATCCATGTAAAAGATATTTTGTTGATATGTTGACGTAGTTATCTGAACGTCATTATACTCCACTTTTGACATTTTAAGAATTCGTTACTTGAACTTAAACTTCCAAATTCAAAAAAATGATTAGCTCACAAAACCAACGCCGCTCAAGTGCAGGATGGGATCCAAAGCAATCCGAACGTCGTCGCTCCTCTATCAAAGCGCTCGCTAAGCCTTCGGTGCAACAAAGACCATCAAAGCCAGAAGGTCCACCAATCACAGCTGACCAAATCAAGATGATCATTTCTGACGTCGACGGTACACTCTTCGATGATGACCACGCCGTCCACCCAAGAGTTATCGACAGCTTCAAGTGGTTGAGACAAAACAAGCCAGAAATTCCAATCTTGCCTGTTACAGGTAAACAGTTAGTTTCTATTGATGATATGCGTGTCGCATGTGACATCACTGATCTTCCATCTGCTTGTTGTCACGGTGCCATCGTGTACAACGCCGACGGTACCGTTCAATCACAACAAAAGATCGCAAAGGAAACTGTTTTATCTGTTGTAGACATGATGATTAAGCATAACAAGACTTGTATGCTTTACGAACACGATAAGGTCCACTGTGTTTCTTTGGAAGAGAGACCAGACAAGGACTTCTTCGAAATTTCAAAAGGTTTCGACCCAGCGATTGTTGACGCAAGAGGTACTGACTTCTTGGAAAAGGTTGATAAGGAGGAAGCAATTATCGTTAAAATTTTCTGTCCTATGGAGGAAACCGTCATTGAAGGTGAATACAAGTGTATTATAGCCATTTCACTAGCTGACCTATTGCTTTTATAGACTTTATGGTTCTCCTTGACCACGAACCACGTTTCCCAGCTGGTTCATTCAAGATGACCCGTGCTCTTCCTTACATTATTGAGTTATGCCCACCAGGTGTAGACAAGTCTGTTGCATTGGCTCATTTCTCGGGTGTCTACGGTATCCCACCAGAAAACATTATCACTTTCGGTGATGGTGAAAACGATGTCGGAATGTTCAAGGCAGCTGGTATGTCTGTTTCTATGGGTAATGCTATGAAAGCACCAAGGGAAGCATCTACCCATAGAACACTCACCAACAACGAAGGGTAGGTAAAATTTTTAACTCAATAGACATAGAAAAGCTAATGGGCTTATGAACAGTGGTGTTGGTATTTTCTTAGATGATATTTTCAGACCGGGTGAGTACGAAAGGCACTGTTATGAGTATTACTAACTTGAATACAGACTATCAACCACCAAAAGATTCTACAAGTGCCATCGAGTAGTTACGCAACCAAAATAAATAATGTTTAAGCAATTTGACTATATATAATGTGATTTTTAAAGTTTATTACAGTCTGATAGAAATGATACAAAGCTAATATTGCATTAAGATAACCGTTTCCCTGCCGAAGACTCCACCTGTTCTAAAACCACTTGAATAAAAAAAGCTTACCAAAAATCTGAAATAGTATTTGTTACATATTATAAGTATATTAGTATATAGCTTCGATTATCCAATAATTCAGCTATAATATCAGGGACCCTTCGAAATAACAAACGCAATGATTTCTGACCGGACGGACCCTGACAATTCCAGCCAAGGCATTATTTGATTCACTAATCGAAGAAATATCTGCTTTTAAGAGAATTTTAGTTTTGCTCACCCTATCAATTAGGTCGTTTAAATAGTGAAGAATTTCAAGTACATTGAGTAAGAATCTCAGGCTGTGTTTGGTATTTCATTATAAAAACCTATATACGATGGTTCTTCATTTAACCTCAAAATCAATATAATATCGTTTAATAAACGTTTGACAATTATTCATCATCGAATGTCCACCGTAGGTCATATCGAACTTTATCGGAAGGCTAAACCTAGCTAATGTTTCATTCTACCATTATTTTTACATGCTTCTTTAAGGTATCTTCTTTTCATATATTCTCATATGTTGTGTAGCGTATCAAATACTTCAAAAACAGCAAAACATAGCATCGGAAATTTTAAGCAAAGAATCACATTGTCGGAAATTTTTAAGCTGTACACCAGGAATTAAATAAATAACCCCAACTAACTAATTCTCTTTCAACTAACAATAAAACATCTATGACTCCAATCAGAAAAACACTTGCATTTCTGGCAATAACCACCACTTCAGTATTAGCCTCTGATATACACCCTGCACCAGAGGTGTGTTGTGATAGCAAGTTTTATACCTCGGCTAGTGAAGCAAAGCAATTAGTCAAAGATTTAAGGGCGGGGAAAGTAGATGGTGACCATCATTGGTTTGAAAATGGTGATACTATCTGGGAATCAAACGGTGGCACATTTTCAGGTACAGGCAGAGCTGATAGATTACAAGCAATTATCGACAAATGTACTAGCGATGATGGTAAAAGCGTAGCTGGTCATGATTGTCTTTATGACTTGAACGCAAGCAGCAACAGTATGTGTCTGTACAAGGGACCACAGTCAGGCTGTCATTATGGTGACAACTGTCTTGACCTTCACTTTAACAAAAGTAAATGCTTATACTGGTAGACATATGCATGGTATCGTCTTCTATGTAGTCATGTCTCAAACTGTAACATAACTTGAATATATCTCATTAGCATCTAATCATGATAATTTTAATGAAGGTTCATGATATGTGATACAATCATAAACCATGAAGTATTATACTTTTAATGTAAGCATAGTTGGAACTATATCTTTCTTAATTTTTACTGTTTCCAAAAAGAGAATCTTCATCTAAACCAACAGTTGGCTAAGCGTGTATACCCATATTTCATTTTACATAACTAAATAGATAGCAAAGTAAACTAAGAAGCTTCAGAACAGAGTCACCATGAATAATGCAAGGATAAATCAATTAGTATAAACTGAAAAGCAGGTAGAATTTACAAGGTAATCTTTGAGTCCAAATATCTGTTCCTTCTATCAGGATCTATCGATATGAGTTTATCTAAGTATTCATTGTATTTATGCACCAAATCTGTACTTTGTGTGTGTGTGTATAGCAGTTTGTTGTAATGGGCGAGTGATTCCAAGCACCACTTGGATTCTGGTTCAAGTTCATATAATTCGTTAATAGATTCGAGTTCCCTATTAAGGACTTCTATAATGTTATCATCAGACAGCTGTTGTATGAGCCACTTATGGTATAACCAAACGGATTGGTCGGAGGGGTCAGTGTACATTGCTTGCCTAACCAGATCGAATTCCTCATCGAGGTCCTCATTGCTAATTCTTCCGTCAAGAGCCCACAATTGTTTCAATATCTTCGTCCTTTGATGCCAGGCTGAGAAATTACTGAAGTTGCTCTCGATGAAGGTAAGCGTGAATTGCTTCTCTTTGAGGAGTTGATCACGACTGAGGACATGAGGGAATGTCTTTACTGTGTGAACATCTTTATCGTAATTCATAAGCGTGAGGAGCTGCCTCCTGTATCCCCAGGCGTGGAAGTTGCGAGCATCAAGTTTGAGGAGACTGTCGACCATTTTAAGTTCTGTATTCCATTCCCATAATCTGCCGTCGGATTGTTCATCTGTGAATGTGTTTGATAGTGTTTCTAATGCCCATGTACGATGATTCCAGATCCAATAAACCTTCGGAAACCTCTTTAGCAAACCGAGCGTGAATACTAATTCATACGATAGTTTCTCTTGCGTTCTCTCTGTCCCAATTTGAGTGAAGAGGTGTAAGAGTACGATACGGCGGTAATTCCATATGGAATAATACTCTGGGTTCAAGTCTAACAAATGAGTCGTTGAATCCAAACTTTCTGGAGTCTTCACATCATTCTTTCTCTACTTACTCATTAGAGAAGAAAGCAAGTGGATAGTACTCACTAAATCTAATACTTTGGATTCAGCTGAGCGATAATCCTTTATAGATTTGCTTATCTTATCGTCTGGATCCTTTGCTACGTTTTGTCTTTTAATCCCGTGCTAGAGACCTCGTTATAGCAATAACTTCTTTATCATTCAAACCCACCATATGGCTACAGCACAAGCAGCACCAACGCGTTCAACGATAAATTTAAAGGGATCGACAAAAATTGTCACAGAATTCTTTAGTGTGCGTCTTTATTTATCTTCAATAAAGCTTCTAATTAGGTTGTAGTATGCAGTTAATAGGTCGGTTCATTGTTAAATAAACACGCGTTTTATAACTCTTCTTCTAGCATTCTGTTCCAAAGAGCTGTCTATCCTGTATGTATAGTGCTTTACACATCGTGTCAAGCTAATCAAGGCGTTTACAGCCGGAAGATTTCTCTATGGTGAAGAAGTACGGTTTGAATATGTTAGTAACAAATGACGACGGTTTAAAGACATACATCCATAAGGTTATCTCACAACTCAGTGAATGGCTCCTTGGTAACCAAGTCAGCAAGTTGGTACTCGCTATAGTCAGCAAGGAATCCAGGGAAACTCTCGAGAGATGGCAATTCGATATCCACAACACTGCTAATGAGTACGTTAACTTTTATGCGTGACTTATATTTCTAACGCCATCCAGAAACAGTGAAAACAAAGATAAGCAAAACAAACCAAAAACTGAGAAAGAAATACACGGTGAAATCCAAGCTATTATTCGTCAGATTACTGCATCTGTTACTTTCTTACCAATGATTGACGAACCATGTGCATTTAACATCTTGATATATACATCCGACACCGAAGAAGCCAAAACGATGGAAGTATCGGATTTATGGGTTGACGCTGATCCACATCTCATACAATCTGACAAGACGGAGCAAGTTAGATTGCGTTCATTTGATACGTCAGTACATAAAGTAGAAGCACTCGTCGCATACAGAGTAGGTGAGGAAGAGGAGTGATTGATCTATGTATATATATATTACATTTATAGCTTAGCTTTTAAGTGAGTTTGCCGACTTTCACATACTGCCCTCATTTCGCGTAATGATTTGAGTAAATCCTTCTTAAAATCGTAGGTAGATGTCTTCGGACAGCTCACCTTACTCTCTATACCGAATTTAAGTTCGTGCGGGCCTGCCATATAGTTGATGCCATAGCCATCTGGATAAACAGCACCAAAGCTAATGATCACATTAGCAAAGATACCTTTAAAGAGCAAACCCACCCTGTTCCATTAAAACGTGGACCTGCACTTAATCCACTGGTACTCAGTTTCCACTCTGAGCTCAGTTTGAAGTATTTATTGTTAAAGAACTCATGGCCTTCTCCAGGACGCAAAAGAAGCCTCAAGCCAAGGAGATGTCTATCAAATGCTTTGCCTGTGCTTGCTTCCCGCATACTGCGAGAGTGTACCTTGGTAGCCTCTAGCAGATTCTCATATCTGACATCACTCTGTAGGTGTGTTAGAAAACGGTATGTTGTTAATACGTGCCATACATCCACGTCCTTGGACATCATCGATTCGACAAACCTCTTTGATTCACTGGTCAATGTTCTCAGAGTTTCTGTGCGACCATTGTCAAAAATACGCGTAGAAGCTGTTTCATATGTTGCTGTTGCGTATCCTTGATTCCTAAACCAAGTCAATTGTAAAGCCATTTGAATGAATGCGTCTGGTGCAAGACCGGCTTTTGAGATGATTAGTTGAAATTAATACCAATTCAAGGTTAATCCTCACCAACATTCTTCATCCAGTCGATGCCATACTCATCGAAGAGTAATTCAGAGGGTTCTGAATCGTCAAGGAGCCTTTTAGCACGCTCATTTGCACCTTCTGCCTCCCTCACAAGCGCTCCGTCAAGAACCCACCTCAGTCTCTCAAAGTCGCAAGCTTTCTGTGGGATATCAAGAGAATCTTTCTTCGGTAGGTTCTCATATAGCGTATAGTCAGCTACTATTGATGGTACTAAGGCTTCCACAAATGAGTGTTCACCGTTCATACCAGCTCGACCGTTGTTTTCAACGATGAGTGACATAGATTTATCGAACCATCTATTATTACCATTGATTCCACCTGCTATGTTGACCATATGACCATCCAACTCGTCGTGTTCTTTCCTACGTGGGGGTAGTGTGTAATCATCTAGACATACAGCAAATAATGCTGATTCTATCAACGCCAGATTAGTTTCATTTTGTTGTGAAAGAAGTTTTAAGTGTTCACGATTCTATGTTCGTTAGTAAGACGTAATAAGTCACCATCAGACGCACTTTGGTCCAGCGATCTCTATCATCAGACGTCATTACGCCCACATCTGCATCTAGATTATTCCCCAAATTGTCCGTTATAGACTGAAATGACTTAGCAATGTTTTCCCAACCCTGAATAGCACCCTTTGAGTCGATTACGTCAACTTTGAATGTCTGACTTTTTGCAAAAACAACAATGTGCTTGGTGAGATTCGGGAGGGGAACGTGAGTTAATTCATCACAATCGTACTGAGGGATACGTGTCATTCCAAAAAGTCTATTTGCGCGAGGGCCGAACCACCGAGCTGTGGTATGTTATCTTCATGAAAGTCTTAGTTTAAACAACACACCTGCTTTAGATAGGTCAGGAAGCTGTTCGCCATTATCAAGCACGGATTTTATGTGCAATAAACCTCTTGTCAACCATGCTGCTCGCAGGATCTGCCAATTAGTAAAACCTCTTTCATTCTTATTCTTTTTGACGCTATCAGGAATACTCGGATCATCCTTATAGAGAAGCCACCAGTTTGAGTTTATAAGTAGGGGTGATCTATCTGTATGATAAGCAACCTTGATCCACCAGCGATCATCTAACCAATTTGTAGGAGATGCTTTTTCAACATCTAATAAAACGCGTTTAGAAATAGACTATGAAGTATCTAGGTATTCACCTTTCAATCTCGCTTGTAGCTTCTTCCCTAAACCTTCTCTGAAGTCATCGGCGAGAGTACGCAGATGTAGTCTAGTGTGGTTGTCGTCCTCTATAAAGGGCTCAAGGGATTTTAAGTATTTTTCTAAACTAGACTCTAATCCAGGTATTGGAAGTCGAGGTGCTAATCTCGACATTAGATCATCGACGTCGATAAAGAAGGAGATGTGATGTTAATATATATGTAGGGAATAACTATTTTATTCACTATCTCTCGATATCTTCACTTCTTGTATCCTAACCACCACTTATGGAAATCCAAGAGGTAACTTCTGCTGAATTTAAAGTAACAGAGTGGGTGATATATATTTATACATAAATATACTCATATATTATAAAGCCAAAGGCCTGATCAGTGGGTTGATCGCTACACTCGATATCTCTAATCTAACCGGGAAATAGAAAAACCAGACGTTATGATAGACAACTGAGGTAATTTATTATCAATTTAACAACATCATTTTAATTATTATACAGATTATGGGCAGCTGCAGGTCAATCTGCGTTAGAGAGTGCCAAAGTATTAGTAATAAACGGTTCAGCCACATCGAGCGCAACATTGAAGAATCTAGTTCTACCAGGTGGGTCGTATAGTATATCGATAGACTAAGATCTCAATAAAATCTAAGGTGTCGGTCATTTCACCATAATGGATCATCATACCGTCACAGAAGCAGATATCAGCAATAACTTTTTCTTGGAACCTGAATCTATTGGTAAACCACGCGCGACGGAGATCGTCAGACTGTTATTGGAAATGAATGATAGTGTTAGCGGTGAAGGTCTCGTTAAGAACCCATACGAAGTTATCGAAACACAACCAGAGTACTTCACGAATTTCTCAGCCGTCATGATTCATAATCCGAAGTCTGATTTAACATCAAAACTTGCAGAGTTGGCATGGAATAATCACTTTCCTTTGTTTGTCATGAAAACTACAGGATTTTACGCATCCCTACGCGTACAACTCCCTGAGCAAACAATAATAGATACACATCCGGACACTATTGTTGATTTACGCTTAAATAAACCCTTTAAGGAGCTCACTCAATTTGCAAATTCAATAGACCTCGAGAAAGCAACGAATAATGAATACGCTCATATACCTTACATCGTTCTTCTTATTAAGGAGCTTGACATGTGGAAGAAGACACACACTGGCGCACTCCCAAAGAATCTCTCAGAGAAGAGAGAATTTAAGAAAATCTTAGATACACGCCGCAGGAAAGGTATTGATGATCAGAATTTCGATGAGGCTCAATCACAAGCTTACAGAGCATTTCAAAGTAATGATGTACCACCTGAAATTGCGACTCTATTCGATGATAATTCCTTAAAGAGCCTTTCGAAGAACTCATCGCCATTTTGGTTCCTAATCGCTGCATTGAGAGAATTTACAGAGAGACACGGTGTATTACCACACCCTGGTACACTCCCAGATTTACACACAGATACGCAAACTTACGTAAATTTGCAAAGCATATACAAAAACAAAGCACGTGAGGATGTCAATGAATTGAAGGAAATTTTGAAGGGTATTGTCGATAAGTTTGCCATCTCAATTGAAAACTTCAACGATGATATTATTGCAAGCTTTGCAAAGCATTCTGGTTATTTGAAAGTAATCAAAGGTAGTAGCATAAAAGATGAGTATACATCACCAAATCGCGATCTTGTCTGTAAGTTTGTGATTAAGATATTTATACTTTACTAAACAGACACACCAGCAAATGGCTTAAACGATGAATTTATCGCATCTGCATTCGCTATATACATCGCATTCCTAACTTCAGACGCATTTAGAGATCAATACGACAGACATCCAGGAGATTGTGCATTAGAAGAGTATGAAAACGACAAGCAGAAATTATCGGAGGAATTAAACAGGTTGACTAATGAATTATTTGATGTACAACCTTCACAAGTTGTCATCAATGCCGTCGAAGAGGTATTAAGAGGTGGTGGTGGTGATCTACCAAATACTGCAGCCTTTCTCGGTGGCTTAGCAAGTCAAGAGATAATAAAAGTGATCACGAATCAGTATATACCAATTGACAACTACTGCATAATTGATTTAGTAAAGAGCACAACGACTGTAATCAAGGTCTAGGATGATCTTAATGAATGAATACATTTATAAAAGTACATGATGTTATGCTATACAATCAGTTGTTTAACAACTCTGTTAAAATCCTCGGAGTTGGTAATAAAGGCTTGCCTTTAGCTGCTAATTCTTTTGGCCAAATAGATTTTGAGAAGTACCAAAGATGTCCTACTACAATGCCAGCTAATTCAGTTGTGGCTGCTGTCGCTCTACCGGTTATCAACCAAGAGAGTAAGACAATAGCCCAAGGGAGGTAACTTGCTCTAATGATAAAAACTAGCAATCCAATGTGAGCATTTGGATGACTTCTCGCCCATATATATACCAAAGCAGATGAGAGTGCTGATGATAAGAACGGTAAATTGATAAGCGGCGACATAGCTAGTAACATGGTAGACATTACTATCAAACTCCAAACGTAATCTGCCTTGTTAGATGCAAACTGTTCCTCCTCTAACATTCTCGAGTATCTAACGAAGAAAAAGAGGTGAAGGAACAAGTCAATTGAGATATCACCAAAGTAGAAGAAGGTGGTGAGAATCCTCCAAGGCTAGGTATATCGTTAGACTTACTAATGTGACAGAGAATACCCACTTGGTTGTTGATAAAGGCAGAGTGAAAGCTAAAGTAGAGGTTCAATGGACTTATAACGTTTACTTGTACGAGAGTTGATACTAGTACACTGCCTATAAGCCAAAATTTAGAAACTGTTGGTATTTGGTTCAAATAGTTGAGCATTTCCTCGTTGATCTAGTTCAAGCATGTCATCGACCGAAATTGTAAAGAAGATATTAAAGCAATCACCACCAAATGAGTTAAATGATGTATTAGAAGGTTATTCCTTGCTTTAATTATCAAATAAACCACTAAATAGTCTATAGATTTGAAAGTATTGACAGATATCGATCAAGATACCTTAGACACTTGTCTGAAGGAATATAACGAAGAACAATTCAATAGCATAGATTTAGATGGTGTTAGAGTGTGTTTAATCTTTTAATTTACTTGCTTTAGCTGACGACAGCACAGACATTGATTACACCACATTCACATTTTGAGGGGGAGAAATATTACGATCCTAAGTCTAGCAAACTGTTCACTCTTAATCAATTAGAGTTGAAGACAAACAGCGCTGAAGAAGTTGATCAATTGAGTTACAAGAATGAAGCACGCAGTCTCTTAGAGAAGTCATTAGATAGCTATGTCGAGGAGTACTTCTCAAATGGTACAGCTGCTGTATATACATCATTGAAGAATATTCAAGGTAGTTTACAATCACAAGAAGAGCAAGACACGGTAGAAGAAGCTAAAGACAGTGATTCTAACAAAGAGACTGCTAGAAACACTGAGAACACTGAAATGACAGAAGCAGAACACGGTACAGAAGAAGAACAAAATGAAGACAATAAAGACAAAGAAGACAAAGAAGAACAGAAGAAAGATAATGAGGATGTTGAGACGCCTCAAGAACAAGAACAAGAACAAAAAGAGGATAATGAAGATGCTGAGAAGCCAGAAGAACAACCGGAAGAGCCAGTTGAAGATAAGCCGATAGAAGAATCAAAGGAGCCAGAAGGAAGCGTACCAGCAGAGACAACCCAAGTCCATCAAGAAACGACAGAAGATACCACAGAAAATACCCCATCAGAAGAGATAACATCAATGAACATCTGTTACGCTGGTAACAAATTTAATCAATCGAATTACTGGTCAGGCAGATGGAGAGCAAATTGGGTCTACGATCTCACAACTAACGAGTTGATTGGAAATATCAACATCACAATCCATTACTTTGAGTGAGTTGGTACTTTAAAATACATATGCCTGCTAATAAATATCAGGAATGGAAACGTACAATTACAAGCGTCTCATAACCCAAAAATTAAGTCACCACTCGAAGGTCCGCCAACGACAGAGGAAGAAGCAAAGAAGTTGGTAAAGGCTATCAGCGAATCTGACAGGGCATATCAAGCCTACATCAACGTGCTTTACGAAGACAAATTGAGTGAAAAGCTCTTCCGTAGTCTTCGTAGAGCATTGCCAATCACGAGAGAAAAGATAAATTGGGATAAGGTAGTCAACTACAAGCTTGGATCTGAATTGGGCAAACTTAATAATTAATTTTTAATTCTATGTTTCCAATTTTATTTTATTAGTTGTTGATTTTGACGTCATTTTGACTTTTGCTTACTACAACGAATTAAAAATGATAAACGTTGCGATTATCGGTGTTGGTAACTCATCAAACTTACACATTCCATTCATTGAAGCTGCCGATGAGCTTAAGCTTACGCATGTACTTGAACGTAAGGCTACGAAAGATAACAGCGTAGCTAAGGATAAATGGAAACATTTAGAGCCATTCACTGTTGTTAATAAATATGAGGATATTCTTAACGATAGCAGTGTTCAACTCGTCGTTATTACTACTTCTAATACTTCACACTACGATCTCACAAAGGAAGCCCTCAAACATGGCAAGAACGTCGTTATTGAGAAGCCAATTACGCCATCATCAGAACAGGCTTTAGAATTGGCAGATTTAGCAACTAAAAATGATCTCATTTTGGCCGTTTTCCACAATAGAAGATACGACGGTGATTTCCTTACCGTTAGCAAGCTCATAAAAGAAGGTAAATTGGGTGAAATTAGTTCATTCGAATCCCGTTTTGACAGGTACAGACCAACACCAAAATCTGGCTGGCGTGAGGAGAATGCGCCAGGTTCTGGTGTCTTATTTGATTTAGGTAGCCACTTGATCGATCAAGCTGTCAACCTTTTCGGTAAACCACAACAAATCAGTGCTATAGTACAAAATAGTCGTCAAAAAGGTGACTTAAATGTCGACGATAGCTTTTTGGTTCACTTGCACTACAACAACAAGATCCCACTTACTTTTACAGCTGGCGCATCAGTACTCGCCTGCTTTAACGATCAATTGAGATATAAAGTCAGTGGTACAGAAGGATCATTCTTGAAATATGGCTTCGACGTTCAAGAAGCACAAATTAAGGACGGTCTTAAGGCACTTGATACTAAGTTTGGTGTTGACGACAAGAGTGCATATGGTACATACACATCTAGTGACCTCAAAACTGAAACTATAGAAACGACCAAAGGTGCTTGGATTGACTTTTACAGAAATGTCGCAAAATCTATCAACAAAACTGAACCCCTTGCTGTCGATCCATACTCAGCTGCTCTTACAATCAGATTGATCGAGTTGGCTCACCAATCAGCAAAGGAAGGCAGAAGGATTGATATTTCATAAACAATCATTCAATAAATACCAAGATGTATACAAGCAAATACGCTAGAATTTATGTATAGTTTTGAACTACTTCTTTGTTTTCTTATTGGTTTTACCTTTCGTATCGTCACCTTTGCGTTTGCTGCCCTTCTTATCTGTCTTTTTGTCGTCATTTGCCTGTGAAGAACGTAAGAAGGGGTTGTATAACACAAAAGAGCCTCACCTTTGGAATGACTGAAAAGAAACTGTCAAGACGCCCTTGTTGTTTGGTATTAAGCATTTTGATAAGTCTATCAGCACCTTTCCTGACTCTATCCTCTCTAGTTATTTGGTAAGTAGATAGATTAATCTTTAGTTAGTCACCCACGCAAACCCTTTCTCGTGACACAAGAATTGTACTAATCCATCGACATCAGGATGTTCCCAATTGAGCTATCGCATATCAGATTGATATTTTCATAATAAAATACACCAACCTCAACTTCATCAGCCGATTGTACATTTGGTTTCAAGAACAACTCGCGAGCTCTCTCATATGGCCAGAAATCTGGGATAACTGGACCCGATTTAGTTTTTGGTTGTTTACCTCTCTTTTTGGTCGTCTTTTTCTTCGGTGATTCATCTTCATTCTCACTATTAGATTCTTCTCTTTCGAGTTTATCCTCTTTATCCTTCTCTTCTTCCTCTTCTTTGATCTTTTCTAACTCCTTTGCTCTCTTCTCTTGATTTGCTCTACACATTGGGACGATTTCATCCAAAGATCCATATTCTCTAATTAATTTGAGAGCTGTAGATGGACCAACGCCTTTAACTGGCTCTAGGTAGTCACATCCGAGAAGGATACATAAATCTGTGAATTGCTCGCGACCCATTTCCAAGCCAGTGAGTGCTTCTTCGAGATAGTAGTGACTAATTGGCTCTTTCTTCTGCTCTGAGAATGTCAAATGTCTAAGCAAGATAGGGGCACCAAAAGTGAGGGTATCCATATCTTCACTACCTGCAGCCCAAACTTTACCACCTCTCACCAACTCTGCACATTGAGCTTCAGCTTCTGATGGTGCTTCTACTACGGGTATACCCATCAATCTGAGCAACTTTCTACATTCCATGTTATGCTCTTTAGTTACTCTGACAGTACGTCTCGATAATCTATCGATAGTTTCTGCATCACCGGTTTCTTTAGCTTCTTCACCCTGTTCAGTCGCATCTTCTCTCTTCTCAAAACGAGATTTCAAAACGTTTGATTTGAGATCTGGTGGTTTACCATCGAATACATAACACGGTTTTATACCATTATCTACCATTCTAAGAGTACGATAGAAGAAACCCATTAAATGTGAGGTAGTTTCACCTGTATCACTCATTAATTGTTCACCATCGCGCTGTCTAACCGCTATCAAGAATTGGTATATCGACATCGAAGCGTCTATAGCGACTTTCCTACCAAAGAGTGATTTAATATCTGTATGTTTTATAGCTTTCGGTGATTCTTCTGATATTACGTTTGCTAGTGCTTTAATACCCATATTTACTAACTTCTTGGTTGTTAGAAATCTAGAAGAAAAGTACGCGTTAAAATCACAGTAAAAACTATTTTATAGATTTTATTACCATTTTGTTGTATATCTCAAGCTCTTGTTTATTCATCTCTTACATTTTCACTATCAATAAAGAGATATGAGATTTGACGATCTAAGGTTGGCGTTGGTGAGGTGGAATTTCTATTAGCTTGTATCTATTGATATGAGATAGGCTATATTACTATCTACCTCAATACCGAGAAATATCTCTACGAAGGGTGAAATCATAAGTGATATGACAAACAAACAACACTCACACTCACGATAGACTATGTTGAACTATTTACTCTAACAATTGAAAGTCTTTCAAAAAGGAAATACCCTTCACAGCTCGCTTCAGAACTCGACGACGAGATTGCTAGATTAGAATTACTGAGGTTTATGACTGGAGATAGTACCGATAGAGTAGAGACTAGTGCACCAATACCAACAGAATCCGGTTAGATGAGCGTCATCTTCAATAAGTGCACAGATTGACAACATATAGCTAGGAACTTAATGCAATATCTCCAGCTACTCAATAGCAAACCATGTAATCTGGAATCACAGATTCACATCACCACAAATGTCTACAAAGCGCTAGCAGATGTTTTAGTTTCCTACACCACCAATGGATCTCAATTACGCATTATAAGTATGCTCATAAACATGATTAAAGGTGTATATCAAGAGACAATCACACAATTGATGAAAGTTACTGATGATAATACACTAATGTCACTCCCATTTGGTAGCACTTTCTCTTCTACAGTTATACACTCATTGATTAAGTTGCTGACATCCTCTAATTCCGTTAGACAACTTCAATTAGAAATCATCGACGCAATTTTGGATTTAATCAATAACCACAATGAGCAGCTTGCAATGGATATTTCTTTAGAATTGATAAATCAACTTCACGATCAAATACAAGATAGAAAAGTAACACCTGGGTGTCTCATTTCACTTATTGCTTTACTTTCAGTATCTATTTCCAAAACAAACCCAACACACAATAATTTATCGGCAATTCTTATGCATTTGGCTCCTCTCTCGGGTTCTAAATCACAAAATCTATCTGACATACCAGCTAAACACTCAATTGATGGGACATTTGAACGCGTTTGGCGCAGACTAAATAATTTGTAGTTTATATATTCATGAATGCAAGTTGAAGTGCAATGCAAAGGTGTACAAATGATTATTGTAGGAAAAGGAAGTTGGGAGCTGCTTACTGAAACAAAGATATGGTATTGTTTAAAAATTTTGATCCGTTTTTTTGTTATTGAAAGGGGGTTGAACCTTTATCTTTACCTTTAGTGTAACCGAAATTGAAAGAAAGAAAATTCTATACTTTTAAATGAATTTTTAAAAGTTTCAAATCGTTTTTTGTTTGTTAGTTCTTGGTGGTATCTTTGATCGCTGATTCATTCGCAATTTCATCCAAGAATGGCTTGAAAATATCCTGACCATTCTTAAAATCGTTATGAACGACATTCACTAAGAAGTGACTATCCATTATATCTTTAATGAGTTGTTGACTTGTTGATCCTTTCTCGTAGATGTCGCTCCATTGGTAACCCAACTCGAATGCTTCATCTTTCCATGCCATGAAACTTACAGCTTCAACGATAGTTGGTTGGACAATTTCCTTTCCTGGGAAAACACCCCAAGTTACTGCATTTGGACCTTCAGAGTGAGTGTTTGTTCTCAAATCTCCGCGTCTGTTAACTGCATAATATGTCATCATTGGGTTTAATTCGATACGGCTGATAAGTTTGTCTAAATTGTCTGGAGAAACAAAGAATTCCAAATATGCCTTGAGACTGTGTGTCAATAAAAGTTAAATAAATTATTATAGACTAACCTTCTGGTATACGTATCCACCTTTTGGACCCCATCCATGAACAGGATCATCTGAGCGAGCACCATTGACGGCAGGTTGAGAGTTGATCGTGAAGAACCCAATTTTGTTCATCATTGCGAGTTGTCTATCGATAACACTAGTCTCACGAGCTGGCGGTTGATCTGACCAAGGTAAGGCTTTGAGATCATTAAGACAGAATCTAGAGAACAAGTTGCAAACGTCATCATATTTGAGTGGTTCACCCCAAATTTCACGTGCTTCGTCAAGTTTGAAGTTAATAGTAGGTCCCCAACCATCTATTTCACCATAAGCAGGTGAACGTGAATCACCCCATCTACCATTTGGAAATTCATCCCACATTTCAGTACGTGAGAGGTAGGATTTTTGACGGTTGGCCCAGAAAATTGGTCTGATGTTTTCTGCACGTCTGGTTGGTGTAAGTGATGGTCTCCAAGGTAATGGATTGAGTATTTGGGTTTGAGGGATCAAATTTAACTCTTGAAGGATCATTTTTGGACCACGTTCAAGGTTCATTGTGTATAAATGTAAACCTCTAATACCGACATTAGCATCTAGGATCTTCCTGCACATATCTGAAACTAATTTTGTACCAACTTCACGTACTTTAGCGTCATCTTCTTTTACAGCCTCGAGCTGATCCATCCAGTCTTGTGGGACCTTGGTTTGAGCCATTTGAACCGCTTTTTGGAAACCGTTCCAGGTTTGAATTGGCATAATACCTGGTACGATTGGTACGGTGACGCCAGCTTCTCTAACTTTGTTACACCAATCAATGAAGTTGTCAACATCGTAGAACATTTGTGTCATGATGAGATCTGCACCAGCGTCTACCTTTTCTTTAAGATATTGTATTTCATTGTCTTTATCAGAAGAATGCTTGTATTGGAGGTTGCCTTCTGGGAAACCAGCTACTGCGACTTCAAAGTAATCACCATACTCTTGTCTAATGTGCCTAACTAGATCGGCTGCATAGGTGAAACCATTTGGGTGGGGGTACCACTCAGTCTGTCCTCTAGGTGGATCTCCACGTAGTGCTAATACATTAGTGCAGCCATTCTTTTTTGCTTCCTAAGGATTGTAAGCGAGTTTCTGAATTAGAGTACTAATACCGACTTCAAGTGCGTTTATGACTTTTTCACGAGGCATACCGGTACAAGTCAAATGCATACAGGTTTCGACTCCGATAGACGCCTGACATGTTTTAACCAATTCAGTTGTAAGTTCAGCCGTTCTGCCACCGGAGTGCCTGTATCGTCAGCACATGAGCGAAAAAAGTAGATAAAAGCCTACCAAGTGATATCAACGAATTCAGGACCTAGGCGTCTCATTCTCTCTATACGATCTACGAGGTTAGTCATCCCCTGTACACTATGAGCTGATATTGTTGTAGATAAATCGACGAACCTGGGCTGTTCTCTGTATAAAGTTAATAAAATCCTAGAAGAAAGAAGATACTTACAGGAGGAAAGAACTCAAAACTCCACCAAAGTCTGTCTTCCCTTTCTGCAGCCAACAGCTTCTCCGTTATTTTCATCGTTGTAGATCAACAAGCGGATTTAATAGAATAAACAGCTAAATAGTTAAATTTTATTTTAGACTGAGTAGGTTGCTAGTTGGTCTTTTATATTTCTAATATCTAGATAGCCTCTATGGTCGTACAACCTATAAAGTGTTTGATTGAACTCTCAAAAGCGTTCAGACAACAGCATCTGCCTAAGGTTATAGCTCCATCGAATAGCATCCCTGGTAACTCTTTAGATTTCGCCCTTACGAGATCCAAAAAGTATAACAACCGCACTTTTGGTCTAAGTACAACTCTCGATGATCCAACAAACAATCAACTAGGCTGCTATTTATCTACCCTGCCTAGCAATATATGCGTTATATCAAACTACGATCCATACGTTCATACTCTCGTCGATCTACTCAAACATCAGAAAATATCAGCTGCTTTACGCTTTTATAGACACTCAATCCACGATGATCTCAATACAGGTGGTAAAAACGTTTATTTTGCACCAAGAGTCCTAGTCACTATCTCATTCGCTATCATTTCTGCAAAGTTCGCTGTAAATTGTCGCGATATAGACAAATTGAATAATTTGGCTCAATGCGTGCATGACAGTTTACGCAATTATTTAAAGCATCACAACAGTTGCAAGCCATACCCTTATGCAGTCTCTCGTGTATACGAGTTGCTACAGAAATACGATATACAATCAACGCCGAATTTGATAGCAGAGCAGCAATTACTAGACATTAAACTAACAATAGACACTCATATACAACTCCTCCGATCGCTATTCTATGAATTTAATGACGGGACATCAGATAAGGAGAGTATCATCGTTGATATCGCATCTACGCTTTCATTGATGCTCAGAAATGATTTCAAGATTGATCAGAAATTCCTAAGGTTTATTCGTCACATGTCTATGCAACTTGGTGAAAGTCGTTTCGAGTTATCTGAGAGACTTCGGAAGCTATCCTCAACGAATACCTCGAAAATCAGCAGGAATATAAACATTCTTGCTAATAACATAGACAAAGGTTCGAAATCAGCTTCAGCATTGTTCAATTCATCACATCTACTCAGAACATCACGATCAAGGTTGCACACATCCTCTTTAGAATATAAAACACAACGAGCGATCATCATGAAGAAGTTACAATCAAATATAGAGCATAATAATCGTTTAGACATTACTTCAACTAGTTTACATAATTTAATAAGGCTTTCATTAACAGTATCTCGACAAAGGGACGCTTTTAGGGTATCCTACAAACATTTTCAGAAACTCCTCAAGTTGTTTCATCAGTACGACTCACCGGAAAAGTTCCAACCGGAGTCTACACCAACTGTTGCATCGATTAAAGCCAAAAATCTACGTCGACGAATTCTCACAGCCGCGACAACTATAATGGATGCATCAATTCATAGTAAAATGTACACTAGTATACGCTACGCTAATCGCGTATTCCACGATCTAGCGAATGGAGGAGTATTACACCATGCGACTATCGATGAATACGATGCACTTATTCGTTTATTCTGGAAGACAATGATGATATCTCCCCATTGGAAGGGAAGAGTAGGTCTCAGTCGCGCTTTGCGGGTGTATAAAGATGCCTACTCTCATCGTGGTCTTCATGATGATGGGAGTATATGGCGGAAACATCTGCGCAAGCATGAGAAAATGATAATGACGCAGTGTGTCAATTACATGTCATCTGATCTTGAGAATGACAGTCGTATTGATGCTATCAAACATGTCTTGGAAACATTCGAAGCACTCAGCTGTAGCGTTCGCGAAGAGCTTCTCGCGAAAGTCATCAAGATGTCACCACTAAGCAGTAAAGAACAATTAGCGCGGATAATCAAAGCACTCAACGACTTTGCTAGTAAAAGGATTAAAGAGAATTGATTTGTAATTTACTTTATAACTTCTTACCCAACCTCTTACATCATAACCATGTTCTGCATATCGAGAAGACGTAAAGAGAGACTAGAAGAGAGGATAAAAGAAGAACGTGAAGAATCCTGCGTTCATTTTGTTGATCTAGAAAGATCAGATTCGTCGTTATCGCTCTTGCCAACCTACGAGGCAGTGAGTTATGAACCAATATCTGATCAAGCGGCACGAATAATGCGTTACGCGCTCAAGAAAGAGAGAGACAACCTGATAAATATAGGAATGAAACTACATCAGTACCCAGAGACCGCTTTCCAAGAAAGATACGCTCGAGATCTCCTAAGTGGATTTATGAAGAATAAAGGTTGGATTGTAGAAAAAAGCATCTGTGGCTTAGAAACCTCTTGGAAAGCTACCTTCAGGCATGGAGAAGGCGGTAGAACTGTTGGTTTCAACGCCGAAATGGATGTAGGTATTCAATAAACTATGATGTCATATCAGCTCATTTCGGCAGGCTTTGCCAGGGATTGGACACGCTTGTGGACATAGTAGGACATTGCATTAACTAGGATATTGATATATTAAGAACCTCTACAGATCTTATTGCCGAAGGCGCCATAGCTGCAGCGTTGGGTTTGGCTGCAGCAATGAAGGAAATGGATATTAGTGGTAAAGTTATCCTCATTGGTACGCCAGCCGAAGAAAGTGGAGGAGGTTTGTTTTTCTTTTGTCCATAGGATACAGCAGTAACCACAAATAGGCAAGATTACCTTACTTAAACGCGGCGCGTACGAGGATGCATCTGCAATGCTCATGATACATCCAGGTGGCGGTGCACCTTACAAAGCAGACATTTTATCGCCGATGTTGGCGATAGACTCTTTCAGTAAGTATGTATACCCTTATCGACACAGTGTTGACAAACAAATAGACGTTGAGTTCTTCGGGAGAGCGTAAGTGCTAGATAAGCTCATTTTCATTTACTTAATAAACCAGTGCACATGCAGCTTTGGCGCCCGACCAAGGAATTAATGCTCTGGATGCTGCTGTTTTAGCCTACAGTAATGTGAATGCACTTAGGCAACAGGTGAGATATTAGCTACCTGTGGATTTAAACTAATAAAGCTTCAAGATCAAATCATATGAACGCGTGCATGGCGTTATAGAAGGTCAGAATTATGCGACGAATGTAATACCCGATTACTCAAAACTCAAATACGGTGTGAGGAGCGGGACACTGGCTGAATTGATAGACCTCAAACGGCGGACAATGGCATGTATGAAAGCAGCAGCTCAAGCGACTGGTTGTCGGATTGTTATACATGATAGCACACCTCCTCATCCAGAGCTACACCATAATGGGCACTTAGGTAAGTGAAAGTTGTTGAGAGGATACCTTTAACAAATCTAGCATATGAATATGCAAACATCATGCAACGTAATTTTAGCACGAAAGTCCAACTTTCTCTAGATACGCCTGGAGGTGCATCTACAGATTTTGGAGCAATAACATATGCTATGCCAGCTTTACACCCTGCTTATGAGATATACTCAGAGAAAGGCGTATCTAATCATTCGCCGGGTTTCACTGGTGCGACTGATAAGCCAATCGCGCACGAGAAGACAATCGAAGCGGCTATGGGTATATCATTAACAGCATTTAGAGTCTTATCGGATGAAGAGTTTGCTCATGTCGTCGAATCGGAATATGATCATTGGGTTCGGCAATTGGATAAGCGGCTATAAGACAGTTAAGACCGATGGGGATCAACTTGGAATGTGACATGCCGCTATCACATTACATAAAACACTAAATAAGCGCGACGAATTATTTCAGGTGTTTATTGTAAAATATGAAAATTTACTTGTTCTCTTCTCACCTCGCTCGCTTGCCAAAAATTTCTTATCTAGAGGCACAGTTGGTCGAAAGATAACGTGTCTTTTTAGATAACTACTATGAATAGAGAGCAGAACATAGATCAGCATAGTGTTTTACCAGCTTATCACGTCCCCTCTGCCGGATCTGAGTCTAATGAAAATGAATTGAAGAAGAAAGAGGGCGCTGAACCAGATGTAGATGTTTTTTATAAGGATAACGATGTACAAGATCAAGAACTTGCTCAACCTCAATCAAAATACGACGCAAAAGCTGCTGAATTGAAGTCTAAGATTGAGAGTTTCTTTACCTGGAAGTATTTACGTACCCCAGTGCTTTTATTCACTGCATGCCTCATACTTGGTTGGTGGATCGCTGGTTTATTCACTATGAGGCATAGATGGTGAGTTATCGCTTATATAGTTCTTCCCTGGCTCACATGATAACAGGATTGTACAGACAGTATGGGGTGGGATATCGATTATTTAGAGAGAAAGTACCTAACATACTCAGCTTGGTTCTTAATCGGCGTAATCTTCTTCAGATTCGTACCATCATCCAAATTTGGTCGTCCGATAGGCAGAGTCTGGACAGCAAACATTTCTAATCACTTCTTTAAGATACCACGTCCAGCTAGACTGACTATAGGATGGTTGATGGTTTTAGGTTTGATTTTCGGTGGTGTGAGTGACATAGAAGCATAAATTACAGTACTCATCAAAATACAGGCATTTGGTTTCCCAGAAAATGAGGAATCTAATTATAGAGACCGTGGTATGTGTCAACTATATGGTGTTAGCATGAACAGTGACGCCAATACCTCTTAGTTATCTCTATATTTGGAATTTTTGTCTTCCAATTATGTCTTTATATAGGCTCCAAACACCATAGAGCGATACAATGGCACATTATTTGTATTGGCTTGTTCTTCCAACAAGCTATCGGAATGTTTGTAAGTAAAGTCAGCCATTGGGTACAGCACGCTGAGTTCTTCAAAGGTCCTTAAAACAAGAGCAGGATACGATCTTTTTAATTGGATTATTACACTCGCTAAAGACTTCCTCTCACAATCACAAACTGCTACAGCTTTCTTCCTCAGTGACGATATCGTCGGTCAACACTTCTTCTTATTAACTACATTACCCGCTATTATGTTCTTTATTGCGTTCGTTCAATTATGCTACTTTTTGGGAGTTATACAATGGTTCTTGAAAAAATTCGCTTGGTTCTTCCAAAGGCTTTTCACAATCAGTGGTTGTGAAGCTATCAGTGTCACGGCCACGCCATTTGTTGGCCAAGCTGAAAGTGCATGTTTGATCAAACCGTACGTCAAAGATATGACTAATGCAGAATTGCACGCACTTTTGACAGCAGGTTTCAGTACAGTTAGTGGATCAACTATGTTGTCGTATATACAGTTAGGTGTTAACCCAGTCCATATCGTCACATCAGCTATCATGTCAATTCCATCAGCTATTTCTATTTCTAATTTGAGAATGCCGGAAGTAGAGACACCATTATTTGCCAACAAAGTTGTCGTTGATAGAGGAGAATTAGAGTACACCGATCGTGGTAATTGGATTTTAGCTTTTTCAAATGGTGCAAAATTGGGTATTTACATTGCAGGACTGATTTTAACAAACATTTTATGTGTTCTCGGTTTATTATACGCATTTGATGGCTTCTTAACTTGGATTGGAAGAAGCTTTTCTATACATGAGCCAACACCATTAACATTGGAATTGATTTTGGAGTACGTCTTCTATCCAATTGCATGGTTGATGGGTTCACCAAAAGCGGATATCCTTAAAGTATCAAAACTTATGGGTATGAAAGTAATAGCCAATGAATTTGTTGCGTATAAAGAGTATCAAGCGATGCAAGACCCAGAAAGTCCATCATATGATCCATTCACTAGTAGAGGAGGCACAATCGCAGAGTTCTCACTCTGTTCATTTGGAAATATTGCATCGGTTGGTATACAAATTGGTGTCATGGCTGCATTAGCACCAACGAAGAGGAAAGAAGTTAGTGGTCTAGTTATAAGTGCGCTATGTTGTGGTATAATTTCAACCTGTCAAACAGCAGCTATAGCTGGATTATTGTCATAGAATATTTTTATTTCGGATTCTTTTGTTTATTTGTATTTTTTAGTTTGTTCCTCTTTGATTGACAATCAAGAATGTCATCAGCAATTGTAGATAAAGAAGGTCTGTTTAGTATATTTATATGTGATATATTTAAACGACTATATTAGATGAACTTAAAGATTCCATTGGTGAAGAATTATACACAGCATTGCTGAATATGAAGGATAGGATCTACATTCTAAAGCAATATGAGAATATTGAGAAGTTTATGAAATCTGAGTGCGTATTTATATCGTATATCTGCACTCACTAACGCTCATTAGTGATACAACGACTGATATACCTACTCAAAATAGCTATCACAAGTTGATACTAATTAAGATAATAAACTACTTTAAACTTAGCTACTCAACGGAACCGTCAAAGTTAGGCGTTTTATTAATAAAGACTACAAACTCAGTTTTACCGGATAAAAATTTATCTGAATTAGTTCCACTGGAAGTTAATCAACAGTCAAACGTTAAGATAATAACAAGACAGTCATCGTCTCCACAAGCTAGCACCTCACCTTCTGCTACACCTGCACTACCGAGAGACACTACACCGAAATCGTTACATGAACGTGAACAAGCTTACCAGGAAGCCAGATCGAGGATATTCACAAACCTGGATAGCACGCAGATCGCTGGCGAAACTGAGCTATCTATGTTAGAGCAAGATGGTGATAGCAATCGAGAAGACGACGATGATGAATTTGGATATGATGACATCCCAAGGGATCTATCAAGGTTACCTTCTTATCAATATCAACAGCAGCAGCAACAGCAACAACATCAACAACAAATACAAGCTCAGATATTTCAAGCTCAAGCTCAAGCTGCATTCGCCGCATCGACTGCAGCTTTATCCGCACAACAACAACAACAACAGCAACCACAAACTAATCAATTTTGGAATCCATGGATGAGACCTAATGTTTTCCTACCACCAAATCCTACTCCATTTGCTTTCCCTACTGCGAGTACAGTAGGTGGAGTACCACCATATAGACCACCACCACCACCACCATTTTTATACACTGGCCCATCTACTAGACCACCAATAAATCAACCAATACGACCACCTAGAACGCAAACAACAACACAGCGTCCACCAGTCATAAATCATTCGACAAAGAACTCACTCAAATCTGTAAGACCAACAAGTATACCAACAAAAGAACAAAATGAAGTGAAAAACAGTAGCGGAATTCTTAATTTAGATTCATTAAGTATGAATGATTTAAAATCGACACCGCGGCGTAAAGCATCACCAAATAATAACAATAATGCAAAAATAAATAAATAAATGTGTAATTTTACTACAACTATAATGCTAATTTATTACTATCATCGATAGATTCATTCATCAATTCCATGAGATTTTGTAATGCTTCTCTATCTTCTTCTTGGACGTTGCTGAGATTTCCAGGTAAACCATGTATTGATTTACCAGAAAGACTGTTCTCATCATAGCCTAATACTCTACGTAGGATGACTTCCCTGTTGCGACTACCGTCTATTTCAATCTTATCTAACTCTTTAAGAAGATTTTTCAAATTTGGGTATGTTTTGAATAAATCGCGAATTTTTTCGTTTGTTGCTATAGCGAATATTTCATTCCTCCTCAATGGTTTTGGATCATTACGTGATAATGCGTCTTGAAATAGTTTTTCATCTGGTTCTTCCGGCCATCTGAGAGTATGTAATGGACGCAACGGTTGTTTCTCCTCTTCCTCCTGTTTCTCTTCTTTTTCCTGTCTCTCCACTCCTGTTAGTTCTGCCTGCTGCTCAATATCCGCTTTAGCAGGTTTCGGTTCTTCTTGATTGGCTAATTCGGCTAATATTTATATTAGATAGTTTTCAAGTGTATATAAATAGACACACATTCTATAGATTTATAACAACTAACTGAGCAGTACAATAATGAAGTTTGTCTATGTTGATAACGAAACTCATTTTGTTTGCAAACTTGACATAACGGTCTTGATTTATTTTGTTTATTTCTCATTAACTTCTATCAGGTGTAATCCAATAAACTGGGTAGCGTCTAGAACTTAAATTCTAAAATAATTCTGTCAGTGATGGACGTAATTAGATAAGAGGATAAAACTAACATTCCATATTAAAGCCCAGCCGAGCATTAAAGTAGAGCTAATTAATAATGTAGCGAGGTATCTCCAGCTATAGCTAACAATTGAAGGCATAGTTGTAGCTATCAAGGCTGTTGCGCCAGCAGGTGGGTGGGTCGTACCTGTGAAATGCATAGCTGCCACGGCACTAGCAGTTGCTAAACTTGCAGCAAACCATGCTAGTTGTCCAACTTCCATTGCACCATGTATTGCACTCTCTGATGGATTATATCCACTATTTAGTGAGAATAGTCGTTGAAATATTACGCCTATCAGAGCAGAAATGAAATGTCCAAATATTAAATTACGCGGTTGAGCAAATGGACTTTCAAATGTACCAAAAACTAATACCGCACTCGCACCCATAGATGGTACAATGTATGGATTCCAATTCACTAAGTCATTTGAATACGAGAAGACGGCGATCAGGAGTGCTATTCCAACGAAAGAACCTATCCAACCTAGTAGATTTATTTCTGTATCTCTCGTCATGTACTTCAAGAATGGCAGCAGCTGCTGTCCTTCATGTGATCTATATCCTAAGAAATGGGATATAAAGCGTGGTAATCTGGCTATATATCTATCAGATTGTTTATCTCTTTTGAATATTTCATCAAAATGCTTTATTGGATTTAAACTATTAACTTTCTTCATTATTTTTTCCAATAAAGCCGTGATCTTCGCTAATTACGTACGTAAGGCGAATTAATATTGTCAAATAAAAAACGCTTGTTTATATTTACATTTAATACAACTGCATACAATACGTTCTATCTTTCAATGCTTTAAGACCTAGTGTATTGAAATCCTTCTGTCCCACCCAAAGTTCATTACTAACTTCGAGCTTTGATAAGACAGAAGTACCACTCCAAGATAAGTTCATAGCTTCTACGTCTTTTGGTGGTGGTATAATTTGAAGTTTATCAACAAATGGAAATTGTGATTGCAAAACTCCCAATAATCTACTTTCAATACCAAATCCAACACCTTTAAGATGAGATGAACCACCTGAGATAACGATCGACTGACTAAACTTCTTAATGCGCTCTTCAGTGGTTGTAGCAGCAATACTATTCTTAATTGCGATATGAAGTGGCACTTTACTTGATTCAGTTTGTACATCGATATTACCCGTTGGTTTTTGTCCTGCTAGATGCATCGTTGACATTTGCATAGCCTGACTTGTATTACCAGATCCTATATCCAATGTAGATTCTGAATCACCCCATAGTTGGTTCTTTGGTCGAAGCTTCTTGTCAAATCCCAAAACTCTCGGGTTGAATAAACAAGTTGGCGCCTTTATACTATCTTCGTATATCTTGATACTGTACTTGGTTGTCGTTGTGTCTGGTTTGCGAACGTTGACTTCATGCAATATGACAGCTAGATCGTTCTATTGTTGTTATTTGATTGTCCGTATGCAACAGAAGATAACCTACCTCGTTCAGATTGCACACTTTCTCCTTCATACCCTGAAATATAGACCAATCCCACGACTTAGTCAGATCGGCTTCTTTGTATGGGAATGCAGCTTCCTTGAGCAAGTCATGTAGGAATTCAGTTACATCGTCACCACCGTATGCTAATTCCATCCTAAGGCGCTATTAGTCGATATCAGCATTGATAAATTAATTCACTTACCGGCTTTCAGGTAAAACTACACCCTCTTCTACGCAAGCGATTGATGTCTTCTGTGCACCTATGTCAACCATACAAGCTGACGATAAACCGCAACCAAATGTAGCACAGTTGGCTTCCTGGTCATTGTCATTAAAGATGTTCCGTAAAGAATTCGTGTAAGCGTACCTGAATAAGCAATATTTGCTTACATCCTATCAAGTTTAATATCACATTCGACATTTCGGTTATGTAGGTTGAATTGTAAGAGTTTGGTATTATCAAAGCAATGCTTATGTTCTATTTGATCGTCAACAGGTGAATATTTGCTGCTATAATGACATACCTTGAAGTCGGACATTTTGAAACTGAATGTCTTGCTAATAATTGTAGATAACAGTGTTGCGATATCACCAAGAAGTACTTGAGCAGAAGTATAATCTCGCGTGTTAAGGTCACCTCTGAAAAATGGTTTACTGATATCATATTTTGCTTTTGCTTTGTCTGTCAGTTTGAGAACCTGAGGGGTGGTTTAATTAGAAGAACATGCCAGGTTCATTTACCTACATCATCACCAACTAGTATTTCAGGTAAATCATCACTGTCATCTATCCAATCAACTTTATCGTTATCCAAATGATCTGGAACTGGCTCTGGTTCTGCGTCTTGATTGTAAGAAACGCTTTGGGCTTGTCCATTGGAAATTCCAACCAATTTGAATGCACGCATACGTGTTTTAAATTCATTCGTTATCGCTTCAACATTGCTTTTCCACTATTGGGATATTAGGTAATTATATCTTGTATGAGATCACCTACTTCATCTGCATTTCTCGTAGATTGACTCTCATCTACATCCATACCATCGCTTCCATTTGAGACGTTCGAACGCTTCTTGCGTGCAATTATAGAAGGTATAAGTAGAGGTGCTGGATCATTTGACCTTCCTATCTTTATGTAACGTGAACCGGGTTGCAATACGAGGATTCTATCATATTTACTGCCAATTGGAGGTACCTAATCGTTGCTTAATGTTTATCAAAAGGAAGATAAGTGAATACCTACATCTGGATCGCCCATTTTACGCTTATGTTGTTCCATTCTTTCATCCTAATGAGTAATATTAGAATATATTCGTATATGCTTATAGTAAGCTCACGATCGACATTTGTACCATCTTCTTTGAAGACCAAGATTGAGATTCAGATTTCAAGTAAATTGATGAAACATTCTTAGTATTTAAATAAGGGATTGGTACGAATGACGTGAATTTCATACTAGATTGATCTAGCTTCGGTTCGGGGTAGACTGTAGGTGTTTGTTGTTGTTGATTTGGACTGTCGGTGTATACAACATCTTTATCGATCTGTAGTGTATAGTATTAGATAATATTCATATTTACTAGCATCTTTTTTACCTTTTTTCTAGGCATATCTTCTTGATTGTTGACTATCAAGGGATATGAGAGGAAGTTCAATTAATTTTGTTGTAAAAAAGTCGATAAGGAGGAAATTGAACGTAAATTTATTAGAAGATGTACCACAGTTAGGTCCAAAGAGTTCAGTCGTTAGTGTATCACCAGGTTTTATGAGGAATACACTCTATCCAGCGAAGTTAGCCAGTTATTTAGATTTTACATTGGCGGTATCAAATAAACCACCTTCTGCGATAGATTTAGAGAACAATAGATTCCTTAAGAAACAAAAGGTTAGCTCAAAGTTGGTTGAGGCCTTGCATAATATGCCAATAAACTCAGAAGTATTGAAACAAGCTCAGCTGGATTTGTTAGAGAGACTTAACACATTAGAGATTGCATTCAACAGATCGGTCACTTTAGTCAATTCATCATCTTCAAATCAAGCGATCCATGGTTCAATTACAGAAAGGGATATTTTGGATAAACTCTCTGATGAATTTGATATTAAATTATCAAACTTTAACGCTGATATTGAAATTATAGAAACACCTTTGACGACAAAACGCGGTTTACAAACTATTATAAAAAATATTGGTGAATACAAAGTTAGAATAAAATTTAATAAAGGATTAGTTGATAGAAATGACGAAATGAAAATAATTGTAAAATCTTTAGAATGAATGCAGTCTTCTCTTTATATTCTATCACACAAACAACCAAGATGTCTAATATTTCACTGACGATTCTATCCCGTTCATCAAAACCTTCGCACATTTTCCCTTTAAATTTAGATTTAAAAGAGAGTTCAACTTTATTAGAACTCAAGAAGGCTATTCACTTGAAGCACAAGAAGGTCTGTATCGGTTTATACAATTAAGTTATATCACTAAACTAGATATTTACAGTTAGACACCACCAGACAGAGGATTACAACTGTAGATAAAAAACCATTATTGGATGATAAATCCAGCCTTAGTCAACTCAACGTAAAAAATGGTGACGTACTTTACGTCAAGGATTTAGGTCCACAAGTTAGTTGGAGAACCGTTTTCTTAGTTGAATACGCTGGTCCTTTATTCATACACCCATTCTTTTATCACATGTCTTCAATCATCTATAGAAAGCCATTCGAACATTCAGAAATGCAAAGGATCGCATACATTTTGGTCTTATTACACTTCTTCAAGAGAGAATTCGAGACAGTCTTTATACATAGGTTCTCAAACGCAACAATGCCTTTCATGAATATTTTCAGAAACTCAGCCCATTATCACCTTTTATCTGGTTTCCTTATAGCTATTGCAATTTATGGTCCTTGGTATTCAGTTGAAGCACTCAAAGATTCACATAGATCAAACAACGGTTACTTATCCTTCTGGATTGCATTTTGGTTGGTGAGTAAATATGCTATAGTTTGAATCACTTTTAACAACTTTAACTCAGTTTAACCAAATTTCAAACTTCATTACACACGTCAAATTGCGTAATTTGAGACCTGCAGGTTCAACCAAACGTGCTATTCCAACTGGATATGGTTTCGATTGGGTTACATGCGCAAACTACTTTTTCGAAATTGGTTCATGGCTTGGTATTTTAGGATTGACTGGTTCCTGGGCTGGTGAGTGCTATCCTCATATTTAAAAATAATAGATTGTCTTACAAATCCTAAAGTTGCTATCTTCCTTCTTGTCAGTGCAGGTACGATGGCTAAGTGGGCTAAGAAGAAGGATCAAAACTACAGAAAGGAGTTTGGAGACAAATACCCAAAGAGCCGTCGCATTCTTATTCCATATATTTGGTAATTTACTTGTTAATAAAAAAAATACATATCTTTCAATTAATAACATTGTATTTTATTGTGTGTGACAACAACATATTAATGATATATACAAAAAAATCAGCTATCTAATAAATGCAAAAATATTAGCCCCACGCGGGGCTCGAACCCGCAGCCTTGAGATTAAGAGTCTCACGCTCTACCGATTGAGCTAGCGAGGCTTGTGATTATGTTGAAATATGTATGAATGCATATACTTGAAGGACGGTAGGAAGGATTATGAAAAATTTCACCAAATAATGAAAAACCCACACTAACAAAAAAAAAAAAATGCTACCAGAGAATCCAACTCACCAGATGGATTCTCACCGTACAAGGAACATTGATGGACTCAGATAAAGTATGTATCGTCTTAATATATTTAGATTTCATCATCATAAATAATCAAAACCTGTAAACACTTACAGTATCACTTTTAGCTTTACAGGTGGATTATTTACAGTTGATATTAAAGTATTACTGAAAGCACTATAGTGAACATACAAAATTCCCCACATTTGAATGATATTTTAAGATACTCACCGGCCAATAAATGCAAGTTAGTGCTAAATATAACTTACCAATTTCCCGTAACATACCAACAGATTATCCGAAAATGTTTAACTGGAATGTTATCTAATTTGCTAAACTTAAGAAATTGAAAGGAATGCTAAAGCTTTCATCCATATTACTTACATGCCTATTGATCATATTTCACATATACACAGTGGTCTGCATATTCCTGAAGAAAATACAGATCATGTTGAACAAACGAGACAAAAGAGAGGTAAGGGATGGCCAGAACGTATCACAATAGCAGCAGAAACACAAGTTTTAGAAGGTCCATTTGACGATCCATTTCACAAGAAGAGTAGACAGTATAGACAAAGCATAATAGGAGATGAAGCATTCAAATTACCAAACCTTCAGCAGGTTGCGTATATCTATGGTGTAGATAGACAAGATTATTGTGATTTAAGGGTGTGTCATTAACTTTACAGATGAATTATCACTATATTTTTCACAAATAGACCAGAATGAGAAGACTTGTAGACAAAAATATTAGTACAGGTGTTATAAAACCAACAGAAGAAGATGGAAATTATCAACCCTCAGGTATTTGGGATACAATTCGTGCTCAAATGCTTCTGGAACTCGCTCAAGATTCAAGGAACAGAATTATTTGCAACAGATTACCATGGTTGTATAATCAAATCTGGTATGGAGTGTTGAAGTCACAATGCAGTAAACCTGGTAGGGCCCCTAAAGGTACAGGGAAGATGCCAAAAACTCCATTAGGTGAAGTTTTTTATACATAATCTTATCAACTAATTAGTTGCAGTTTCAAATAAGCAAGTTACATCAAGAGAGAAACCTACCGTATTTGGAGGATTATCCAAAAATTCAAAAAAGCTAATAAGGTCACCCTCACCAATAGCTGGTATGTATCATGTCTTACGAAGGGTAACAATTTCTAATTTACACACTAGTTGCAGACTATATTGGCTTAAGCAATCCAAAAAAGCGCAAAGCTGATTCAATGACCGTTAGATATACCAGCCGCAACGACTACGACGAGTCCGATGACTTAGATAGCGAATAAAGACTCCACCTAGAGATACTTCGTAGATATAATAAGACATTCTATAGAAGTAGCTTTTATGATTTTAGAAACCAGTTTGATGTTAACTTTCGGTTCTACAATAATGCAATTCTTCCTTATCAATAAAATTAATTCAAATAACAATTTTATGCGTGACTACAGCAACCACCCACGAAGCTGACTGTGTGTTAGTATATAGCACGTTTCATGACGACACTACTCACCCTTTATGTTCATACCTAAACTCAACTCCAATCTCGTCGAACTTCTGTTGCATAATTCCGTTAATGTTATTTTCAATATTCCATCTATTATTATCAGAATCATTGTGCAGATCCTCTCTGAGAAGACATTCGCCAAAGTCTATCATAACTGGGTGGTAGCCATCATTATGAGCTCTCACAATAACTTGATCCGGTCGAGCGTCAATGTTAGTCACACCAAGGTCAAACATACGATGAAGCAGTGTAGTAGTCTGCTGAACGAGACCAAACCAATGTGATTGATCAACACTCTCAAACATCTTGTCAAGCTTTGGTCCAGGAATGTACTCGAGGAGTAGTCCAGGAATATCAAAGTAACCTTGCAAATGTTTTTTTGGAGTGTTATAAGTGGTGTATTTAACTGATGCATACATTTTCGGTATATCATTCCCTTGAAGCTCCTCTAATGCATTGTAAGTTTTCAGTTCAGTTGTGAAAAAATCATCGCAGTTCCTCCGCAATACTTCCTCATCTCGAGCATGATCACGCTCGCTTTCATTTTGCATGTATGCGTCAATGTTGAAATCTATTTTTGATTCGTTTTCGATATAATTGCGATAATCTTGCTCAATATCTTCATTCCAATCTTCATAACCATTGTCATCTTTTGTGACAAACCTTCCCATTGGTGAGCATCGACGATCATATAATTTGAGTACCATTATTTGATTATCAAATCGAACTAGCATTGCTGGAGATACCGTAACTGGTTGGAATATCTTGACTATCTCAACATCAATCTGGTTAGATGATGTAAGACTACTTTTTTCAACTGATAATGGTATTTTATCACCGACGGCATATGGGAAATCTATTGAATAGCCGATGTCCCTTCTATAACGATTGAAAGTTGGTCCCAATTCATTTAGATACGATGCATATTTCATCATATTGATAGAATCACCTTGATGATCTTTGTGATATTTGAAGGACGGCTTGAAGTCGTAATTTTGACCATTCTCTTCAAATTGACATAGAATTTGTAAACCCAATTGGTTAAGTTCATTAGCCTGTCTTTTCAAGCGCCTCCATTGTTCGTCGTTGTCATTTTCATTTCTAAATCTGCCAAATTTCGCGTCATCGATAAGTATATGATACTTTCCATCATCATTCACGCGATATTTGAAAGATTGTAAACTAATATGAAGATCAACGTGGTTTATTTCGTCAAACTTCTTAACTATATCGAACATTTGATTACTGATATCAGGCCATTGTGATACTGGTGCTTTATCAAAAACGCTCTCGTTTGATCTTTTATATACACTATTAATGTCCTCCATTAATATAGCATCAACTTTAAGTAAATCATCTTGTTGATCGTCGTATATTTGAATGGTATAGTATCCATGGATGTGTGGTAACCTTTGTCCAATGTTCTTGGATAATTTTTCGTAGTATTCACGTGTGTGTTCGAATGATTTCTTTACTTTGTAATGAAAATAAGCCTCTCTTTCAAGATGACTATATTCACAACTAGGAAAGTCAACATCTATCGGCAAGTTATGCATTTTGTTAACTGCGATTTCGATATCTCTCATGAGTTTATCATTCTTTAGTAAGGAATTAACATTTTCTTGCTTTATGTAGTTAATATATGCCAATTCAAGTTTGTTATTCCATCTATTGAATCGCTGACGATTCGTTATCATCGCTTTATCGTATATTCGTAATTGTAGTGGCGAATCAAATCCGTCAACTTCAACTACTAATTCAGGTAAGATGAACCTCTCTATACCGAAGCTACGCTTGTCTATTACGCGTGCATTTATTGTAACACACGTTGATGTGTCATGTAGCTCTATCAATTCACGTTTATTGTATCGACTGAATTTATCTTTAGTATAAAATGAAAGTTAGTATATATATAACTCACTCTGGTCTCATAAAAGTTGATGGTAATGGTACAAGTTTCGATATGATTCCTTATCTCAGATAAGAGAAATAACTAACTAGATATTTAAAAATGTGGGGGATGTACAAAATAAGTAATCCATCAGATAAGTTATACAAATGTATTCGGACTTAAGAGTTTAATATCGGTATTTTAACATTATGAATTACAACGTAAAACATTATGAAAGATGTATAATCAAGTTAAAAATAAACAATAAACAGATTAAGGAAAGTAGAAAAGTTGCTTTGAATAGGATCAAGAAATGGAATTCCATTGAGTATATCAGTAATTATGGATTAGTTGGGGCGTGTGTGTGTAGAAAGTGATTAAGACCACCTTAGAATGCACTAGAAGCACTAGCAACTGGACCTTCGTTTCTTTGAGCAGGGCGAACAGCTGTTGGTGTCATTAATTGGCGTGTTTTAATTATTCATTGTCTACTTACCACCAAAGTAAATACCACAACCAAGTACTACGGCAATAATAGCCAGTACGACAATAGTGATCCAGAAGCAAATCCACCTCTTACGTCTAGCTGCTCTAGCAGACTTAACAGCTCTTTCAGTTTGGATCAAACCCAATTCCATATCTTTGTTGGTCTCTTCTGCTGAAGCATGAATGTTTTGTAAAGTTTCATCTTGTTGTTCGACCAAAATAGACATATCATTGAATAATTGAGCTAATTCTGTTAAGGTTCTCTCAATCTTCTTAATGTCTTGATGTCTATCTTGAACTTCTCTATAAGCAGATTTAGCATCACCATATCTATTAGATTGTAATAAAGCTTGACTAAATATTTGATTATCTGGACTATCAACAGCTTGTTCAATCTCATCTGGTGAAGCATCAGGTTTGACTATTCTGTATTGTCTTTCAATTCTTTGCTTTTGCTTAGTGCGAGAGTTTTGTTCAACCTTTTGATAATCTTGTATAGTTTCTAAGAACTTTCCTTTAACCGAAGCGATTTGAGTTCTTCTAACGTTTAAATCGTTTGAAGGAACTTGGCCAGAAGCGTTCTCTTTCTCTAAAGATTTGATTTCAGTTTTTATCTTGTTAGTTAACTTTGAAGTGTGTGAAACTAAAGAATCTAATTCAGCGTGAACGCGATTTTGAGCTAATTCATCCATATTGTTAAGAGATTGGTTATGTAATTGAGATATTTGATTAATGTTTCCTTGTAAATTAGTTAAAGAGGACTGTATATCAGATATCTTATTAAAGAAAGCAGACATATCGCCTATAGTTGAGACGTTCTTGATGGAGACATCGTCCATTTCGTATTGTGGAGTTGAATAGCTGTGCTGCATTTGACTATATACTGTTAGTTTCTTTAGATCTAATTAGACTAAGCGTTCTCACTCGTAGCTACCACCGTTGGCATTTTGTTGAGCCTATGAAAGATAAATGAATAAATGAATTGATAATGCAAAGGTTGTAAACACACCCTCAAGGCTGCTAATCTATCGCGTGCCATTTTCAATCCAAGTAATTCGAACGCAAGGGGTTATGAAGGCAACACAGGTACTATATAAAATAAAAAATTGTAATAAAATATATCGCCATCTAGATGTACAACTAGTCGTGCTATTAAATTAAACTCTAGATCGCTTTCTCCATCTCAACCTCGCTGCGGGTGGTCTAAGCTAGAGATATAAAAAGAGAAGACAATAAAGCAAGGATATAGACTGTATAAATATCTATAATACTAAATTATATTAATCTCTTACCCTTTCTCTCCTACCATCATTTAGATCAAATGCCAAAACCAACGAAATCTAATTTGAGGGAGTTCAAAGATCATCAAGGGCATTTTAGCCTAGTTAGGTAGGATTTATTTGTTTAATTCATTAATATATCTCTTATATTTTACTATAGAAACTTCCATCTAGCTGATCTATTCACGATAATGAACGGCGTATGCGGTGTCAGCTCAATTTTCTCATCTGCCCATTATCTACTCGATAACAACAACAAAGAGGCCATTTATTTGGCCTTATTGTTGCCGGCTTGTGGCTTCATCTTCGACGCTCTAGATGGTAAAGTAGCACGCTGGAGAAAGTCGAGTTCCATGTTAGGTCAAGAATTGGATAGTTTAGCAGATTTAATTAGCTTTGGTGTAGCACCAGCATTTTTAGCATTCACAATCGGTATGAGGTCAACAGTAGACATGATAATGTTAACTGGATTCGTTTGTTCTGGCTTAGCTAGATTAGCGAGGTTTAACGCTACAGTCGCAAATCTCCCAAAGGATGCAGGTGGTAAATCAAAGTACTTTGAAGGACTTCCTATACCTTCTAGTCTTGCATTGGTATCTCTCATGGCTTATCTCGTTAAAACAGATAGAATACATCAAGATATACCATTCGGTGTTTACTTCAACAGTATACATCCTATTAGTTTAATATTCGGTTTATGGGCAGCTGCGATGGTTTCAAAAACATTACGAGTACCAAAATTATAATAATGCATTAAATTAATGACTAATATTCTTCCTTCCCTTTTTTACTCTCCTCTTTATTATCTTTCTACCAGTTCTTGATCGCAATCTGGCTAAGAATCCGAATGTGCGCTTTCTCTTGATAGTTGATGGCTGATAGTCAGTACCTCTGTAGTTACATATCAGATGAGTTCATATATGAAGCTGTAACGCACCTAGATGCAAACCTCAACTGTATCAAATTATTCAGTATTGGTGAAACGATTGGCCGTCTATCGAAGAAAGAAGAAGATAAGTTTGAGAAAGTTGGTTTGTAATAACTTCTAATTATATTTCTATTGAAAAAGCTAAAAATATTTCCATTTAAAACCCGTTGGATAACTTGTCGTGGCATTTTGAAATAAAGAAGCAGTCGTCTCTTGAAGTTGAACTATCAAGATATAAAAATTGCATTATGCTCAATAGAGCTAGGGCAGTATTAAGAGCACCTAGAGTAGCATCTGCTAGGTGCCACTCTTCTATAAACTCATTTGATAGAACACTCTACTTGAAGGAGCAACCTGAAGACTCAGTTTTTAAATCCTTGGAGAATAAGCAAAATCTCGCTTTTGAAACCTTCGTTGCTGGACACAGACCATTGTTTATTAGCAACCCACCCTTAGAATCTTCTAATCAAGTCAGTCATAAGTTAACAGATGAACAAGTCGATTCTATACTAGACGAGCTAGATTGCGCTTTATTTAAAGTTAAAATTACTGAAATTGCGGATTATAAATCTGCCTTACATAGAATTGGATTGGGTGAGCGATTAGATATCAATTTGGATAGTGTAAAGAGAAAGAGAAAGAGTAAGATGAACAAGCACAAGTATAGGAAACGTAGGAAGGTGTGTACACTCGTGTTTTGTTAACTTCCAGCTAATCTATTCAAAGGCACAACGCGCAGAAAGGAAACGTCTTGGAAAGTAGATTATTTATCAAGCTATATCAATTTTAACCCAATTTTGATATATATTACCTTCATCTTTATTTAATATGGTAGTTGTTTTTGCATCTTCTTGATATTCTTGGTGAAGGAAAGTAGACAACGGGTGGTGGAATTCAAAGAATGCACATCCATTTTTTGGATATGCTGCATTCTTATTGTTCACGTCTTCGTGACAGGTTTTGCGTCTTGGTGCACTCTCATCGAAGCCACCACCAGCGTAAAACATCACACCTGACTGGTTAGTCGTGAAGTGCAAACTGATTTCATCGCTTTTGAGGAGCAATTGAGTTTCTTGTTTGTCATTTGCAATACTCTGTGCAGATATGATATCATTCTCTGACTGTGCAATTGTTCTATCGATTTTGCTGCCATCCCTGTTGAAGAAGTAATAATGATCTTGAATTATTTCCTTCTCATTGATTTTTCTCAACTTATTGAAGTCAAATGGTGTACCATCAATATCAACTTTTGAACCCAATGCTAGGTTTGAAGAATCTGAAGTTTCAGCAATACTTTTTGAGTTTAAATAGAGCAAATGATCGCCTATAGTAGAAGAACGGATTTTGTCTGCAGTGAGATTAAATCCCCAGTGCTAATAACTAGTTAGTTTGTAGTAAGACACCAAATTAAAACTCACTTGAGTGAGGTTAATCGGACATGGCTTATCATCGAGCATTTTAGCACGATGTGTGAGAATTACAGAACCATCGCTAACAAAGAATGCAGCTTCAACTAGCATTTTACCAGGATATCCGTTCTCACCATCATCTGAGACTAATTTGAATAATTGGAAGGTGAAATTCTCTGGTATGTCCTTATCACCGTATAACTGCGACTGTGCTAAAGTGATAGCGTCGAAAGTTTTTCTATCAAAGGCGTCTATACCTCCGTGATGTGATACGATTTCACTTTCGACAGGTTCTGGGTGTACAACCGCGCCTGAAGCAATCTTATGGTTATCTACTGGTACTCTATTTGTGTATCTTCCTATAATTGTATGCAAAAATGTTCTACTTTCTTTGTGATCTTGAGCATTCTCTGGACCTGGTATAATATCAATAAGGCTGCCATCGTTCGATTTAATTAGTAATTTATGAACAGTCAATCCAAATGGTAATACTTCTAATGTAATTCTCTCCTTTTGTGATTTGATTATCATGATATCAACTAACAAACATGTTTGACTAAAAATCCGGTGAACTTCCTTGAATACGTCATAATTACTTTGACATAAAAAATATGTCAATAAATGTGAAGTTATTCAGAGATAGGTATTATACCATCTACAATCAATATAATCAATATATGCCAACCCCTGAAAGTACAACTAACTACCTGATCATACAGTCATACACTTCTTTTACTACGATCATCATCTCTTATTAATAAAATCATGGTAGCACCAGCAGATCTTCCTTTAGTAACAGTAGACGCTATAGATAAGGTAATATACACAACCACCCACTCACCATCTCTGATCTTCTCCAGGTTTACCCCGCAGATAGAGTAGCGGCACAGGGTGTGCGCTGGAACAACCTCGTTGAAGACTTCAAGAAGACCTATGGCTACAAGCCAACTTGTATTGTAAGAGCTCCAGGAAGAGTAAACTTGATTGGTGAGTTTTACATTCCCTCACTAGTAAAGTCTAAGACGCAACAATAGGTGAACATATCGATCACGCTCTATTCGGTGTCGTTCCAATGGCTATCGTACCGGATGTCATCATCGTGAGCTAGATGTCTTGCTCTTTCTCTCCTTTCTAACAAAGCATCGAAGGCTGTTGGACCACGTAATGATACAAAAGAAATTAGAACATCTAATGTAGACAAGAAGTATGGCCCTACTGCCTTCACGCCATCTAAGAATTCAAACGGTGAGGCCGTCGTCGATATCGACATACGCCAATTACAATGGCATTCATACGTCAAAGCAGCTTTATTGGTAGGAACAGGTTTACTATTTCTCTTTATTACCTAATACCAAACTCAGGGATACCTCAAACATCCTCACTCAGGTGGTGATTCAATCGGTTTGGATTTGCTCTATGATGGTACAGTACCAGCTGGTTCTGGTTTAAGTAGCTCAGCTGCTATGGTCATCTCCTCTCTCCTTGCTATGCTCACTGCAAATGGTAAAGTAGATGGTTTGACGAAGGGTGACTTGGTCAAAATGTCAATGGGTGCAGAAGGTAACGTCGGTGTGAATACTGGTGGTATGGATCAGGCTGCTTCAGTCATCTCCACGCCTGCTGCTGCATTATATGTACAATTCTATCCAAACCTTGCGGGTGAACCAGTACCAATTCCAAAAACCCAACCTGAAATCAGCTTTGTCATTGCCAACACTTTGGTGACATCAGATAAAGCAACCACAGCAAAATTCAACTACAATTTGAGAGTAGTTGAGACACTCGCTGGTGCATCCCTCCTAGCCAAGAGGTTAGGAATGAACTACAAGCCAAAAGATAAGGTAGCATATAGACAAGTAGTCAGTGACTTGGCTGGTGGCGAGCATTCTCTCACCGGTGCAGGTGTAAATAAGAGTGACATTACAGCTTCATTGAGACAAGCATTTAAGGACGCTTTAGACGCAATCGAAAAGCACCTCGGTAACAGCGCGGAAAGGGATGGATTAACAGAAGAAGAATTGATCGCTGCTCTTGGAATATCAAAGGAAGAATTTACCGAGATTTACCTCAAGTTAGCGGTTGAACCAATCGGTGGAAAATACAGATTACACATTCGTGCTAAGCACATCCTAGAAGAAGCACTCAGAGTATTGGAGTTTAGGAAGACTATTGAAACTGAAACCGAATCATTGCCTAAAGCATTAGGTGAGATAATGAACAAATCACAAGAGAGCTGCAGAGATCAATTCGGTTGCAGCTGTAAGGAAATAGATGAAATTACGTCGATCGCATTAGAAGAAGGTGCACTCGGATCAAGATTAACAGGCGCTGGTTGGGGTGGATCAACTGTCAGCTTAGTACCTGCCGAGATTGTACCACAATTTATTGCCAATGTCTCAAAGAGATATTCAAAATACCAGGGTCTTCCACAAGAGCAACTAGATCAAGCTATCTTTGCTACACTTCCTTCATCTGGCGCTTGCGGTGAGTTTGGGTTACTAAATCATGACTTAATATTTACATAGAAACAGTACACAACATCTAGTATGATTACTTTTGTTACAAAAAAGATTTCATGTATCTCCTCGTTCTAGCAAAGCACCAGCGGCATCTATGTGTGCATTTGTGAGTTCATCATCTTGTATGTCCAGCTGCTCGAGTTGTTGGAGTTCCTCCGCCTGATCTGTTTTACGTTTAGCGTAAGATGGTAATAACCAATTGTCGTCATCTTCATCCTCATCGTCGCTATCGTCACTATCTGAGAAGTTGAACTGATGTGCAGCTTCCTGTTGTGCCACTTTGCTACTAGACATCATTTCATCAACCATACGTTGTGTTTCTTGTCGTTTGTGCTCCTCTCTTTGTAAATTTAGGGAATCTTCGACGCTAATGAATACTCTACTATCAACCGGAGTTTCCTTATACTTTCCTTTATTTATACTAAGCTTTGACATATCTTCATTTATACCATTCTCCCGTAATTCTTCTAATCGCTTCTGTGCTTTACCCCTATTATCTGCTATTTTCTCTGTTGGGACGAGATTCCCAGCCGATAATCTATCAAATCTTGAAATAATATCTTCTAATTGCTTCACATTTGTACACTTGTCGATGTTAACCTTATTAGAAGGTGGCTGACGCAATAAATTTCCTTTAGTTCTATGATATTGCAATCTCTGCTCTAATGGTGGTATACCAATTGATTTTGATGTACCAGCTTCTGGTTTATCATCTAAAATCATCGGTGAATCTGCTCGTTTTGCTTCTTGTATTCTACCCGGTAGGTGTAACATTTATGACGGTATTGGCCAAAAATAACAATATGGCATTTATGAATTTAAACTAATAAAATTGCAAATTATTAAACAACATTCCAAGAATCTATAATATTTTATTAAAATAACACTAATCTAATCTAATTATTGCGTGTCTTGCATCTTTTGCATCTTTTAATCTGCGTACTATCTTTGCGTGTATATAAACTTAATAACATTGAAATATTATCCAAAAACGACTGAATATGCGTATACTCCACCATCACGATCTTCAAGTGGCGTAGCGTGTAAAACACCAAATCGAATATCAGTATTAGACGAACTTCTCAAACTAAACTTTGATCTACATTTAATACCACAAGTAACAGAAAGTGGTACACCCTCTTTGAAAGCCTGCTTGAGTGCTGTCTTTATACGTTTAGACTCCAACCTATGTTCTGAACCACATGTCAATAACTGAATGAGATCCTGATGATTGAGAGCACTATCTGTACATTGTCTGATAGTATCTGTAGGTAAACCTAAGTAACCGAGAAGTTCTTTCGTGACGAAAACAATCTCTCTTTTCTCGCGTTTCACTATCATAAGTTTGTTATAAGTGTGATTGAAGAATTCCATTTGCTTCTCAATCGGTTGGGCTTCCTTACCAAGCATATTCTCAGCACCTGGAAGTCTCTGTGCACCCTTGTCTAGCGCCTTCTTCTCCTTTCTCGCTTGACTGGAGTTGAAAATACGACTGAAAATATTACCACTTTTTTCTGGCTCAGGTTGGAAATGATCGAATGCTCTAGCCCCGTGGAAACTGTCTTGGATTGAACGATCGTCAAAGCTACCAGCTGCTACAGATCCTGCACCAACTCTATCAATTTTCTCTGGTTGTTTCTCATGATTGTTGTATCTTTGCATTGTAGGTGAAAACGCAACTGCTGTACTACTGACAGCTTCTGTTGAAATAAATGGTGCACTGCCACCAACCAAGAATGACAAGTTCTTCCTTGATGATAAGATACCAGTTACGTTGACTTGTCCACCAATGAAGTAAGCGACTTGGCCTTTCGTATCGCGCAGAGGGATAATGTTAACCAGGCAAAAGAATGGCGTACCATCTCTACGATAGTTGAGGAGTAACTCTGTAATTGGTTCGGCGTTGTTAAGCGCATCCCTTATCCTTTGGACAGCTGCAGGCGCCGTACCTGGACCTTGCAAAAATCTACAGTTTCTACCGATGATAGTTGTTCTATCAAATCCCGTAACCTGTTTCTTTGCGTTAAAAAGCCTGTCATTTATGACGTAGACATACCTTTGTAAAACCAAGACTTGACATAACAATAGGATGATCTCTCAGTCTTGGATTTGTGAGAACAAACGAATCACCCAAACCATTTTTCTCTAAATCAGATAAGTTCTCTTTACCCAAACGTACTTTGCTCCTTTCGATGAGCTTATGTCTGATAAAATTCTGGAACTCAACCTCATAGAGTGAGTGTAGGAGGTTAGCCTGTGAGCTAAATAAGCCAGAGTCCAGTTCATTAAGGTATCTCAAACGATGAAATACAACTTCTGATTGATTAGGCGGCATATCAACTTTAGTAGTCGAAGAAGGTGCAATGTAGAGATCATGTAAGGCCTGTGAACCAGCTCTAAGTTGACCGATTATCCTCTCAAATACATCAACATCAGTCCAGTAATCGAGTTTATATATAGATGAACTACCTGCCTGCTCGAGGTACTCTCTAAAACGGTGTCTACCGAGTGGATCTCTGATAAGCTCCTCGAATACTTTCTCGCTGAGTAAATGACGCATGCTATAATCTAAATCTGCTTGTACGAGTGATGTTGGCATACTTGTTTGTGCTTTACGATCTGCTTCAATTATACGCCAATCTGGTAAGTTCGCGATATTTGAAGATTGCTGAGCAGGCGTAGCTCTAGATGGTGCCCAATTAGCTAGATCTGATCTCCTCTGTATTTGTGCAGATTTATAAACCGCATCATCCTCATCTATTACATCTGGTATTGTAACTCTAGATTGATAGCTGTAATCTTGTTGATCATTCATATCTGATTGTCTATGCTGGAAAACTGGTTTATTATCATATGTACTCTTAACTCTAGAGCCATTTGAATGTTGCATTATAAAACCATTGTTGGTATTCGTGATTGGTGGACTAATTGGTGGTGTACCAGGATCGCTTTGATGATCATTTGTCACTGGCATATTGTGGTATTGTCTATAAGACGGTGGCGTTGGAAAGTTTATGTGGAATTGCTCATTAGAATCTGGTATTTCAGATGTCGCAGATTGAACTATCGGTTTCTGTGATTGTGAATATATGTATTGAGAATTCTGTGATTGCGTTCTACTAATATTGTTAACTTCTGGGTCAATTATCGATTGTTCGGATTCTATTGCTTTGTTAATGAGTTAAATGAACGAATAATTAAATACTAACCGGTAATCTCTGAGCTAGCATCATTAATCTTCTGCCTATTATTGTGTTAAAAAGCCTCTTAGTGTGCTATTACACCCACTCATTCACTGTATGCATAGTGTTATTGGAGAATGGACTACTCTTCCTGCAATCGAATTAGGATCCTTACTTATATTTTAGTATAATCTTACTCATGTAATGGCTGTGAAAGTGCAGAATTTAAAAAATTACTGTCCATATACTTTTGATGAATAAAGTTGATCCGAAGTGAATGCACGCAGTCATATCAAGCTCCAACCAAATAGATTTTCATTAAACAAGTCAATTTATACAATAATTACACCAATTTGTTTGATTTAAATGCCATTTTTCACTAACAAATAAAACCACGATCGTTGTATCAAATTACTCTAATTTGATTAGCTATCCGGAAATAACCGTAGAAGTAAATATACTTAACGAATAAACTGAAGAATCCATTGAAGATTTTAGGCCTATTCTCACGCTAGATTAGCTTCCGCTGAGGTATAAACCATCAATTGAAGTGTTCCTTGGAATATATAAACTTGGTGGAGGTGATCGACGGACTTTTTTGTTATCATAACGGCGGCATTTGATGATTTATACTCTATTTTATGACTGATTTGAGTGTTTTACAATAGAAAAACGCGTGTATTTATTAGAGTAACAATACAAACAATGTTGTAAATCATATATAACACTCAAATGCGATTTATAACCAGATAAAAAGAATATACCACGGTAACTCTAGACTGACGTTTGAGACACATTGGATGAAAACAAAATATGGACTCATTTACAAAGCTCTTTAGAAGTCGACAATGTCTGCCGAGAACTCAACAGCCTCGAATCAAGATGTCAGTCTGACAATGGAGCATACCCGACCGAGGCAATTCAAATGCTCCTGGCGTACACTCCTCCAATTCCCCAGGAGACTGTTAGCCCCAGCTGCAATACCATCTGCGCCAAAGTTCAAAGTACGCTCATGTACAGCAACACCACTCGATTCTGTTACGCTGGAAAGCATTCTCAATGATAGCTACTTACCGCCGCTTGTGAGTGCAAATTTTACACTATTCTAATTGTTCTAAATGCCGGGTAGACTCTCGTTGATTTTCAAGATTACCTCGTATTTCGTGAGAATAGCGTAGAAAACTTATTCTATCTCCGCTGGTTAACTCATTATACTTCTTTGCACAATCGTCTTGTTATTGAAAAGACTCAAGAAGAATCGAGCAAGGTGATTAATGAGATGTCGCAACAGTATCAGCGCTGTCTCAGCACCTTTATCCTCCCCGGTAGTGCCTATGAATTGAATATAGCGTCAAAGTTAATACAGGAGATGTTGGCAATCGCACCTCAGCAATATGTCACACTTGACGATCTTAATGGCACACAAAGCGATCGCCATGCAGTTCTGCCTCCTTCTCCAGACGCTGCTGCAATTGTTGCGACTAAGCACCACGTAGTCGAGATGCTAAGAAATAGTGCGAGAAAATTTGCAACAAAGGCTCCAGCTAATGGTGGACGTAAACGCGGTTGGTTCGCACTGTTTGTTGGACTGCTCTTCATTCTTCTTGGTCTGCTAATTGTTCTTGTTGCACGTCTTTACCAGAAGGGTAGCGGGGGGAGACATACTGCAGGTGCTGCGATTCCTTTTTTCTGGTGAGTAATTGTTTAATAGATTATTCAGCTGATGAATTATAGGTTTGGGGTCGCAACATTTGTTATGGGATTACATGGCGTGTGTAATTTTAATATCAAAAAAAATAATTTGACACACCCGTAGATTTGCATTGTAGTCTTTATGTTTGGGGATGCGAGACAACTCCATCCATTCGAAATGGATATGCCAAAGGATGACAGTCCAGTTGGCACACCTCATCGTACAGGTTCTGATACGCTTGGAGTCGGTGCCGACGTCTATGGTTTAACCGTAACAAAGACAAGTTCACGCGACACATCATCCGATGAGGCTGGTACTTCTCATACTTCTCACACCCAGCTTGGAAACCTCGAAAAGGGAGACATCAGTTTAGTGGGTGGAAGAATGCAGAGGAAATTTCAAGAAGTACCACCTCAAACTAGCAGCAGACCACTGATTGACACACCGTTCGTTCCAGATATACCAGGCCATCTTAAGAGGTTTGGTACAGTAACTCGTCAAAGTACACCACGCAGTGCTGGTGTTCGTGGTATTTTTGAACCACTTACATCAGTTGATGAACCGATCGTCTCACGCGTGCAGCTTCAAGTTTTCTATCTCGCTGCTGTATGGGGTACTATCCTGGCCGTTATCGGTGGTGTACTCGCTATCAAATTGTAATATATATCTAATATCTGTGCATTCAATGAATAAATAAAGCTTAATCATCATAGCTAACATTTTGAAGATCAAATCTACGACCTCTAATACCCCAAAGACCCCAATTGCTCTTGATCATTACACGAGTGTCAAATTCTGCGACTTCCCAACGTTGGCTACCAAAAACGTTGTCACCTGGTTCGACAACGCTCTCCCATTCTTGAGTGATTGCCTCGGAGTGTAAAAGTGCATCGAAATCGCGTTTCATGTCAGATGGACTAAATGCTGTTAAAATAATTGGACACTTTGTTTCAAGCATCTTGTCAAGAGCCTTAGCCCATTCGGCATCAACTTGTGGTGTGTATTGTCTATAATTAACTAACTCGTTACGACTATCCGATAAGCCCTCTGATGGACGAATACTTTCTGGTAACATGGATGGGAATCCTAAACCTGGATGGAAATTAAAGAAGATATCAGTGAAAGGATCAAATGGGAAGAATGTATCATGTATTTGCTCCCAATTTGCCTGTATTCCATTCAATGTTAACTGTGTGTCTACCACTTTTTGCCATCCTTTGACACCATATGGCGAGACAACTTCATCAGCAACGACTTCAGGACCGACGAAGTAGATCTGGAAGCGTGCGTATGGGAATAAATGAGCGAGTTGCATCCAAACTGATGATGGAAGTTGAGATTCTGCTCTGGCGCCTGGAATGAAAATTCTGATTGGGGGTGTTGGAGGAGAATATGGAAGAGGTTGCTTGTGAAGCATGTATCGCAGAGCTGTTATTGTGTAAGAAACATAAAAGACACCACATATAACGCACCTAAAAGCGATCTTTCACCGTGTGGGGTGACCCTACCGCCTGCTCTATCAGCATATGGGCCTAACTCATGAAGTATACCAGCGATAGTCATTGGATAACTAAGCAGCCGACTAAGATGTCTCTGAGAGCGGAGATTGTCTACACTGTTGAAATTGCGGGTATAAAAGAGCATTTCCCAGCTCTTAAGATTCACAGTCTGCTCTATATCCTGCAAACCTGGCATTTCAAACTCTTTCATTTCTCTCCCACTTCTGAGATCATGTTCGTCCTCGTTTACTTCCCTCAGTCTGGTAGCGTATGTATTGCGATGATGGCTATCTTTTTCATAGGCTTCTTTACTTGAATGGGTTGGATATCCAGATATAGGACAATAGTATTTCAAAGGCCCTACACCTTCTATAGGACACTTCCCTTTATTCGATATTCTCTCGCCTAACGCACGTAAGGAAGGTATAGGTGACTCATTTAAAGGATGAAATAACGTTTTTAAAGTTCCAAATTCATTTTGTTTAAACTTTTGATTCTTAAAGAAACCCAATAGATTTCTAGCTTTCGAAGTCATTATTCTAACAAAAGAAGAGAAGAATTACATATTTACAAAATAAGATGAAAAATTCATTTTCTACTTTGTTTCGTCTCTAATCTCTGTTGAACTAAAGTTTAATATACCTGCTCTGTCGAGATCTTGAACGATTTTCTCTGCTTTGCTGACTGGTTGATTACCAAGATATGCATTAACGATATCAAGTTTACCGCTCTTGAGTGCCATTTGGAAATCGTTATCGAACGACTCGAATATTTCCCATCTCTGGTTGAGCCATTCTTTAACAACTTCTGGATCGAGTTGTTGGAGTTTAGCATCTCCCTCGAGAACAATCTTCTCTGGTGCAGGTCCTTCTGGTACATCGAAAGTAATCTCTGTGTCACCTTCAGTCATGAGTTGAATCTGTTCCTTCTCACCCTCATTTGAAGATTGTTGGGATGCCAAAACTTTACTTCTTTCCATTATACGGGCGTGAGTGTCATTTACATCCTTAAGGAATACTGTTTCAGCTTCTTTCGACTGTGTGAGACGTTGGATGAAAAGACTAACACCGTCTCTACCAAGTTTGTTGCAATATTGGACAAAAAGACCAGCGTTGACACACTTCAAAGCGTAATCCGCCTTGTTTTCCATCCCGGCGTTGAAGGCCTCTACAAAAAGTGCATCTGTAGTCTCATCGGCGAGGAGTGCCTTATCGTGGCTGATTATATCGACCATACCTCTGTATTGACGGAGAGGAACCTCAGCAAGGCGTTTCATAGATGTTGTTAAATCAGGTAAATCGTCGTCGTCTTTCTTTGGCTTTGAAGCACCAGGGTTGAGTACCTCAATAGACTTTTCTGTTTCTTTCTGTGGTTGTTGTGGTTTTGTGTCTGTTATCTTGTTGACATGACTGCTATCAAAACCAGTTCTGATACCCTCGCTCGTAATCTTCTGACTCTCCTCTTCTTCAATAACTGAGATTTCTTTTTTAATGTCCTCATTTCTTGCAGTAACTTTATCCTCTGTTTTCTGTAGTTCCTCAACCAAGGTTTTAGATAATAAGTCTTTGTTATCAAGGTGCTCTCTAGCCTTCTCCCAAATTTGTATGAAGAGGTTTTGCATCATTTCGTCATATGTAGGTTGATTATCTGCACCTGTATTTGGCTTCTCATTTGAAGGTTGACTACCTAATCTCGCAACTTCACCGCTAAAAACCTCTGGACCGGATTGATCTACGCCCTTTCTGATTTTTGTAACACGTGGTAGAAGTGTTGAATTAATTTCCAACTCATGGTTCAACTTGACTAGTTGTGCTTTACGAGCTTCTCTCTTCTGATGTATGTCTTGTTGTTTCCATCTGATATTACTTAGAGATGGCAGTAAAATAGTAGAACTACCCACTTTATGAATGATTTTTTATCTACATTTGGGTGTACTTCAATATCAGAATCGTCACTGAGCTGTTAATAGTCAGATCAGTATGTCATCTCTAGAGTTATTAGAGATATACCTCTAAATTAGCCCATTTATCGTACTAAAAGGTATTTTATTAGTATATTTACCTTCAATTCATACTACTATAGCTTACATTTAGTGGCATCTTATTTTATATTCTTTATAGTCGACGACCAAGAGCATAAAAAAATGTCAGCTGGAGATAGATAGTATGTCTGATATAATTTATTAGTACCTTCATTAATATTATAATTAGCTCGCCACGTCTCTCACCAGAAGATGTAAGAGAAGATTACGATTATGATAGGGAGAGAGATATACGATCAAGAGACAGATCTAGGGAAAGACACGACAGACGCAGATCAAATTATGATGACAGACGCGACAGAGACGATAGAAGAGAAGACCGTAGTCATCGTAGGAGACGCTCAAGATCACGTCAAAGGGGTAGATGTACGTTATTTACTTCTCTATTATTATTCTCTAAGCTTTTTATAGACGAGCGTCCACGTAGAGAACGCTCACCTGAGATTCCTATTGAAGACAACGTAGATAGTTTAGAATCTGAGCAGCGTAGCGTATTTGTTAGTCAACTCTCTACGCGTACTAATAGCTCAGATTTGAGGAGATTTTTCCAAGATAGATTGGGTGAAAGGTCCATAGTTGACGCTAGGATTGTTATGGACAAAAACTCACGTAGATCTAAAGGTATCGGATATGTTGAAGTTAAAACCGCAAGTTTAATTGACAAGGCTTTGGAATTAACGGGCGAATTATTAAATGGTATTCCTATGATTGTCACACAATCTGAAGCTGATAAAAATAGACAAGCTAAGGCTAGTAGTAGCTTACAGACACAATCTGTTCAAGCAGAGGAAGTTAGAAGATCTACAAAAAGTAGGGATTATGATAACAGAAGCTCAACTATCAACCCAGCTAATGATCCAACACTCTATAAGGTTTACGTTGGTAGCTTAAGCTATACACTCAAAGAGTACGATGTTAGAAGTGTATTTGAGCCATTTGGTGAAATTGAAGACGTTGAATTATCTGTAGATGATCAAAACAGGTCCAAAGGTTATGCTTACGTCAAGTACAAGAGAATGGAAGATAGTCGAATGGCATGTGAGCAAATGAACAGATTTGAACTTGCAGGTAGGACACTTAAAGTACAGTTAGTAAATTACTATGGTGATCCAGTCAGAATGCCTGAGCAAAGTATTGAAAATGAAGGATTAAACCTTAATAGTGTGAGTAGACACGAGTTGATGAAGACGTTAATGAGATCACATGATCCAAATGCTCAATTTGAGCAAGAGTTGGCTGCAAGAGAGAAAGAAAAGAAGGTCCAAGAGAGAATGAAAACCAAGGGTGTTTTATTAAAGTACATGTTCAAAGCTTCAGAAGAAACCGAGGCAGGTTGGGAGAAAGAATTAGCAGAAGATGTTAAAACTGAATGCGAGAATAAATATGGCAAAGTACAAGAAATTGGAGTTGATAAAGAAAGTGAAGAAGGCGAAATAGTAGTCAAGTTTTATACAATTGAGAGTGCTGAGGATGCCATTAATGGATTGAATGGAAGGTGGTTCGGTGGTAGACAAGTGAAAGCGGTGAACATAGCTGATAAGTTTTTGGTGAGTGGGATTGCTAGGTAGTGATAAAACTAATGAAACCTTAGGAAATGAAATTAAGTGTACTTAATTGATTTCTTAATTGATAGAAGCTTATTAAGGATGTCGTCATCGTCGATGCTTAAAGTTGTGTTGATATCTTCAAATGAGTTCAGTCTTTTTATTTGATAATTAATTAATTTCTCCTTGTGAGCTAATTCAAGTTCTAAACCCTGTAAATCACTTAATAAAGTTGTTTGACGTTCTGTGAGTACATCTATGAAATAATCTAAATCGTATTTATTATCAGTTGACTGTGATAGTTCAAAATCTCTTAAACCGTAATCATTGTCGATGTTGTATTCCACTCTACCTAATCTCTTAGTGAACTGCTTATTAAACTCTTTCTTTGATTGCTTGATATATATATCATTAGACTGATTTGGTGGTAAATAACTCGCGATATCAGTGTGATCAACTAATTGTAGTAATAAGCTATCGACTAGGTAACTTTTTAGTATATTTTTATAATTTATTTCATTTATATTTATATTTTTAGACATATTCGGTTCTTATAAAATGTCGTCGTCGTTGATGGACGTTATTTATCAGTATAAATGTATAAAAATATCAAAATTAAGTAAATTATTAAATTATAATGATGAAGATAAAATAAAATCTGAAATTGATGAACTAAATAAAAAATTGGATGTTATCAATTTAACAATAAAAGTATTTGATGATTATTGTTTATTAGTAAATTTAATAGCAGATGATAACATTTTTAATAATTATAATCAATCTGAGTTGCTATTCTTAAAGTCTATTCTATCAGCTATAATAAACAATGACGATTATAGAATATCATCAAATAATTCATTAAACCTGCAATCAACTTTGACTTTATCTTATAAGCAAGAGTTTCTAGATAAGTTAGTGGATACCTATTGGTTAAAGTCTGATGATGAATTTTACTATCTGGGTATTAGATCATTAATTGAATTAAATGATTTATTAGTAGATTTATCTGATAAAGATTTATATTTCAGTCACTTTAATCACATTATTGTAACTAATGTAGGTCTATTTCTATTATATCTATACAGTATTAACATAATTCTAGGGATACCACTGCTCAAATTGTGAAACAGCAATAACAAAGAAACAATCAACTAAATTAAATTTATCAATCTGCCCAAGTTGTAAAACTGATTGGAAACCAGTTGAAATTCCTTAAATCCATGTATTTTATTTCTTACTTTCTCACCATCAAGATGTCTGATGCTTCAGATGAATCGAATATAATACACACAACAAAAACAGAGAAACTATCTAAAATAAATAAAAATTGGAAATCACTTCAATTACCAAATAAGATTGCTATAAAGAAGATGTTGGTTGAGGCACAATTGTTGGTTCATTTATCTACCGTTTTACTCACCTAACACTTCATTAGGAGTACAGATCCCTCAAAGAAACAAACTAAATACGTCGCCCAATTAAATAAAACACATGCAAAGATAACAAAAAGGATCGAACAGCGCCTTGATCATTGTAAGGTTCCACCACCACCGGCTAACCTGAAAAATAAGGATGGCAAACGCGTCAATCCTGGTTTCTGCTTTGATAATGAGTATAGAACTATCACAGAGAGACTAGCACAGAACTTGGAATCTATCGTACTCCCACAAGAGCGTATCGTCCAAAACTTACGCGATCAGTTATCTCAACAGAGAGACGAGTTAGAGTTTGATGAAGCCCGTTTTATAGAATACACAAGGAATGCTAATAAATTGAATAAACATCTCGATGAACTTGAACAAGAAAAAGTAAGTATATCTATTCGATATCTCGCGTTTTATCTAACGCGTTGGTTAGTTACATCCACGCCTGAAGAACTCATTCTTGAAATCTCATGAACGAACTGCTCAGGATATGTACATCCACCAGTGCGCACAGAATTGGAATATCCCACCTGTCATTTATGACTCCGAACATCAAAAACTAGCTTATAATCCATATGTTGATAAAAATGTGAGGAAACTAACACAAAAGCTTCAACCTGTGATGGACAAGTTGGAAGCTGATGCAAGGGAGATGAATCCAACAAGGAGAGCCGCAACTGAACTAAGAGATGTTCTCGCAAATGCTTATTTCAAACACTACTCGCAACGTCGTGAACGTGAGAGGAAACTATCAGAAGGAAATTGGGAAGATATGGATGTTGATGACTTCTCAAGTACTAGCAAAGAAAAGTAACCTTTTTGTAATATAAAATGTATTCTAGTGTACTTAATATACATAAGATATTGTAGATTACTTCTGGAATACGTGAGAAGAGCTAGTTGGTCCCTGTATACATGTTAAGATAGTTGTTTCAGTATATCATCACCTACTTTATCACCAACTTCGTAGTGTAATCCGCCTTCCTTTGGAACGACAAGAGCATCCTCACCGTCGTTGCTTTTGAATGTGTAAGTGCGAACTTCTGCGTTACCCCAGTACTAAGAAAGAAATTAGATTAAATGATATGACGTAATTTCAACTAACCTTCGCGCTGTTGTATCCGTCTGTGATCCATCTGAGGATATCACCATGAGCGACAAATACAATCTCCTTTTCTGGACGGTTTCTTATCCATTCCCTACATTGTCTTGCACGTTCTGCGGCATTTACGGGATCATAAATACCTTTCTTGTTGGTCCATCCAGGGTGAACATCCTTAAAGTCAAGACCCTTGAATTCTGGATCAGAGATCAGGTTGTCTGGTTCTGAACCTGTATCACATGGGTGTCCGTTTACTTCCTGCGCAATTGTTAATAAAATTGGTGGTTTGCCTTCAGATTCCAATCTTTTGACGAGGTTTGGATATCCCTCTAACATAGTTTGCATTGGTCTACGTAAAGGTGAGGATACTAACAATTCCGCTGTCTTCTGTATCGTTTCTTCTGTAAGTGGGTTCAATCTACTACTTTGTTCCCTTCCTAATTGCGTTAATGGTGCATCTGGAATGGTATAGTCATCTGCAACGTTATGAGCTGCTTGAGCGTGTCTAGTGAAGTAGATTGTTTTGTCTGTCATGTCGTGGTGGTATTGGTGAGAGATGAGAAGATGGTGAAAAAGAGAGATTGAACGTTGTTTAGATAGTGAATATATTATTTATTTGTTTGTAAGTCTTTTATCTCTAACCGTCTCTTCGTATAAACATCTTCCTCAATAACATCCATTATGTCCAAACATATTAGAGATACATTCACTGAATGCCACAAGAAGGTGAGTTGTGGTATCCCCTATAAGATATACACCAATCTCATATTCATACATAGGGCAGACCAGCATTTGTGTGAGTCAGAAGAAGATCTCTTTATCATCAGCTAAATAGCGATATTAGTACTTTCATGACAGCTGGATATCCTTACAAGAACTCAACTGTTGATTTGATGTTGTCTCTTGAAAAGGGTGGCGCAGATATCATTGAATTGGGTGTTCCGTGAGTTTACAGTGACGAGAGTATGTACACTAACAAATAAAGATTCTCTGATCCAATCGCTGATGGTCCATCTATCCAAGCGGCAAACACTGTAGCCGTTTCTAATGGAATCACCTACTCAGATTGCTTAGACTACGTTCGTGAAGCCAGATCAAGAGGTTTGAAGACTCCAGTTATGCTGATGGGTGGGTTATAAGTTATTCAAGTATAACATCCTCTTAAACCCAACTTAGGTTACTATAACCCTGTCCTCAGTTACGGCGAAGAGAAGGCAGTCAAAGATGCCAAAGATGCAGGCGCATCCGGTTACATTATGGTCGATCTTCCACCAGAAGAGGCTATCAAGTTCCGTAACATCTGTACATCAGAAGGTCTCTCTTATATCCCATTGGTTGCACCTTCAACCACTGAAGCACGTATTCAATTCTTAGCAAGCATTACCGACTCATTTATGTATGTCGTATCAAAGGTGTGTCGCTACATGATGATACACATAAGCTAACAGAATCCAAGATGGGAACAACTGGTTCTTCCAACCAAGTCAGCACCGACATCCCTCAATTATTGGCTAGAATCAGAAAGTACACCAGCAATCCACTTGCAGTCGGTTTCAACATCTCAACCCGCGAACATTTCAACTTCGTAGCTGACGCTGGCTCAGATGGTGTTGTTATCGGTTCACGGATTATCAACTTGGTAAGAGATGCTCACAAGGAAGGCAAAGATATCAACGCTGAAGTTGAAAACTACTGTGCTGAAATCTGTTCAAGAGATACAACAAAGAAGGAAGCTCCACCAGTTGAAGTTCCAACTGAGCGCAAAGAAGCTGAACAACCAACAGTCCCTAACATGCCTGAGCCTCTGTTGGATGCTATGTCTGGAAACCCTGCCAGATTCGGTCAATTTGGTGGTCAATATGTCCCAGAAGCACTCGTTGATGCTCTCGCTGAACTTGAAGCTGCTCATAAGATGGCAGTAAATGATCCAGAATTCTGGAAAGAGCTTGAAAGCTATTATGAATACATGGGTAGACCTTCATACCTCTATGAGGCTACCAGATTAACAGAGGAAGCCGGTGGTGCTAGGATTTGGTTGAAGAGAGAAGATCTTAACCACACTGGCTCACACAAGATCAACAATGCCGTTGGTCAAATTCTCTTAGCTAAACGTCTCGGTAAGAAGCGTATTATTGCAGAAACTGGTGCTGGTCAACATGGTGTTGCAACCGCTACAGTCTGTGCTCGTTTCGGTATGGAGTGCCATGTATTTATGGGTGCTGAAGATGTCAGAAGACAAGGTTTGAACGTATTCAGAATGCGTATGTTGGGTGCTCAAGTGAGTGTTTGAAGCGTATCTGCCGTACAATTTACTAACCTAACACTCAGGTCATTCCTGTATCAAGTGGTGCACAGACACTCAAAGACGCTATCAATGAAGCTATGAGAGATTGGGTTACTAACCTCTCATCAACCCACTACCTTGTTGGTTCAGCCATTGGTCCACACCCATTCCCAACTATTGTCAGAGACTTCCAACACGTTATATCTAAAGAAATCAAGAAGCAAATTCTTGAGAAGACTGGTAAATTACCAAAAGCAGTTGTCGCATGTGTTGGTGGTGGTTCAAACGCTATAGGAACATTCCACGATTTCGTTCCAGATAAGGATGTTCGTTTAATTGGTGTTGAAGCAGGTGGTGATGGTGTTGACACCAACCGTCACTCAGCTACACTCACACTCGGTAAACCAGGTGTTCTTCACGGTGTACGTACCTACCTTCTCCAAAGTGCTACTGGTCAAATTATTGAAACACACTCTGTTTCTGCTGGTTTGGATTACCCAGGTGTTGGTCCCGAGCACGCTCACCTTAAGGATTCTGGTAGAGCGGAATACACAGTCGCTGATGACGAGCAAGCTCTGAGAGGTTTCAGAATGTTGACCCAGCTTGAAGGTATCATCCCTGCACTTGAATCATCACATGCTATCTGGGGTGGTGTTGAACTCTCAAAGACCCTTAACAAGGATGACAACATCGTCATCTGTCTCTCAGGTAGGGGTGACAAAGACGTTGAACAAATCAGCGAACTCCTTAAAACTGGTTGGGATAAGCGTCTCGATTGGGATACAACCGTATAGAGAATTTTATGTAACGAAAATGCACATTTCCATTCTTTCGATTTCTGGATTACAATATTTACTCTTTTTATGGATGATAATTTTTATGGGTTTAGTATTTGATGTTCATTTCGTTCTTTTGTCACTGACGTCATTGAGAATGTTTGCAGATACCTACGTCTTCAAACTAATAAATGCGCAGGCGAAGAGTCCCAAGAATATGGCCGCTGTTGATCTTTAAAGATCTACTTGACGTAAACTTTTGTTCAGTACTTTACCACAAAGTTATTGTAATGGAAGATAATCGAGATAAGTCACCAAGACATGTTTCAACAGTAAATCCAACACTTGTTAATCTCGACCGAGATTCACGAAGATCATCTATTGAATCATCATCATCTCAAACACACCTTGAGACATTTGACGGGAGCCTCAATGAGAAAAACAATAGCTCAGGGAGGATAAACTTGGAAGGAGAAAAAGAGGCCTTAGAAGAACGGACCGAAAAGCTGTATTTCTTCCATGATAAACCGTACCGTCTTAAGAAGAAATTGGTATTGTTCGCCATGACATGCTTGTCATTCACCACTATTGGCTTTAATGATAGTGCTGTCGGTGCGCTAATACCACAAATGGAAGTGTTTTATAACAAGGTGAGTGAAAGTCATCCAAGTTATTCTAATCTAATAAGACCACTAGAGTGAATCAATAATATCACTATCTTTCCTGGCAAATAGTGGAGGATATTTTATATCTACAATAGCATCATCGTATATGATTCATCATTTGCCATTGTACATAGTAATGATGATATCATCATTTGTCTATGCAGCAGGTTCGCTTATAGGAACGTTTAAACCACCTTTTGCAGTATTGATGATATCGCTCATTACGACTGGATTTGGAGCTGGATTGCTAGAGACAGCTGCAACTATCGTACTTGTTCATTTTGAAGATGGTCCACTCATTAGTCTGGCATATTCCTTTTTCTCTATAGGTTCTATGTCCTCACCATTTCTTGTCGGCGGTCTTCGCGAAAATGACCACCCATGGGAACGTTACTTCTGGTTGCCAGTTGCTATGGCTGGGTTACTTTTCATCCTGCAATGGTTTGTCTATCGTTCCTACAAAGCGCCAATCGAAGACGAAGGGGTTCAAATATCAGCTAGTCAACGCCTCCGTATCATTTGCACAAATCCAACATGCGTTCTCGGTATATGTCTTGACTTTTTAGCATTAGGAATTCAAGGTGCTTTTTTTCCTTTTTCTTTAGCATGATCAATTCTAACAATGAGTTACAGACTCTTGGAGCCAATGGGCCAGTAAATACCTCCAAGACACCAAAGAACTCGAGTCTGGAGTACCACAGTTGGCTCAAGGGACGTTCTGGGCTGGTGTTACAGTATCACGGATAGTTCTGTCCTACGCAATTCCTTTAGTAGGTGAGAACCTGTCATCATTATTACTTGTTGTTAGCTTCGCTACAACTACGGCTGGTATGTGGAAGCTGCCAACGGGGAATATTGCTGGTGCAATGTGCCTGAACGTTCTCCTTGGATTTGCTGATGGTCCGATGTTACCGTTGATTTTATCAGGTTGTACGATGTCATTACCACATTACCTCAAGCAACCTGCTTCATCACTTTTAGTTTGCAGCGGCCTCCTCGGTTCGAGTATTCTCCCCCTGGTGCTCGGTCAGGGCATCGATAAGTTCAATACAAATATCATACCTGGAGTTTTAATAGTTGCTTTAGCTATCATGTTTTGCGCCCTTATCGTTATGCATCTCTTTAAATATCGAGATTTAACAGAGCAAAATGATAATCCAAGGTCGCTATTTCAATTCATGAGAATTACTTACACTTTTCCTCAAAGACCCAAAGATACAGAAAAGTCTTGATTTGCACCCTTTCTGTTGTTTTACGGATACCACACTTTAAATTATATATTTCTATTTGTTGGTTCTTAGATATAATTCTATTTTTTGACGGTGTTCCCTGTATAGAATTCCATTAGTGGATCAAATTGTGGGTTTGTCGATGTCATTGCTACATCTCTTATAATCCACTAAGAAGATAGAAAACTGTTATTATCACATGTTGTTCTTTTCAATGAGATTGATGCTGTCACTTCAAATGCTATCGGTTTCAGGAGTACAGCGCACTGGTTGAGACAAGTGCCTTGATTGTGATATATCCATACGAGTATTTTATGTAATAAAAACACACCACCTTACTTCAATTTCCCTATTGTAACTTTAAAAGGTTATGTTTATTAATTACGAATTTATTCTTTCGTCATTGACATCATTGAGAATGTTTGCCGCTCAGAAATACTTCCACACTTAGACTAGTGCATGCGTAGTTGAATAACCCTAAAACAAAGCCGTTGGACTAACTCTGGAAGAAATTCAGGGCTTGTAACACGTAGACTCTTGTTGGTGTAATTCAATTCATAGTTCTTATGATGGAAAATACTCAGCATAATCTGGAGAACCGTGTGTCAACCGTAGATCCAATACCTGTAACTTTCAACCTAGACTCACGCAGATCATCTTTTGAATCATCATCCCAAACACATCTAGAGACATTTGAAACAAGTCTCAAAGAGAAATACAATAGTTCGGAAAGGATAAATTTGAAAGAAAAAGACCCTGAACTAGAGCAGCGACCTAAAGATCTTTATTTTTTCCATGACAAAGCGTATCGTGTTAAGAAAAAATGGATCTTGTTCGCCGTGACATGCTTATCATTCGCAACTATTGGCTTGAATGATAGTTCTATCGGTGCATTAATGCCACAAATGGAGGTTTATTACAACAAGGTTAGCAAAAGTTTTCCCATAATTTCTAGTCTGATGACACAATCAGAGTGAATCAATAATGTCACTCTCTTTTTTGGCAAATAGTGGAGGATACTGTATTGCGACAGTAGCATCATCATATATGATTCATCATATGCCATTATATATAGTGCTGATGATATCCACATTCATCTACGCAGCTGGTTCACTTATAGGGACGTTTAAACCGCCTTTTGCAGCATTGATGGTATCACTCGTTATGACCGGGGTGGGAGGTGGTTTGTTAGACACAGCTGCAACATCCGTACTTGTTCATTTTGAAAATGGTCCGCTTCTCTCTTTGGCATTTTCATTTTTTGCGATAGGTTCAATGTCTTCACCATTTCTTGTTGGCGGTCTCCGTGAGAGTGAACGTCCCTGGGAACTTTACTTCTGGTTTCCATTCGCGCTGACTTGTTTTCTTTTCGTCTTGCAATGGTTTGTCTATCGCTCCTATAAAGCGCCAATCGAAGCGGCAGGAATACAAATATCCGCCAGCCGTCGCCTTCGTATCATTTGCACCAATCCAATGTGTATTCTTGCTATAATATTAAGCTTCCTTACGATAGGAATTCAAGGTACGTACTTGTTTTCTCTTGATGACATTATTAACGTCTTGTAGGTAGTTGGAGCCAGTGGGCCAGTAAATATCTCCAGGACACCAAGAAACTCGAGTCTGGAGTACCACAGTTGGCTCAAGGGACGTTCTGGGCTGGTGTTACAGTATCAAGGATTGTTCTCTCCTACGTAATTCCTGTAGTAGGTTATAATTTGTCGCCATTGTTGCTTCTTGCTGGATACGCTGCAACTTCGGCTGGGATGTGGAAGCTACCAACGGAGAATATCGCTGGTGCAATGTGCTTGAACGTCCTGCTTGGATTCGCCACTGGTCCACTAATGCCTTTAATTATATCAGGCTGTACGCTTTCGCTGCCTCATTACCTAAAAGCGCCTGCAACATCACTTATAGTGTGTAGTGGTCTTCTCGGTTCGAGTATTCTCCCATTGGTGATCGGCCAGGGCGTCGATACGTTCAATACCGACATCATACCAGGTGTTTTAATAGTTGTTTTACTTCTCATCTTCTGCATTAACGTCATTCTACATCTCTTCAAATATCGCGATTTAGCCAACCAAAATGGTAATGAACGATCGCTATATCAATTCATGAGAATTACATACACATTCCCTCAAAGATCCAAAGATACAGCAAAGCTATGATTTTTACCCTTTCTGTTGTACCGGTACTACACTTCCGTTGATAGAATTGTATATTAGATAGAATTCAATTTATGAAGCGAAGCCTGTGCGAATTAATTTTATACTATTTACAGTAAGATTTTGTTAAGATCTTGACAATATTGAAACATATTCCATCTGCTACTCTGAACGTTCTAGCGCTCTGAATAATTATAGTATTTGGATTTTTGCATTTCAAAATACAATTTTGATGATGTTTAAATCAAATACATTGGATATAAAACAAGTGAAAGTGGTTAGGACAATTGTTTCCTTCAGGATACATCCGCATGAAAATTATATGTAATAAGAATGCACGGTTTTCTTATTTTTACTTTTTGTATTATTAAATTAATGGCGTTGTTTATTAATCATGAATTTATTTTTGATATGTCCAAATAATTCCTTCGTCACTGACATCACCGAGAATGTTTGCCGTAAATAAATAACTCCTTACTCAGACTAGTAATTGCGCAGTCAACAACCCTAGAATAACACCATTTGGTAATTTCGGATGAATTTTTACGCACCTTTAGCATGTAGACTTTTGGTACCATAATTCATATTTAAGTTATTATAATGGAAGATCATCAACATAATCCGGCGGACTGTATATCGACAGTACAGCCTATACCTGTAGCTCTCAAGGGAGACTCAAGTAAATCATCCCTCGAATCATCACCTCAGACACAGCACACATTTGAAGGAAGTCTCAAACTCAATGATAAGTATGATACTTCACGGAGGATAGATTTAGAAGGAGAAAACGCGGAACCAAAAGAGCGACCTGAGGATCTTTATTTTTTTCATGATAAACCTTATCGTCTTAAGAAAAAATGGATTCTGTTCGCCATGACATGCTCGTCATTCGCAATTATTGGCTTAAATGATAGTGCTATCGGTGCGCTAATACCACAGATGGAAGTGTTTTACAACAAAGTGGGTAAAAGACTTCTAAGCTTCTCCAATCTTAACATACTAATAGAGTGAATCAATAATATCACTATCTTTCCTGGCAAATAGTGGAGGATATTTTATATCTACACTAGCATCATCATATATGATCCACCATATGCCATTATACATAGTTATGATGATATCTTCATTTAGTTACGCAGCTGGTTCACTCATAGGAACGTTTAAACCGCCTTTTGCAGCATTGATGGTATCACTCATTCTAACAGGTTTTGGAGGTGGATTGCTAGACACAGCTGCAACATCCGTAATTGTTCATTTTGAAGATGGTCCACTTATTACTTTAGCCTACTCGTTTTTCTCGATAGGTGCTATGTCCTCACCTTTCCTTGTTGGCGGCCTTCGTGAGAACGACAGTCCATGGGAGCATTACTTCTGGTTCCCAGTCGCGTTAGCAGGTTCGCTTTTTATCTTGCAATGGTTTGTCTATCGTTCCTATAAGACACCAACTGAAGAGGAAGGTCGTCAAATATCTGCGAGTGGACGCCTTCGTATTATTTTCACTAATCCAATGTGTGTTCTTGCCATGATGTTGAACTTGCTAACAATGGGAATTCAAGGTGCGCATTTTTTGATGCATTGACAATTCTAATAATACATTACAGACTCCTGGAGCCAATGGGCCAGTAAATACCTTCAGGACACTAAGAAACTAGAGTCAGGAGTACCACAGTTGGCTCAAGGGACGTTCTGGGCTGGTGTTACAGTATCACGGATTGTTTTATCCTACGCAATTCCTGTAATAGGTGAAAATCTGTCTTCGATATCACTTATCGCTTGCTTCGTTGCAACATTGGCTGGTATGTGGAAGTTGCCAGAGGGTAATACGGCTGGTGCAATATGCCTGAACGTGCTTTTTGGATTCGCCGATGGACCCCTAATGCCGATAGTTTTGTCAAGTTGTACCATGTCATTGCCACGTTATCTTAAGCAACCCGCAACTTCACTTCTTGTCTGTAGTGGTCTTATAGGTTCTAGTACTTTCCCATTAGTGCTCGGTCAAAGCGTAGACAGGTTCGACACGGATATCTTACCTGGTGTTTTAATAGTCATTTTAGGCATCATGTTTTGCATTAACATCATTTTGCATCTTTTTGAATATTGCCATTTTGGTTTGTTAAATGGCAATAAACGATCGCTATACCAATTTATGAGATTTACTTACACGTTACCTCCAAGAACCAAAGATACAGAAAAGCCTTGATTCATACCTTTCATGTTTATTGTACATATCACAGTTTTTCTCTTACATAGAATTATATATTGAACAGGATTCAATCAATAACACGATTTCTGTGCAAATTAATTTTATATTATTTATAATAAGATTTTGTTGAAACCTTGATAATATTGAAAGTTCATTCTATCTGCTATTTTACGTTCCTGCGCTCTGGACAAGTCCACATGTTATCTGCATTCTTGCATAGAAGAATACAAAGTTGACGGAGGCTAAATCAATTTGCGATAAGTCTTTAACAATTGCATTAGATTATTTGTTTGAATTGAATTAAATCGCAGGATGAGAAAGTATATTTTATAGTAAAGTGATGACACTAGTACTGACTTTGTACAATTACTTCATTAGAAGGATCAGCATGATATGATAAGACTTTCTCTATTTGGTAACAGAACTGTCGTCATACCAGCTTCATGCGTTCATTCAACTTCTATCCAAATTTTCATCTGGAATGTTCACAAATATTCACGTTTGGCCGGGTCAGCATCAAAGGCAACTGTTTACGTAATTGTCAATACCATAATTCCGGGCTGTAATCCACGAACAATCCCACCTTTACGACAATTTCAGGAGAATGTCAAATCAACAACCAGAAGAGAAACAATGCGAGGGTAAGGGTGAATTCATCGATACAGGGCAATTATCGTATCTAAATGGCGGAATATGTGAAAGTCAGGACTCCAGAAAGTCCTCGGTTGACTCATCAGCTATGGCAACGACACTCAATGAGCCGTCAATGTCAAATCTTGACGCTAAAAATAATTGGGATGATAAAGAAATACTCAAGGAGCCTACCTCAGCTAAAAGGAGAATATCTAGGACAACTTCAGCACCCGCTGTGCCTTCACTTCACAGCACTGAAGATAATTCCTCTCTAGATGAGGCCTCTATCAATGAGCTCGATCGGGATGAGGTATACCTCAAACATGTCTTTTACTTCCATAAAAGACCTTGGAGGGTCAGAAGGTGTTACATTTTGATACTCATGACAAGGTAAATAGACTTGCTTTCTGACTTATGTGGTACTTACTCAAACACTGCACAGCTTAACCTATATGACCATTGGCCTTAATGACAGTGCTGTCGGGGCTCTCATACCACAAATGCAAGAATTTTATAACCATGTAAGCAGATGTTTTAGATTTTTGTCTCACTAACACAATTGCTTCAGTCGGAAGCAACGATGTCTTTGTGCTTTTTGGCTAACTTTGGAGGATATCTCGTGTCTACTGCTATCTCATCATACCTGATTCATCATTTACCCCTTCGGATCGTCTTAATGGTGAGTTATTGAATCGTGACTTACCTTATGCTGATGATAACACAAGATCGCATCTGCAATTTATGCAGCTGGATCCTTAATAGGAGCATTTGCACCACCTTTCGCAACTATAGTTGTGAGTCTGCTCCGTGAGTCAACTTTTCAGAAATGAAATCTCAATCAAATTCTGATATAACTCAGTCACTGGCGCAGGTGGTGGCCTTCTCGATGTAGCTGCTACATCTGTTATAATCCACTACGAAGATGGTCCACTTTTGACTATCACATATTCTTTCTTCTCAGTAGGATCAATGGTTTCACCTTTCATCGTCGGCGGACTCAGGAGCTCAGGAAAAGCATGGAATCTGTACTTTTGGTTCCCTGTTGCTTTATCGTTATTTCTCATGACTCTTCAGTGGTTTGTATATGAATCGTACAAAGCACCAACTGAACAGAATGCAAAACATAAGACTGCTACCAAGAGAATTTTTGCTGTATTTAGCGATAGCACCGTTTTGTGGGTTTCTTTTTTAAGATGAGAAAATTCTAACGTGATAAAGAATTGCGACTGTCTTGTTTTTTGTAATGATGGGTACGCAAGATAGCTGGTCACAATGGCTTGCAAAGTACCTAGAAGCTTCAAAAGGATTGGAAGGCTCATTGGCAAACATGAATCAGGCATGCTTTTGGGCAGGTGTCACAATATCAAGACTTTCACTTGGTCATTTTATAAACAAATGGGGTGACATGAAATCTGCAGTAACTCTAACTGCTTGTTTTGCTTTCATGATGACGGGTTTCTGGAAAGTCGACAGTCATCTTATCTATGGGACAATCATTTTGAACATTATTTCCGGTATATTTGTGGGTCCATTAGTACCGCTCATACTAGCAACATCTGTAGAGCGTATACCACATTCTTTGAAGCAACCAGCAACATCCATAATTATATGTGGTGGTCTCGTGGGTAGTACAGTCATGCCTTTATCACTTGGACAAGCTATCCATAAATACTCAACAGATATAATACCTGCAGTACTCATAGTGTGCGCATTTATCATTCTGTTCGGATTTCTCGCTTTGTTCGCTACTAAACTTTTCAAGCGGTGTAAAGAACAACGTGACAATGCTAGATTTGTGCATGACAACGGTTCATTGGCTGGACATATCGGCCTTAATAGAAGACGCTTTGTTCATCCTCCACAAATGAGCAATGCATAATGAATTGCAATGAAATTTTTCTATTCACTTGGGATTTAAAGATGCCTATTTTTTTTACTGATGATGCTAATTAATTTATTGATTTGTAATAGAACAATGAAAAGTATGAATGATTTCCAAATTGCCTACTTTTTCCTATCTAACATTCATACCTTCATACGTCATGTTGAATTGAATATTCTATCTGCAAACGAACCGGCCAGTGGCGCAACGAACTGAATGGAATGTATTGCTCATAGTCAGATGCTAATAATAACCCTAAGTTCATTGAAGAGCATACACGATTATTATTTCATGTATTATTGATTATGACTACGAAATATTTTCAAGGTTCACTAAATGCTGCTAATGGTAATCCAATTAGAATATCATATCCAGATACAGACACAAACAGCGACACAACAATAGAAAAGCATGCTCAACAGGAGCAAATAATAGAACAATCTTCAACGAGACGGATCTTTCAACTTATTTTTATTACTTTATCGTTCATTGGAATCGGTTTGAACGATTCAGCTACTGGATCTAATCTCAATAACATACAAGAAAAATATGGGTTGAGTTTCAAGGATGCCTCATTCTTTTTTCTGTCAAATGCAGGTGGATATGCTATTAGTAGTGTATGCACAGTACATATCATGTACTATTTTGGAGTACCTTTAACAACATTTGTTTCAGCAATGATTTATTCTGGTGGGGCGTTACTAACTGCTTTCGCACCACCTTTTCCCGCTATGGTGGTTTCTTTGTTTTGTGGGTCAAAGTGGTAGTAAAGTTAAGACTTTTTAACAAACGAAAGTGCAAGGTGTAGGAAGCGGAATACTGGATGCCTCAGCTACATCTGTCCTTGCCCTCATTGCATCCTCTAGCGTTTTATCACGAGTTTATGCCTCCTTCTCATTTGGATCTGTCAGTATCTTCATTCGTTAATCCATAGCTGACGTGTTTTAGATGATTTCACCTTTCATAATTGGTGCTTTCTCCCAGTATAACTTGACTTGGCATGTGAGTGTTACATCATTTCTTCTTTTTAACTTAAATGATGTAGTATTTCTATTTCTTCCCAATGTGAGTTATGTTTAAACGCACGTTATTCCTAGCTAAAAATACAGGTCATTAGGAGTTATCCTTTGCTCAACTTCCCTGTTTATATTTAAAGGGTTTTTATTACCAAAGAAGAAAAAGGAATTTGACGTAGGTGTTAACGATGGCTTAAAGTCAGTCCTTTCCAAAAAGGTTGCCTGGTTATCGCTTATTTTAGTTTTAATGACAAATTCACATCAATGCATAAACTCTCAATGGATGCCTTCTTTCTTATTGTATAAAGGCTACAAAGATGAAACTTCAACATACGTGGTCGCTGGATTTTGGGGTGGTAAGTAATAAATAATAAATGAAATTTCAATTAATATCAAAAGGCGTGACAATTGGCAGATTAGCTGGACCGACTGTCTTTAAGAAAGTATTAGAGAAGTTCAGAAATTTAGCATTAGTTGTCGTAGCAACGGCACTCTTAGGTGTAATATGGGGTGTCGAGAATATAGCTGTCAGAGCAGTTTGCCTGAGTTTGACAGGTCTATGTTGGGGTGAGATCGTGGACTAACTACCCTAGAAAATAGTCTGACGACATTCTAGGCCCACTTATACCAGCGTCGATTGATATTGGAGTTACCAGACTGCCACAGCATGAGACGCCAATAATAGCTCCCCTTATTATAGGTTCTGGCTTGATTGGTGCATCATTCGCACCATTCTTGTTTTCATTTGCAGCTGAAACTTTCACGGCGAAAATACTACCGGGTGTTTTGGTAGTGATAGCAGGATTAGAATTTATTTTATTTGTTTTTGTACCGTCTAAATCACAATCTGATGAATTTTAAGAAGACAGACGCAGTAAAGAGGTACTACAGATAATGATATCAGACTGAGTTCCTTAGCAGATGCAACCTGAATAATAAGATTCTAGGTCTTCAATCGTACAGCTTCAAATCCTCGTCTTCATTCCTCAACTGCATCTTCAGAGACTGGCCGACACCTCCTTAGTCCACATTCCTTGAAGATCTGTCAAACGAATCTGTCAAGTTTTATAGTAAATCTTTGATGTTAAATAGGAAACATATGTATAATAAAACAAATTTTGGCCAACGTAATCAGTGCTTATGTGGTCGAATACTATCAAGCGAGACGTGGGACCCTGATTCAATATACTGTTCAATTACGTGTGCTCGTGCCGATGCCTTAGCTGCGCTAACAGCACCAGAAGACTTGACATACACTCGAGCCAGTCACTATAGACGTGTATCATCAAAGCAGGAACTTCAAACAAAAGCTAAAGAAGCCTCAATAGCAGACGTAGAAAATGATAATCAATCTTATTCATCGCAGAAGTCTGCGTCGCGACAGAGTCATTGGAAGAAAGCAAGACAGATCTTATTCGGTAGTCCTGGCTCTTCCGATGAGAGTAACCCTGATGAGAAGAAGTCGAAAGGCAGGGTCCTTAGGCGCAAATCTAAATCGTATTCCAGTTTGAATCCTTCGAAGCAGACTAAATCACCACCAAGTGAGTTTTTAATGATATATAAATAGTAATGTTAATAAATTGCAGAGCCATTAGGCCAACCAAAACTTAAACTAAAGCAAGCAACGCGTCAGCAGTCTGAATCAAGTGATGAAGAGTTGAAGCCACCACCATTACCACCAAAGCCTGCGAAAATACCTTTAGGTGCCCGTCATAAACGTGTTCCAGCGATTATAAAGATTCCAGGACGTGATGTCGAATTTGCTCATTCGAGGAATGGGTCTACAGCATCAGAAGCTCAAACGACAGCATCATCAGCGACGACGACAACGACGTTTCAAACAGAGACTACTGCAACGACGGCGCCTTCAAGTTTGATACTAGATACGCCAGTACTCTCATCGAAGAAAGCTTCTTTGAAAGACAGGGAGTCACTTGCATCACGGATTACATACCAGCAATCACCCGAAACAACACCAATACCTGCGAAAGTAGACACCACCCCGATCGCAACAGAGGCTCCTGCTATCAGTCTTAACACAAGTGATAACACTTTGATGCGGTCACCTTCGTCTTCAAACACCATAGCCCTCAATAGAGCACGTTCAAAGGCAATGAGGGATAGAGCGAAAAGACTATCACTCGCGAAATCATCAAACAACCTTCTGCAGGTAGCGTCCAATCAGAGTCTTACGAAATCGCTTCATCAATCACAAAGTTGTTCAACTTTCAAGCCTGCGACAACGAGCACATCAAGACAGACATTCGAAAGCGCCTTTGATGGCACGAATCCAGCAGATTATAGTCCAAGCCCTACATGGGAATATGATGATATTTACAATAGTAACAGTAATCTCAGACAAACTGAAGAAAATGAGAATACTAGAGGTTTATTACCATTACAGCCAATTAATGAGGTAGTGTCGCCATTAGTTGACTATGATTTGAATTGGTTCATGCAGCACTCGGCATCTTATAAATCAATCAAGTTGGCAGGAACGGGAGGAGCCCCATCAGAATCACCTAGCATACCTCAGGCAATGCATCATAACGATACAGTCACGAAGAGGAATGTCAGTAACTCACATTCAGTCACCGATCAGAACGAGCTTGAAGATCTGGATGATAGCGTAAAGCAGGCTCTGTTGATGGCAGATGACGTTCTGGCATTTTCTTAATCCTTTTCATGATCTTTTATGATTCATCTCATGCACATCGCAAATATCATCACACATAGTTTTTAGTAATGTTCAACGCTCATTATTTATCTCAATTGTTGTACACTATATAACGTTCTTTTATGAATATTTTGTTTTCATCATGCTTTGATATATATGGAATTTGCATAAATAATACAATACAAACGAAATCAAAAATCGTAACTGGGTTTTACATTGCTCGTATCACCACAATCCTTGCGATGATTTTCTAGTAATACATGTTCTATATTGAGAGGGAGTGAGACTAAAAAATTCCTAATAAACAACACCGCGATCACCACCTGTTATCCTTTGCAGACGTGAACTGAGTGTAAATTCACCATAAAATGACATATTGTCTTCCAATTCATTCCTGACATCTTTCTCGTCAACTCTGCTACCCCAAATTGACTCGCAGTATATATCCTCAGCATCTAATCTCTCTAAACGTGGGCATGCACTAGCTATCCCAGCTAGCATCTTGGCAGGAGCTCTGATAGCCTGACCAAGTTTGACAAATCTGACTGTAGGTGATAAAATCATCGGAAGGTACCTGTCTGGATGTGCGCATTGAGGGAACTGCATATGCGAAAGGGTAAGACTCTCTAATCGCGTCCATTTTGGTAATTGATGTAGAAGAATCGTCAAGCAAGGTGTCACGAGACTTAAGCTGACGTGATGTGGTGGATCTGGAGATGTCCACTCAAAACTGACAGGACTGTTGTTTTTCGTTAATGTTATACCCTCATATGTCCAAAAAACTTACTCTATAGCGCCTAAACCTTCAACCAAACCACGTCTGTCTTCGTGCCACAATCCCATCGCACGGAGTTTGACGTGTTGTACGTTTCTACACTTCTTGAGAGTGTCACCAACTAGTTCCCACACTGATCCAGCAGCGGAGGGAAGATTCAAATGTAATGTCTTCACTTTACTGAGCAATTCGAGAGGGACATTCTTTGAGAAGCTTTCTAATTGCTTTATAGAGTTTATTGTGCATGTATGCTGATGATAGACGTATCTGTAGAGTACTTGTGTAATACGTGGGTTTACTAATAGTAAGCTATTCCCTTTGGTTTCCTCAAAGGCATCCTTTAAAATAGGTTCAAGTAATTCTGTCGGTAAGTTGATCATTGTATGTGGATAAGAAGTGAAAATGGAAATTTCGGATTTCTATGATGATGACTCTACGCAGTCGGTTTCACATTTTTTGATCACGGTGTATCAGGAACGGCTTTTGAGTCTATGTCCAGGGTCAGTAACTGAACCTTGTATGATAATATAAATACCATTAAACTCAGCGGACTTTCTAGAATTTACAAAATATAATTTTGTATCAATTGAATACTTTTTAATCCTAAAGCAAATTTAAGCATGAAACAACTCGGGCGGAGTTGGTCAAGTGGCAATGGATGACATTATATGATTTTGGTGCACAATTTGTACATATGACATAAGAAAACTTTTTGTATATGTAGAGCTTATGTATCCTTATCTGAACAACTGCGGAAGTGTCATAGCCTCAAAGCCTATCCAAATTTGGAAAGCGACAGAATTAGGCTTTTTGATCAGCTGTTAGAAATCTGGTAACATATAGCATCTTTAGAATATCACCTTTACCAAATTTCTACTATTCTTCCGAACCACCATCATCTATTTCCAGCAGGAATGAGCGAAGAAGTACCGAAAGAGCTGGAATCTATGATGGGCGAAAGCCTATTATCAGTAATAACCGCAAATAATCCTTTAAATCAAGGCAAAGATTTCAGAGTACGGAAGTGGAGACAGTCAGAAATCAGCAACCCAGGGAGATCTGATGATTTAAAAGCCTCAATTTGGAAGAGATCAGACGAAGATGATGATCAAGTATTCTCATTTTCAGAATACAACACATCTTCTCAAGCGTACAGCTATAGTCAAGATGAGTATGACAGAATGTTACAGGATATAACGTGGTCAAAAGATGAGACCGATTACCTCGTTAATCTCATCCACGAGTTCGATGTCAGATGGCCTGTTATCTGGGATAGATATGAATGGAGATCCGGTAGAACACTAGAAGACTTGAAAGCGAGATATTTTGATATCTGCCGGAAGCTTATACAGTCTAGAATATCTACCGATGAGAGCAGTACTAATCAACTTCTCAGTGCTTATCAATTTGATAAAGGTATGTTTGCTAGATATCTAGGAGATCCTGTTAACCTGCTCGTAGAACGAGAGATGCTACGCAAACAATACCTGAACTCTCTCCTCACTCGAACACCTCAACAGGTAGAAGACGAAGAGCTACTTTATATAGAAGCCAAACGCATAGAGCAAAATGAACGCAAATGGAGAAGCGAACGTGATGAACTATTCAGAACAGTTTCAATGTCTTCACGCGATGAAAAGCGTAAGGCTGATGCAGCAATCACAGGTGCATCTGAAGAAAACATAACTAAGCGTACTGCTAAGAATACAGCATTTGATGATCAGAATTACATAACACATACATCATCACAATTACCACTCAAAACTTCAAGCTCTAATATACCACCATACAGCAGAGCAACTAAAGTATCACAGAAGATTACACTTCAACGTATAAAAGAAAGCTTAAATGAAATGGGACTGGCTGACAAGCTTCAATATCCAACCGCAAACAACGTGACTAGATATGAAAGTGTTAAAGAAGCTATGTCGCAGTTACTTGAGATACGAAAAGCACATGAAAAGGTAGCTTCTGATTTGAACATTGCCAAAGGTATCACACCTCCTAATGTCGCCTCATCCCCTGCACCAGCACAAGCACCAGAGAGAAGTATGAGTGTAGATTCAAATGATCCTAATAAGAAGCGCAAATTGTAATTTATTATTTGTATTAATTTATCATTATATTACGTAAACAAAATAATCAGGGAGTGAAACATGGTATGAAATACTTTTTGAGAATTTTTTAGACTTACATGAGAATGTAGTGTCTCTTCTACTTTGGTTTATGCACGTGATGTTGATATTATACGCGTGAGATGTGTATCAGTCTCCATCGACAAAACAGCTATAACAGAAGGTTAAATTAAAGAGAAATTTATCTAACGAATATATTTCAATCCAGATAAAGATTTAAAAAGTGGGCAGCCAAATGACATATCCCAATAGCATTTATAAAACGGAGAATCCAGATAACGCCCGAAATAAATGAGCGATCACTTAATAAAGAGTTGTTTCCATCTAGCGGAAACAACAGATAGTATATGGAGTCTTCAAATGAGTAAAAGAGCAAAGATCAAGGAGAAATTGAGAGTGACACATGACGTAATTTAATGAGATTACTCAAAATTGATGCTAGTCACGAATCAACCCGATCCATTTGATCGTAAATTCTGGGCATTCAATTACTCAGTATGTTATTACTTGACAAATAGCGAGTGATTAAATGGTAGAAAGTTAGGAGATGTTTTCCCCTATTTTACTTATATGAATTCGAGTCAGGCGTACAGCTACGATAATTATTCTTTTATTAATAAACACCTATGTAAGATATTTCATTAAAGATGAATGGTCTCAACCATGCCAGACATAGTGGCCGCAGACAATAAAAATGTTGGAGCTTATCAGTGTTTCAGAATGGTTTACCGTGAATTGAAAAACTATCTAAACGTACACTTCCTTAATATACATTAATTGTGTGTAAAGAAACACTCATAGTCCATTTTTGATAACAATGGAAATGCATATACAACATGATGATAGCAGGTGTCATAACGATTGGCTGGTGCGACTATAAAGTTTTGCTTGAGGATGATAAAAAGCCACATATGAGGTGCAACAAACGCAAGACTACATCTCAAATAAACATGACTTCAATTTATGATGCATAAAAGAAAACTTATTCAATGAGTAACCACTGCCTAAGAACCCACAAGAAGTAAATGTAACAAGTGGGAAGCACTGGTTAAATATAAACAAAGTAAGAAATAATATGCAATAGCTTGTCAATGATGTCTTTTTACCTATAACCAGCCATGCAACTTGTAACTAGATGTTTCTGTTTCTTTGATACAATCTAATCATGTTCTGCTGAGTGCGGTTTCAAAGATAGAGTTGATTTCGGAGCCAAGATTGAAGTTTGTATTGTTTCATGGATGGATAATGTGTTTTACTCCTTGCACGATCAGACGAGATTATTTGCACAGCGTTCATGGTTGTTATTGAGCTTCACTATGGTGTTAAGACAAAAATGCTAATGAGACATAAGCGGTTGATGGTGATGCCACCAAGTCTCCTTGACGTTGTCCTCATTACCAGGAACTACAAAAAGTATGTGAATACTTACTTATTTTCATTTATGATGCATTGTTATAGATATCTAACATATGAAATATGGGAATATGGAGCTCAGATTAATTGTGAATTGCGTCCATTTATCAACGGAGTCCCTTTGAAGCGTCAATGATAAAATAAAACAATAAACGTAAGGAGAGAAATGGTTTATTGAAGAATTAGCACGATCCTTTCAATTCAATAATATCACTGTATCCAAACACTAAATATTCATACCTGTGCTATTCATATCTCGGCTTCACTGAAAACAATAAATGCTCTAAATTTGTAATCAAATCTCTACCAGCATCATTTTTATCGATAAATACATACTATAATTATATTTTCTGTGCACTTAAAGATAGTAATAATAAGCTGCAACTAAATAGCAAATTTGACTTTATCGAGCAATTAAAGTTTAAGTCAACAGAAAATGAATCAAATTTCGGATATTTCAGATAATTCCAAGAATACTACCATTGATCATATCAAGACTAGACTCGAAAGCGGAACACCCTATCATTCAGGAACGTCACAGATAAAGATAAGCGGAGAGATAAAAGAGATTGGAGAGATTGAATGTCTTCCTCAATCGAATACATCAATGAACTCACTGTCTTCTGCTCTTAGAGTTGAACAGAAAGCTGCGAAAACAAAGCGTGAAGAATGGTTGACAAATGCTGACCTTGAGCCCGTAAAAGTTGAAAATCGGACGTGGTCTAGTATGTCTTTTGTCAACTTCTGGATATCAGATTCAATCAATATAAACACTCTTATGCTTTGTCAATCTAACATTGCCTTGGGTGAGGATAGTTTCAGCTTGCAACGAGGATCGACTAACTAGATATACAGGTTTAACTTGGTGGATGAGTTTGATATCTGTTTTGGTCGGTTATATAATTACAGCAATTTTCATCGTTGCTAGTAGTAGACCTGGTGCAACATATCACTTGACGTTCCCAGTAACAATAAGACAATCTTGGGGAATCTATGGAAGTCTATGGCCAATCATCAACCGAGTTGCTATTGCAATTCTTTGGTTTGCCGTTCAGACATACATTGGAGGAAACTGTATTAGGGTAATGATCAGGTTAGAACCTTATTAAATCCAAACTAACCGCTAACATGGACCACAGGTGTTGGTCACCAAATTGGGTAAATGCAGCTGGATTACAAAAGGACCTAGACACCAATCTTAGAGGGGTCGACATGGTTTCATTCATACTCTTTTGGTTGTTAATGTTGATACCAACCTGGTTTCCGATCCAAAAAATCAAACATTTTTTCACTTTTAAAGCAGTAGTCGCGCCACTTGGCTTGATAATATTCTTTGGATGGTCATTAGGAAGAGCAAATGCAACCCCAGCCCAGGCAGCGGCTTTGAGGAGCGTTCTGACAACTTCATCCAGACTCTCATCCGAGGATCAAGGATGGACGATGGTGAAGGGTATTGTCAGTGCCATTTCCAATGCGGTCACTTTAATATTGAATATCTCAGATCTGGCAAGTAGATCACGGGATAAGAAAGATATTGTTTGGCCACAGCTCATTACAGTACCGATTGGTTTCTTCATAACGAGCTTCTTTGGTATAATCATCGCTAGTTGCTATCAAGCTGAAACTGGTGACCTTGAAGCTGAATGGAATCCAATGGTTATTCTTGATAATTTCATCAACCCTGATAGTCCATCTGTGAGATTTGCAGTATGGTTCATAGCATTCTGCTTATGCGTTGCACAAATTGGTACGAATCAAGCAGCAAATGTGATTGCATGCGGTTGTGATCTGACTGCATGTATGCCATCGTATATCAACAACAGAAGAGGTGGCTATATTTGCGTATTCTTGGGTTTAGCACTCGTGCCATGGCGTTTGACAGATGGACCAACGGGTTTCACGAACTACTTAAGTGGATACTGCGTCTTCCTTTCTGCTATAGCTGGTACTATGCTTTCTGATTACTATGTGGTCAGGAGAGGAAGAGCTAATATCGCTGATTTGTATAAGGTAAGCAATATTCCCTAAAGATACTTCCAAATACTGATACTTGACAGGTAGATGGATGGTATAGATACACTCATGGTGTGAATCTTCGCGCTGTAGCAGCATACCTATGCGGTGTTGCTATCAATCTACCTGGGTTCATCGCGTCTACGCCCGGCAACGGAAGCTTGGTCAACATCGCCGCAACACGTATATATAACTTATCATTCTTCACCGGGTTCCTAGTTAGCTCACTTACATACATAATACTGAGCTATATATTCGTACCAACAGGCGCAGTTCCATTCAACGCATCATTTGAAGAGATCGACTATAGTGGTTACACTCACGATACCAATTCGGTCTATGACTTGGAAATCAACGGCGTTGCTGGAATGGCAGACGGTGCCATAGCAGTAACGGCATCGAAAACGGATTCATCTTCTGTACAGAAGACATAATCTCTAGACTTATAAAACTACTTGTATTTTTATTGACACGTGCTCTTATTCATAATCTCAAAGTTTGACATTACAGTAATGGACCAACCTTAACCATTTTATTGCGTTTCTTTTCGGCTTCTTTATGTTCTTTCATTGCTTGCTTCTGTTGTTTTTCTGCTCGTCTTTTGTAGCCGTTCATGAGCCTGGTGATCATATCTGCTGCATCGCCTTTCGATAAACGCTTTCTCATATCTTCATTCAAGTCGCCTTTCAAGCGTTTTTCGAGGGTATTCAATTGTACATTGGTTGCTGGTGATTTCCGCCATGGTGCATCACGCAAAATAAGTGTAGATCTGCCACGCATAAGCTTCTCATTCGCAAATTTATCACTTGCTTTGATGGCCATATCGAAATCAACATCTTTGACCAACGTTACAATTCTTCTGAAAGGTGATAAACCGGCAGCTTTCGCATCTCTAAAGGGAACATTCGCTGGTTTATGAGTTGCTAGATATTTTCCATCTGGATTTATGTTAGCTTTTATTTGAACGGGTCTCATATACTCACTACCTATATGCTCTATCCGAATTTCACCAGATTGTTGACAGCTTAGCACAAAATATCCACCACGACAGTCCACCCAAGCGTTACGTGAGAGATTATACAGATTCTCCGAATGTTTATTCTTAAGCGATGCAAATAAGGCTCGAGGATCATCATAATCTGTGAAAATGATGTGATCTGCATGAGGAACAATAGTCGTTGGATCTTCTTTGAAAAGTGGATGCTCCAATAGATGATCTATTTGTCGTTAAGATGTTTCATGGTATGATTTCTACCTTACCTTTCACATCATTTTCTATGGTCTCAGAATTAATGTCATCAAACAATGACAAATCCAATCCTTCTAATGAAGGTGCAGCACTAATATCACCAACTTTATCCAGTGATGCAGCGATATCTATTATCTTACATTCCGTTTTACCTTCAGCAACTCTCATTCCTCTTCCAATCATCTGGCTGAATAGATTTCTAGACCTTGTAGGTCGACATAGAAGAATGCAATCAATGTTGGGTATATCTGCGCCCTCAGTGAGAACAGCTTGGGTATATTGAGTAAATGCATCGATCTATAGGAGTAATACCCACCACAATTCATTAGTACTGGAAATTTAAATGATTTAAAATCATTTAATATTTTTTCACGTTCTTTCGCTGGTGTGCCGGAATAAATAAACCGAGCGTCTATGGCAGCATCGCGGAAGTCCATCGTCAAGTTGTGTAGGTGCTTGATATCAGCGCAGAATATAAGTGTCGATCGCCGATCACCTTATTTTGTCAAATGTACTCTTAAATAACGCAATGAAAAGACTCACTGCACTTGTCCAGATAAGCTGCAAGAACCACTCTTCTAACTGAAGGTGTATTAAGGATCGGTGAGAGTGATGTAACAATGTAATCATTAGTGCGTTCTGAAATCTTGACCTGTGAGAGGTCTATGTCTGTTTTGATAGTAGTAAACGTAACATTTGATAGCCTAAGCAGTTTAAGAATAACTCTCAAGAAAGTTAGATACATACCATTGCTCTTTAATCATATCGAGGAAGTCCTTGAGATGTTGTTATTGTTTGATCCCCATTAGCAACATTGCTCACCTTATGGAAAACAATTTCTTCGAATACTTTACCAAGTGCAAGACTATCGTGTCTCGAAAATGTCGCAGAAAATCCAACGATGGGTACTTGATGTCCGTCTTGATCACCATTGATACGACTATCGAAATGTGCGAGTATATTAACATATGACTGTGCAGCTGCATGATGAGCTTCATCGACTAGAACGACTTTATAATCTTCGGGGTTGTATTTGTCCAATTTACCTGGTCTGATAAGCGTTTGGAATGTCGCTATCGTGACATCAGCATCACCAGAAGCTACATTTGGGCCTTGATCGATATCTACACTAACATCTGGCCAGCCTCTGATAAACGCCTGTTGCGCTTGTCTAGCAAGTTCAATTCCATTGACGAGTACTAAGACCTTCCCCGGTTTCTTCAATCTCTGTGCTAATTCGACAAACATTGTTGTTTTACCAGATCCTGTTGGAGAAGATACGCCGAGTCTACTTTTAGCATTGTCTGGTCTAGTAAGAGCATCCATCACAGACGTAATCGCTGCTTCTTGATAAGGGCGTAGTTTTATTTTATCAGCGAGATTACTATATCTACGCATAGAAGTATTATGATACAATCTATATCCTATTCTATTTGCTTTGCTTATTAGTGGGTATCTCATGTTCTTCTATTTATTTCATAGATGATGGTGGTTTTTACACAAGAGGTATGTCACGGAAATCTATTCATATAGGCAATCCAATACAATCACTTTAGGCACTCGCTTCACTGCCACTATCACTATCTTCACTGCTCTCGTCTCCAACGTCCAGCGTTCTTCTTTCTACTTCAAATCCTTCCTTTCTGAGACTCTCCTCCATTCCATCAACTTTAGATGGTGCTGATACTATAACAGCACTGCTTGTCTCAGAGTCGAACAGTGGTGCGATGTATTTCTTCAATGTAGCCAATACGTCATCCTTCTTGACTTCTCTGAATTTAGCCAAAAGTTGCTTGTTATAATCTTGTGGAACGCGCTTAAGTACTTGATTTACGAAGCTTGATAAGGCGGCTGAACCAACTGTTGCTTCACGTGAAGTCATAGTGTAACATAATGAACTTATTGATGATTCAAGGGTTGTCTCTTCAAGTGCGATACTTCCATCGACTAATCCCTTTACAACTTTACCACCTTCTTCGTAAGCTCTAAAAGCATTTGGTGCTTTGTAGACGGTGAACATCAACAAACCAGATTCAGGGTTTTGGGTGATTGATGCACCATATGCCAAACCTGTACCTCTGATGTAACGCCATAAGTAAGATTCCAATGCATTGAGTGTACCCAAAGTGACCATCAATGCAGGAATATCTGGGTGGTCAAATCCTTCGACACCCTTTGCTGTGTGAACTGAGAATGATGATTCAATTGAAGGTAATGGAACGACAACAGCCTTCTTTGATGGGTTTTGTCCAAGTGGTAACTTAAAGTCCTTAACCCAAGGTACCGGTGCGAGTGGCTTGTTGTTCTCCGTAGAGAAGTGCTTCAACCATGGTTCTTGAGGACGCTCAATACCTAAAACATTACCAGCAACACTAACTCTAATACCACTTGGTTGAACAACGTACTTTCTGAATTCTTCAAGATCATTGACAACACTTTGTGGATCATCTTCGAGTTTCTTAATAACAGTTGGATTGAAGTCACTCTGTTCAAGGACCGCATTGGCTTGTTGAAGACTGTCAAACATGAGTGAAGTTGACATTGCCCATACCACAGTGTCACCTTCTCTCTTTTGTTCAGGCAAGCTCTGTTGGATCTTGGCAGCAGTGACCTTTAATCTTTCAACATCAAATATACCACCAGTGAGTAAGTCGCTCAGCCATGCAATAGAAGCTTCATAATGCTGTTTCTCAACCTTGACGGAAACTTGAAGTAATTCAGCGAAAGTACCTCTAGATCCAAAGTTTATGTCATGCTCAAGTGTTGTCTCGTCAAGTGCACGAACAACTGCTTCATGTGAAAGAACTGTACCGTCACGACGCTTGACTGGGAGTGAAAAGAATGTGGAAAGGAAAAGTGATGCGTATGGTCTTAAATGTTTTGGCAAGTCGTGAGTTGAAAGGTAGATACGGATCGAAGTAAATGCTGATTTTCCGTGATCATATTGAATGAAGATTGGTGGCTTGCTTGGATCTGACTCAATATGTTGACGAAGAGCGTTGTTTACAGGTGAAGTGATTGGTGCTTTGTTGTACTCTTGACGAGCACTCTCGACTGGGATCCAGGAGATCGTGTCTGTTGATGGTACTTCAAAGGACTTAATCATATCTGATTATTCGATTAGTTTGAAGATGTCACCGTGACATAGACTCACCTTCTGGAATATCTTTGTTGTTCTCAACTTGAGCATCATCAAGAACCTTCTTTGCTTTCTTGATACCCTCTTCACCTAATTCCTTACGCTGGGCATCCAGACGCTTCTGTTCATTCTCCTCAAGAGTCTTTGCAAGTGTTGAAGATGGTTTTCCTTTAACATTGATGAATGGTGCATCAATAAAGCTCCTAAAATGGTTTAAGTAAGGTAAGACACAACTATAATATCTCACTTACTTCTTCAAAAGTTGTGCCCAGTCATCAGATGTCCATTTAGCGAGATCGTCACATCTCTTCATTTCAGCAATTGCTTCACTAAGATCCTTACCTTCAGTATCACCGTAGAGATGATCAGCAATGAGAATGTACGAGAAGGCATTTGATGCTTGTCTTTCAGCAAGGTCAAGTAACTTGACACGGTCTCTTTTGAGAACAAGGGCCATTCTATCCATATCGAAACCTTCTTTGATGATATTGTTGAATATTTCCATGACCTTGTTTTCCACGTTGTCTAACTCAGCCGTAGGTACGGAAGCTAAACCGAGATGCAAGGTGTCACTACAGATACGCTCGCGATTGTAAATGCTAATATCTGTGCAGTAAGGTGAAGCAATCTCAACGAGATGCTTTTGTAAAGGCGAAATTGGTGAGTCTGTAAGGTAAGTACCCAAAATATCAAGTGCCTTGGTGTGTAAGAAGTCATTGGTTTTTCCTCCAACCCAAGATAATTCAACTTCACCAACACTCTCATCTTGTTCTGGGAACTCGACGGTTGATCTCTCAGTTTTTTGTATTTTAAGTGGCTCTGCTGAAGCTGTCTCTACGAATGGTCTCTTCCATCCGCGTGGTTTGATGCCCAATTCGATACCTCTCTCCTTGGCATCATCGATGAGACGTGGTTCGATGACATTTTGCATGACATCTAGGAGCTTGTCAGTTGGAATATCACCAGTGACAACAAGTGAAAGATTGTGTGGAGCGTAGTACTTCTTGTGGAAATCGCGTACTTTGTCTGCAGTGAGTACACGAAGGGCGTCCATTCTTCCACCAGTCTCAGAGCGATAAGCGCTTTGTTCAGGGTACATGAGTGCGCGATGTTTATCCTCCATTAAATCGAAAGGAGCCGTAGATCTTCCCTGCATTTCTGAATAGACGACGCCTGCGTCTTCACCTGCTTCGTTGATGTGATGGATTTCAGTAGTGTAACCAGCGTCGGTGATTGTAGGTCTGAGTAAGTGATCCATGTAGACGGGTAACATCCTCAAGAAACCCTCATATCCGGCAGTTTGAAGTGTGTACACTGTTTGGTCGGCTGAGGATAATGTTAGAGACTGTATTTCTAATGGTCCAGATTACACTCACTATCGGTCCATGCATTTGTACCTGCAGCAAAGGCTCTATTGGCTAATGTATCGAGTACACCCTTGTACGGATACAGTTTAGATCCGAGGAAAACGAGGTGTTCCAAAGTATGAGGGCAGCCGCTGTCGTCGAAAATTTCTGTTGGTACGACAAAGTAAGCCTCACACATTGGGCTCTCATGCTTTACTTGTGCTACGTTCAATCCGGTTACTCTGCTCCTCCAGCGTTCGAGATGTACGGGTGCGTAATCGACCGTTTGACTGAATACATTGTCATAATTTCCATGAGATTTTGTCATCGTAGATGTGTTTCTAGTATTTCTAATTAAATTCCTTAATGGGTTAGCTACACGACGAAGCATAAATCGTCGTTGTGACTGTTAAAGAGGTAAAAGTGGCGTTTATTTCGTAAATATTTTAAGTTCTAGATATTGCTATTAAGAATATAGCATTAATGTTTCTATCCAATTCTCTTAGCCAGTTGCTGCTCCCAAATTCTTGTACACCATCTGATTGTGATAATATAGACTCAATCTCTGGTATTATTTCAGCTCTTGTACGCCCATTGACAAATGTGATAAATCTCTGTTTAGGGTATTTCTCCTCGTATGCTCTATTGAGTTCATCTAGTCTGTAGATAAGCATTAGTGACGTAGAGATGATTGCAGATGTACATACTTTATAAGTACATCTTCTGGTGTTCGCTTAGAGGCTTGCTCCTCTCTACTCAACTTGCTTAAACCCGAGACCTGTCCGATACGGGGATGTGAATTAACAAATAAAGCTTTACTGGAGAGATCCCAGGTGTTTACGATACTTTTAGCTACCTCTAAGCAATCTAAGTAGTTACTTCCGCTTATATCTCTGCTTAATTGCGGTACAAGTAGATACCTCAGTGGTTCTGACGGTTCTAACACATTAGATAAGTATTCTAGTAAAAATATCTCTCGCTTTTCTACTTCTAATTCTAATAACTCGTTATATGCCAACATCGTCATCCTTAACTCCGAAGACGATATAGATAAGCAAATGAGAGGGTAGAATTTATAAAATTATTTATTATCTTCTGAATTATCCATACTATCGATATTTCACTCTTTATCTCAGACCATCATTATGCTAGCACGCAGCTTAAAGCAATTCAGCCGTTCAAGCAGGCTGAGCTTACAATTACGTGGATATGCAGCTAATCCTGATCGTAACAGTCAATTTGCTAGATTATCCGAGCAGGATCTCCCTTCATTAGCATCCATCTTCTCATCACCAGACACATCCCTCTTAACGACGTTGGGTGAGAAACCAACAGCGACATCAGATGATTTAGAGCCATTCAACGTTGATTGGATGGGCAAATATAAGGGTCAATCTTCTATCATCGTCAAACCAAAAACAACTGAAGAAGTTAGTAAAGTATTAAAGTGGTGCAATGAACGTAAGGTAGCTGTTGTACCACAAGGTGGTAACACTGGTTTAGTTGGTGTGTATATTATGAATGTTCACAACTTCTTCTAACAAAATCAGGTGGTTCCGTACCTTTACATGACGAGGTAGTCTTATCTTTATCCTCTATGAACAGCGTTAGACATTTTGATCCATTATCTGGTTATGTTTCCGTCGATTCTGGTATCGTGCTTGAGAATTTGGACAATTTCCTCGCACAAAAAGGTCACATCGTACCACTCGATTTAGGTGCCAAGGGATCTTGCCAAATTGGTGGTAACGTAGCCACCAATGCAGGTGGTTTACGTATGCTCAGATACGGTAGTTTACACGGAAATGTCCTCGGTTTAGAGGTCGTCTTGCCAGACGGTAGAATTATCAATGGTATGAAGGGTCTCAAGAAAGATAACACTGGCATTGACCTTAAGCAACTCTTTATTGGATCAGAAGGTGTTTTAGGTGTCATCACTGGTGTCACTCTCTCAACTCCAGTTAGACCTTCTGCTACAAACGTCGCTGTTTTTGCTTTGCCTGACTACGAATCAGTTCAATCTGCTTTCTCATCTGCCAGACGTGATCTCGGTGAAATTTTATCAGCTTTTGAATTCTTCGATGCTGCCTCCTACAAACTCGTCCGTAGCCACGGTCATGCTGCTGAACGTAAAACATTCGAGGATGGTGAAGACGCTCCTTTCTTCTGTTTAGTCGAAACTTCAGGTTCCAACAAAGACCATGATGACGAAAAACTCGGCGCATTCTTAGAACAACTTATGGAATCAGGTATCGTTAATGATGGTGTTTTGGCTCAAGATGAAACACAAATTGGACAGCTTTGGTCACTACGCGAAGGTATTCCAGAAGCTGCAGGAAAGGCCGGACGTGTATACAAGTATGATTTGAGTTTACCTGTTGAGAAAATGTACTCCTTGGTTCACGAAATCCGTCAAAAACTCTCAGAGAAGAACTTATTAGCAGCTGAAGCTGAAGGCGGTAATGGAAGTGGACCTGTAAAGACCGTTTTCGGTTTTGGTCACTTAGGTGATGGTAACCTTCACATAAACATTGTTGCAGATGCTTACAAGAAGGAAATTGAAGAGGTTGTCGAACCGTACATTTACGAGTTAGTTGCAAAACACAATGGCTCTATCTCAGCCGAACACGGTCTTGGTTTAATGAAAGCTCCTTACGTTTCATATAGTCAGGATTCACCTTCATTAGATCTCATGCGTACACTTAAAAAGACTCTTGATCCAAACGGTATCCTCAATCCATACAAGTGCGTAACAGCAGAGTAGAATAGATATTATAGATGTTGTTTTCCATTTTCATGCATGCGATTTGATCATAAAGAGTACAACCGAAACTTAAATATATTATGATAAATAACGTATTACATGCCGTCTTCAGATACCGTCCTTATGCTATTAATCTCGTAGGCTGGATGTATTGTAATGTTTCTTAGACTGTCGTTGACTACTTTGTCCAAGGCAATGACACGTCCCTTTAGAAACTCAATTTTGTCTCTTACATCTTTTAAGGACATATCTGCATCACTGGCACGTTCTAGCATCAGCCTTTTCAGTTCCCGTGAGTGTGTTGTTATTTGATTTTTCAAATAATCATTTTGACGCGACTGTGACGAAGAAGTATTGTCAACTTTACTAACAATTGAGCTTAACCTGTCATTCAAGTAATTATCTTTGTATATTAAGTCAGATACTTGAGTTTGGACTTGAGCCATTCCCCTTTTCACTCCTTCGACATCTTGAGCAAACCTACTACTGGATGTTACAAATGCATCTATTGCTTGTCTAAATAGTTTGTCATTTTCCTCTCTTTTTTGTTCTCTCATTGTCAAATCTTCTACGCGCTTTTTTAATGACTCATTTTGTGAAACTATCGTCTGATCTATTCTTCTAATTTCAAGATTATGTCTATCCAATCTACTCTTAAAGTCATCTCTCAATGCATCCTGCTTTCCGATAACTGATGAGTTAATTTCGCTTCCTTTTTCTTTTCGTTGCACTTCATTTAGGTTGCTAGCTAGCAAATTTTCAATATTTTTATCAACCTTCTCCAAATGACTGATAGTTGAAATTATAAAGCTATCATTCCTGAGCTCTTGTAATTTGACTTGCTCTTTAGCGTCATGAACCGCCTTTGCTATAGATTCATCAACGCCTTTCTTGGTATCTTTATCTTGCTTGATTATATCAAATTCTAGTATTAAATCATTATAACACTTTGCGCTTGTTTCAGCGATCTTCGCACTATTCCTCCTCTCTTCCTCTATTTTCTCATTAAAGGAAATTTCTAGGTCCTTGATCTTCACATCTTTTTCGTTATCTTTACGTAAAAGATCTCGAATGATTTGCTGTAATTCTTCATTGCGAGTTGTTGTTTTAGTAATGATGTTCATCATTTCTACTTGTGTACTAAACAATCTCATTACATCCACTTGATCGACTTTAGGTGAAGCAATCCGATCAGCATCTTGAACTCGAGATGTGTAGGCTCTAGAGCCGTTTTCGGTTTGATTGAGAGTATTTTCATCCTCAATCATACGTGGTGAATCATATATTTGTTTATGATATGCCATATGGGATGCAGTCTCTATTCTTTTAATGGCAGTAGATTGAAATTGTTGCTAAACTAACGCGTTAGCATCTTCGAAGGGTAAAAATTATAACTCAACTTGTCGAATTGCTGCTTCAACTTCTTGATTGTTAGCTGTATGTTGCATTCTTACTTCATCTTCTTGATTTGTTTCATATTTTCTTTCATCTTCCTCTTCTCTGTCAAGTTTTGACATTGAAATGACTCTACGCGAGTCTATTACATGTTAGATATTGCACAATACCCATTGACATTATGATACTTACGATGGTCTGTCGATCTCTCTCTCATGTTGATATTTCTGTTATTTCTGGCTTTTCCTATTTGATCAACACCATTTACTTTCTTAACGGCGCCTTGACCTGCTTTTTGATTGACATTTTCACCATTCTGCTGCTGCTTTGTTTGTTTCTGTTCAGTCATACTCTGTTGTCCACTAGGGCCACTTGGCTGTTTGTTAGAAGCTTGATCCTGCTGGTGGATATCTGAATGTTGCTGATGTGGTGGTATTTGCTGATTTTCGGTGTGTTTCTCAAAATGTTTCTGCTTCTCTTCCTTTCTTTTACGTAAGGATTCAAGCGAATTTCCATCCTTTTCGGTACGTCTTGTCTTATTATCTGGTACTGTTTTATAGTTTGTAACATCTTCGATTCTATTCTGTGGAATGAATGGTGCCTGTGAAGAAACAGTAGATCTATATCCAATAGGATCGCTTTTGCGAGAACGCTTTGGTTTCATAATTGAACTTTCAGAAGTCCTTGGTTCATAGTCATAGAGTGAAACTCGTACTGGTCTTCGTCTTTTGCGTGATTGTGACATCTGCGAGGATCGCGGTGACTGCGGTTCCTGCACCTCTCCTGATTGTGGATCTAAATTCAATTTTGATGATTTCGTTGGCTTTTCTATTATAGTAACTTCATCGGGATCTGAGTGGTTTCCAGAAGATTGCGGAATTGTAGAAGCTAAATTTCGTGTCAATAGTGGTAAATGTTAGAGAATATAATACACACCAGCCAAACCAGTGGATTCTGAAGTATTCTGATTCCGAGGAATGTTATTCTCAGGTGCTTTTCTAGGTTAGTGATGTTACTGACAATGCTATCATACACACCAGCCAAATTTGAAGGATTGCTTTTTGATGTAGCTGGTTCCAAATTATTAGCAACTTCATCCTCAGAATCACTAGCCGAATAATTACCTCTAAAAGGTAATAAATCTCCCTCGATATTTTCGAATGTTTTAGAATTGATTCTCGTCTTCTGGGAAGCCGGAGTATTGGATTTCAAAGGTTCCTTCTGCACTTTCGTAGTAGCTGTATTCTTGGAACTCTCTGTTTGTCCTGAGGGCTCAGCTAATTCATCCTCCTCTGAATCCGAAGCTATCAAAAACGATTTGCGTCTGGCTGGCTTGCTGGATGACGGAGGTGCATTGGTAATATAATCAATTTGATGCTTAGAATTATTTGATACACCTTTTTTACTTTTCTTGATTGATTTACTACCAATGATAGCGCTACTTTTAGAGGGTTTGGATGAGCTGGTATTTATTTTATGTTTGGCGCTTATTATATTATGCTTTTCATTCTCTGTTCGTTTATTTTTTATATCTGACGATATTCCCATATTGGAAATGATGGTTGTCAGTAATCAATCTGATAATGAAGCATTAGTAAAGTTTGTTAATCTAATCAATAACACTTGAGTTATCCGTTATATACCTTGTTAATTTCATATTTATGACGTTAAGTTGTTTCTTCATGTTGCACTTATCCGTGTATGTTTATTTTTTTTCACATCTGACATGTACTAGGAAATGCAGAAATTGATAAACCGTAGTGTTCGAATAGTTCCTTTGCTGAAACATCTCTGTTCTTGCTCCAGTGAAACTATGAAATATTACTTATGAAGCTATGCATTATAGAAGATAGTAACATGATGCAGTCTATTCTACACAAGAAATCATTTTCCCTTTCTATATTAATTAAATCTGTGTGTATTTTTATCAGATTCGTATAACATGTAGATTTATCAAGGCCAAACAAACCTATGAGATAAAAATAATTATTAAGTCTAAGCAGAAAAATAAACTTGCAAAAGCTATAGCCCCACGCGGGGCTCGAACCCGCAGCCTTGAGATTAAGAGTCTCACGCTCTACCGATTGAGCTAGCGAGGCTGATGATCATACTCAGATAAGTATAAACACATATTCTTCAACGAAAGTGGGAATAATCATGAAAAATTTCACCAAATAATCAAAAAAATGATGGACGATTATCATCGAAAATCGGCCGATTTGCCGGAGGGGCATAAAAACCCTCCCAGTGAATCCGCAAGCGCCGAATTCACAGGTGAGCACTTTTTAAACGATATATCGTTCGATTTCGGTGCTGCTGACGCGCGAGGAAATCTCGACGCGTCGCAACACGGGGGGAGACAGAGTCAAAGACTCAATACTAATTTAAATAAGAGGCGCAGAACCGATAATGAAAGTTACGGAACGCGTAGTTTTGATATGTTCCCGCTCATTGAGCAAATCAACAAATCGGTGACCCAAATTGTTGAAAAGAGGGAACAAGGGAATGATAATACCCTCAAAGAGATGGCTAACTCTCTTAAAGAGATAACCAACTCTCTCACCGTGATGGATAAATCCCACCACGAGAGAGTCGACAGACTTGAGCAGGAATTGAGGGAAATAAAGGAGCAAAGGGCAACCCCCAGCTACTTACCAGCAGTACCCTCATACGCCCAAAAGGCAGCGCAAGGACCCCAAATGGTACCGTCGAAGAAAGCGATTACGCTCACACTCCACCAAACCGACCCTACCAAACCTGTCCTAAGCGAAAATGAAACTAAATCAGCTGATATTAAGAGGATTATGGACGAACACATTTCAAAGACGTTCGGCGACCGCCTTAATATCACTGAGCACTTCATTAGTGCAGCAAAAAGACTTCCTACAAACTCGTTCAAACTACAAGCGCAAGACTCTCAGATAACGAGTGTGGGGACACCCGCTTCCAGTATTTTAAGACAAATACAAGAGCAAAGGTGACGTTACCAACCGATTCGAGAACAATGTACCTTCAATAATCTAGAGTCATGGCCTGACATCAAGATACACTTTCGGTCTGCGAACTAAAGTGTCTCACTCCAAATGTTGCATTGTACGATCAAGGGTCAAACACCGCATATACCTGCAGAGGAGACCTTCTTATCAATGTGTAAATCAAATTAATAATCTTCGGCCCCCAAAAAAATTATGCAAATACTTTATAAACGTCAAGACTTCAACCTCCTACACAAACCCAAATGGAACTCACAGGTGTAATGAGATCTTTAGTTTCCTTGTGCATAATCAACAGTGTAGCGGCTACGTCTGGACTTTTGTTTTCTGAGAAAGGTTGTCAAGGGTCGGTAGTATGTCAAATGGACATGCCTCCTGAAACTGGTAATGCTGCGTCTGGTTGCGTACCTTGTGAGGGTGGTGTATCCTTCAAATTAGTTGGATGCCCAGACAAGGGACAAGGTCAATGTGGCAGATTCCGTTTAACTAAAACCATAGACGAACACGAAGGGATATGCAACACGATAGTAGGAGGGTTTGATAATTGGTTGTCAACAGATAGTGAATGCCACGATTTCCACTCTAATAATGATGACTTCTATGGCAATATCATAGAAAACCATTATGCTCAACTAGGTCTGGTCTCCGGCCCAACTCCACTGGGATAGCGGTTGTAATTTGTATTACTGCTGTTTGTATATTAAATTTAAAGTCTCTAGCTTAAAATATATGAACAAAAGTGATAGATAAAATAACAGAAACTATGTATATTTTTGTGAAGGTTCGATTCCCTAAGCTGTACTACTCGTGGTAAAGGTGAATAAAGTTTAGGAGAAAGACGTATCGCAACCTTTAGATGTGACTGCAGAGGGGTAATACTACATAAAGACGTCAGAGGACGACATGTAGGCGCATATTACGACTTGTGTTGGGACACAGCAAGATCAACAAGCGGCTGTGTATTTACATATTCAAAAGTAGCAGTAACGTGAACAAACAAAAACGTACATGGCAACAAGACACAGGTGAAGCGAAATACATGGCAATCAAACATGGGTCTGACATAGCTATTTGGTTCATAAACGTTATGAAGCACTTCGGAAGAGAACTGGAATCATCAATACCATTCAAAACAAACAATACTGCTGCCTTAATAAATATTATCAACCCGGATCTATCACTGGCCTCAAACACATAAGAGTACAATATCATGCAGGTAAGGAAAGACACGAACAAAAAGAAATAGAGGTAAAAGGAATTCGCGCCCATGATCAATTGCCAACATTTTCCACTAAAGCACTAAATGGAAACCAATTACGGATGTTATGTAAAGGAATTGGCATCAACATATCCAATAACAATACAGTAAAATACACATCAACAATAAATGATCCGCAGTATACACAGCAGAAGGAGTGTCAGAATAGCTACAGAGCTGAACATACAGCATCATTTAGTCAATAACAAGCGTGTTTATTATTTATGAATCAACACCTTACCGGTAAAAAATATACAAAAAATATGCCAAAGTCGTTCTTACATGCATCTTGTATTTTTAACACAAAGTTCTTATGTTCTTCGCTTGTTAGAACTGTTGGCTCAATTTAAAGATCCATTTCGTGAAAGAAACAATCGGAACATTACAATCAGAAACATTACGTGAACTAACAAACTGATGTTCATCTGTGGCTACGTTTCCTACTCCTCATGTAAGTATAATCAAGTATTATTGTGATCCAGCTTTTAAACCTCCATAAAAGTGCTTGTAAACTGTTGTAAATACGACATCCAATAACAATTAATAAACGAAAACAAAACATTATTTAAAACTAATATGTTACTTTTAATCACTCACTCCTAATGTAATTAATTGACGTTCATGACGTCAAGACAATTGATGAAACTCAGGAAGCGACCAACGCACTTCTTAAGCATTCCATTGGTGAATTGTTAACAGTTAATTTTTGAGACTATTTAACGCGTATAAATTAGACCAAAACGCTTGATATAGAACCATGCCTTCTTGCAACTCAGTCAAAGCTTATCAAAGCCAATATAGATGGTATACTAGAGAAAGATTTCATTAAATCAACGAAGCTACATTTCACAATAGGAGTAATGTCTTTAGATGGAGATAGTTTACCAAATGCTAGATCAGCGCTTGAGTCAATTAGACCTGATATTGTTGAGATTTTATCTAGACAACCTCACATTTACTTGAATGAATTTGGATGCTTCCCAAATAGCGATCAAGCTCAAGTTCTTTTCTGCAAACCAGTCGATACTACCCCGCTTGATGAGATTTCACGTAAGTGTAATCAATATTAGAAGTGCTATCTTATCAACTTGCTATAGATGTTATACGACAGCAATTCATAAATGAGAGACTTCTCACTGATACTGGTCCATTGACCGTAAGCAAACCAATAATGCCTTTTTTCTATTAACAAACAGTAGTTGCATTGTACTATACTCAAAACCTCTGGTACAAAATCTTCAAAACGTCCTAATTTCTCCTTCAAAAGTGTCCAGGAATCCCTTAAAAATTGCGATCTTGGTGGTCCATACCCTCTTGAACGTGTAGAGATATGTGAAATTGGCAGCACTACTCCTGATGGGTTTTACTCATCTGAAGGAACCATATCATTGTAACAATATGCATAGTAAATAAATTACGATTTTACATGAACATTTCTTCTTCGCTGTTTTCACTATTTTCTACCAAATTCTCTGCTTTCAACCTTTCTTCATTGTTTAATTCAAATTCAACAGCTCTTCTAATGTATGGAGAAGGATCTATGCGCATTCTTATACCATATTCACTCATTACGTTGATTATTTGTAATAGATGATTTGTATTTTGAGTTTTCTTGCTTACTTTAAATATGAACATGTGCAGTTCCTTCGACCATGGACAAAATCTTAAACTACTCATAACTACTTTTTCAGCTGATCCGTAATCCTTCATGATATTAAACTCAAATTCATAATACGACTTCCATAAAGCAACGGAATGTTGTGCCTTTTGAGAGGCTATACCGACTGCGAATATTCTCCTTACTTTATTTACATATGGTACGTTATTTGCCTCGCTTCTTTTCAGCGTATTCTTAGCCATTTGAATATAGACTTCAGCATATTCATTTTCTTCCATTCCCTCATCAAACAATTGCCTATATCCGCCAAATTTCGCTTCAGTGTTGAAATACAAATACCTGGAATGAGTAAGCACACATGGAAAATACAATTGAATAACCCACCTGAATAGAGAATTATGGGGATATGTTTTCTTTGCATTCCCGTATACCCATTTGATTGTGCTAGTTGAAGGTAGTTGTATTGTGCGATCCATATCATGAAGCCTCTCCAATGAGTCTATAAAACACACCAACTCTGTTAATAATACTTCATGATTGTAAGTTGAAGCTGGTAGTTTATTTAAGGCTTCTTCGAATATTGTTACAGCTTTCTCGTCTGATCTACTCACTAGATACTCAAATAAAGCACGACAGCTGATAGCCTCAAAATTGGAGAGATCAAGCGATGACCAAAACCTGCGAGCTTTGAGTATATTCATTGTAGTTTGCTGTTGTGTCACTATAATAAAAATTGTTAGAGAACGCTGAAGTACGTGTAATACTCACAATCGTTGACTACACCACTGGAGCTACTATCACAGAGAATGTTTAGTGACACATTCAGATTACCTTGCATGAACTCCATAAGTGACCAGCTATAACAGAGTTTCACTCTATCAATTTCATTTTCGCTAGATGATTTCAAACACTCCCTGTAGACCTTTCTTGAGGATTCCGATTTACTTTTAGCGTACTGTAATCTTGCATATATGTCATATAAATACCAATTATCGACATTATTTGCCAAAATTTGCTTAAGCTTGCTATTATCGTTTTGGTACAACAGCATCTGCTTTTGAGGTAAAACTAAATCATCAGCAATTCTCTGCAGATGTTCAAGGTGTTCATCTTTGAAGTTTTGATAAGTATCATGTAAAGGGAAGATAGTATTGATATATTGTGGTTGATTGAAATATGAAGGATACCCCAATTCGAAATTTTCATGACAGTACGTGCGTCCTTGAAGAAGCAAATCGCGGACTTGTTCATCGTTAGTAGAAATACCATTAGGTATCATACTTATACTGAAGATGCTAAGAAGGCTATCTAATAATTTTTCTTTGCAATCTACGCCACGAAGCTTAATTAGAAATGGAAGAAGATCTACTTCCCACAGAACATTCCTAAATGGATCATCACTGAAATTGCGTTCGCAAACAACAGGAAATGAGTTATCTACCGTATCGTTGATCATCTCATATTCTTCCCATTCCTGAAGCTGGAGTGTTGCGTATTCTGGATATTCCAATCTGTACTCTTCGTCGATGTCTTCGACAATATTGCCAACACGTTTGAAGTTAGTATCATGCCACAACTTTCCCAGTTGGTCAACACTTATATTCCTGCTGTTGAGTTCTAAAACTGCTTGATAGAGTGAATAAACGCGTTCTGTATATCCTGCACCCAAAAGAAAGGAGCAGTACCTCGTAAAAAGATTAATCAAATCATTGTCAGAGCCTTGGTTGGCTAAAGCATGGAAAGCATCTCGATATACTCTAGATGATATCTCAAATGGACACATTCTGTCAGCTTCGTTGGGATATATTTCCCCACGTGAGATAATCGAGGCATGACACTGAACGAAATCTATATATGATCTCCATATTTTGTAAACACCATTATATCTGCGAATCGCAAATTGAAACTCTCTGATTATATCATCCTTCAATCCACTCGCTCCAATTTCTAACTTCTTAACGATCAAGTCTACATTATTAGGTTGGTATGTGATAGCCTTTTCCAAGACTTGGTATTGTAAATCTAGTACAACATTTCGTACGTTCTTTGAGCTTACTTCTATATTTTCATTGATGACAATGTCTTTTTGAAATTTCACATAATCTAACCACCCTTCCACGTCTTGTGGATTCTCTTTCAAGTGTCTATCCCATTCGATCCTCTTCTTCACTGTATCATTATATCTTGTTTTTGAGGATTCCTCCTCATCACTATTTTCGTCTGAAGACCCATTTACATCTTCGTCTGCATTATTCGACTTCGACGGTCCCTCTAGGCTTCTGTAATCAACATCAAGAGTCAAGTAACCATGTTGTTGTGCTTCTCGTTGCTTGGCCCGCTTGCGTTGACTAACTAGTGGAACGAAATCTTCATCCGTCTTAAGGCTAGACCTCGATGGTACTATTCTTCTGACGTTCTTATCTTGTTCTGGTAAACGAGTTTTTGGTGCTCTAAGCGACCTTGAATGGTGTTCTGAAGGTAATATAATGTTACGACTTCTATACTGAACTTTCTCATTTATAAGAATGTCTCTAGGAAGTCCTAGTACTCTTCCTTCTATAAAATGTCAGATGTATAGAGCTAAACCAACAGGAACCTACTCCCAGAACGTCTATATCTTGGTATTACTGCCAGTTCAGGACCCTCAAGTGTGAGGTTGCTTTTATCACCAAATGAACTCGTGTAGAAGAATCTCTTATCGTCTGAGGTTAGCTTTGGGGGACGAAAGTCGACATTTCTGTTGCTAGAGGAGGGTTCGTCTATGTCAGCAGATTCAGCGTATCTCTTCCTACTCTTAGAGGGGTATCTATCGTCATAATAAGAGCTGTCTTCTCTTCTGCTTTTATCTCTATTTCTATTAGGGTGTCTATCTCTATAACGGTCATCTCTCCTTCTCTTCTCCTTCTCTATGTCTCTACTCTTGGAATCTCTCTCCCGACGATCTTTATCCCTACGACTGCTAAATTTACTATCGCTATCTCTTTGTGTATTATCATTTCCAGTAGAAAATATATCAGGAAATGAATCGAATGTTGGCTGTCCATTTGACATGACGGTGGTACGTAAGAAGGTGAGAGATAAGCGATAATTTACAACTACAAATAATTTATTTGGAATACAACAACTATTAAATTAAATTATGAAATCAGCAATGTATTAGCTTCTTCTACCAACCGTGATAGCGTGAGCTGTTATCACGCTGTGACGGTGGTCGATATATTGGGTGCGGCAGTCTAGCGAATGTTGGCGGAGGGAGCGTTGGAGGAGCCGGAGGAATCCCCTGCAATTCACCGAAGGAGGGCTGATGAACTACCTCTTGGTTTGGTTGAATTACGCGATGTTCTTGTCTTGGTGGTACAAACGGATCTGGCTTAACAGTAAAATTGTTGCTTATCTGAGGTAGAGTCAATGGCTGCGGTACCCATGGTGATCTCTCCCGTTGATGTATATTCTGTTGATCATTGCGTGGTATTTGTTCTTGCTGAGGTTGAGGCGTTGGATGAGCGGAACTAAAAGGCGTTTGTGGGCTATGCGATGCAGGTAATGGTCCTGATTCCCTTAAAATGAATGGACCCGGTGGATTACCATTTGGCGTACGTGCACCACTCAAGACACTATTTGATGCACTAACTGGTGTGCTATTTTGCACACTATTTGATTCAATGTTTGATTCGACGTTTGATTCGATGTTTCTTCTCTTATCTAGAATATTAGAAGCTTGATCGTCACTGTCTCTGTTTCGTTTCAGTGAAACCTGGGCAGGTGCCTCTTGAGGAATGTGAAGTGGAGGTAGCCTCTGATCTACGTCATCATTACTACTACCAACAGTGTTGAGGTTAACAGGACCAGCGTCATTACCAGTGCTAACGATATTTGCGTCGTCGTTAGCGCTATCATTATTTACTTCATCTTCTTCATCGGATGAAAGTGTAAGATCTATAATTTGTTGTTGCTTCTTCGCAGGAGGTCGCGGTGGGGCTTTCGCGTATGAGCTACCATCTGCATCTTCATCGTCACTAGATAAATCCAAGACTTCGGCTGACTTTTCCTGTTTTTCATTCTTTACAGGTTTAGCGCTCGGTTGCTTTTCTGCTTTATTAAATTCAGGAATTTTACCAGCCTTCTTAGCTTCCATCCAAGCTTCAGACCCATATTCACCATCTTCAGTATGCCATTCAGCGTCAGGTTCAACTACGACACTACCATAATCATCAGGAATGGCTTGTAGTATTTGGTGGGTGAATCCATCGACAGCTAAATCTTTAAACTTGATTGGCTTTTTTGATGATGGATCAGTAAATGTCGGTAATTGCTCATTTATAGAAAAGAAGGACATTGCATCAAAACACTGTAGTGATTGAGAATGTATAGAGCGTATTGGAGTTTGCATCCGAAAGAAACCAATAGGACATTTCAAGCTAACAGTCGAGGCACCTGCGACGACATCATCGTTATCTTGCATTGATTTATCTGATAAATTGTAAATATACCAATATAATGAAATAATTTGACTTACATCTTTCAACTACGCTAGTTGAAGGAATTTCAGGTTGCTGTCTAACGATATTAGCTAATTGATCACAACTGTACTGTTCAACGAGGTTTATAACAATGTAATGCTTTTTATGCGTGTCTCTATATATAACTTCAAGGGTATTTGAGGCGTTGGGTGATAAAATTAGATTCTTCTCTACATCAGCATTCGGTGGTGAAGCTGTACCTGGTTGATTTCTTACACCCCTCGTGTTAGCCTTTATTTGTTTGCCATTAACCTTAAGATCACAAAGTACCGGAAAATCGATCGGTAGTTGTTGATCAAGTAAGTGTGGTTTGTAGAAATCCGAACTAGCTGAGTAGATTCTAAGTTGATAACGTATTGGATCTGAGGGTCCTATCCTAGATTGATTGAGTTGCTGAGAGTAATCTGTTGGTATTTTAAACTCCAAAAAGACACTCCTAAGTGATCTATCCCGGGCTTCGTGGAGAGTAGCCACATCAGATACTTGCCGTATAATAGATTGAAATGGATTAGACTTCCAAATCAAAGGCTTTGGAGCTGCTGGCTGCTCGTACGCTGGATGTTTTGTTGGAAGATTCAATGTCGGTGGCAGACGAGGACCAGAACCAGACGCAGGACGTGAGTAAGTACCAGTATTGTATACTTGCATAACGATATCCTTTGTAACATCATAGTTTGCTTTATTATGCTCCTTATAATGGTCAAGTGTATCTAAAATTCTGTGTACGAAATCTGCCTTATTTCCTGATAGCCTGAGCTTCAACTTCAACTGACTATTCAAAACTCTAATAATGCTCTTCAAATTCTCGACCGTTAGAATGTTCAGCTTATTCTTCACGTCTTCCTCATTTACGGCCATCTCGACGTAAGAGTTTAAGATGATTTCAAAGGAAAATAAGGAAATAAAAATAGTACACAGCTCAGGTAATAGCGTTGTTATCAATAAATTAGGCGCTACTATCACTTCTTTTAAAGACGCCCACCAGAAAGAGCACTTGTTTCTTTCCAATAAATTGATACCTGGGAAAGCTATCAGAGGTGGTATTCCTATCGCATTCCCAGTATTTGGTAAACCGCCAACATCTGGTGCGTATAGCGATCTCCCACAGCACGGTTATGCCCGTATTTCTGAGTGGACATACGATGAAACTCCAGTCATGGATAATGATGATGGCGTCAGTGTTAGATTCATTTTAGATTCACCACCAAAACTTCCACCAGCAAGGTTGGTCTACACAGTCACTCTCACCGCTCATCAATTAACGAGCACACTTCACGTTAAGAACACGTCATCAACTGATGTACTTCCATTCCAAGCACTTTTGCACACTTATTACGCAGGAAATCCAAATGAAGTTGGTGTCAAGGGATTGAATGGCGTTAGATACAGTGACAAAACCACTGGTGGCGAAACACGTATTGAATCTAATGACGTCGTTTACGCAAACAAAAACACTGATTCAGTTTATATGAATACCACCGATGAGATTCATTTAACAAACGGTATCAAGATTCGCAAGCATAATTTACCAGATACAGTTATCTGGAATCCAAGTGTGGGTATAGTGTGTTTAAAAATATAGTCTCTTCTGACAACCACAAAGGAAGGTGCAAAGAGTATGGCTGATATGCATGAAGGTGGCTGGAATGAATTCATCTGCGTTGAGCCTGGACATGTTAGAGATTTCTATGACTTGGTACCAGGCAAGGAATGGATAGGTTTCCAGGTGATCACAATCTAAAACCTCAATTATATCTAACGTCTTTAACGTCTTTATCATTAAATGAGAATAAATCTAAGCAATATGCGATGCGTTGTTATAAGATTTAGAAATACATGTTTACGAACTATGTCTAACAGGTGAAGGTGCTCTACTATTAGCTTGGGAGTTAGCTCTTGAGTTTGACCTAGATGTAGCACGTTTAAACCAATTTCTAGGTCTAGATCTTGCTTCTCTTGTTAGTGATTGTGAAGAAGTAGATGGTTCGATCGTCGGTGAATTTATAGATGCAGGTCTTGATCTTGATCGCGTGTTCCTGTTTAAGGAACTATCCCTAGATTGTTGTCTAGATACATAATTATCAGCGAATCTGGTATGAGTTCTGCCAAGTCTTTCATCAGTTGGTCTAGCTTTCTCCTCATCTTCTTGTTCTTGTGCTATTGGTATTAAAGCATTACTAAGGTCTGTTGAACTACCCTGTAAACCTCCTTGTTGTGCTGGTACTGCTGTCTCCTTAGCAATAAGAGATTGTAGTGGTTGACCGCATGCACATTCATACATAATATCCTGATTTGGTGCAACTTCTTCATATGCAGGTAAAGTAATGCTATCTAAGCTAACACAACAGCTACTGACAAATATTGGTCTACGTATGCTAACGACTTTCATTTGAGATTTATCATCTTTATCCTTATGTTCACCATCTAGATTTGAGGGTGTAACAAATATCTGTACCAAAAGTTGATGTGAGATGATGATAGAAGTTTTATTGGTTTTTACTGTAGTTGGACGTGCATGATCATCATCAGGTAATCTACCAATCCATTCGTGTTTCCATCCATCTTCATCAACTTCTTCATATGGATTGAGTAACGGTTCATGTTTCCTAGAACCAATCTGGAAGAATTTAACAGCAACTGCTGGCGCTTTCTCTTCTTTACTCCTATCTTTATTACGAAGGGTGATATATTGTAATAAAGAGACGTTTATACAGTGTAAAGTTGCACCTTTTGGTGGTTCGTGGAGGTGTAAACGTAAATGTACGGGTCCACCTATCGTCAAATGGGTGGATTCTAAATCAATTGACATCGCGCCTAATCCGTCTATAATTTGATCGTGATGCCAACTTAAACCGCTAGGTTCACCAGCTGGATTTGGGTTGATAACTAGTAGAACTTCACGTGAATCGGTCAAATCAAATCCGAGTGGTCCAGCGCTGATAGCTTTGGCTCTAACGTAGTAGTACACTCTACCGTAGGCACAACGTTCGTAACCAGGGGTTGACGAAGGTATAATGATTGAAAACTCGAACCTGAAGGATGTCTTATTAGCAAACTGCATTTATAGCGAGGAAAGTTTACTCACTTATGTGTGCCTTTTTCTAAATAAGTCTTATCAATTTCAACATACTTATCCAGAACTGGGAAAGTTTCATATGCGCCGCTTGGAAAGTTTATACATTGTGATCCTATCAATCTAACTTCTATACCGTGTATTTTCCTTGAACTTGGTAAATAAAGCTCGACTACGCCTCTTATAACATCCTCATCCTCGGAAGCAGGTGGTGGAAGATTTATACTGCTATCATCATCCTCATCATTATTCTCATTACTCCGAGGGTGTAAAAATACTATCGAAGAATGTAAATGTAGGTTTATCGCCGGTAAAGACAATAACTTTGATACTCCGAGACTGGAATGGGACGGAGACTGTTGTAGTCTATTCAAGGGCGAGGATGAATGCGTAGGCTCTGCGTGATCTAGCGTTATAATTTCCGCTGATCCCATTGTATTTTTAAGCGACAAATCTAGGCGAAGAGTCACAAACCAGGTATGCAGCAACTGATAAGGGAAAAATAAAAAATATAAATCAAGTCATCGTTAAATACAAAAAATTAGTTTTTTACGCCTGTTATTGATTCAATTGCCTTGTTAGCAAAGAATCTAACGTCTGCATCTTGGTCTTCTTTAAGTTTTTCAACCGCAGGTAAAATTTCCCTTTGGATGACTTCTTGACCTTCCGGTGTCTGTTGTAGGTTTCCACTCAGAACTTCAAGACACTTTGCAACGTTGAATCTAACATTAGGAATTGGATCGGTCGTTAGACTTAAGATAATTGATAAAATCTGTTCTTGGATTACTTTTGGTTCTAATGCAGGTGACATTGTGGTTATAGCAAATACTGTTGTCATTCTGTATAAATAATTCGAATGATTACCCATTGCTACAACCTTTGGTACGACTGTTTGTGATGCCCACTCACTGCCGAAGACTTCAGTCAAATTTTTCAAATTTATCGTTGCTGCATCTCTGATTGAAAAGACAGTATCACCCAACCAGGACATACATAAGTTACCCAATTGTTCATTGAAAAATTCTACGCCTAATTGTTTTGCTAAAAGTGGTATATATTCAATAATTGCTTGTCTGACTCTCCATTGTTTGTCTTCTGCGAGTTCAAAGATTGCTGGTAAAAGTGCTTTTGAGAGGTAATCGATACCGATGACTGTCGAGTGGGTTAGAATGTTTGAGAAGCATTATAGGTATACATACCTTCATTGACTTTGTCAAGTCTAGAAATGATGTTTAATCTAACATCTGGGAATTCATCTTTAAGAAGTTGAAGGAAAATTGGTAATAAATTTTCAACGGTCTCTTCTTTACCTAATAAAGGTGCTAACCCGGATAATTCATTTCCAACTGCAGCTCTAACGTGTTGTGATTGATCACCAGCGATTTCTCTCACGACAGGCAAAATCTTAGCGAGTATAATCTCTTGATCGACAAATTTTGAGATACCTGGAATTTGTGAAGATGATGCAGTTCTAACTTCAGCTTCGTTATCTTTTAATAAGTTTACGAATGCTTGAATTAATTCATCACGTATGACATCTTGAGTGACGCATTCAGCAACTTCGACAAACTTTTGACCAACCATGAATCTAACTCTCCATGATGCGTCATTGCAAGCTGATCTAACGCAAGGTAATAAATCTGTCAATACTTGTTGTTTATCCAACTTTTGCATTATAGCGATCAAAGCTTCAACTGTCAATAATCTAACGCTATCTTGATCATCAATGGAGAGCTTCTTGTATAATGGGAGAATGTCATCAAGTATTTCTTGTGGTGGTAGAACCTTTACGAAGTCTGCCATGTTCTTAGCGGCTGATCTTCTGACCATAGGAGTATCATCATTTGAGAGTTTCTTGTATAAGTTTCTGAGCTCTTGACGTGCTGCAGTGTTGGATTGATCGTAGACTGATGCAAATAAAGCGCAAGCTGATGTACGTGGAGTGAACCAATCACCATTTGTGAGACGTTGTAACTCAGGTAAGTAATACTTCTCAATTTGTTCAGAGGACAGTTCGACAGCTATTTTGTTGATACTTTCACATGCCTATTATCGTTAGAATATATTAAGTAGAGGAAGGCTGACCCACTTTATCCCTAACTAAAGTCTCTTCCATACCGGCTAATGACTCCAAAGGTGCTAATGTAACATGTGCGTATTCTTTACCACCGACATACTCTGTAAATGAGCCTAATTCCTCTGCTAATGCTAATAAAACCTCGTCCTCGTCATCGAGTGAATCTTGCAAGAAAGGTATCAACTCATCACGCGTTCTATCTGGACCTAACGCTAATGCGATTGTTGATATTCTGTGTATTGCGTTTAAGCGTAACGTAACGTCGTCAGATCTGTTAAAAAGTGATTTATCGTTAGATTTAAACTTTATATTAAATCCTAGACCAACTTTAATTCATCAAGTAGCAGGGCTACTGGAAATAATTGTTCATCCATTTTTTATTTTAATTTTAGTCTTGGTTGACAACGTCAGTCAAAGGTGTCGTCAATGGATTTGGGTATTAGAGAAAAAAATATACAAAAATATATCTTATAAATTCCACTCTTGGTTTATACTAGCGAATGGTTTATCTATGTTAATTATAGATTCCTCCACTAATGGGTCTGATTTCGTCAATATTTCATCCAATTCTTTACGAAGTTTTGAGACATCCTTTCTGCGTTTTGTTGATGTGTTAAATATTTGATTTATAGTTGATGGTACGATAAGCTCTCTTAATCGTTCTCCAGTGAAGTATGAACTCTTCGGTGTTGTCTTAACGCCTTCGATTTCTGACTGCAATTCAATTATTCTCTTAAGTGTTGACGGTTCTGCATACGTTGTGAGCCTTTCAAGCAATGCGTCTGCTCTGTATACACGTTGCGTAGGGAATACATAAAATTCGCAACCAGATATTGATTTTCCAGATAGAGCACACTTCTCATTAGGTGAAATAACGACGTATCTATCTTTCAATTTCTCCATTTCGTCCTTTATGCGTTGAGAAGTCCGTGCTGATTCGTCCATATCAACTTGAAGATCTTGAATTCTTGATGAGTACCTATCCAAAGCATTGCAAATCTCTTCTTTAAAGTCATCAACGACTTCAAATGACGGGAAAAAGGGTAGTATGTCTTCCAACTGTAATACATCTGAACCTTCTAAAAATTGCATAGCACTGTGCCCCTTGTTAGCTTTAATACATCATAAAACTCAGCTCTCACCTCTTTATATCATGTTGATCTTGAACTATAACTCTTGCAATTCTCAACCATAATTTCTTGCGCAGGATAGGATCATCGGTAGGTTTGTCTGCATAAACCTTGGCTAGATTCAAATCACCAGAGTTGATCGCGAGATCTACACTACAGTCATATAGTTTCATAATAGCGTAAACCTGTATGCAAGCCTTATTGAGGCCCCTTTTGTCAAATAATCTCAAGGCGAAGTCAACATCAAACTTCGGCGTAGGTGTTCTTTTAAGGTATTCAACTAATTCGTCCTCGTTTTCACTGTCTTTCGATAATAAATTGATATAGAGGTTGTGTGCTATAGCTTCTTGACTTCCATCGGAGTCGATCCTCCACAGTAGGTAGTCTATGGCGCATCTTCTACTCTCCTTGGAGAGCTTTTCGGTTTGTATCAAAGCTGGTATAAGTCGTTTTAATTCTAACCTCGGTTCTCGCTTCCATATTTCAATAGTCTTCTCCGATGCTTCTCTAAGCAACAGAAAGGCATATCTATAATACAAATCTCGATTTGTCTCATTTTTTTGTCAGTTAGTGCCTAGAAATAAACAAAGCACCTACTTGTTTTGGTAGAGTTTCTAAAACATCATTCCATCTACCACTATGAACGTGATCTTCAACAATCGTGGACCAATCTTCAACATAACTAGCATATTCAAGTAGTAAATTATATCTACCATGAATTTTAAAGCTATCGTAGACTACTTTCCTATCCAAGTTATTTTTGTAAGTACTCAAAAACGTTTTAAGATCATCTTCCATCATTGAATATTCAGTTTTAGCATTTTCAGTATCATCCTCTGTTGATTCACTAGCCATTAGATCTTCTAGTTGGTTTAATTTATCAAGGTATATTTCCAACATCCAAGTAGCTAACATCATGCGTTGTGTTAAATCCGCTTTTCTTGTCCTCTCCAGTCTGGCACTTAAGTAATACCTCAATGAATCTCTTTCATTTGCATCTACGAATTTCAAAACTACGGTTTCAAATGCTTTGGTTGTCGATTGTGCGTACGCTTGAGCGGATTGTATGTACTTTCCTTGAGCGAAAAAGACATCAGCTTGCTTTGCCAATATAATCTCTCTTTGTTGTGTATTCTTGCAAACTTTCAGGGCATTATCAAATTCCCGCTTACTTAGATATACAGTCCATACATCCCTGTCTTCATCTCTAACTGTTAACTCGTAAATAGAATCATGAGAGTATAGCCAGAACGTCCCACAGAGGTCATCCCTCTGCATACCGATGATCGTATCTGGAAGTGGTTCATCCCATATAACTGCACCATCAAGTAATCTTAACGACTTAATCCCGCCTTGGTATAAACATAAACAATGATGTTCTGTTAATAAGATACTCTTAGCTTCTACATCAACATCCGTCAGAGTGGATTTTTGGAATACCATTTCAGGGTTGTGTGTGCTTAAATCCAATTTAGCGTTGTAGAGAGATTTGTCGCATAACCAAGCAATTGATTTTGGTGGTGAGAGTGAATTCCTAGCTAATCGAACATCATAGTTGAAGGACGTATGTGATGAAAGTCCACTCTCGCTTATCTTAATTGAGAATGGTGACTGAGAGAATACACCTTCGAATCCAACACCACCGTCGTTGTCCATTCTACCAAATGGCCCAATGAAAGTGTAAGTTCTTGATTTAGTTATGACAAAAACGACAGCTGATTTTCTATCATCATTAATGTGACTTCGTATATCAACAATTGACTCTTTAAATGAGAATAACAGCTTGATTTGTCTCTCTTCACTGTTTTTTCTGAAAATGTCTGATGGATTTGGGTTTATAACCGATTGATAGACATTTCCTTCAAAAGTTCCCACTAGAATTACAGCTGATTGTTGAAATGATGATGACCTTGTATTAACAAAATGTAGGGTACTTAAGCCCAACCTACTCAATTTTGGCAACAACTTGGCACGTCTTGTGTCCGTATGTATATAATGAACACCATTCTCTGTTGTATCGACTACGATAAGGTGTTTAAGTGTAGGATCAACATAAACCTTCGCATTCCTACTTAAAGTAGTAGACGTGATATCTAAATTATCAATAATATCAGCTTGTAATAAATTAATCTGTAAAATCTGTCCAGTTTCTAACAAAATGAAGAGATGGTTGTTGATAACGGTCAGATTGACAATATGAGAAGGCGGAGAGAATTGAACCTGAGTCAGTTCAAATATTGTGTCTTCTAAATCCCCATTTTGATTGTCTATGTCTAATAACTTATGGTTGCGTCAGTTGTACATCTCTATAGATAACAACTACCCACTTGCAAGGTTGGATCAGAATTCCAACCTTGTTCGTCTAAATTATCAATTCTTGATTTTATTACGTGATTGTTATTTGGGTGTTGTACGAACTCATCAAGCATCGTCGTAATCGTCGAAGAGAATAAACACACAAAATAATATAAATTAAACGTAAAAAGTAAAAAAATGTTATGGTCCCATATATATATATATAAATATATATATATAATTAATCGTTAATCATTATCCAATAAGTTGGTTTTTTATAAAAAGAAGGAAAGAAGTGTGTTTTTTGTTACATTTCAAAAACATCCATTTAATTGAGAAACTTCAATTTCCTGATCCAGTTGAGAGAGTTTGTTGGGTATTCTCGCATCCATTACAAGTGATTTGACTCCTTGACATAAAGCTGAAACTCCTTGATCCGTTATTTGATTGTGAAATACCAGCCTACCTTGCTCAAATACTCTGACACCAAATTGTAATAATCTATGTCTAAATACTCGAGGTGGTATACCAGCAGCTTCTAAATCTATAACGACCATGTTTGTTTCAGTTGGTACGCTCAACTGTAAACCAAGTTCTGAAGTGAAATATTCAGAAACTAATCGCGCTTTGTGTTGGGTGATTGGAATTAAAGGTATGGCTTGATCCAGAGCTGCTATCCCAGCAGCTGCTAACATACCTGGTTGTCTTGCACCACCACCAAACATCTTCCTATACCATTTGGCTCTACTTATGAAATCCTTTGAACCAACGATCATTGAACCGACAGGTGCACCTGTACCTTTCTGTATACAAAGACTTATACTATCGAAATTTGCGCAATAGTCAACTAAGGATACACCTTCTGCAATAACAGCATCAAACAATCTAGCACCATCCAAGTGCATTTTAGGTTTATTAGGGTGATTAAGAGCAAATTGTCTAATCCTTTGTACTTCATTTAATGGTAAGATAGTACCACTTAAGGTATTCTCCAAACTGATCACTTTCGTTGGTGCAAAATGTATATTGCCATCTGGTATCATCGAATTCGCAACATCTTCAAGAGTGAGATGGTGTTTATTACGTGGTATAACTGGTGTAGATTGGGCTTGTGATAAAACACTTATAGCGCCTGACTCCTGTGGCGTTGTCTTATGAGTCGGTTCTATGATATAATAGAAGGAAAACGTACCCAACAATAAATGTGAGACCTGTGATCACATAAAACTGAGTGAGGAGGTTGATGTAGATGTGTACGTAAACTTATTTGATTAGCCTGCATGCTGTGTCAGAGGACGGTGATCGAGTCTAGATTTCTCAACTAACTTGTGTACCAGAAACAACCCAAAGTGCAGCCTCTTTACCTGCCATTGTAGCCATTTTTTGCTCTAGTTGAGCTACTGTTGCATCACCTTCATAAATTTCATCGTAGAATGTGGCATTAACCATGGCTTCTAAAACTTCCGACGTTGGTACGGTAACGACATCACTACGGAAGTCACTATCGAGAGTGTTAAAGATATATACATTTAAAAATTAAAGTTATACTAACCTGGAAGATCTAATTTGCGCTTTCTTCAAGTTCGAAAGTGGTATTTGTAGATAATCATCCGTCGTTGTTGTGAGGCTGTCAATAGGTATAGGCATTATGCGGTTTTTTTATAAAGTGGATGATGAGAGTTTGAATTGTACTAAAATTAAAATCATGTGAAATCATTTAAACCTTATTTTGATTTGCATTTTGACTGTTTAACAATTTTTACTTTTGTCTCAATTATGACAATAAACAAAGGAATTTATAGAACAAATTAATAAATAATAATTCATTTATTAAAAATTTATAATCGAGTGATAATCAAAATCTATCCGTGATTTAATGTACCTGCATTTAGATAATTTTCAAGAACTAGTAAATTTAAATAATATGAATTAATATAAATACAATGATAATTCTTATGAGATATTATTTACTTTTATCGCACTCATCTCCTCAGATCTCCGCTATAGTCACTTCATCTCTTGGTATATTTCCAAAACGAGAATAAATTACTCTTTTTATAAATTGACGATGAGTTATGATAATGATTTTGAGTACAACTATAGTACTCTAAATTGCTGTTTAATATCTTCCGACAATATCAAATTCAATATAAACTATCAGACGTTATCTTTAAGTTCTACATTCTGGAATACGCTATTTGAGCTACCACAACCTGGTGAAGTGGAATCTAATGAAGAACGTGTAATACATATGCAAGAATCGTCTACAGATTTGAAACCCTTCCTTTTAATTACCGTCGGTAGATCGCATTCCTTTGATAATCTACAACAAATAAAATCTACAATAAATCTAGCAATAAAGTATGACTCCGATAAGGTTCTAAATATTCTACGTGGCGATTTATTTTTTCACGCTTATAAAGAACCCCTCAGGGCATATGCCTTGGCTGCCAAACTCGGATGGGAAGATGACGCGATAAAGTTGTCAACTCTGACGCTCGAATCTGATATCGAGAATCTACCTGATGTAGACGCTGACTCTATGCCTACTCATTATTATAGGCGGTTAGCAAAGCTACATCAGACGAGACAGATGGAAGCTAGAAGGATATTGACATCACAAGATCTCATTATGTCAAATAAGCATGAAGGTGATTATGATAGAGTTGCTCATGTCGAATGGTAAGTCATGAGAGATCGATCTCTAAATGACTAATGACGACACAGGTGGAACTCAATTCAGCAAGCAATGCTCACGCGTCTTGATGGTTCACATGGCTCAAAATCGTTCAAATTTCCGTCAACTCTACCTTATTTAGACTGCGTCAAAAATAAAGCCTACATTGACGGTGACAAGGATGTTCTGAGCTTTAGAGGACTCTATTTAATCTATCGTACCATGGAAGTGGTTGAGACTGCATGGAAAGACAAATTACCCAAGTCTATATAATTTAATCTATATATGTATGTAATCTTAGATGTACTAATACTTAATTTACTTCTTCTTCTTTGGTGATGGTTTGTAGTCTGGTTTCGCCTGGACTTTCTTCTCCATATCTGTTGCTTCTCTAGTGATAGATTGTAAATCACTGTCACCGAATCCACCCATAGCCATCTGCCTTTCTAATCTACCCTTCTCTGGTCCCTGATCAGCTTGCAAACCGAATCTCTTAGCAAATCTAGTCAATCTACCACTTTCATCCTCTGTGGTGAGTTTAACACTTTGAGGGTTCCATACTGCGTGATTACCGGTATCTTTTGAACTCTTTATTACAGATCTCGGAGAAGTTGTGAACATTGATATCGTAGAACCATCAGACAATTGTACTTTCTGTTCAAAATGTGGTATTGTAGGTGGTGGTAAGACTTGTGCTTTGGTTGATGCTAATCTAGCGATTGTACGATGCATGACAGTGATAGTTGAAGTAAGAGAGAAGAAGGCGTAGTTGATAATAAAGTTGCTGATGGTATTATAAGGCCTCTATTAATAAAGATGTCAATTTCCTTGGAAAAGCTACCTAGAGAAGTCACGATCAATTTGACAAGTACATAACTAGCTGAAGTATTTAGAATAGCAGATTTATTACATGATATCGCAATACGCATTATAATAAGAATATTTTATTTATTTTTCTACAACTCAAAAAATTACTTTCAGAATTTCCCTAGATCACTTCCCCTTCAGCTTTTCTTCTTAACGACCACGAGCAAATTTTAAAAATGCCACAGGAAGTGAGTAAAGATATAGGAATATAGCACTCTATCTAACAAACCTCAAAAGATCAAGGACATCAAGAACTTCCTCGAAATTGCTCGTCGTAAGGACGCTCGTTCAGCTCGCATCAAGAAGACCAAGACCATTGGTGCTAAGGGCGAGTCAGCACAACTTACCAAGTTCAAGATCCGTTGCTCCCGCTACCTCTACACTCTCGTCGTCTCTGACGCTGAGAAGGCTGAGAAGCTCAAGCAATCACTCCCACCAAGTAAGTAACTTTTAACTTACAGGACGATTAGTATTGTTGAATAAGAGGGGACTATGTGCTTATTTGGTACACCGGCTCTGAAAGAGAAGAAAATCGCTCCTTACGAGTCTGGAATAACCCTCGCTAACTAACGATCAGCTCTCAACGTTGAGGAAATTGGCAAGGCTGCTCCAAAGAAGTAAATTGTGTATTTACTCCTTGATTTCATGTCCGTTGGTATTTTGAATTTCGTTGTCTGCTATGTGAAATTTCATCCATCTGATTACAAGCTACTTAATCTTCTTAAGCTTTTCGGTATTTCTAAATATCTTATCATCCAATCTACCAGCTTTATTGTGAATATCATCCAGACGGGTATTTTGAGTTTCAACTTCTTCTCCGGATGCAATAGCAAATCTCTTCAGATTACCAACAGCCTGGCTTATCTCATCTAAATTGCTATCAATTTCATCTTCGATTTCGTCATCACTGGCAGTTGCTTCAAATTGATACTTAGAACGTTCAACTGAACTGGACGCTTGGGGAGCTTTTCTACCTAGAGCACCGAAACCTCTTAAAGCACCCTTTCTAGGATCAATAGCTTCATCTACACGTTTCCTAGATGCGAATACATCAGCGTGTGCTTTCTCTCTCTCTTCACGCTCAGTTTCATGTCTGTCTTCGATCTTTTGTTGGATCTCTTGTCGTCTTCTGTCCGTCTTCCATGTGATGACTGGTCTGAAGATCGACCTATTGAGCTTTTTGAGTTCCTTCGCTTTATCTTCAGCTCTGTTAGAGTGTGCTTTCGCAAGATCGAGATGTCGCTCGGTGTCAGCAATACGCTCTAATGGGTATTATTAGTAAGGGTTATCATTGAAAAGCAATACACACCTGACTGGTCACCTAATTTCATCATCGTTGTCGTAGCATTCTCCTCTGTCTCTCTCGCGATACGTAAGGCATTTCTAGTACTATCCTTTGAATCCTCTTTAACATATCTTGTTTGTTGTTTAATAGCTTCGACTTCCTCCTCTTCGTTAGCTACACCGCCTCCCTCGCCTTCCTCATCTATACCCTCATAAGCTGATTGATTGATTCCACCGCCGTAATTTCTAGCAGATCTAGGTGCACCACTGAATAATTCATTCCTCGCTGTGTCATTGCCATCATCTACTGTGGTATAACTTGGTGGACGTTGACCATACACGCTAGATTGATCATCTTGCTGTGCATTAGCATCTCCACCTAGTAATTCATTCCTCATTCTATCATCAGCGGTCTGTGGGATATGCTTTTGAGCTGAACGTTTAAACCATGACATCTTGATAGTCGACAGTCAAGAGATGAGACTGCAGTTTATTGGTGTGTATACTAAATACTGTTTCTATTGCCTATGTATTTATAAATTAAATCAATAGATATCGCTCTCAATCTCACTGATAGCATGTTTAGAGGTGTATATCGTTCACCCAAACAAACCCACCCAGATGACCTAAAGAATGTATTAGATAGGGCGAGAGACGTTGGCGTTGTATCTGCTATTCTCACAGGTGGTAGTCTCTCTGAAAGCAAGGAGGTTCATGCCTTAGCGGAGGAGTTGGATGGCTTCTATTCTACTGCTGGATTACATCCTACTCGATCTAATGAATTTAATGAGTCTTTTATCAATGATTTAGAAGCTTTTATAAAAGCTAATAGATTTCCGGGAAGTAGGTGCTTTATCTTCTTATCATGACAGCATAATTAAGTCCTAACAGCTTCAAACGGTAGAGTTGTCGCACTCGGAGAATGTGGATTAGACTGGGATAGACTGCATTTTAGGTAAATCAGTTGTTCTCATATGTTGCTAGTCTGACAACGCTACAAGTGACAAACCAACTCAGATAAAAGCATTCACTGAACAACTCAAGCTCGCTCAAAAGTTGAACATACCACTCTTTTTACATTCAAGAAACTGTCATGACGATCTAGTCCAAACTATCAAATCAGCATGTGGTGACAACTTACCTAAAGGATGTGTACACAGCTTCACAGGAAGCATTGATGAAATGCAAGAATTGGTAGGTTAGCTCTTTCCTTTAAGTGCCACTATAACACACTACAAGGTTTCTCTTGGTTTCTACATCGGTTTAAATGGATGTAGTCTCAAAACGGAAGATAACTTGGATGTAGCTAAAGCTATTCCTCTTGATAGACTCATGGTCGAGACTGATGCACCATGGTGTTCAGTCACCTCAACTCACGCGTCATATCCACACCTTGAAACACTTCCAGATGAATACAAATTACCACCTGCGGTCAAGAAAGAAAAATGGTCGGCGAATGCACCTGTGAAGAGTAGGAATGAACCCGGTTTTACTCCTGCTATTGCACACATCATTGCATCCGCTAAAAATGTTCCACTTGATACTGTTGCTGAAGTTGCTTATCGCAACACTCGCGAGCTGTTCCAGTTATGATGTGTTTGTATATTTATTACAATAATAGAATGGCATTATTAGACTTTTTGCTTCATATTGTCTTTACCGTATCCTTTGTTAAAGTCCTTACGCAAAGACATGCGTGCGAATAAATACTTGATTAGGGTACAAACCATATGCAACAACAATCTTTTACTTTAGGTTAGATAGCTGGGCAATGAAATAGCTTTCGCTAGCTGATGAAATAAAAATACAATGTCAAGATTTCACACATTTCAACTTCGCCCATCCATACTTCTTACAATGCAAAATATTTACCTTGAGCTTGTAAGATTAAATATAGGGGAGTCATGACTAACGTCTCATCAAGTTTATGTCTTTTGTTTGTCTCAATACAAGGTATTGTTTATCGGTAAATCTTTTAGTTCATACATATCTACATATCATCATTTGTTTGTTTATTTGTTTATTATTGCTATGATATTCTAGCACCTAATTAATAACTGATGCTGTATGTTGAGCTCCTGTATTGCAACACTTGTCCAGCTCTGTATACTGTGAATCATGCATTGCTGGTCTAATTTTCACTATTTTGGTAGTTGGTGTGTTGATCTCTCTTGATAAAGCTTGAATTCCTTCATTTTACCATGTATGTGAATACCCCTACAATAGGAAAGGTTATTGAAACAAACACCAACAGATAATAATTCATATTTGTGATATTTAGAGTTGTTGTATATATTTATTAACCAGAAATGTTATGCTAAATATATAAAGGACCTAAATAGATGCTATTTTGGCTTTACGAAATATGATTATGTTTTGTTATTACTATTGTTGTTATTACGCAACGTTTATTTCTTTACGCAGATTCACTGTCCGCTTGTACCTCACTGTCCTCTTATTCCTACCTTTATGTCTGTGCCCAACAACTTATTCACCCTGGATCTTCAGCTCCTGCAACTGCATTCCAGGAAGAAGGTGCCCATTTCGATTTGAAAAAATTTTAGAGTGTTTGATAAAGCTTGGATGTCCTTGAGCATTGGACCCAGTATGAACCGTAGGTTGATTTTTGTTGTTCTCTTTCTTCATGATTCTAACACATTTATTTGTCTTCTACATATAAAAGTGCTGTGCGGAATACGATCGTCTATGTCACATGCCAGAATAGGTAACGAGTGCTAAACATACAGCAGCATTTAGTTGTCAGTTATGAATAAATATTTACTTATAAAGATAGATTCAAATACAAGGAGTTTCCAAGTATAAAGATATGTGTAAAGAATGCGGAAAATAAGGAATGCGAACTAAATGAAGAAATAAACTTTGTAAAAACCTATTATCTGAATGATCATTATATAACGTAATCATATGTCAAATTAATGCTATAGTACGTTATAGATTTATAGATTTACGTAACAACACCACACGACTTGTTTTCGGGCGAATCAATTGGTTTAATCCGTTAGTGGTAGCACTTAGTCGTGTGGAAATGTTCTATAATTAGCTTGATAACCCCAGATGTGTCTCTCTAGGCATCTCGTTGGGAATTTTGGCCATTTTTGCAGCTGTTGGCTTTCCTGCTGATACTTTTGAGCGGGTAGATTTGATGGCGAGATTTTTTTGGGGGGTTTGGATTGCAAAGATTCACACGCTCTGCTTCATTAAAAAATACTCGACTTAATGAAGCTTCTGCGCCAAAATTGCTTTTTTTCGCTAAACGAAAATTTTTGCGGGTATTGGAATTTATCAAGTGATTACCTGGCAAAGTTATAAGCCTCGCTAGCTCAATCGGTAGAGCGTGAGACTCTTAATCTCAAGGCTGCGGGTTCGAGCCCCGCGTGGGGCTATTTCTTTTGCACTCGAACTGTTGAGTACAATTGCTTTTTTTTTTTGCCTATAAAGATACTTTTTGTGTCTTTGAATATATGGATTGAGTAAGATGTGCTTAGAGTCGTGTAGTATTTCCTCCATATTCTATTTCTTCACATTCGTAGCACTGGGCAGAAGTCAGATTTTGCCAACACCACTTTTGCCCAAGCACAATGCAGGGCGATACAGATGTAAGTTCAGGGTATCCTCAAGAGGATGAGTGGATCGTTATGCTTACATGCATTCATCAAGTCAAACATTGGACACAATCTAGCTACTTCACGCCATGACCGAGTGCAAATGGTCTGACTGACATTTGTTGAAAGTTATACTTTACATTATTTCTTTCATATTCGTATTTTCTCTCGATGGGTCTCTATAATGAGACAAAGTACCATCTTCGGGTGTGTTAACGTAGAAATTACATTCTCTGTATAAGCCTCGCGGTGCACCCTGATTATGGTTGTTGAACCATATCACATATCAGCTGCGTTGGCTATTCTCGCTAATGCAGAAAAAAAAAATTAGTGACCGGCAAGAGCAATTATTACATAACTTTCGCAAGAATGAGAAAAAAGAAAAAGAAAGCTTTCGATGAGAATCGAACTCATGACCTCCGCGGATCCGGTGAACACTTATAAAGTGTGCCATGTTAACACGGCGCTATAACCCCTAAGCCACGAAAGCTTGTTGAGTGTTTTTGGTATAGGAGTATTATAAACCTTTGACAAATCGTGGTGTCCACGAAACGTTCACGTGAATTTTTCTCTGGATTATATATTTGACCGAGAATTTTCTTAAAGAAGTTTTTTTGGAACTGAAAATTTGCACCGTAAACTCCTACCAGGGGAGTGAGGATTTGGGAAACACTCGTAGGCGAATTCCTATTCCTAAGTCATAACTATACTGTATCAATGGTGTTGAGTGCAGCACTTTTTAAGCAGTAACATGAAAGACAAACTCTACCGTCGCATGGGTACGTACTGGAGATATATATACCATTAATCGTTACTACGATAAGAATTTTTACATAGACGCAATATTATCTGGAGAAATTTTTAATAGGAAGGATGCCTTAGTGTCCTTCCATGATCCATCATCCCAAGAATATTTAATATGAACTAGTCAATTTTCATGGTGGTCAAAACAAATCGTACAAATCGCATATAACAAGCATCATGCTTTATATTCTTTCACATTTTTGACTTTTCACTTTGAGGGTTGATAATCTCAACTCGATAAATTAAACGAATGATAACTTCTTAAATGACTTCAAAGCAACATCCAATCATATTTTCAACTAGTTATACAAAACATATTGCTTTCTCTATTCAAGATTTAATTTGCGACAATATTGTAAATTTAATTAGCAAGACTTACCGAATTAGGCAACTCAGTAAATTAAAATAACTCGTAAACGGAAAAATGGCTAAAACATACATTAAATCAATTTATGCATAATTTTGATGGTTGTTAAATTGATGAAAATTGCTAATCAAGATGATGCAATCGCTGCATGATCATGAAATTGATACCTAATAAACTCACTAAAAAGCTACCATGACTATTCAATTACCACGCGGGAATTATACAACTATTGTATGTTTGACAATGTCTTAATGTTTATTTAACAACCGAATAGACAATTATATACAACAATGATCAGAAGCAAACTGTGAATAACCAAGCTACAGCTGCGCATGCTGTCACAATTGCACATGCTGGCACGAGTGGTATTGTTGTTGGAAGTAACGGGGAACATCAATCGTTGTCAATTGTGGAAACCAATATAGTGAGTTAACTTATTGAACTCAATTATTAAAATCAACCGCTTAAACCATAACAGGTCACAAAATCTATCAGAGATGCTCTTGATTTGTATAAATTACAGGATATCCCTGTGATAACAAATGTAGCATCACAATCAACGTAAGCACATTTAAGTATAAAAAAATAAACATCTCAATTTGTACGCTAGCTACGAATCAATTGAGAGGGCACATAGAGCTAAACTCAGTGGGGCAAATTTTATTCTACTACCATCACTCGCACCGAACTTATCAAGGGACGACAATATGTCTTTTTTTGAAGACGTAGCAGAGGAGTCACCTATTCCAGTTATTATATATTCTCACCCTCAATCATCTGCAGGTTTCCACCTGACTAGCGATGAAGTCATTCGATTAGCACAACATCCTAACATTGTTGGATTGAAAGCAACTGATAATGATGTGGGGAAAATGACAAGATTAACTCACCTTTCGAAAACGAACAATTTTCACGTATTTTGTGGTTCATCTGATTATCTGATGTAAGTTATGTGCCCTACTAGAATTAAATCTAATGAAACGCTAGTGCTGCTTTGAGTATAGGTGTTCATGGGTCTATTACAGCAGCAGCTAACTTTGCACCTGATTTGTTATTTAATGTTTGGGATTCTTACAACAAAGGTAAAGCAGGCGAGGCGTTGGACTTGCAACGTAAATTATCAGTTGTAGAAGCACGCTGTAAGGTTGGAGGTGTAGCTGGCATCAAGTATGCGACGAGTTTGATCTATAATACCAACCCTAAACCTCGTAAACCTCTTCGTGAATTAAGCGAAGACATTAAAGAAATTGTAAGATCTGGTATTTGGTTACTCAAAGGCGCAGCCTGATTTTGTAAAATTACTTTACTATAAATGTGTAATCTAGTAATAAAGTGAAAAAAGAATGCAATAATAAATACAATATGTTACCAAACTTTTCCTTTGTTCCTACGTTTATTCTTTTGCTTATTTTTCTTATTCTGCGCATTTTTTGTGTATGATTGATTTGAAGTATTTGATTCATTGGATGTTGTTTTTACTATACTAGAAGATTCACCTCCATTTGTCTCAACATCCTGTTTTGATAGCTCGTTTAGTTCGTCAACTTCACCTTCTACTTGCTTTGCCCACATCCTTGCAAATTCTCCATTTTGACTGAGTAATTCTGAATGTGTTCCACTTTCCGTCACTCGGCCATTTTGTATAAATAAAATCTTATCAGCTTTCGCGATCGTTGAGAGTCTATGAGCAATTATAATTGTGGTCCTTCCTTGACTCAATTCGTTAAAGGCTGATTGAATTTCTCTCTCCGTGTTTGTATCTAATGCAGACGTCGCTTCATCGAGACACAAAATTGGTGCATCTTTTAATAGTGCTCTTGCAATTGCAATTCGTTGTTTTTCACCACCACTAAGTCTTACACCTCTTTCACCAACTCTGGTGTCATAACCATTACTGAATGACAAGACTCTTTCATGCATTTGAGCAGCTCTTGCAGCGTTCATGATTTCCTCTTCGGAGGCATTTTCTTTACCGTATTTCAAATTGAAAGCAATTGTCTCATTAAATAATGCACAATCCTGTGGTATAATAGCGATATGTTTCCTTAATGATTGTTGCTTCATATCTCTAATATCAATACCATCAATGTTTATTGAACCTTCTTTTATATCATAAAATCTGTATAATAATCTCAAAATAGTGCTCTTTCCGCTACCTGATTCACCAACTAATGCTACAGTTTTACCAGTTGGGACATCAAATGACAAACCACTGAGTGCATCATTCGTAGTATCGTAACTGAATCCAACGTTTTCAAATTTAATGACAGGTTGACGGGTTTCAAGGGTGATAGCGTTTGGTTTATCATTTATATCTGTAGGTTCTGCGAGTAATTGCATTAATCTTTCACTATCAACAAGGCTAGTATTGATGGCTCTATAAATTGAACCCAAGTTGTTCAATGGTACGTAAAGCTGTTGTAAAAATGTCAAGAAGACTACCAATTCGGCTGCTTCTGCTTTGTTTTTTATTATACCTGCACAAACGACAGCTGTACCTGTAGCAATACCAGAAACAATAATGATATTTTGGGCCATGTTGAGTAAATAAAGTGAAGCAATGACTTTCTTTTCAACAGCTTGGAAGTCTTTGAAAGCACGAGTGTATCTGTTAATTTCATTGTCCTCAGCTGTGAAGTACTTTATAGTATCGTAATTCAACAATGCATCTGTGTAAATGGCCTTTGTAGCATTGTCTTTTGCTACATAATCCCTGCGTTGTTCTGTACGCCAGCGTGTAATTACGATTGAGATAAATCCGTAAAGGAACATAACTGTGGCTATAATTATCGACAAGAGCGGTCCGAATTTGAAGAAGAAGTAACCAAGTGCGACCTAAAGTTTGTTAGAGAGGCGCTTAAAGTAATATCGAACATACCAAAATATCAGCAATAGTTGGGAAAATGTTGAATAGGAGGATCTGGAAGAAGCCATTCAAAGCTGCACCTTTATCTAATATTCTTAAAATTTCACCAGTCTTTCTGTGTGTGTGGAATGCAAGACTAAGGTTCAAAAGGTGTGTAAAACAATGGGTAGACATCTTCTGATCGGTCCACTGTGTAATTGGAATCCAGGCAACACTTTGAATAACTTGTAATAAACCACCAGATCCTTGAAAGAATCTTAATACCAAATATAAAGCCAGATGTTTCCAAGGAGATGAAAACGCTGTGAGATCTTGAATAACTTTACCTAATTGTATTGGTACCACCAGATTGATATATCTACCAGCAACTAACAAACCCAAGCAGAAGAAAGCGACAGATTGTAAGTATACAGAATTGCGAGGCCAGAGAATATCACCTAGGTCGTACATACGCTTGAAGAAGGTACCCATACCAGCAGAAGGAGGTTGGCCCTTTACGGCTGGTACGTTTGAGTCGTTGGTTCGTGTGGTTACTGGGGTAGCTGTTCCACTGGTGGTACCATAATGAGGTTGTTTGTTAGCACGCAGGGAAGAGTTCTCATCAATGATGGACTCATCGTGCACACTGGTTTGTTTGATTGTTACCGGTAAATTGAGAAGGGTGGTAGCAATCACAAGGAAGAGAACGCGTAGGGATTGTAAGGCGATATGAGTGATTGCTATTTTCGGTAAGGAATTGTCTAAAGGTAGATGTTAGTAATAAAACGCGGAAAGGAAGGTTATCTTACGCGTGTAAACCTTAATGTAATATAGCCAGGCAATAAGTAAGCTTAATTCGAGGGCAAGTGATAGCGCGTAGAACACTTTTACGAACTGAACAATATTCTTGTTCTTTTGTATACCTAAAGCGATAGCTAACGTTCCAAAAGCATAAGCAGCTGATGTCCCAATACAGTGTATTAGTAATCCCAACCAATGTTCATAAATAATAGGATCTTTGTATATAGACTTGTAAAGGAAGAAGTGTAGGAATGAAACAGCTACATCAATGAAATACGTGAGTAAAACTGATTGGCATATAATAAATAACCAGACTCTTCTATAGTTCTTTGGTGTTTGTGATGGAGTTGTAGAGGAATAGATGGAGAGAACGCCAATAAAGACGAATAAATTTAAAATAATTGGTATAGCGTATCTCAAATTTATAATAAAATTAGAAACGCCGTTGAGTGCGTATGTCGTCAACGACATGATGATCGTTTGAGCTAACGGTCAAGATGATATCAAAGAGAGCATTCAACTTATTTAGTAAGAGTGCGACTATTAGTAATCAACCTTACGATATTTTAATCGTTGGCGGTGGTCCTGCTGGATTAGCTTTGGCTTCTTCTTTGGGATCAAATGATAGCCTGAAATACCTCAAGATTGGTTTGATAGAAGCAAACTCATTGGACAATGTTAGAACTTACAATTCTAATGGATTATCTGCCTATTCTAATAGATGTTCTTCTATCAGCGCGTCTAATTTCAATAATTTGAAGAGTGTGTATATACTATACTCCAATTTTAGTGAACTTGCTTAAGAAATATACAGGTATCGGCGTTTTAGATGGACTGGATCTGTCACGCGTATCACCAGTCAATAATATGCAGGTTTGGGATGGTAGAACCGACGCTAGGATTACATTTGGTAGACAAATAGACGACGAGGATTTGCCTTTAATTAAGGATAATACCACGTTGTCATACATGATGGAAAATACAAACCTACAACATGCATTCTTGAAGCACATTGAAGGCTCTACATCAATAGAATTACTTGAATCATCAAAGATCAGCTCGATTGAGCGCGATAATGAGTGGCCACGTGTACAACTCGAGAATGGAACATCCCTACGGACTCGTTTACTCATTGGTGCTGATGGATTCAACTCACCTGTTCGTAAATTCGCTAGTATTGACTCATTTGGATGGGCTTACAATGCGGCTGGATTTGTATCAACTTTGAAGACACACCCGTCTAATACCATAAGTCATTCATCACGTACTGCTTTCCAAAGATTCTTACCTAGCGGTCCAATTGCATATTTACCTCTCCCTGACAGATCTGCGTCAATGGTTTGGTCAACTACACCAGAAATGGCGAAGAAATTCAAGCAAATCGACTCGAGAGTTCTGGTCTTGTTAATAAACGCTGCATTTAGATTCAGCGATGATGTATTGAAGATACTCTATAGCAAGATTGACCTTGAATATGATAGTTTCTTCTCCTTAATCAAAGAGGTAGAAATTGCAGAAGGTATTGATATGACGACATCAAGACAAATTAGTGAGTTATCAAACCAAGACGGAATACCACCAAGTGATCATGAATTATATCCACCTTTGGTGACCTCTATTGAGGAAGGTTCACAAGCATCTTTCCCTCTCAAAATGAATCACGTCGATGGTTATGACGCCTCAAGGGTTGCTTTGGTTGGTGATGCCGCTCATAGTTGCCATCCACTCGCCGGTCAGGGATTGAATCTTGGATTGGCCGATGTACAATCACTCACATCAGTACTTTCAGAAGGACGTAGATATGGTGGTGATATTGGATCAAAAACGGTATTAGAGAGGTACACGAGAGATAGATACATACAAAATATGATGATGTTGAGCGCGACAGACAAACTCAACGCATTATTCAAAGTAAACGATGGCAATCCATTGGTAGAACTCCGTAGTATAGGTTTAGAAACTTTAAATGAGATAGATTCATTAAAGGATCTTTTAATGAAGCAAGCCGGTACGACAGGCAACTTTGAAGACAGTGGTAGGGGAAGTAGAGGTGTGAATTTTATCGCAGATGGAATTGAAGGTGTTGGAAAGGCGGTAAATATGTTCAGCGCGGTTGCAAGGCAACTTGGTAATATCGGAGAAGCGAAAATAGCAGAAATTGTTGATAACAAACGATAGAGGGAATTTCATTCATTCATTTGATTCGACTATAGGATATGTTTTGTGCGATAAAGAGATATAATAACGAAAGAAAGATTGCTTAAAGAGAGTTCATTTGCGCGATAACTTCATCCAATTCACGTTTCATAGCAGCTAACTTTTCTTGTGAGTCCTCGTACTTCTTCTCCCAACCGTCACGCTCTTGCTCGACGCGTTGTACTTGACGCTCAAAGTGTTCTGCTTTTACGTCAACTTGGCGGAGCTTTTCAGTGACGTCCTTGAGGTTTTTCTCAGCGTTGTCAAGCTCATCCTCCAATAAAGCGATCTTGCGCTGCAAACCCTCGGCGTTCGTGCGGTGGGCGTCGTCTTCATCTCTGAAGCCCTTCAAGTCGGTGAGACGACCTTCGAGGTTCTCGTTGTCAGTCTCAGCCAAACCAAGCTTGTGCTGAAGGGTTTGGACTTCTTGCTCTCTTACGAGGGATTCCTGTTCGAGCTTCTTTATTCTCTCCTCTGCGACTTCAGCTCTTTCGAGGTTAGTGTCGGCTTCAGCACGGAGGTTGTTGAGTTTCTATTGAGCATTAGAAAGAGAAGAATAAATAAAAAATAAAATAAAAACGTACTTCTTTGACTTTTTCCATTTTATTATTTTGTGGTTTGAGACCAAGAGCGCAAGTGCACTGACACGTTTCTCTCACTTGAACGAGATTTTTGAATGAAGGCGGGGGAAGGAAAACATAAAGTATAGTTTCTATATTCAAATCATGGGAATAATTATAAAGATGCTAGTGTTCTGAGTGTCCATATTTGCATACTGCGTACTCTAGTGATTTAATTAGAAACATTACAGACAAAGACTAGTGAAGCAAAGGTATCAAGTTGTTCATCTTCTGGTTGTGTATGACTTAAACACTTTGCAAAATTAATTTTTCCAGCGCTTAGCAGAGCTGGTCTTTATAAAATGAGGACTAGTTTTTATAAGCAGCTGACATTAATTGTATATCTCTTATCTATTGTAGTACCTAGTACCTTGTCTGTAGATCTCTGATCATTTAGAGCTTCTATCTATCTCCGTCAACTGAGTTATGAGAAGATATCTGGGCTATTTAATAAATAATAAGCTAAGTAAATGATTGTATAACTTTATTCAAATTTAATTACACATTTTATATTATTGATTCAGCTGAACCGGTGTAGGCAATCATCTCTCTCTGTGACCACATCCATCGAAATGAATAATGAAATTGCTAGACTGTTACAGCAGCAGCAATTTAATCAGCTAACTCCACAGCAGAGGCAGCAGGTGAGTCGATATCTCTATATGAGGACACCATCCCTGAGATCCTATATAGGCCATAATAGCTGGACAGATGAATAGGCTCCAGCAGCAGCAATCTGGCTTGTTGAACCAACAACAGCAGCAACCACAACCTAGCGCTCCCAACAACGACTTTAATAATTCCCCTGCATTCCAACAGCAGATCCAGCAAGCCTTTCAATCTAACAACCTCCAGTTCTTAGTAGAAGCTGCGAAGTCTAACAAACTCAATAACGAGAATATACAAAGATTACAAAAATTAATTAGACACCGCCAGCTTCAACAGATCCAACTCCAACAGCAGCATCAGCAGCAGCAACAACAGCAGCAACAGTCACAACAATCTCAGCTTCCACAGTTTCCTAATTTAGTTCCCTCACAAATCGCTGCTGCTAAGAATTTACAACAGAAAATTGAAACTATTGATTTACAGTTGAGAAACCCAAGTTTATCCCCGCAAGATCGCGATAACGCTAGAAAAGCCTATGAAGAGGCTAAAAATCTACAAGCTCTGTTCATTCAGCAACTTAGAAATAGCCAACAAAAACCTAATCCAGCTGCTACCACAGCTGCACCATCTATGGTACACAGTCAATCACAACCTCAACTTGGTTCTAATTACGTAAACGAGAATACTTTTTCTAACATGATGCCTACAAACTCACAATCTAACTGGCCTAATCAACAGCAGCAAGCTCAACAATCTCAACAACCTCAGCAACCCCAACAACCTCAACAACAGCAACAACAACAATTCCCTAGTCTCTCCAACAATATCAACGGCGACAATCAATCCAATATGTTGGGTTTAGGCTTAGTTGGCGCCTCAAATACTCCACAACAACAAATGCCAGCTTCGCAAACTCCAACACAACCATCACCTCAAATGAGACCAAATCTCTCAATGGCAGCTCAATTACAACCGGATAATTTTTTAAAGGCTTTAATTGAATTGATGAAGAAGCGTGGTACACCAATTGAGAAACTCCCAGAAGTTGACGGCAAAGGTATTGATCTACATAAGTTATACATGACTGTCGTACACTCCGGTGGTAGCTTAGAAGTCCATCGTCAAGGTAAATGGCCTTTAATTGGTGCAATGATTGGTTTACCGTTGTCAACTCAATTTGGTGAATCGTCGCCTCGCGTTTCTAATAACAATGCTCAAGCTCTGGCAAATGTTTACCGTGAATATTTAGCACCCTTTGAGCAAGTATGGACAAAGGCTCTTCAAGATCAACTGGCTCAAAGAAGAGCCGCAATGATGCAAACTCAACAACAACAGCAATCACAACAGTCACCACAGACCAGACCAGTCACCCAATTCCCTCAATCAACACCAGCTCCACAATTCCCTCAACAAGCAACCTCGTCAGCTCCAAATAAAACGTCAACACCAACTCAACAGCAACAACAGCAGCAACTAATGGCATCATTGTCAACGATGTCAGATGAACAATTGAGAGGTTTAAACATCACTCCTGATCAAATCTTGCAACTGCGTAGAAAAATTCAACAGCCTCAGATGTCAACACCTGTTATCCAACCTCAACAAATGGCACCTACGTCTAGTATCCCAAGCGCTGCTCCAATGGACGCAAATATTTTATCAAGTGCCAGTGCAAGCGCAAATGCAGGTGCAAGCGCGTCGATGCAAGCCAATGCATCGGCTTCTGAAGCAATGCAACAAACTCTTTCTAACAACATGCCAACGATAATGATGCCACCAAAAGAGAGATTAGCACAAGCATCCCAATTAGTTCAATCGATTAAGCAATCAATCATGCAACAGAGACCACCCGTCAACTCTCAACCAAATTTGAGTCCACAAGAGCAGCATCAAATAGCACAAGTCTGCGCTGAAATCAAACCAATGCTCATTTCATTAGAGAACATTTTACCAATATTTCTGTGCTTGAATGATCCAATTGAACCTGGTAAAATTGAAGCCGTCAAGAAAATATCGTTGATGGTGAGTTACTACATTGGTATTTACTTTATTTACTAATTTATATTATAGACCGTCATGTATTACCAGCAGACAATTATGCTACCTCAACGTCAATTTTGTTTCAATCTAGAAGATATGTCAAGATTACGGATTCAGTTGGCTCGCTGTGAGTAATTTATCAAGAAGAATAACTATTTATTAACTAATTTTAGGCTTCATGTATGTAAAGAGTCAAGTAAAAGATGTACAAGGAATTGGAAACATTGCACAAGGTGCATCTGTTACCAGACCTGCATCACAACCACCTCCGATACCCACACAATCAAGTTCTCAGGTTGCACCTGATCCTACTGCTATGTTACAGAATGCTTTAATGCAGCAGCAACAGCAGCAAGCTTCTCAAGCGCAGTCTATGACTGGTATACAACGTCCGAACGATAATTTGAAAGCTCCACCATCTAAACGTGCGAGAACGTCTCCACAGATCCAAACTCAGTCGCAACCAATCGATTTATCACCATCACCAGCTTCACAGCCCCAACAGGTTGCATCACAATTTGCACAAGTTGGTGCTACACCTCCGAAGTCACCTTACTCTCAGAGAGCAGCTGCATTAACTGCTGCAAGGGGAGCAACTGGGCGTAGTAGAGGTAAACCACAACCAAGACCAAGGAACGCATCAAGAGGAAGTGAATCGAACAACACACCAATTAATATAGACATGGATTCGCCTGTAACACAAAATCAACCTGTAATGCAACCAACACCATCACAACAACCACCTCAACAACAAATACCACAGAAGCCTACAGCCCTTGAAGATCCTGTTGCTTATCTAGAGAATGCCTTGGCGGACTTTAAGAACAACTTTCCAGCGAGTGGTTCTACACCATCCACTAGTGCTACTCCAAGTGTGAGCAACCCCGAAATGTTTAATAGTCTTGGAGAAGATAGTGAATTTAAACCATCACTCACTTTGGAAGATGTTCACTCAAAGCCTGAGCCAGAGTTCATACTATCACCAGATGACAACAACGAAGGGGGTGAGCTCCCACCAAATGAGGAATTAGACTTCAGTTTACTCATCGACGAGTCTTCGTTCAATGATGTCGATAATGGTGATAGCGGGGATGGTCCAAGGAAAGTCAACGTCGAAACCCCTGAGCTCATCAATGGTACGAATCCTTCACCTGAATCTATCAATGAGGAGTTAAAATCGCCAAAAGATGCTACGGCTAATGGTAAAGACGTGGTTGGAAAAGGAACAAATAGCGATACATCCTCAACAACAACTCAGGATTGGTTCAGTGGGCGTGTCAATAACAATGACCAATTCGATAATATATTAGATAACAATATGAGTGCCAACTGGTTGCTACAAGATGAGCAATTAAGTTAGCAACAAAACAACCACAAGATTTATATGGATCTTCTCTTCATAGTTCAATCTCACTTCTCTCTTCCTCAGTTTCGCTCATATATGTCTCTTATCAGTTTTGTCGCTATTGTATTACTAATTGTTTATATATATACATTAACTAGAGAATTTAAGGAATTTGCGAACTTGATTGAAGATAACTTCAGTGACAATAAGACATTCAATAAACCTAGAGATGAACTGAATAATCGAGATACTGATAGTGATTGTGCGATTATAAAATTAATTGTAAGACGCGACCATAGTAAAGTCTAGGGATATCAGCCTAGCCCCTTGTATTGGAGTTTTGGAAGATCATTTTCATCAACGGGGCTGAGGTACTTCATCGCCTCTTCTTGTTAATGTATTTTTACCTGACCTATTTATTGAAATCATAAACGAGGAAATTTATCTTTAGACATTCATGCGCTTATGCAGTTATTTTAACCTTTGCATATGATTCATGTGGATGGAAAATAAACACAAAATCCAGTCAGTTTCACTATTTCAATGGAATTTTTTTTTAAAAAAAAGATAATTGACATAAAAGTCTTGGCCCTATTAGCCGAGAAAGTTATTCAGTCTAATTAATTTTGACTTGGTAACTGAGGTGGAAGTGCCGTGCGATAGAAAACTTCGATTATAAGTTCAGTTGTACCATCACTTCAGTAGTATATTTATCTCAGAGATGAATTACAAGACACGTTTGCTAATTTTAGCTATTTGCTTTATAGCATTCATATCAGCACTAGCTCGAAGGTCAGATGAACGCCAAACTGGTGAGCAAATTCTTTTCTCAGGTAGCAAGAAGGAGTTAGATGCATATTTGGAAGATTGCAAAAAGAATTATTTAAAAATAACCTACCAGGACCAAGAAAAAGCGTCTGATAAGGAGGTAGTCATTAGTATTACCTCTTCGAACGTTACTTCTCAAAAATTAGACGATTCACCAACTTACAAGACTTGGAAAGAGAATCGAAAGTCTACTAATGTATCAGAAGATGAAACATTTTTAGAGTTTGAGAGTAAAGTTTTGAATTGTAGACTTTGTCTTAAAGCAAGTGAACAGCATAATTTCACGAGTGATTTCAAGGGTTTAGGTAATTATTTGTCCTCGATAAATGAAGAAACTAAGTAATTTTGATAGCAGTGGAAATGTTGAAATACCTTGACAATTGGACTAGAAGATTATTACTGCCAAGCAAAATTAGGATTGTACAAGCTGAGAATGCAGAACAGAACGTATGTGCCTATAGGGAAAAATGTATGGATGTTATCAATCAGGTAGTATCGAGTTTTAACGAAACACAAATCGCTTTGCTCGAACATATAAAAATACTGGAGAGACGTAATGATCTGTTGGAACAATTCATGTCTACCACAAATACTGTTGGATAACACGACTGTAAGATGCTGAAATTAAGTAAACTTTTGAGAATCTAATAGTGAGGTTCAAACAGTATATCCAGTCAGCCATATAATCATTATTAGGAATCTACAACGTATTGACTTATGGCTCAAATCGTACACTGCACGTATGTTCAAATTAAAACATTCCTTCAGCCATACACAATCAGGTATGTTATGAGATGATGCTTACGAACTTTATTAATTAGATGCATTTGTCTTTTTTTTTCTTTCGTACTTGAAATGAGTGCTACCTCTCCCTCACTAGATTACGCTGAAGTCAGAAAGGCAGATGAAAATGATAAGAACCAGTTTACTGATAGCAAGAGTGATAAAAGCGAAAAAACTCAAATACAGTCCCATTCAGCAAACTTTCCTACTGAAGAGGTTTACTACCTTGAGAAAAGTTTCGGAAAGTGTCTCATATTTTGCACTTGCTGTTGTCATTGTAGAACTAGCTGAAAGGTTCTCATATTATTCTTCCAAAGTTGTTGCACAGAATTAGTGAGTGTATCGATTGAAAGATACGCCTCGCTAACGAAACGTCTAGCATTCAATACCCTTTACCAAATAGTAGCATAACTGGTACACCGCTTCCGGGAGACAGTTCTACCCCTGATGTAATGGGAATGGGACAACAAGCCGCAACTGGTTTAACTACCTTTTCAATCTTCTGGTCATACGTCTGTCCTGTGTTAGGAGGCATAGTTGTAGATACCAAAGGCAGATATAAAACAATTATGGCTTCATCTTTGAGCCATTCCGTTGGTTTAATAATCCTCACCCTAACTTCAATACCGAAAGCTATAGATGATCCTACTACTCCTTTGGCCGGTTGGATTACTGCGACTATCTTGATTGGATTGGGTACTGGTGGTATAAAAGCAATATCAGCGTATTGTTAGGTGAGCAAATAAAATCCAGTACGCCGTATACTAAGATATTAAAATCTGGCGAGAAAGTCATCGTTGATCCAGACGTTACAATTCAGAGACTTATGACTTGGTTCTATTGGAGTATAAATGTTGGTTAGTCCAGCAGTTGAAAAGAAGCATTCTTTCTGGTTAGCCTATCTAATTCCGACGATAGTGTTTGCATTGGTTCCAATATTATTATTTTCATTACGAAACAAGTTAGTCCACACACCTCCACGTGGTAGTATTTTATTAGAAGTATCGCGGTTGTTGAGGATAGTGTGGTCAAACATTTTCTCAATTAATCCACTTAGATGGGTACACAATCTCAAAAAATTCTCATTCTAGTTGGGATGCAGCTGAGCCTAGTGTATATGAAGAGAAATATGGCAATATTTCCAAATTAATCACGTGGGATGACGCTTTCGTTTTGGAAGTCAAGAGAGGTTGGTCAGCATGTAAAATGTTCTTTTGTTTGATCTTTTACTACATATCACAGAATCAACCGTAAGTCAAACATATTAATAAGTGATAAAGCTGATCATTTTAGTTCAAATAATCTTGTCTCACTTTCAACAACAATGCGGTCAGGCAGCATTCCTCCATTAGTCGTGAAAATTATAGATCCAATTATGATATTGGCTACGATACCTTCTTGGATTTTATAATATACCCATTACTTAGAAGGAAAGGTATAAGATACGGACCCGTAGTCAGGATAGCAACAGGTTTCATTTTCGCTTCACTATCAATGGTCTACGCTGCTTGCATTCAACATCACGTATATATCATCAGTCCATGTGGTGATCAGGCTACCACATGTGATGTTAAGCTCCACAAAACCTTTGGTTGTGTTTCGTTCGGGTTTTTCAATGCTTTGTTAAGTTTGCTTATAGATTGTCGCTCCGACTTACGCTTTGGTGGCCTTTTCAGAGGTATACTTGGACCAGTTACTGCATATGAATTAACTCTGAAAAAAGCACCTGTCCAATTACGCGCTTTTGTCATCTCTATTTTCCTGTTACAGACAGCATTTGAGTTGTCAATTAGTTTTAACACATGTCATTTGCTAAAGTTCTTAAAAGGCTAGTGCTATTAACGAAACACGGGTAAGCGTAAGTGAGGATCCACATTTGGTTTGGATGAATGCTAGTCTCGCTATCGTTACTTTTGTAGCTGGGCTACTTTTTTATGCCATGTTTTTCAAAAGAGACAGAAGCGAGGAGGCTGAAAATGCTGTTGGAAAAGACAGACAGGAAAATTATTGAGTTTTGTAGATTTTATGTCATTTCATTGATTTTCTCTCTTCGTTTAAGGTAGTAAGATACAGCTTGAGAAAAAAATAATTCGTGAGTGGCTAAAAGTTCTAGGCTAAAGTATGCTTAGAAGTTACTTCATGTCACCAAGACATACTGAAATTGGTCAAAAGTTTGTCTTGAATTTCTGGCTGTAGAAACGGAAACTACTATGATACGGTGCTGTTGAAGAGCTATGCACATGATTAAAATAGCATTGGGTTGCAAATAGCTATCATGTGTGGTTGTTTAGCTAACGATGGCACTTTGAATATGTAGCAAATTCCAAGCCTCTAAACGCACAGTAGCAGTAAGCATCAGATTAAACGACTGAAGTCACATAATGAAGTTCATAACTTGGAGGTTAATATTGTAGCCCCTTTACTTCAGGTTGAGATAGTACACGATAGCAGGAAAGTGATATTGTAGATCAATGTAAATTGATGCTATGAGTGAACTACGCAATATATGTGCGAAACATTATAAAATGACGGGGGTAAAACACTGATCAACGACAATATTAAAGAGTCGCATGTCATGTCATATTATGCGTGCACAATTGCGTACAGATCGAAGAGCTTGCATAGTAATCTATTTTTTTTTCTTCAGGTTAGCCATCCTTTATATCTGTCCCAGAGTTTGTATCATACCTAATCCGTCATCATCCTAACGATCATCCCAACGATCATCAGGATGTCAACAATATTCATTAAACCTCAAGAACTCGAACATTACAAATCCACAACTATTTTAATTGATGTCACATGGCATATGCCAAATGCTAATAGGGATGCTAACGAAGAATTCAATCAAAAGCGTATACCAGGTGCAAGAAGGTTAGATATTAATGCAATTTCCCCAAAAACTAGTGGTGCTTATCAAGGAAAGCTCCCTGATGCCTCGACGTTTGCAAAAGCTTGCTCGGAATTGGGTATCAAGAGTCTCGAAGATATCATCATTTTATATGACACACAAGGACTATTTTCAGTGCCTAGAGCCGCATTTACATTCTTAGTATATGGCTTTAAAAATATTAAAATCCTTGAAGGTGGTCTGCCTCGATACGAGAGAGTTGGCCTTGAGTTAGAAACTAGCACACCTTCCGCACACCAACCAAGTGACTTTAATAGAGTGCATTTAGATGTCTCACAGGTAAAGAAGTACGAGGACATTATTGGAGCCATCAAAGATCCTTCAAATCAAGTTATTGTTGACGCTCGTCCATCGCAACTCTTCAAAGACGGCCATATGCCGGGTGCCAAATCACTACCATTTAACCAATTAATTGAGAGCGACAGTGACAGTTTCAAAGACCACGATCAGCTCAGGAAGATCTTCGAACAGTCACTTGGTGGTCCTGAACAATTTGAGAAAGTCGTGAAAGGGGATGTAAGGGTGATTAATTCCTGTATGGCAGGAATAACTGCCAGTATTGTGAGTTTCAGCATCAGCACAGCCATCAATTACTTAGATCAATTTTCAGGTTTGGCTAGCACTCTTTGTCCTTGGAGTTAGAAGTAGCGTTTACGATGCGAGCTGGTTGGGATATTCTTCTCATCCTAATGCAGATATTGTGAAAGAGTGAAGTCTTCTGCAATTCACGAACGAAGATAACTACATATTGACTGCATTCATTGGTGGGCCTATGATGTTTTACATTTGACTTTTGTAACGACACTTCTATGTATAATTTTGAACTAGATATGCTAAATGGTTTATCACTCTATAAGTGAATAATTAATACTCTTTGCTTGCTTAATAGCTTCATGGGATTCAATGGTTTTTCGCAATGTTTAACGAGACATCAGTCACATTGCGGACTTCACTCAGCTAGACTTTTTGTTCTCGTTTTCTTTTTCCTCTTGAGAAAGGAGACGTCCTTTGATCTCTTTTTCTTTGCGCTCACTCCACCTACTGGCAAATAAGTCATGCTTACCATAAAATAAACAAGACACCTTGACGAGTTCTTCACAAACATCCACAACTCTGTCACGATTACTTATAGGTAGAAAACGACCTTCTGGTGAGAACGCAGTCCAGGCTTTCGGTACTGAGCTTTGATTAGGTATTGTGTGCATTCTCATCCACCTTCCTAGTAATCTGAGTGTGTTCACGGCGTTAAAAGATTGAGAACCCCCGTTAACTTGAGCGACGGCCAAAATTTTACCCTGAGTAGGACGGATAGATCCAAGCGATAGCGGAATATGATCAATCTGTGTCTTCATAATGCCAGTGATCGCCCCGTGCTGTTCTGGTGATACCCAAAAGTTGGCTTCACTCCAAGATACAAGTTGACGAAGTTCTTGGACTTTGGGGTGATATTCCGAACTATCATCTTTCAGAGGCAGACCGTCTGGATTGAAAACTCTAACGTCTACGCCTATGTGATGAAGGATTCTCGCGATTTCAAATGAGAGTAGTTGCGAATATGACCTTTGACGCAGACTTCCGTATAAAATCAGAACTTTTAGCTTATTTGGTAATGCTGCATGCATCAAGCGTGCGTCTCGTAGCTCGTCCCTGCCGCTCTCATTGGCAATATCAAACGTCCAGTCATCCGGGACTAGTTGCTTTCCAGGGTGATTTAATCCGGCAAGATATGGTTGATATTTTGTTATGGTTGACGACATTCGTCTGATCATGGTACACTTTCAACAACCAACAACGTTGATAAAAAATGCCAAGTCATCCCATTGATTCAGATAGCTGGTAGCAAGTATACGGTCAGCCAACAATCGAAGTACAAGATATCTCAGTTGATCAACTTGCTGAACTTTACTCGACAAGAACTGCGGGGCAAGACTTTGTTGTTGTTGACGTTAGGAGATCTGATATGACCGATATGATACCAGGTGCTATCAACTTACCAGCTGACTCTTTATCTCTTACGCTGCCTAGCCTTTTACCCTCACTTAACCACGTTAGGAAGTTCATCTTTCACTAACTCATCTAAGGGTCGTGGTCCGAGAGCAGCTGGCTGGTTTGCAGAGACATTGAATGAATACTTGAACACCGATGAAGGCTTGCGCGATTGTGTGTACGCTTTAACAGGCGGTATTAAAGCTTGGAAGGAGAAGTTTGGTAGTTGTTCACTAGAAGATCGCGGTAAACGTTGGGATGACAAGTCATGGTCGACAATTGAATTGTAAATGTATAACAAGTCAACTATTATTATCCATACATAATAACCTGTTAACTAAGGAATGAACATGGCAATAAATTTTTCAGCAATGGGCAACGAAATATCTAAAAGGCTATCGTTTTGCATTTCGAACAGATGTCTTATTCAATATAATGGACCTGTATTTGACGCAACTTTTTGAAGCCATGGATCCGTCATACCATTACTTTTATCTGAACAACCAGCAGGATAAATCTGTTAATGAATGAATGATTGATTGTTGCCAAATGAATGCATGGAATTTATGTTTGTGAAAGCTTTGATATCCTTGCATAACTACTTTTCAGAAAGTTCTGATTTGGAATAGGAATTTGAATAACAGGATGAACTTCTTTAAGACAAAGATAACAGAAAGAGTAAGGTAATGCGATTTCAATTAGTTCGGTTGTTATTAGAGTCATAAGTTTTTCCGCGGAACCCTGAACAAAGCAGTGATGATGCACCGCCTCTAACGAAAGACAGCTTGATAAGGATAGCTTGGAGATTTATTATATTTGAAGCTAAGTAACAGTCGAAATGAGCAGCTGAGAAATACGAGTCAGATAGTGAGGCGGAGTCATATGCACCTAAAGTTTTGAATTTGTATCGTCGGAAAAATCAGTAACGACGCGATCCCCTGGTAACCTGTTATTTGACGCTATTAGAGAATCACAGAGCACGTGAATTGATATAGAGATATAGCGGTGATGTTTCGGAAGCTGAAGGGATGCATTCAGGAACAATTGCTATGTAACACAGCTTTAGAAGCATACAAATAACCTCACACTTTGAACTCTCTTTCTTATCTTACCATAAGAATGAAATTATCTACAGTCTCATTACTTTTTACCATCGCTCTGTTAAAATCCGCCATGGCAGAAGGATGGGCCCAATTCTGCGATGATGACAATTGCTCTGTCAATTGTGGTACGTCAGTTAGTACAGCAAATGATGGTGGGTTTTAGTGCTTTCTTTCTATAATACCATGCTGATGAAGATTCAAACAAACAGGTTGTTTAGAAGAGGGACCTAATCGCAAATCCGTGAAATTTCATGGAAGAGACAATCCATTTTTTAACAGAGTCTCTTTAGTAGTAACGTGAGCAGTTATTTATTCTATATAGTTGACTTGCTTATTTAATTCTTTAGACCACATGACGTAAGCAGTCTCTTATGTGCCTATGTTTACTCACAATATTTCTAGAAATGCTCCTGTCAGAGCCAGTGTGTGAACAGTATGGTAACAGGTGGTGACAATGATGCAGCTGGTTGTCAGAGAATACCTTCAGGAGTATCGTATCGTTTTATTCAACAGTCATGCGACCCAAATAACTGCGCTGCTAAAAGAGACGATGCTAACACATTAGAAGAGATGGAAACGAGGGCATTAGAAGCTGAAGAAGCTAAGAAGAGAGATTTAGAAGCTCAGGAACAAGAGAAAAGGGATTCAAAAGCCAAGGAACAGAAGAAGAGAGAGTCAGAAGCTCAAGAACTTGCAAGCAGAGGTCTTGAAAGGAGAACAACATATGCCCAATTCTGTGATGATGAGAATTGTACAGAAAATTGTGGTACGTCAGTCAGCGTAGATAATCCAGGTTGTCTCGTGGAAAGTGGAAGAGGAAGTATCAAGTTTCACGATCTAAATTTGGGCAGTATCGACCTTGTCGCAACGAACAATGAGTAAGTGTTTTGCACATATTTGTCAAAAGCTGATTGTTTGAAGCCAATGCTCATGCCAAAGTCACTGTTACACTCATGTCGTCGAAGGTATGGGTAAGCAGCCACCTAGTTGTATGAGTCTCAAAGACAACTTGAAACAATTCAAATCATTCAGATTTCTCAACACGGGCGGTACTGGAGGTGACAATGGCTGTTCAACCACTGAAAACACATGCGATGGAGCCACTTGGTGATTCCAAAATGCAATTGTATAAGTTTATTTCTTTGATATCCATTCAACGTTTTTGCTTCGTCTACTGTATGCATATGCCGTCTAACTTTGAAAAGATAGTAGTCTATATACTTTGAAAATGATATCATAGGTTCCATGGGAATCTTTGACGCTGGCAAAACGACATCGAAAGTACAATGTGTTTATTGAGGGCACAGAAACAACCTGTGTTGATATAAAAGTCATGTCTGCCGTAGTTGCTGAGATATGGAAATGTCTGCCTATGACGTCATGAAAAGGCACACCTGAAATTGCTCAATATAGGACTGCTGGACGTCCAACTGGCACCAGCTGGTTCGCTGTTGGTCAATGTATTGCTAGGTGGCTTTATTTGCTACACTTCATTCTCAGATGTGAGAGAAAGTTCATTGTCCGATCCTGTTATCCAGGAGATACTTGACGCAATGTTTCGACTATTGAACAGTAAAGTGTATGGCAAAAAGAGTGTATAGGATGTCTGGGTGATGAGGAACAGATTAAGCTTCTTTACTCATCTTTTTCTCGGGTCGTTGATGAGCAGCTAAGACGTCTACTGATGACGTCAGTAGTAGTTGAGGTCTCCAGAAACGATACGATAAGAGCGAAAAGTGTCAGTAATCGAATAAGGAAGCCCTCGTTTGTATGGATGTTCTTTTAAAACTTCTCAACTTCTCATATATACTTGATCAATATGGATTTAGAACGTACATCCCCATATGATTTAGTTGCGACGAGATTGATACTACTACAAGTTATTATTTCTATATTTTATAGTGTAGCGTAATCGTCGACGATATAGGTTACGCTTATGAATACTAAACCATTGTACTTAATTGTCTGCACGAGCGGTGCAGATGCTGGAATGTACTGAATGGTGTTAAATTAGACACTACAGAGCAGCTATGCTTAGCTGTTTATTACTGAAAGCTTGAATTGACATTGTATCTTCAGTAGATGTACTCTGCGCTTATGTAACTGTGAGAGCCATGTCAGTACACCAAATATGACGCGGTGCGGTACACTCCTCAGGCATTCTTGTAAGATTTTGTAAGTAGCGCATCGTATATATTTACAGTTAGAAGCTTTTTGCGTTTGAGTGGTGTCAAAAGTTCCGAAGCCGTGTCAGCACCTATATGCTACATTCATTGGACCAAGTCGTTACTCGGCCTTACACTATTTAACGAGACCCATGCAGGTTTTTCTTTTTTTTACTAAGCAGTTATGAACACCAATACAATCACTACTACTTTCGATGCAGCCGATCTTAAGATCCTCGGGCAGAAGCATATAGGCAATGGATTAGCAAGAATGTCAGACTTTGTAATGGAGCGAGGCGAAGGCAGCTACATCTACACTGACAAGAAAAAATTTTTGGACTTTTCTAGCGGTATCGGTAGGTACCCAAACCTGATTTGACACCGTATTAAGCCTTATAGGGGTCACCAATCTCGGTCACTGCCATCCCGTCGTTACAGAGGCTGTAATCAACCAAGTAAAGACAATAACACACGCGCAATGTAGGTTATGGTTATGGATTGATTGGTTGGTTAGGTTTTAGGTTACAAAATACTATCAAAAGATCGTTACTAAAATGAAAATTTTCAAAACAAGACATCTTAAAATACTGCCTAAATCAGCCGGAAGTTTGTCACTCTCTTCCTTACGAGCGCAAACGAAATAAGTCTCTGTAGGTGGTCCCAATTGGGAGTAATCCTGCGCCATTGCTTGAAGTGCTCAGTGGTGAGGGTACTCATGGCACCTCCCGCACCAAACACAATTGGCACAAACGTAACTGGAACATGGTCACGATACTTGAGGACCTTCTTGTGGGCTTGATGGTTCAAACCGACTCGAATTAACTCACTACCACTCTTCTTCTGCCAGTCCTTAGTAACTTGTTGAATATAGGGGACTAAGGCTATTGACGAATGAACAGTGATATCATGCATCGTAAGTG